GATGAGCCGCTGGCCACCGGCTTGGAGCACCAAATCGGAGAGTCCTATTTGGACGAATACCAAAAGCTGGAACACATGGACCAGCTCACCAAACCACCCCAGTACGTCCGCGGAGCAAAAGGGCAGAATATCATGATCACCCTACAATTGGAAACCTTTGATACTATGGCCCATCACTCTGCGAAGGCCCTGATCGACAGTGGCTGTACCGGAAGCGCTATCGACCAACAGTGGACCCGTGATCATGGTATTACCATGCATAAAGCGGCTCACCCCACTCCAGTCTATAACGCAGATGGTACCCACAACAAAGGCGGCGACATCACCGAATTCGCTGAAGTCCGACTCAAGATTGGAGACCACAGTGAACGTATCGAATTAGCAGTCGTTGACCTAGGAACCACACCTATCTTCCTAGGACACAACTGGTTACAAAGGCATAACCCACTCATCAACTAGAACACGGGCTCAGTAACTTTGGCGCGCTGTGATTGTCGCAAAGTACCATTCCGTCTCCCAGACGAAGATCCAGAACAGCAGTGGGGAACCGAAGTCGAGGACGGGGATACCATCCTCATCATAGACTTTGAGGAGGCCTTTCACGTATGAGCGGTGGGGCATAAAGCCAATGACTTAGCAGCCAAGGCCAATGAGGGAAAGAAAATAAAATCGTTTGAGGAAATCGTTCCCGAACATTATCGGGACTTCATCGATGTTTTCACCAAAGAAAACTTTGATGAACTCCCCCCTCGCAAGCCCTGGGACCATGCCATTGAGCTCATCCCCAATGCCAATGCCAGCCTAGACTGCAAGATATATCCGTTGAACCCAAAGGAACAGGAGGAATTGGATAAATTCCTCGATGAAAACCTGGCTACCAGCCGAATTCGATCCTCCAAATCCCCAATGGCGTCTCCCTTTTTCTTTGTCAAGAAAAAGAATGGAAAACTGCAGCCAGTACAAGACTACCGCAAACTTAATGAAATAACCATCAAAAACCACTATCCTCTACCGCTTATCTCCGACCTTATGGATAAGCTAAAGGATGCGAGGTATTTCACTAAGTTAGACATCCGTTGGGGGTACAACAACGTTCGAATCAAGAAAGGGGACGAATTCAAAGCCGCATTCCGCACTAACCGAGGGCTCTATGAGCCCCTGGTTATGTTCTTTGGGTTAACCAATTCACCGGCCACGTTCCAGTGGATGATGAATGATATCTTTAAAGATCTCATTGCTCAAGGAAAGGTCACCATTTATTTGGATGACATCCTCATCTTCACCAAGGACAAGGCTGAACACCAAAGAATTGTGCAGGAAGTCCTGAGGATTCTGCACAAGAACAAGTTGTTCTTGAAAGCAGAAAAGTGCGAATTTGAGGTACTTGAGACAGAGTACCTCAGGGTCATTATCAGTGAAGGATCCGTCAAGATGGATCCAGTAAAAATCGCTGGTATTATGGATTGGCCAGCACCCTCCAAGAAACAGGAACTACAGTCCTTCCTAGGATTCACCAATTTCTACCAGCGATTTATCTGGCACTATAGCGCAATCGTCAAACCAATGACGAAACTCACAGGGAAGAACCCTTGGACGTGGGGGAAGGAGCAACAAGAAGCATTTGAGGAACTCAAACGTCAATTCGCAACGGGAGTCATTTTGGTGATGCCAAACGACTACAACAAGTTTCGCATGGAGGCAGACTCCAGCGAAGGGGCAATTGGTGCCATCCTGTCACAGGAACAGGAAGGAAAATGGTGCCCGATCGCATTCCTATCAAAATCTCTTTCCGCAACGGAACGGAACTACAAGATTTACGACAAGGAATTGCTAGCAATAATGATTGCCCTAGAAGAGTGGCGACATTATCTTATGGGTGCCCGTCAAGATTTCGAAATCTGGACGGATCACTCAAACCTGCAATACTTCCACAAACCCCAGAAACTCAACCGCAGACAAGCGCGGTGGGTTACTGAACTAGCGGAATACCATTTCACACTCAACCACAAGCCAGGAGCGTCCAATAGGAAGGCTGACCTTCTAAGCTGGCGGGCCGACCACGACCAAGGCAAGAAGGACAATGATGATATTGTCCTCTTGAAGCCAGAATTCTTCCGTGCCTTGATAATGCCAACAGAGGAAATTCATGGCAAAATTCGGAGAGCAACAAGCGATCACCAACGGTGGGACCGAGGGATCGCTTCAAGCCTCAACCATGAGAAGGGGGTCATTGAGAAAGACCACCTTCTATTCTACGATGGACGAATCTACGTCCCCCGTGACCACACCCTATGAGGAGAACTCATCTCCCATCACCACGATCATGTCTCCGCAGGACACCTGGGCATCGAAAAAACCAGAGAACTAGTCTTAAGAGACTACTGGTGGCCCAAAATGCGGAGGGACGTGGAAACTTATGTCCAAGGATGCGAAGTGTGTCAAAGGACGAAGACTGATATGCAGCGGAAAGCAGCTCCGCTACATCCCAACGCTGTACCATCTTGACCTTAGGAACACATCTCAGTCGACATGATTACCGGATTTCCAGAATCCAAAGGCTACGACGCGGTACTAGTCGTTGTAGACCGATTCTCAAAATACATCGTGCTGATTCCATGCATGAAAGAACTCTTGTCAAGCGGATGGGCCAAAATCCTATGTGACGAGATCATTTGTCGATTTGGGGTGACCCCCTCTAAAGTCATCTCTGACCGGGGACCCCAATTCATATCAAAATTCATCACTGAGCTATACGCAATGATGAATATTCAAGGAAATCCGTCGACGGCCTATCACCCTCAGACGGATGGGCAAACGGAGCGGGTTAACCAAGAACTCGAAAAATACCTTCGAGTTTTCATTAACCACAAACAGGATGACTGGAGCGAATGGCTGCAGTGGGCAGCATTTGCTCACAACAACCGCCAACACTCTGCAACAGGCTTTTCTCCCATCAAAGTAGTCTACGGATGAGATGGGGAAATTTGCCCAACCACGGTGAGGCAGTCGGAAACACCATCAGTAACTGACTTCATCGAAAGCCTCCAAAGAGTACGCAAGCAAGCAGAAGACTCTTTGAATAAAACCGTCGAAGTTATGAGAAAGGCTTATGACAAACACACTTGCCCTGTGCAGGAGTACCAACCAGGAGATAAAGTCTGGTTGGACTCAACCAACCTTCACCTCCCCCGACTGGCAAAAAAGCTAGGTGACAAACACGTTGGCCCCTTTGAAATAGTTTCCAAAAAGGGGCCCTCTGCATACAAACTAAAGCTGCCGCCAGGATGGAAGATCCACAACAAGTTCAACGAACGATACCTAACTCTGTACGTCCCCCCAGAGTTTTCCAACCAGGAGAAACCTCCGCCACCCGAGCCGGAACTCGTGGAAGGCGAGGAAGAATATGAAGTAGAGGAACTACTTCAGGACCGCAACCGCGTTGTCGGTCGAGGACACAGCCGGAGGACCATAACAGAATATTTGGTCAAATGGAAGGGATATCCAGTGGAGGAGGCTACCTGGGTCAAGAGGAGCAATCTCGCCAATGCCGAAGAACTCGTCAAGGAATATGAGAACAAGGAAAACCGCGTACAGGATCACGATTTGCGACACTTGGAAAACGAAGGAGGATGCATAACCATATCATCTCCGGGCTCTTTAGCAACTGAGAGCTCAACTTTCTTTCCAGTCTCGAACAGGAATCACACCAATCCATTATCCTTCGACGAGCAGGGCTATTATTCATCGGACACGGATGAAGACGTCTTCGAAGACGAGCGTTCCATGTCTCCTCTAACAACTCAGACCGACCCCAGCTTCCTACCAGAAGAACGGGGCATGTCTGCTTGGGAACAAACCAAGGACTACGAATCAGATATGGAATCCACCATTGACTCCTTCAATTGAATCCCTCTGCAGGAAGATTCAGAAGGATGTCTAAAGGACTGTCAGGACGACAGTCTTAGTCGGGGGGTATTATTATGGTTTTACCCCTATTTTCCTTATCTTATCTTATCCTTATCTCTTGGAACCCCGGACCTACCTATCTTATCTCCTGGACCCATGATATTCCACTGGCACACTCCTTACCCGAATACCCGGCTGCCATCACCCCAGTTCACCACTGCCGCCCCCAGGTGACCAATGACCCACATGCACCATCATGCTTCTCTTGATGGCATCATGCTTCTTAGTAGTTGGATGAGAGTCGACCGCCAGTCAAGGGCGGTCTACGGGATGCAGCCTATTCAGATGGAGTCCCATGCAGATGCAGGTGATATGCGCTCTTTACTCTCATTCATCAGGAGTACACTTCTTTTAGTGTCCTCCCTCCTCATTCATTGAAAGACGCACTTCTCACTGCACACGCCCTCGTAGACACTATTCTTAGTACGAGTCTAACATGTATTTAAGCTAGCCTACACTGTGGCCTTAGACCCCAGCTTCGGCTAAGGTTATATACTCCTAACTCTTACAAGCTCCTTGCTTTCGCTATAAGTGACGCCTAACTTCTCGCAATCAACCAACGCCTCTCTAACACTGAATCACCGAACGCGAGTGACAGGATAGAGATCAGTCTTGGAGTAGATTCAAGTTAGTGCATAACAGCTTGTTTCCTCAGGTAAAGGCTATGTAGATAGTTGGTAGCCTTTGCAATTTCCTGTTTGAGTAGATCAGCCAATTGGTCTGATCCAGATCTAAGGGTGGAAGAATGGATATGTGTAGGGCATAGCTTGACTGGCTGGAGTGGCATGACAGCAACTTGGCTTCAAAGCTATCAAAAATTATGACTTGGTGAAGCCATTGAAGCCAAAGCCAAATGAAGTCGCACCGAGCTGCGCCAAGTCACGTCATCAAAACACTAAAGACAGGAACAATCGAGACTAAAATATTGCCTTATTTAGCGATATATTAGCTTATTATTTTTGTATTTAATCTGAAGGCTTTTGGCAAAGAGAGCAAGAATGGTGATTTAATTAGTTAATTATTTACTCTCGTCAATGTATCCCGCTTCTCACATACCGCAACCTCCTCACACAACAGGCTTTGCATACAAAGGTGCCTCTTATCATGGCATCCTATTCGACCGACTGACGCTTCCTAAGGACTACGACCTCGTATTGAACCATCCCAGGTTCCCTCTCCCGTTGAAGCCATCGAAAGGGATCAAGAAAGATGGCAGAATCAGCCTTATATGACATTGCCCGGACAGCAACCCCCATTGTCGACGACGGACTTCCGTGCACTTGATCAAGGTAGGTATTCTCTCTACTTCGTCTTGGATTTGGTCGAAACAAAGCATTTACAACAGGCAATTCATCGCCAAAATTTGTACGAGCGTCGACTTGGGCGTTCCCTTATACATCGCGTCTAGCGTCGGATTGTAGCATTCCATTGGCGGCCGTGTTCCAGCCATTTGCCGAGCTCGATGCCCAGGAGGAGCCTATACCGCTAGTGGAGACCAACCCCGCTCGCTGTGAAAGATGTAGAGCATACATTAATCCGTGGTGTTCGTGGATGTCAGGTGGAGGAAGGTGGAAGTGCAATCTTTGCGGTCATGAAACAGAAGGTACATTGCCCTAATTTCGCATTTGAACTGTGCTGGACTTCCACCAGTATCCGCCGAGTATTTCTGCAATCTCGACGCAAACGGGAATAGAATGGATCGACTACAACGCCCAGAGTTACTGAAGGGTACGGTGGATTTTGCCGTCCCAGATGAATACTGGGCTTCACATCCTCCCGTGGGACTGACACGCCCATACTTTTCAACGGAACCTCCGCCGATTGGGATACGACAGCCTCAGCCTTTAAACTATGTATTCGCTTTCGACGTTTCGAATGAAGCCGTCCAGTCCGGTTTCCTGCAAACGGCTTGTAACGCTCTAGTAACAATTCTTTACGGAGGTGTTGACGAGGAGGGAATGCCGCTGGATTCATGCTTTCCTCCAGAAAGCCAAATTGCCATTTTCACCTTTGACCGAGGGATACACTTTTACGACCTAACGGTACGTCCATCGATCTTGCAGTGGCCTGCATGTTTTCATTTGCTTCTGAGTAGTCTGATCAAGTACCCATGTTTATTGTGCCTGACATTGATGAAGTCTTTATTCCTTTTCATCATGGTCTCTTCGTATCACCAGCTGAACGAAAGTGCGCATACTATGTATATATCATCTGCACGTATCCTCATCCCCTTCCTTAGAGATATTATTACAAACTTTCTGGAAGCCCTTCCGGGGCGATTCGTTGACAGCTATGTCCAGCAAGCCGCTTTGGGGTCCGCCATTCGTGTCTGTCAGGCTGCTCTAGTATGTGGCTTCCTATCAACAATGTCCACTGTTTTAACTCATCACAAGGTAGGACGAGGAGGCCAAGTCGTGATTTTTCAAAGTGTGTTACCTTCTATAGGTGCCGGCGCCTTACAGGGTCAACCAAACGAGTCCGATATGTACGACACAGCACAGGAAAAGAAACTTTACAAACCTCGCGATCCCACATGGACACAGATGGGAGAGGAGTGCGCTGAGGATGGTATTGGGGTGAACATGTTTCTAGGAATGAGCAAATTTATAGACATTGGATCAATTGGTATGTCTCCTGTGCAGCTCCTACATTTTTATTGACTGTTGAGGGCAGGCGTGGTATCATCTCTATCGGGCGGCGACATATATTTTTACCCTCGCTTCGATCCAGGACGCGACGGGATTACATTACGTTCACAGCTACAACGACTCATGCGACGGATGATTGGCTATAACTGCATGGTCCGGGTGCGGTGTTCAAAAGGTAACTCGATACATACTTTTTTCTCGACAATTTTGTCAATTGTCTACTAGGTGTCCGGGTATCTGAATACTACGGCAACTTCCACCGTCAATCCCCCACAGATCTTGAGTTTGGTGTGCTCGATGCCGACAAAGCATTCTCGGTTGTTTTAGAACACACGGGATCCCTCAGTACTCGGGAATACGTGTATCTTCAGTGCGCCGTATTGTACACGACGGTGGACGGTGACCGCCGTGTTCGGGTGCTCAATCTAGCACTACAGGTGGTAGAATTGGCGGGGAATGTTTTCATGTACGCGGACAATGACACTCTGGTATGCCATCAAATGCGACATGGTAAGTCCAAGAATAACTCCCGCACTTCCTTCGCTGATGATTACCTTGTAGCTATAATGCACACTAAGGCGTCGAACATGGCGCATGTACGAGAAGACCTCACAGAGAACTGCTCGTCATTGTTGGTTGGATATAGGAATAAATGCGCATCTGCAACAGCGACATCGCAGGTAAGGGTATCAGGTACATTGAAGTATCAGAAGAGAAAGCTGAATACTCTCCAGTTAGTACTACCTGAAGCATTCAGATCATTGCCTATGTACACTTTAGGGATACTCAAGGCCAAGCCTATCAAAGGTATATATTTTTGAACTATCTTATCGTACAGTCTAACTAACTGTACAAAGCTGGAACTGTATCTTCGGATGTGCGGAATTATTACGCACATCGATTGATGTCTGCGAGTGTTCAACACCTCATCCAGCATGTCTACCCGCCGCTGATTGCGCTGCATGACCTCGATAATGAAGTAGCTTTGCCTGACCCTGTAACGGGGGAGATAACAATACCAACTATCACTAGAGACACCCACATGTGCATGGAGCCAAATGGGTTGTATCTGATAGGTAGGCCTTGGTCTTGGTCGGTACAAATCATTTCATTTAGCTCAACTCTGCAGACAATATGGAGGTCATGATATTTTGGATAGGCACCAGCATTTCTCCGCAGATACTTTTAGATCTTTTCGCAGTTGATGATCTGTTGAACCTGGATATTCACATAGTATGTTACCCCTCGCCTCTGACACGATGCACTAGTGACCTGTCCGTTGGAAGCCGAGGCTGCCTGTATTACAGACGCGATTGTCATCGCAAGTGCGCAACATCATCACGCATAACCGTTTGAAGCGGGGATACATGCCGAAGATGTTAATTGCGAGACAGAACATGGATGCGGCAGAAATCGAGTTCAGCGATATGCTAATAGAGGACCAAAACAACGGGACGATGTCCTACGTCGATTGTGAGATATCATCCGTGATCAGAAATCCGATGCTAACTCTCGTCTGCGCAGTCCTTACCGTGGTGCATAAACAGATAAGTCATGTAGTGAGTCGCAAATGTTGAGCTAAGGATGTCGTGATCTAATTTTCTGATCCATTCAGCTGACTGGAAGCTTCGAACCCACGGCTATGCGATCCCCCTGGTAGCGCTTGCTACTGTCATATTGCCTGCAACGTTGGATAGCAAACTCTACTCTGAAAGGCACTGGGTGCTTCATGTTCAAAGTCGTGAATACGTCGTTACATCGTTATCATCTATTTATCTATGGAGGCGAAGTTGCGCTATATATACGAAGATAAAATACTGGATCTCTATGTTATGTCAAGTACGTGAATACTCTTCATGGCATGGCAATGGTGTTGTACAAGGCTTGAGAATTGATGCAAAGCGAAGGATGGGCGTGTTGAAAACTGTACGCGACAGTCAAACCCAGGACGAAGATATCCGGTTACTGCATCAAATAGATTGAGCACGTCTAGTTTATACTAGATTTTGCCCCACGAACCTGGTCCTCATCTCCGCGGGCAAATGACCGAATGTAGAAGCGTCTGTTCTCCAGTCGTAGACGTTCCGGTGTATATGATAGTGATGGACTCCGAATCGGAGACGTAAGTGGATGGAGACAATTGAGAAATATTGACCAAGACGCCGAGCTCTAGAGACATGGACAGAGCCTGAAGAATGACAGTAGGGTCTTTCCGGATGAAACGCCCATAAGAAGTGCTATGTATAACAGATTGGTGCACATTAACTTGGGCAATGGGTACAGGGGGTTTCACTGCTTGGTTTATGAGATCATGTCCATGGATATAGTGGAGCTAGACGCACTTGAATTCCTGCTGCTCCTTGGATAATGTATCCTCCAACAGAAAGGGCTTCCAGAAGCACGAGGATCCGAAAAAGATACCACAACCGACCACTTCGATCCATATCCACCAGGAGTAGAGACATTGAAGACTTCCTGGAACTCAAAAGAGAGATCCGTTGACACGAATTCCGTTTTCGTTTTCTCATGTTTTCGTACTCCATGACAGAAGGGGAAATCTTCAGGTAGGCTGGTCATAGTAGAGAGACCGCCGCGTAGGCGATTACGCAGTTGGCATTTTATTTGGCCTTGCTCCGCCAAAGTTGGAAAGCTGGGTCTATAATCTAGTCGATCAAGATGTGACTCCTGTGGTTGATGCACCGCTATGGGTTTGCAAGTAGAGTGCTTGCGGCCGTGGTCAAGCTTCGATTTGGATGTGCTCAGGCAAGGAGAGGGGTAATAAGCTTCGTCGTAACACCTGGGAAGAGGCCGAGGCTGATGTGAATAGAAGCAGGCTGCTGATGATTTTGACATGATGAAGTTTCGGCAGAAAATCTGGATATGATGTTCGAATCCTGGCAACAGGACAGAGAGTCAAAGATAACTGGGAGACAGCGAAGACAGCGCAAAGGATGGGTGATGTGCGGATCGCCAGATGGACCCCGACCCCGATTTATACATTTTTGACGATAGGTTTACATTCTCAGTGAAGACAAGAGAGAGGAAATCGCTAGCAACGCGGGCGCTAGCATGGTCATGATGGAATCCAAGTGCTCCGATGCCGATCCTTGTATTAGACAAAAGAATGAATGAAGTAGGAGATGCAAGCGATTTTCTTCCCACGAACCTGTGGCACAACAAATCAAGCTAGCAACCCCAATAAGGGTTGATACCATCGGGCGGAGAGGGGCGGAGAGCTGGAAAGAATGGAAACTCACGTATAAGCGCATCAAACGTTTCTGGCATAGCACCATGATGTCATGGAATCCTGAGAAAACATAGAGAAACCAATTGTCCAGTATTTGTTCGAGAGTTGATGGTAGATACTTGGATTTACTGCGATCAGTCCTCTGCCTACAATACCTTCCCTTCTCTTACCCCGACCCAATAAGAACCATTAGGCCACTCATATTCAGCAATACTTGATTTGTGCATCTCAATACTGACGAAGTATAAGAGGCCGCTTTGCATCCTGGAGAACAAGGCGTACCTGTAACCTTCATCAGGGTTTGACGGTACGTTATACCTCCCACGGGAATTGATTGAACAAGGCGTCACAAAATGTTCATGGAGATGATCAACGAACTCCAAGACATTGCGTTCCATGGTGCCCGGAGATGGCAATGTAATCAATTAGACTGTTTACAGGTCAGTGCAGTGAAATTCCAGTGCTCTCAGAGCGAACCTCAAATGGATGACATATTCGCACAATCCAACACCCCCTGCGTGTGGGCAAACGGGTACACCAAACCTAATAACGATAATGAGATAAGCTGATTATCATCAAGTCAAGTCTTACTTCGCTGCCATGAGAAGGACACTGATAACTTCACTGACGCCTGCAAGCCTACAAGAATCGATTTGACAGACATCTATAGCTTCGGCTTGAAGAAGCTGCTTGAATACCATGCGATTGTGGGCATGTTCACCGGTAGCAACGCCGATACCGTAAGGTTTCAAGGCCCTCCGGATAGCCGCATGGCCTAGAATGTCGTCTGGCGCCGTAGGCTCTTCAATGAACCTCGATATGCTTATAAGGATCAGAGTCCAGCGAAATCAACGACTACTTACCAAGGCTTGATCTCAGTTAATCCTTTGACGTAGTCAATTGCCTGTGGGACGTCCCATACTTGATTCGCGTCGATCATCAACACTGCGCCGGTGGGTCCAGCATTTTTGCCTTTCAGGTCGTCACTGTTGGGGTCTTTTGGTGGTGCACCCACTGGAAGATATTGTGGGTCATCGATGATGGATCGTATTATCTTTCCTCGACGCAGATCATTGACTTGGCTGGCTCCGACTTTCATCTTGAAGTGATTGAACCCTGCCTGAACGGCCTCTTTGGTTAATCGAGCCACTTTTTCGTCGCTATATCCTATGAAACTGTAAGCATTTTGTATCACTCGACAAAAGCCTGTCTCACCCAGCCACCCAGCGGATGTAACGTATGCAGGGTACCTATAAGGAGTTATTTGAGACGTCATATTCATGGGAATAAGCACCAACCCAAGCTCTTGGACTTTGGCCTCTCGATCCTGCTTTGTGGAAGCCTTCTCCTTGACCATAGCAAGTGCCTCTTCTTTCGTGATTGCATCAGATATGTAACGCCATGCCGCTGATTTCACCAGTTCTTCCTAGAATGAAATGAGAAACAAATAGTGCATGAGAATGGACACGCACTGGAGTGAAATCTACAACAAGCTTCCACAGAGGCTTCTTTCGGGATCGGGCATACATATCCCAGACAGCATTATTCACAGCACCGGATGCGATGTGAATAACGCCTTTCTCCGGGCCAATCCTAGGATGGATGAATTCTCCGTCGGAAATACCTCATGACTACGTACCATCTCAACTGAGGATCTGACATCATGAAATTCCAAGTTTCCCCCATATCAGCGAACAGGCTCTCCGTCTCCTTTCCGACCAATCTACTCGCTACTTCTTTGATGGCTGCGCATACCTGGAGCAGTAGTAAGTCGAATAACGACAGCGGAACGGCGCGCATAGTCCGCACAATATCGTTTCCACGACCAATGGTGAATGTCATGCCATGACCAACCAGATCTGAGTCTGTGAGAAGGGTAACATACGCAGACGAGTAGTCGCAGTCAGTGTTCCTATATTTCTGCAATTAACGACACAAAAAAGGTCTATCAATAAGGCCGGACTTACATGGCATCGGTACCATCTCCGGACAACGACGTAGGAAATCGCACATCTAAACAACATTAATAATAATGCAATAGATAAGCATCCAGATTTACCGTGGGTTTCAAAGCCAATGATTTTAGCCATGGCGGTCAGAGGGAAAGAATGCCTTCATGGTTGGGGTCAAAACGTATTTAAGGGTGATTCCCGTGGTACTTTACCCGGCCGGTCCGGGAGGCACGCGGGCCGGACATTCCGTGCCACCCGCGCCGGAAATACTCAGATCTTGCAAATCTGTGGATCAGCACTCGCTCGATAGTCAACAGCTTTGGCATATAAAATCCAATAGTAACATCAATATGTACGGTACACCTACCCACTTGCAAACCTGGGACAGGCCAGCTGCATCACCATTGAAAATGTCTTGGTCCCCAGGATTTGTTCCAGAATCAGCATACTGCCAAAAAGTCGTATAACTGCCAAAAAAAAAAATAGTTGTTGGCTGCCAGGGCATTACAAAAGCAATTCAGCTTACCTCCAGCCACTTGGAAGGGTTCCGATGCTGCTTGAGTATCGAGCAATCCACAGAGGATTAGTATCTCCGAAGACCGTACTATCGCCGGTACAAGTAGTCCACCAATTGGTAGTCGTATAAATAACTGAAATTCGAGGCATCATTAGTTGAAAAGCCAAATAAATATCAAAGTGCGTGACCTGGATATCTACGCGACGAAGATATTTTGAGCTTCTTCTGAACATAGTGCTTTGTGAAGCGCTTACCATCCGGTAGATGCTTGATATGTGTTCGAAAAGTCGGTGATCCAAGCAACTATAGCTGAGGCCGTCATATCGTAGCAAGTATTGCCGTTTGGATTGTCTGAAGATAAAAGGTCAGCGTTGAAGTAGAGGATTCTGACTAAAACACATGCATTCGATGTCTAGTGCCCCGGGGAGAGTTATCCCGTCATTTGACCAACCACCTGAGAATAATTTAATGATAGCCACAGAAGACGATATGCAGGAACAACCTCCATTGGCGATAAAGAACTTTGCTTGCGCAGCCCCCGTGCTGCTATCAGGATGGGCGAAATGGTATGCTCCGCGAATCAATCCGGCATTAGTTGCCCCGATGTACTGACTGTCGAACTCATTGCTAGTATATGCTTGACGGGCTGTTATAATATTTTTTTGTCAAATGAGTATAGAAAACACGCACTCATTCCTTCAGTAGCCTTGATATAAGCGAAAGAGACGCCTGTTCGCAACAACTTGATCCCAGTCGATACTGGTTTGATATCCTGAGACGTCGATTCCTTGGGGTGATGCTCGTTTGGTTAGAGATGTACAGCCCGATAGATGAATAGAATAGAGCAAAAAGATGAGACCTGCAGAGATGATCATATTCTAGGGACAAAGTGCAGAAAGACTGTAAACGAATATTTATGCAACGAAAGGGGTGGACTTGGGCTGAATTATCAGGCAGCTCCCCGGAGTCAAATTCATAAAGGATGATAGTCACTCGTGTAGCAATATGAACACATGTGGTGACCACGAGAGACACCACGAGCGTTTCCAGTTGAATATCACTATCAATCAAGCTTGACAGGTTTTGCCCGATATGCAGTCCCTGTTGATTCCCCCGCCATGAGTCTACAACTTGGGAGAAAATGAGTGCGGTTGGCCATGTATGACTCTTACGCCCAGGGATTACCCATAAAAGGATATGTTCATGTATCCATGAAATTTCCGCATGGTGCGGTGCCAGGCATATGGAAATAATACATGCAACGCAAGCCAAATGGCCCGTCGTTCCAACCACCATGAGGACCTGTCACTACAGAAACTGTATCAGCGCAATATCTCAACGGGTTGAATCAGACACTGACGGCACTTCCGAAAGCTTCCACATGCAATACAACACTCGGCCCTCCCCTCAGAATATCCATCAATCTGGGTTTCCTTAGAATGTTTCGTACGTCTTCGGCCAAAGCCACGGTCCCACAAACTAGAGCAGAATCAGCACTAGCCCGAGACGGGACGAGCACAAACCATTGATACTAATCGTTCCTCCGCTGCATACGCTCAGCTCCCGGTCGATGATGGCAGTAAGGTCCGGGCGTTGGTGTTTCCTGATAGTAACAAAGCGACTAACGAGAGGATCGCTGACACTGGCTCGTAAACTTGTCGGAAGCTCTCCCCGCTTTCTCTTCGGGGTCTGTCTTCACCGAGTTGTCATCCCACTCCCTATCTATATCTTGCGCTAACTCCGTGATGTATACATGTATGTCGACCTGAACATTCGAGACAGCCGTCTAAAGCGTCGGTCAGCATTCCAGAAATATAGGATATATGACCTTTGCCAGTGTCAGTGAAAACTATCTGTCACTTGAAAGGAAGCTGCATACTGTCATCGCGAATAGCCCACACAAACAATACTCTTGTGCAAGGCGCTTCACCTGATTTGCACTGCCTAGAGGTCAAATTGATTGCTGCAGTCGGTATAATTCTAGGATAAAGGCACACCTGAGGACATCAAGGAGTAAAGGGAGTGTGAACGCGACGCCGGAACCACCTAACAACTATAAGAATGATATGAAACATTACGAAAGAATGAGCTACTTTACCTGCAATCAGGACAATACTTTCGTGACCCCGTAGCATCGGTGGCGAGCTATACGGTCCATCAAGGAACGCGATCGCCTTGTAGCCCTCCTCAGCCTTGTTTAGTAGCTTTTTCGTCAACCCATCCCGAACGCGAATCAGAAAGACCAGTCGCTCTTCGCTGTCAGTGATCTCCACTCCCGAGATTGTGAAAGGGTGTGCTTGGACCAAGGAGATGCTAGGAATGGTAAGGTAGACACTTTGTCCGGGAACCCAACGGAGAAGCTTGGGCTTGACCACTTTGACGCGCAGGAAGTGGGAGGACAGAACGTCAACCGTGGCGTTACCCCTTAAAATTTCCTTGGAAGTGAACAGAAGGAGACGTAGGGCACGAAGGAAACGGTCTAGGCCCCAGAGGAGGATAGAGGGCCATACATAAGATCCAAGTCTACCGTAATGTCACCTCAATGTGAAAGCCCAGGTGCGGAAAGGACTTACCCTAAAGCCATTAGAGTGAAAATAGGCGCTGAGAATGAAGATGCTGAAGTCCTTCAGTGTCACGAAGTCCGAGAAGGAGAGTGAATCGCTTACGCAGCAAGAATAAGATGGATAACCTTAAAGACCTCATAGCCTGCATCTCTGATGGGACGAATGGAGACAAGGCTAAGTAACGTCAACGACACGCCAGCGAGAAGACCACATTGGACCCAAGGATGATCCCACGTCACAGCACCTGCGAGACTAGGAAAAATTTAACGTTGAATTAGACCCCAGGGCGTCCTGAACGTATACATACCCTAAGTCTATCTGTTTAGCCTATCCATCAGTGCGAATCTATAACATTAGCAAGAACCAACGCACCCTCCCTCCTGCAGTGTACCCAGATGAGCACGCATAACACTCTTGCAACCATTCGGTGCAAAAAATTCAACTGGAAAAACAAAATACAGGTGATATTATCACTTTGGCCACGCAGACATACCTTATCAAAACTGACGCCTGTTAAGACTAGGAACATATAAGCTTTGAAGCGACATCTCAGACAAAACTGAGTGCTTACAGGAGAAAATGTTGTTCTTCATGCCAAGCGCAACGAGTAAAGAAAGCTGGGACGCAGCGATATTCCCTGCAGTGTTCGCCCAGTACTTCGGATCAAATCGAAGCCCCGTTGTGGCGGTAGCTGCAAGAACAACCTCAGTCTCCTCAGAATGGGACGGAAAGACTCAACGTACAGTTGATCAAGGACCAGGTAAAAACAACAGCGATGTACGCTGCAGTCAGAAATACCTCTACGATATTGAGACAATGCGATTGCCCTACGGGAATCGTACAGCGGAATGCCACAATTCTGAACAGTTCCATAAGTGCGCGAGGGGAGTCGCAAGAGTGAAACACGTCCACGAGCAGCTACGCCCTCCGATGCGGGTTTTAATGTGCGCACATGTGTGTATACGAGAGAGAGACAATGACAAATCGAAACAAGCGCGATGAAACTAGCGATGAAGTACCATACTTGCTTGGGATACTCCGTCGCCCGACCTATGCGAATTACACGATCAGGATCTGGCTTTTGCGCAGCGACAATGGCATCGAGGAGCTGGTTGGCAGAGTTACTGGTGGCGAAAGACATTCTCCTGAATTTCATGTCAACACCTTACATGGTGGACTTCAAATATAAATGTACTGGGAAAAGCAACTACAGCTTTGAGACATTTAGGCGATTACTTGTGTCAACTAGGCTCTAGGTGAATAAAACACATCCTGACAACAGGCACTAAACAATTGAATTGATTCCTTATCAGATAGAAGACATACCGTTATCTTGCACCATAAATAAATCGCCTGTGGGGGGTGACTAACGTGTCCCAAGGCCACACGCGAAAATAAGCCGCGGTGGAGAATTGAAGAAGTCCAAGTTACAGGCCTTTGATTGATTCTAGCTGTTATCAGATAAGATTTAATGGCAAAAAAGTCAGAAGACGGCTCTTGAGGCAGGCATTTAATCGATAGAAGCAAAGACTGAGAAAACTTTTAAGATGAAGGGGAAAGTTGATGATGCTCCATGGAAAGATGTCGTCCAATTGTTGAACGTGTTTACAATATACAGCTGACTTAACACATTCTGTTAATAGAAGATGTTAGCGTGTTCCATTGACAAGGAGAAGAGGAAGACCAGACTCGCTACAAAGGTTTTTCCATGATCTTGTTCAGTTTCGAACTGACGAACTTCCATGCCAAGAACACCCTCCATGACCTTCGTTTGCCAAGGGGTGTCAATGGCTGCTGCCCATTCCGGAGTCTTCATGAAATCTCCATTGTCAAAATCATGCACGGCAAGATACTTGAAAACGGGCTTTCCGACGGCTTCCCCGCGGCTCGTTGACGTCACCAGTGAATAACGTCTACCTCTTAACCAACCAGGAATCTTTTCCAACAGCCCCATGTGCTCCTCGATGAACCATTTGTTGAAATCCTCTTCGAATTCTGGCTTCACTTCAAGCTCAGCTGTCAAGACGTACTTCCCCGGCAAAGATGAAGGTACAGAAGCCGGATGGGTGAAAACACCAATGGTTTGATAGATCCGACGGCTGAGGAACTGAATCTTCGGCATGATATCCTTCTCGTTGTCTGAAGCCTTGTGCTTGAGTGCCTGGAACTCGGGGCAGTCTGCGACGTCAGGACTGGAGATATCATATGCGGTGAGGTAGGTGGGCTTTTGGGAATCCGTCGCCTGGTAGCGAGTTGCGGTGACGTACCCAGGTACAGTCAAACGAGCAGGTGCATGCTCATTGTTGTACCAATCTTCACACGGAATATTGATCAGTTCTACCCTGTAGTCGTCCACACAAGTGAAGAGGGCTCACCATTGAAACGATCATCTGCGATGGCCGGGCCGTTCTCAGCAAGAACGAGGACAAGACCTTGAGCTGTCGACATGGTGGTATTAATCAGCGATTCTGCAGTCCGGTGTACACTCGGTGTTCGGATACCAACATCATACGCAGTATGCCGACGGATAAACGTGAATCCTGTTTGGACGGCAAAACTTGGGCAAAATACAAGCCCCATCCTAGCAGCAAGAATCATTGATTAGTGATGCTACCGGTTCAAGTTGCCGATACCAGTCATGGGGTTCCTGAGAATTTCGGCGTAGCAAACAATAGCGGCCAGCGTTTTTAAATTACCCAGAGCATACAGTGTGATGGGTGCAGCAAAGTAAGTGCCCCAGCTGAGTGATAGAAGACGGATTTTACCGTTTAAAACAGACTCTGTAATGCTAGGATGCGTTAGCTAGCATATAGGCACAACAGTCCAAAAGAAAGCAATATTGGCGGAGCGTGAGAAATTTTTGAGCATCGCTCTCTTCCTTTCACCTTGTGGTCCCCACATACGTTCTACAGGCCACTTCAACATAAAACCGTCAATATCGGCCCAATACGACGTCCAATTAATTGTACAGCACCATGAGTCAACAACAACAACAGCAGTTCGGAGGCGCATCTTCCGGCCAGCCCACATACACCCTACCACCCCTTCTCAACAAAGATATGGAGTACCTGTGTGCTGGTACGAACCTATTGTTCTCTTTTTCCTCCTTATTATAACTATCATGCTGGGAAGATTGCGGTGCAAAAAACGAGATCAAGTCTCGCGAGCCTATTCGTTGCAGAGAATGCGGGCATCGAATCATGTACAAGAAAAGAACAAAACGGAGTACGTCGAGTCAGCGTTTCATTCATTCTCCTTTGGATTAACGCTGTGTGTTGCAGTGGTTCAATTCGAGGCCCGCTGACCCCAGCTCCAGTCTTCGGGTGACGATATCTGTTGTAATTTTATGAGGTCGTGATTGTATGGTGGTGCAGGGGTATTATAGGTGTGTGGATCCTCTGACGCACCGTTTGTAACAACTTAACATATGTTTCAGTCTTTATCTGTACTCGTTCTTTCCAATGTCAGTTCCCTGCTCATTACCATCCTCCAAATCCGAGACGGGCACATCAGCGTTAGTCCTCCCGCAAGTGGCCTTTCTTGGGTATTTGAAACCGTATCGGAAGCTACGTTTTTGCATTTTGTCCTTCTCTATTGACGGGCTGTGATCCCGACTCGGACAAATCGCTGGTATAAGTATCGTAAAAAAGCATCTTCAAATGTTCCGTCAAACAAAACGAAGCTTTGGACACACGGCGCGAAGAAACGACTCTGCTATATTATGACGGACTCCTACTTTGGCTGAACTTGTGCAAAAATAAGGCATTCGTGGTCAACACGTGTGGGTATGGGTCCACGAAGTCGTGCGTGCATGGCTTCTCGGTCGCCAGTCTTGACGATGCATATCGTTTTGTGTAGGTCCAGGTTGGGTACTGCTAGTCATGGAGCAATGGGCTCTGTACATGCGATCTCCAGAAAGCACGAATAACGTCTGTGTATCTGGTGCCGATGAAACCGGTTATCTTTTCTCCACTGTCAGGCAGACAGAGGGTCCTGCCTGTCCCTCTATTTGCCTCATTTCGATCATGGTTTCAGCTGTCAGAACGTAGGGCTTGTATGACCCTGTCCGCGGTAAACCGCTGCTCAGTGATTCAATTTCACGCCTGGAGTCAATCTCTTTGCTGCTGTGCACAAGGCTGGAAATCGCTCGGAAGGATCAAAATTACCTTCCTTGGGTGCGTGTGACAGACTGGCGTTCAGCTCATGATTTGCATTGCAGGACCTGTACCCACTTTTCAATGGCGCCGGCCGCAGACCATGGTGCAATGATGCCCCAACTAATGAAACGAAGCTAATCACTGTTACTGCAGCCAATGAAGCGACCTTGCCGCTATAGGGCCTAGGTTAGATGTCAAGGCTACCGTTCAGGATAAAAGACGACTAGTCGAATGACTTTCATTCTTCGATCTTCCACCGTCGACGACTAAGCGCTATGAAGTTCCTTAGTCTCCTCATGTCGGCGATTGATATCAAGGCGAGTCTGAGCTAGCCGAATCTCTTCTCAGGGACTGACTGGTCCTTAGCGCGATGAAGACGAGCGCCGCCATCTCCAGGTATGGCAGTTTGGTCACTGAGAGTTGTACGCTGACCGATTGAGAGGCCCGACACACTGCGATTGTGAGCCTTGATCAACTTGGCTCGAGTATGCGGTGGTTGAGGTTGAGAGTGGGCCAGTAGTTGTCAGGTCTGGGATGCGATTTCGAGTTCGAGGAGGTAAGTATGAGGTTTGAAGTTGCAGTGTGGCTATTTATTAAAGATTTTTCTTGCTATAGGACGCGAGGAGACGTTGGGATATTTACTTGGGCCTTTTCGTGTTCTTGGGGTGCTCGGAGGGTGGTGATAAAATCTTGCAGGCCCCGGAGCACTCTGCCAACGAACGTGTGAGCCGATGGGTGTTGACTTGGTTAGGAAGGGACATTATGTATTAAAGCCTATTGGGGAGAGTTTGGGGAGAGATATTACTTGTATACGAATATATTATCTGAACTAGCTCATCGTGGGCGTTGAATCCCTGAAATTCTGTGCTGCTGTGGCGGTGCAAGCCGGATCAAGTTGTACTTGTTTGTAGGTGTCTTAGTTTGGGACACAAACCAAACACCGGCGCTGCTGCTTTGGAAAACGCGACCCACATCGATAAAAACTCGAATTCGCCATGAAGCTCGTCAGGTAAGTGTATCTCTAAGCCGCTATCCAATCTTCTGCTAACACTCTCCCATTTTCCTCTCCAGATTTTTAATGAAATTGAACAATGAGACGGTAACGATTGAGCTCAAAAATGGTTCAGTCGTGCACGGCACAATCACAGGTGCGTTGCTTGCTCAATGTCCACACTGTATGCTTATCTTCTATCCTAGGTGTTGATATGCAAATGAACACGCACTTAAAAACTGTAAAGATGACTGCGCGAAACAGGGAACCAACGACGCTTGACTCGTTGTCAATCCGGGGGAACAACGTGCGGTATTTCGTGCTGCCTGATGCGCTGCCGCTGGATACGCTGCTGGTAGATGATGCGCCGAAGCCGAAAGGCAGGAAGAAAGAGGATGTTCGAGGTCGTGGACGTGGACGGGGTGGTCCTGGAGATCGTGGAAGGGGTCCTGGTCGTGGACGTGGACGAGGCAGAGGAAGGGGTTTCTAGGATGCATAGAAGCTTGACCGTATTTGTGTTCGTCCTTTTCCTATACTTCTCTGTGTTTTCTGAATTCAGCCGTTGTACCATGACCACCAAGTAAGCGCCCAAAAAAATCCTCCTCCCTTGTGACCCTTCGTTTCGCTTGGCCTTTGGCACCAGCATGTCATGATGATGAGGAGTAAGGTCCGTTTTTGCGAGTGCCGGGTCGTCCCTGGAGAAGAAGATGCAGGTATCTGCATTCCATGGATGGAGCTCTTCCGGATGTTCTCTTCAGCTCCTTGCGGGGAACGCGGGTATCCAGAACGACGAATTATATGGGTCCTTGCCTTCTCAATATTTGCGTGTATTCGCGTTGAGGTACTGGTAGGCAGGAATACCGTCTTGCTGAAACGATCGATATCGTTCCTGCAACCTGCAACATAGCACTGGTAACCATTGTGAAAATGTTCTGCGGCTACCTACTTGAGAAATCGATAAGTGACGAGAGCAGGAAAGACCCGGTCTCCTAGAGAAATTGGTCCTGGACCTACATATTTTGAGGTCTTGCCGTTTCTGGAGGTCATAATCGCGATCCGAGTATACTCCTTGCCGGAGGGCAACAATCCGAAACACCAGGACACCAGGGCAATAGTCTGAGTTAGGTAGGATGTATTGATGATCAAAAATTGTACTAAGTACCGGGGATAGGAAATGTATAGATGGAATGGCCACGTAAAATCGTCAGGGCAAGTTGCTGCTGCGAGAAATGGATGAGATTACACCTATAGCTATAGCAACATTTTAGACGCCCATCTGGGCATAGGTACACATTCTCTGACGTTGTCAATCCCTCCCAACCAGGCTACCAGCCGTTCAAATCCCATACCGAAACCTACGTGGGGCGAGCCACCATATCGTCGAAGGTCGGCGTACCATCCATATTCATGCTTTCCCAATCCCAGACCATTTTTCCTCATTTTGGACTCCAGTACGTCCATCCTTTCTTCCCTGACCGAGCCTCCCACGAGTTCTCCAACGTAAGGTACTATCAGGTCGAAGCAGCCCTACTGTCTCGCCATCCTCATTCGCTCGCATGTAGAAGGGCTTTAGGTCCCTTGGATAATCTGTGATGAACACAGGTCCCCCAATGAAGATTTCAGAAAGCCATTTCTCATGCTCGCTCTGAAGCGTGCACCCCCATTGGGGTTCGAATTCGAATGTGACATTTTTGGCGTCCTGGAGAGCCTTTACGGCATCTCCGTATGTCATTCTAGCCCATGTTCCGGAGAGTGAATTCTCCAAGGTCTTTCTCCGTACTTCATCTACGTCCTTCCAGAGGACCTCGACATCTTGACCGCCGATTACATCAGATGCGTAGGATTTTAAACTATCCTCCACGAGCCCACAGATTCCTTGAACGCCCTCTCGGTTGACGTCCATCCACTCGGCTTCCAGCATCCAGAACTCCGCCAAATGTCGGTTAGTCTGCGATCGTTCGGCGCGAAAACAAGGGGAGAGTGTGTATACACGAGACAGTCCCGAAGCTAGCGCTTCAAGATGAAGCTGTGAGGACACTGTAAGATGAGCAGGATGACCAAAGAATTCCGAGGTCTGGTTTGGCCTGTCAAGTTGTGGATCTGCGAACTGAGCTAGACGAAAAGTTTCTCCGGCTCCCTCGGCATCATTGCCAGTAAGTATGGGTGTGTGGGTGAAGTAGAATCCTTGGGTCTGAGTTACATTGAGCCAGAATCAGGCAGGAGAGGACGAGACCTTACATTGAAGTAGTTCATTACAGAGTGCATGAGACGGCTACGTAACCTTAGCATAGCGCTGACATTATCTGTCCGTGCACGCAGATGCATGTTTTCGCGTAGATATTCTGTAGAAAGGGTCTGCTTTTGTATGGGATAAGTCTGTAGAAACCATTTTTGAGAAACACGGCCAGCCCACAGATTTAGAAGAAGTACCTCAGGATCACATCCGCCAAGGATCTCTACAGCGTCGACCAAGAGTTCCCTATCCTGTTTCTGCCCAGGACTGTCCTTAATTTTGCCAGTGAGGCGCACACTCGTCCCGTTCGTTAGTCTACAGTCTGACATTCAGATCAAGATATGAATGCATAATAAAGGAGGGGTTAACATACCCGTCTGTTAAGGAGGTATCAAGAAATACCGCCTGTATGCCTTGAGCATGACTCCCATCACTGAGGACGGCGAAAGACACTCGTTTCTGGCGCCGTATGGATTTGATGAACCCATTTACTGCCAATGTCGCGTCGGGGTTTATGGCTTCGCGTTGAAGACGCGCAATTGTAGGAGGAAGATGATACAGGACTTCGCGAAAAATTGACAGTGAAGGCTTCATTGAGAAAAAGGCAAGTCAGTCTCAGGCCCGTACATTCGGGCCGCTAAAAATAGTGTGACATTAGCGTGACATTACAATCACGTGATCTTGACGCGTTGAACTTCAACCGTGACGCTGTCAATGTCAGGGTTGCTTCTCGTCACACTGCCGCCATGGCCAACGGCCAGAAGATTAGGATTGCCGCCCGACTTCGACCTCGACTGAGCGGGGAGGTCGACGACGATGCTATCAAAATATGCCACTCTTTGGACGATACTGGCGCCTCAAGCAGCTCGGCCGCTTGTCAAAGTTTCATCACTGTACCCAATCCAGCGAATGCTGCCCAGATTTTCAAGTTTCCGTCAGTCTACACCTTTTCTAGTATCAAAATTTGCTCATCTAGGTTTCTATGGTGTAGTTTCTCAAGCTGCTACGACCAGACATCCACTCAGGAGGAGATATTTCGGAATGACGTCGAACCATTAGTCGACGTAGTGTACAACGGCGTCGTGCGTGACTGCATTCTCTTGTCGCTCTATATCGCTCTGAGTCCCTTGTGATCTTATAGACAGTGACTATATTTGCATATGGGGTTACTTCCTCCGGCAAGACCCATACCATGCAAGGGACGAAATCTGAACCGGGTGTCATCCCTCGTGTTGTCAGAGTATGTTGCATGATGTCTCGTTATTACCGATCTCTGTTCATATACATCCCCGTTTAGTCTCTCTTCGAAAAGAAAGCCGCCCTAAACCACCCCGATACCCAGCTCTCCGTCTCTTATATGGAAATCTACAAAGATGAGGTATACGATCTCCTGGTCACCCGAGAGAATGTTCGTATAAAGTTCTACTACAACCACTCTGCTCCTTCTGACCCCTGCTCGTTCTCAGGCTCCCAAGTTGCCTGTCCGCGAGAACGGCGCTGGGCAGGTCTTTGTTGCGAATCTGTCATCTATCCCCCTTCAGTCCGTTCAAGACTTTGATAGCATCTACGCGTAAGATTTACCTCACTAGTTTCTCCATTCTGATCGAAGATATATGATCATAGTCGAACGACAAAACAGCGCTCCGTAGGAGCAACGAAATTAAACCATGCGTCTTCCCGGTCACACGCCGTCCTCACGATTGAGGTTACCATGACAGATCATCAGCAGCATAGAAGTTGGTGCTTCTCTCAAACGCGTCTTGTTCTGTTTATTAACCCGTATCCTTTAGCTGTAACCGGGAAAATGAATCTTGTAGATTTGGCAGGCTCCGAGAACAATAAGGTCAGCCTTGTTCTTTTCGTTGTTTCTGCCGCCGGTCGGTTTACTCACAGGTGCTTTTCTCAGCTTACGGGCAATGACGCGTCTCGGATGCAAGAATCTGCTGCCATCAACAAATCACTAAGTGTCCTTGGCCAAGTAGTTCGCAATCTCAATACTGGGGAAACGCGCATACCGTTTAGAAATTCAAAACTTACTCGAATCTTGCAAGATGCTCTTGGTGGTTCATCTGTTGGACTACTCATTTGTAACGTCGCGCCCGGCATAAAATTCAGGAAAGATACCCTCAATACCCTAAAGTAAGCCCCTGCCCTTGTAACTTGCCATCTGAGGTCTCATGTACTGCGTATTAGCTTTGCTGTAAGCGCTAAGAACGTCGAGAATAAACCTGTCGTCAACGAACGCGGTAAGCATGCCCCACATTTCTGCCTAGCGTGCTACAATAAAGCACCCGTCTTCGTTACGATAGATTCGCGCCCTGCGCCGAAACCACATTTTGCGGCACTAACAACACAACATACGGTTCCGAAACTTGCTCAAATCGCTGTACCTGCCCCTGCCCCACCAGCCCGAGCTTCTGGGTCGCAAGTGCCTCGTTCTCGGACCTCATTGCTGCCTAAGCCACGTGCTTCAACATTCGGAAGTGCTAGTTTCCAGCCCTTCACGGTGTCCTCGGGGTCACAAGACAGAATATCAGCCGAAGGAGATCGCTCTGCCAGTATGGGGCTTGGCCTCACTGACAAGGAAATTGATGAAAAGGTGATTCGGAGTTGTTCGTCAGTGTCACGTTTATTAATTATATTACAGATATCCAAAGCGGTGGAGGCGGAAGTTGCTCGGATACTAGAGGAGCGAGAGAAGGGGAGACTAGAGAAGGAAAAGGAAAAGGAAACAAGGATGTCACCTGGATCTGGCCGACATAAGTCTAGGTCACCTAAGAAAGAGTCGGCTCCTCTTCCATCAGGCGTGCTGACGCCCCTTCTGAAGCGGCATAGAGACCTCGATGATGAGTTGAAAGCCCGGCTCCAGGAACTTGAGAGGAAGTTGTGCGTTCTCAACATACAGTTCTCTACCGATGACTTAACCTCTCTTAGTGAACGTGGTAACAAAGAAACCGCACTGGCCGATGCGCTGTCCCCTGTGTCTAGGAAGAAAACAGGCCGGGCGTATGTTGCCCTCGCAAGGGCTCATTCTGATAAGTATGTCTGATCTTTCGTCGCCCCTGGTAATCCAATGATATTTAACATGTTGCCATGCAGGGGTGATCTTCAAGTAGCGCTAGATCTTTACCGAAAAGCCGAAAGCTATGTTCCGGATAACATCAAGCTAAAAGAGAGGTGGATACTTTTCGTTGTCCATGTTTTTCTTTTCGCGTTGTCTCCTGGGAAAACCAAAGGCTGACTATGTCTTCTCCCCTCGGTGCGTGTCGTCTCCTTTGGGACTTCTAGGATCATCCAAATTGAATGGGCTGTGGATCATGCTCAGCCATATGTACCATCGCCAAAGAAGACCAAGAAGAAAAAAGAGAAGGTGAAAATGAAGGAGGAATGCCCTATGTCCGACGAACAGATGGATGTGGATGCAGTAGCTGAGGCGCTTGGAGCAGAGTTTGGAACGGAGCTGACGAACATGGAGATTCGCCAGGACCAAAGTCCCGGAGAGCGATCTTCCAAGCGAATCCGGGAACAAGCGATCGATGACGGCACTCCTGCGAAGAGGCCGAGAAAGGCGAAGAAGGCTGCTGTTATATATAGCAGTGATGAGGAGTATATCCCAGTTGCGCCTGTGAAGAGAAGTAGGCGGAAGGCTGCGGCGGCGTGATGGGGCAGCACTCGTGAGAGCGGCCAAGATATCGAAGTTATTGTGCAAGTCGAACGGTGCGGTGATTTCTTTCGACGGGTGTTTCTATCATTGTTACGGGTTTCCACCAATCACACATTTTCTTTTTGATTTACAGTATAATAATCTCTGCAATGTTGGAATATCATCTGGACTTTTGCCGTCGAGTGTGTCGAGTTAAAGCAAAAATTCTCACGTGTCTTGGGAACTTCTGTACTCGAATGGTCTTCGGAACAAAGAGGACGCGCTGACGACCAATCATACCATCCATAAAATTGCAGCTTCACCTCAACTTCACAGTATGGTGCGAAGGTGCATAGCTTTGGTACTCGTGGGGATGAAGAGGCTATGAGGTTTCACACGAATGTAAACGTTCCACACACGCTGCTTTTTCCGCACCTTCCTGCAACGTTTTCCAGTACATTCAGGTCGTCATGTCGCAGGTTCCAAATTTTCCATTAACGTCCATCGAGCGGCAGCTGAAAACGCATGCCATTTTATGCACGACTGGATTTTTGATTCTACTTCCTGTTGGTGTTTTGGTGCCCCGCTACACCAGAACCTATACGAAGAAGTGAGTAGCATCTTTCGTACACAAGACGAAGTCATATATGTGGATAGGTGGTTCCCTGTTCACTTGGCCATTCAATTATGCATCTCTGCTCCTGTCATTTTTGCGGGGTGGGCTCTTGGCCACAAGTCCGCTGGTCAACTTGGACTCCCACATTTCACGGATACACACCAGAAGGTTGCGCTAGCTTTGTTGATACTCTATATCGTACAGCTTGTATTGGGGTTGGGTATCCACTGGGTGAAACCTCGTTGGCTTTCCGGAAGACCACCTCAGAACTATGTACACGCCGTTCTTGGACTCATCATTCTGGTGTTGGCCGCGTATCAAGTATGTCTTCAACAATTAGGTTTTTCGCGTCCGCTTTTACTGACCACCGTAGGTCCATTACGGGCTGTATACTGAATGGGCCTTTGCTACTGGCGGATTGCATGTGGTTCCAGATTCTGCCAAGCAAGCATGGCTTGCGCTAGTTGTGGTTCGTTCATTCCGAAAGAAAGTGCGGAATTTTGATTGATACTTCGGCAGATATTCTGGGTCCTTTATGGGATGGGCCTGATACTTCTACCTCGGCAGTTCAAGCAGGAGAAGAGAATAGTCCGCCCTGACGATGGTATTCCTTTGGGTAGCGGATCTACTTTGGAAAACCGAGCGTGATATGCAACTGTTAAAGTGACACAAGGATGGTTATATTTTTATGCGACGGAAGATACAGAACTTTTGTAACTGTTACTCCTGACAATTTTCGTGGTAGTTACTGATACATATGGAAGTGGGAAACAGAAGAGATAGTTGGCTACAAAGGCCTTTCGCAGTGGGTATACGACCATGAAATAGAAAAACACAGAAGGTAGCATCGGGCGGACCAATACGCTCCGCTCTAAGAGATACTGCGGCTGATAAACCGAGGCGGTAATACAGTGAGTGTGTCAAGGCAGGGAGAGCAGACCGTAAGATCAGAAGAGAATCATGATGTATGAAGGAGAAAAGCATTCCAGGTTGGTAATGATGTTAAGCGTAGCGAGAATGAGAGCCGCTGCCTTCATGCTGATAATAAGCGGAAGGATCATCACCTTCCTGTTTTACCATCCATGGTAGAGTGCCAGTCCTTGGGTCCGCATCCACTGCGGAAAAAGGGTCATTGTGTCGATAAGGGGATGGATAGCTGGTGTTGTCGTCAGGAACGGGCGGTAATGAAAGATTATGCATCGCATAACGGTATTGACCAGCGGCAGGCCGCTGAGCGGAGTCAGGGCTCTGTTGCATCTGCGAATACTGCTGGGACCGGTTATGAAAACTGGTGATTGACGTGTTGGGATTGTCGACCGGCGACACGGGACTTAGGGATGGCGACTGACGGTGTTGATAACGCATCACCGTCGATGGATATGTCGAAGACGACATGTGCTCGTGAGGGCGGAAAGGACCGGAAGGTACCACGTCCCTTTGTTCTGATTGATGATACAAACGATGCTGCGACCGTGCTTGGATAACAGAAGGAGAAATCGGGATGCTGGGTGAGGTAGATGAAGGCGATACATTGCCCTGGGAATTTTTCATTGCAGACAGCACAAATTCAGGGAAGGATTCTCCATCAAGGAACAACGCTCCAACGAGTAACGCAGTCGAGTTGGATGCGGGAAATATCAGAATTCCCGAGGAAGGCGGAGCCTGGGGAAGGGCTTCCGGCGTACTAGCAGACGAAAGGGAAGCCAGAGCGACCTAAAACAGACCCAGAAGTTCAGTTTCTGATGGCCTAAAGATAATTTGGTATAATTTTTCTCACCATCTCGTTATCATACAGTATACGGGAAAGGTTTCTGAAGTTGGAGAGATTAACAGCATTCGTATTCGGGTCACGCAAACGATCAGGAAGGATGGTGCATAGAGGAGTGGGACTGCTTCTGTTCTGGCGGATATAAGATTGCACTTGCGACATTATTGACAGTGCGTATGGAGATGCCAGGGAAAACACCATGTGTGTTGGCCATGTATGAACGCGACTGGCGGCAGGATAGTTATCAATTATTGTGAAGCCCCGAAAACTAAGTAAATAACATACTTATCGCCATCAGTCTCAACAGCGGTGACCCTGATTTCTTGATTGCTGCTTTTATCAGAGGCCCGCATACCGCTGACAATCAATGTTCCTCGCCACGGATGCGTGAGGGCAGAGGTAGGTGCTGAAGCTTGAACAGCAGGAGGGGGGACGAAGGATTCAAGGTTAGAGGGCAGGCGGTACGTCATGATGGCAAAGAAAACAAATGATGATGGATGCGTAAGACAGAGGCAAAGAAAGGCAAAAGTGGGTTCAACGAGTGAGAGGGACGATGGTCGGAGGAACGAATGGTGAGGTTAGCTGCCTGCGCGTCTGAAAACTATCCGACCGAACACAAATGAAAGCGATGGTAGCCTTTGCAATGTAAGCAGGCTTTATAACAATGTTATCACTACTCGAAAAGGTTCAATCACCGTTCTGGAAATACGTTGAGGATGCGCTGATGTCAGTCGAGATGCCCGGATTAGCAAGTCCTCCCCCAACAGCAATGAATAATTGCCAGGTCAATTGTCATCTACGACGGACCGAGTATCCAAGGCCAATTTCGGTATTCTATCCAGGGCACATCTAGGGACCAGATGCAGTCCGGCATGGGACAGTCACTTTCTCGAAAGACAAAAAGTTAAAGGTTTGATTCAAGCAAAAACCATGGATACATAGATCTACGGCTGGAGATTATTAAAATTAAAAAGCGAACCAAGATGTGACCGACCTTGATCGCTACATCGTCAGTATGTACGGGGCATACCGCCAGGAGAAACCCGGTAGGCAGGTTCTTCAAAAAACATCCCGCTGATGTCCTGTGGCCAATACGAGTGCCTGGGAGACATATGGCCTAAAACTCAAAACGCCAATTCGGAAGCCTGAAAGCCTTCAGGAGGATAGCAATAGTGTCCCTACCAAGTCTGAGTACAGCGGCCACTTCACAAGTTGCTGGTCGCCTGCAATACATTATCTGGTCAAAGGCCAAATATCCACGTATATGAATGAGCAGAAAATGCTGTTAGATTCCATTTGAGTATAAGAATCCCGTTATCAGAGAGGAGAAATGAGTGCAAGGGGGTGTTGCTAAGATGGGGAGGCCGGTCTACAAAATCCACGTGGACTGATCAGCGTAGTACACGCGAGGCACACGTGCTCGTGGACTTCACGCCAGCGCCACGTTGTTAAGGCACCTCCGAGGACCTTTACGCTGGAATTCTGATTACTGACGTAGTTTTTGGCAAGTCGTCGTGCCAACTGAGAAGTGACGGCGAAGAGAAAAGAAATCTGCATACCGATACGCCTACGACACCCGAAATCGCCGTCGTTCATGATACATCTTTCGTTGAATTTATTGTTGGCGAGCTGTGGCGAGGTGGTTATACAATTTGTGCAGATACACTGGTCCTAAATAGAGTTAATCTGAAATCATTGATTGTTGTGGGAAATTGATTTATGTGATAAAAGAGATGACGATGACGACCCGCGGAAGCCTGTCGGTTCTCCTGATTCAAGTCGGCAAAAATGTGGCTTTGATTCCTGAACAATCCAGACTGGATGTAAGGTCAGGAACCAGTAGATCAGGAACGGCTTACCTACGCTCAACTCACAAGAACTCACACGATCATCGTTTCTCATTATTATGGCATTTAGTTTCGTATGCGTTGGGGATGTAATGAATAAGTCATTTGCTCAATGGTAGATGGTGTGGGTGTTTGGATTCAAGATGCTGTCGTAGATCAAATGCCCCCCGTTTCAATCACTACGTTTCATACTATGACGGTATAACGCACGACCGTCGCCGCCGCCGCCGGCGAGGAAAGTTTCGAGGAAGAAAGGTTTATTTAACCAGGGCAACGGATAACTCTTGCTACCAAATTCCGAACCTAAGTATCATTTGTGCTCTTTTTAATTTCCGAATGTAACGGCACAGATATAAGCAGCACTAGTTCGTAGTAACATTACGACTGTGTAAAGTTGTAAATCGATCATCCATCAGTGCCAAGTGGTCGGGAGATCCGCTACTTAAAAGGTATGCATAGGCATACACATTAGGATTCACATGCTCGAACGCTGGCTTCAGAACCTCTCCGCCGCACGTTGGCAGCTGTTACCAATGAAATAGATGTGCTAAGAAACAATACTACACGATACTATTTATACAGTCACCATACTAGAAAGTTGCTATGTAGGTTAAATATCTGCATATCTTTCACACCACGAATAGAAGTTAAATCAAAAGCGTAAATGAAGCGTAATGCAAAGTCCGTCCGAAAATTAATGCTGGGAGTCCGGAAGATCCCACGAATTCATACAATGAATTATCATCACCTACACTCCCTTTTCAAGACCGGAATACAGCCTTTCGCCCAGACGAGGGCGAAGGTCCAGCCGCTGTGACCTAGAACACGGACGGTAGTTTAATTTCACCGTCAGCCCGAAATAAAACATTAACTCACCTGACCCTCAAACTCATTGAAAATTACCATCTGCGCAGTCTTGAGGCGTTCAAACATGGCTTTGAGGCTTGATATAGTCGCTTCATCGGTACGTTTAGATGATCTTAGCTCAATGACCTCCTCCTCTGCTGCTTCAGCCCTGTCCTTGACACCCACCAGCTCATCACGCAAGGAGACCACTTGAATCTGCTCCTGTTCAAAGGACGACCGTGCTGCATTGGTCGCTGTAATCTGTGTATCCAGATCCGAACGAAGGCCGGAGAGTAAAGCTTGCGTCTCACGTAACGTGCCGGCGGCTGTCTCGTAACGAGAAGGTCTCCGTGCTGAGTGTGGTTCGTAGGTCAACTACTACTTGCTCCATTTCGCGTATGCGTGAATCCTTCTCAGCTCGCAGAGACTCTAGAGTATCATGCCCGTGGACAATGGTCTTGTGAAGATCTTCTTGCATAGTTTCGATCTTTTTCGAAGAGTCATCCAGAAGCAGAATCTTTGCCTGCAAAGTGGCAGAAAGATCCTTGATCTGGACATTTTTGGCTTCCAGTTCGGTTCCACAAGCTTTGAAAGAGGTGGTCAGCTCCGCCTGCTCCTTTTTGATCCTAGAAATGGCATCGAGGCGTTGAGAAGAAACCGCCTTCTCTTCGCTGAGAGCTTTCTCCATCTCAGCTTTGTAATGGTTAGTCTCCGTCAATAGGGCCGCCTTTTCGAATTTCAACGCGCCAGCCTCAGCTTTCGCCGTGGCTGCCTCTTCTTGAGCGAGTTTCAGATCATTACGCAAACTGTCTTGAGTGCTTTTGCTTTCATCCTTCGCTTGGTCGGTTTCCTTGCGTCAGTTTCACCAGAGCTGACTCCAACTGTTTGACTTGGTCTAGTAGAGCGGCATTTGTCGAGAGAAGTTCGACCTTGGAATTTTTCAGCAACGAGTTATCCGAACGCAGATTCTGAATGGAGCAGTTGAGATCATCGATGAGCGCGGCATTTTTCTGTGTCTCATCTTGCGCCGTCATCTTGAAGGCAGATAGTTGATGAGCAATGTCATCATTTTGCTTTGTTAATGCAGCATTTTTAGTACGGAACTCTTCAAGAACAGCACGGTGTTCATTGAGAGCTTTATTGGTATTTCGGAGATCCCCCGAACGTAGATCAAGATCACGTTGGAGGGCAGTGACCTGAAAAAGGTTAGATGGATGGATGTACCAACATTAATGATATACCTTGGCGTTCAGGACCGCTGCGGTCTCCACGGCGTCCAACGATTCCTGTCGATTGGTCCGACTGTCGTCCTCGTCGTCATTTCCAGTATGAGGCATCAAGGACGACGAAAATATGTCAGGGATGTCTGAATCATCCTCCCTCATGTTTCCATACTCCATATTTGGTGGAGAGCTGGGCGGAGTGGGGTGCCTGCTGATATCCGGTATGATGGTGCCCGACTGTGTACGTGTAACACCTCCCGGGTGCGTTCTACGGAGCCGCGCTGCATGGCATGGACTCATGGGCGTAGGCGGCTCGGTGCGGTTGCCCATTGGACTTTGCGGTCCGGAAGGCTCAGCCTGGCGACGTGCGTCTTCAAGCTCTGCACGAATGTAAGCTATTTCTTGTTCGCGCTCCTTCAGCTCTTCCTGTAGACGTTCGGATTCGATTGCACGGCCCTCCGCATCACTAAGATCAGTGAGTGGCGAGGTAGCGCGAAGAAGAGCGAGTTCGTGAGCTTTCTTTACCGAAGCTAATTCCGCCTTCAGCTGCAACGACGAAGGTGAGCACATGTCCTTTACGTTGACCGCGTCACAACTTACCTGTGCCTTTGTCATCTTAGATATAGGCGTTCTTTCAGCGTCCCGAGACACACGCATACGTTTGGCTCGCGGTCCGTTTGGCGAAGAAGGAGCATTGGTGTCGAGGACGGCTAGAGATTTTCTCAAAGGGCGCTTTGTACCACGATCTTTCACGGCCAGCCTGGTGACAAGATCTTCCTGGGCGGGAGATCCAAGCGTTCCAGGAGGTGCAGTCGAAAGGATGCTTCGGCGCGCTGCAGTAATTCTAGGAGATAATAAACACTTATGAGCTTGATTTATAGTACGGAAGAACTTACGCCTTCTTTCCGCGTGGTGTGAGCGTGACGCATCCTGGCCCAGACGCAATCAGGACACCGTCATCCTCCTAATGCAAAGTCGGCGGAGTGCGATGGAAGAAAAATGGCGACGCACCAGCTTGCCAACCGCCCTCCCTACCCAATTCGACCAGTTTGGTCCTAGTCTGTCGTTCTTCTTTTCGGCTATCTTTTTGACTGCGCGAACTAGTGAATATCGGCTTCACAACAAGACGAGGATCCTTACCATGTGCTCTGAGTGACACTAAATTAATTGCTTGCTTCTTGTGCTCCCTCTGTAGCTGCGTCATGGAAGTGAGAACACCTGCAGGGCATGCTGAGCAAAAGAGACAACGATAACAAAGAGTAAAAACGAACGCTCAGCGTAAGTGTATTTTGCCACTTTTGCAGATTTGACGGGGGCCATGGTAGAAGGTGAGAGAGAAACGAGACGATTTGTGGGCGACGCTCCTTTTTATATGCCAAGGCAGTGCTGCCGGGTTGAGACAACCACGCGTCATTATGACACGCGTTTATAACGTGCTAGTCATGTGACCCTTCGGTACCGACTCCTGCCCCGACGGCGGCAATGCCCGATTTAGATGGTCACAGTCCGCATGACATCGCGTCGCGTTTAGTCACATGTGTAACACCCCTCACCTCCAACCATGAATCGGGAGCAGACATTGGACAAAGCCCAAGCCTTCCAGGATCCTTTTCGAGAAATCCAGCATTGGAATTGCTCATCACTCTCAGACATTTGCTCAGGCAGCAGGCAGATGCAGAAGACGTAGAAGTGAAGGACCCCAGTATCATCGCTTCCGACGTCGCTGCCCAGATTGTGAAGTTCTCCGCTGCCAATTCACCAATATTCTTCTCTCACTCTGCAAGCTAGGCCTTTTTTCGGAAATTGAAATTTCAGTACCTCGAGCAGAATGCCAAAGACAAATATGTCAAGTCGATTGTCAGCAACATCGACGACTGCACCTATCGTTACAGCAGAAGACAACAGAAATATGAAGATTCTTAATGATCAAAGGAAAGAGAAGCTGAAAAGAGCTAAAACGAGGCTTGCTGAAGTGCAACAAAATATCAGGGTGTTGGCGCCATCAGTCGAAACGGGTGCGTGTCGTTCTCTTTTGCCGTTCAGATGTTAATAGATCACTAGATTACAATCGCGTCAAAGAGGCGTCATCACAGACTGCGGACTTGTCGAAAAAGATTATAGATGCGCGTCTTGCTCTTACTAGGTTGCGCCAATCACATCCCCAACCTAGGATGACGGTTCAATCGGCGGACCAGAAGCTAGCCGATCAAATCGTAGAAATGCAAGAGTTGACCGACAAAATAGAAGCGGTAACACAAAGGGTCAAGGAGGTGAAGGATAAAGTCAAGGGAGGAGCGCTAGAAGTGGAAAATCTGAGAATACAAAGAGCCGAAGCTGAAAAGAGTGTCAAAGTGGACGTAGACGACGGCAAATGGTTGCCCTTATATGACTGGTCAGTGTCTCGATACCGACATTTACCACCTGTTTGATCATTTTAATAGGTTCACAGCATCCCTGACACTCCATCGCTCTATTATCAATCTCACACAAATGGATAACGTCTCCGACAATGAAATACGGCTCACTTACAAAGTCGATCTATCACAATCCAAATCTCGAGACATATCGATAGCCCTCATTTTCGTTCCCGGTACCCGGAAACTAGCAGCGGTACAAGTTGGAGGCATAAACGACTTGCACATTGACGTCACCGAAATCATCGACGCCCACGTTCAGGTTAATGACGTGCAAGGAGTCGTGGCGGCAATTATAGCCAGAATCCGCAATGAAGCATGACGCGGGGTTATGTGTTAGGATTATTTCGCTATGGTCGGGGTGTATACTTATGTATTGTATATTATGTACAACTAGATTTCTTTGATTCACCGATGCTCAAAATTTTTCCTATATATGTTCAGCGGCTTATTCTCGTGCTTGCTTGCCAAGCTCTTTGGCTTCGGTCGGCAGTTATGCTGCAATGGGCAAGGTCCAGATTTATAAAATTCAACACCTCGCCTGTGCAGAAAACAGACGGCCCGCGACCAGGAAGTTCATCTAGGGCGATGGGGAGGGTTCTACGATCGCTACTCGCTAGGAAGAAAGCTAAAACAGATTACATCAAGTAACCATTCAATGAACATTTGCATGTCCGAGTTTACGAGATAGCAATGAGATATCAGAAACTACTAGCGCTGCGCCACACTTCAAAATAATTGGGTGCAAAGTGTATCAACTTGACGGGAAGGGACATCAATTTCTCGACTAGTTGTTCAGCATCGCTCAAGGATGTTCCTCTTTCCCTCTTGCTGTCTTTGCGTACTGGGAAGTGGGGCTAAATTGGGAGAACGAATTAAAGGCTCACGGGCCGCTCGCTCATAACGTCAGGGTCTTTATCCAGGCATTTCGGCCGACAAACAAAGTTGTTCATTATCATCCGGCACGGCCACAGAACTAAGGAGGATCCTTAAGGATGCTCTATGCTTAGGTCTCCACTACATCATTATTCCATAAATGAAGTTTCGACGAAACAAACCATCAATTCAATCACAGTTATGTTTATCCCCGAGCCGTGAAGTCAAGAATCATAGGTCATTAACATTAAATGAAGGTGATAATCATAATATGTCCGAAGAATAGTATCACTTATACTATATGCGTGAAAATCTCATTCAGCTGACTATCTGGTATCAGTAGCGCGACGTCCTCATGCGCCATGACCCACCGATGACCTTCTCTAGTCCCATGAATATATACTCGCGTTCCAGGAAATCAACTCTTTGGATCGCCTGACCATTTGGTCGCCTCTCGAAGGTAAGATTAATTCTGGCTCTATGGTCAGAAGTAATCTCCACGTTGTCGATATCACGACGCCGAACGTTGGTATGCAAAGAACGATCAATCTGTCGCAGGACATCTATGATCCTGATAGCATGCCCGTGAACCCCCCGGACTGTGATTTCCCAGGGAAGGAGGGGGTGGAAAATGCGCATATTGCTCACCGAAGGGTCGACGGCGACTTGATGAGAAATATCTACATCTAGAATGTGGTTTCCCGAGAGAACTATCGAATGATAGCTCTGTCGGAGGTCGTAATACATTGAACGCTCAGCACAAGACAAAAGAGGATGAAGTGCGACGTTTCGTGGACGGAAGCAGCCTGATTAGTTTCAGCTAGGTCCTTGAAAGGGACAGCGAGTCGCTTACAGCACAACAGAGAAATGCATGAAGACAAATAGAAACAGCCCTGGCCGTAGGGTCGACCAGGTCGATAGTCTGCTCTCCAGTCTTTGGGACGGGACTGTCGGGGACGTGTGCCCGGCAGTTGCACGAAGGTGTTTGGCGGGGGCTTTGTCAAACGCCTACGTGGTCTATGAGCAGTGTACGACTGGCGTCTGTCGGTTCGGTACAAGTTCCAGTAGCTTTGGGACGCTGACGTTGATGGGCGGACGAGTGCTTGCTACGTGTGGGCTTGAATGGTCGTGGATCAGGAGAAAACGCCTGACTCATTGGTCTCGCGGAGTAAGGGGGCGGCTGATTGAGTTCGTCAATATACTGTATATCAGGCGGCACGCTAAACCTGACATGCCGATAGTCCCGATTCCTTCGTCTGCCCGGGACCCTATCCAATGATTAAGCGTGGTCTTGTTGAGAAGAACATATAACATACCGGGAAAGATAACTCTGGTTATCGTTGCTGTAAACTGCGCTCAAAAAAGGTAGCCAGTCACTGATAGTGCACTTACAGAGGTCGATGTAGGGGATAGGAAGCCATGAGGATAGCAAGTTGTAGGATGCTTTCCAGCTCGCATCTCTTATGAAGTATCTGCGCCCATTGTCCACGAAAACAAAAAGAGAACAAGGGCACCTAGGGATTATCGTAGCCATTATATCCCTATCACCTTTATGCGCTTGTCTTCTTGTTATAGCTGTTGTGCGCCTACATGAGACCCGGATCACTATAACCATTATTGGATCGTGTCCCAGCGAGCCAGGCATCGCACCACACCGAGTGATACAAGGGTAGTCGCAGATATAACACCTTTGCAGGGCCAGATAAGACAGCATCTTGAAGAGAACCAATTGCTTGCTGGTTAATGTAGCAAGCATAAGAGCAAGAGGAGAGGGTTCTGAGAATGGCTAGCAGTTAAGGGTCTGCGCCTGAGAATCAATGATCCCAGGACCATAGGGTCCGGGAGCTAGAAGACAAGAGAAGATAGGGAAAAGGGACAAAAGAGCGCCCTCTCTCAGGTTACCGTGAGAGTGGTATCCAAAAAAGGTCGCCTATGCCATTATACCGACGCGGCACATGGGCCAGTTACAACAGCTCCTGGGTCTGGCAACGAAGCGTCAACCATACGTCGGCTTGCGCGTAGACCAGTATTTCCGTGCAAAGGCAATTTGTTTTCTGGAGCCACGCGCATCTTTGCTGATCCGTTTCAATTCCCCATATATTGCTTCCTTGACATCGATCATCTCATCTTCACAGATCACCTTCCATTCCCTCTTTGTCAAGTCCTCGCGCCTCTCCCCTCGGCCAAAGTCAATGACCCGAAAGCTAGGCGTCGAAGGTGATCGCATTGACGGAGGGGCACTCAACGGTCCTGGCTGTACGAGGACGTTCCGATCAAAGAACGAGCCTTGAGATACGCCACAACGGTGGATGCGGATTGCGAATGAGTATATGAGTTCTCTGAGGATGGCGACACACATGATAAGGCATCTATTCATCTAACAGACTAAAGAGGCATACCTGTCTTTGGGCGTCAATCGTTTCACATCAATAGGTGTACCGCACTCTTCCATAAGAAGGATAGGACTCAAAAGCCCTGTGTAATCTTGATGCACCGGTACGTAGAACCCATAGAATTTGGGAACCACGGCAGCCACAGGTACTATACCATCCCCATCATACGCAGCTTCCTCGAGGAAATGAAACCCGCTCCAATCCCTAGTAAGGTATTGGGGGATAGCACTATCATATAGCTTAGCTTCAATCCGAAGCATTTTATGCGACTCGTGATCGGACCGTGCCAGCTTGACAGCCACCTCGAATTGGCCGGACGATGATCGAGCTATTAAAGGCTTAGGTAGACGAAGTTTGCCTAGAAGGACCTTGGAATGGCTACCGGCACCTGCCCCGAGGTCTTTAGCAGAAGAGAGATCAAGATATGCAGTCCGTGGCTTCCGAGTGGCATGTATTGTGCCATGGATATCACTGTATATAGCGTTCTCTTTAAGGCGGGGAAACACTCGCTTGTACACCTTCATATTTGATGAAGAAGAATGTTCCGGTAAGAAGACAGTCTTCCCTTCGGGGTCTGCCACGAAGAGAACCTCTGGAAGCATTTTAGGCGGAACATGTTCTTCTAGCTTGACGATCTCTGGCTGCTGAGCGAATTGCACAGCAGGATCAAACGGCTGCATCAAGTGCGTTCTTCAACTATACCAAAAGTTGACTGTCTGGGTCTCATACCTGGTCACCTCCATCACGTCGATTCCAATTTGACGCTGCCTTCTGAGATTCGGAAAGATACGCTTCTGCAGTACTCGCCTGTCCGGAACCGAAGGGTTCATCGTGGTGGAAGGCAGTCAACTGGGGGAGAACCATCAATGAAGGCCACGGGGGAATCTCGCGCGGGTGGGGCACGGTACTGTCATGTTTCAAATCCAAAAAGTCCCGACTGAACGTTTTCTTGACAGATTGCTTGTTACCAGTGCTTCCGCGACTACTCCCGTCCGAGCCCCGCGACGTAAAACGTTGCAGGTCCTTCGCTTCGACTGCCCACCTAGCGCCGTCCGGGGACAGTACAGCAGCGTTGGCTTCCAACGGCATGGCAGTAAGGGAGTAGATAAAGGATCAAAGCCTCATTCCAGACACGATGCAGGGCATTGCAGTCATTTTAGAATTATCGGTCACGCTTGTGATTAGTGTGAGTGTAAATCAATGCAATGGGAAATCATGAGCACCTGGAATGTGCTTATCTGACGCAAAACAATTGTATCTTCGTGATGGGTAACATCCAATCCCATTTTGGCTTGAAAACGAATATCGCAGTGATACACGAAGCAGATAAAGGATGTCAGGACCAAGTCAGGATGACAGTTCATTTCCAAGGGTGGCATGATCGATGGTTGTTTACGGCTGTAGGTCCTTGTCTACCCTGAGCAAAACAGGTGTCAAAAAAATTTCTTCTATTGTAAACATTATTTCACAAATCTCAACAAATTCTACCAATACAAGCCGACTCCCTCTCTTTACTCCATAGAAAACATGACCACAAGGAGAAGGGGATCATTATCTCGGCGGGTACACCAAGAAGGTAAGTAAACAGGTCGTACATCATACATGGACATGGAAGAGAATATACAGCAGACAAACGATAGCGAGAAAACGTGACGTCCATGCTTAATTAGTGGTATAACTCCCTGGAATATTTGTCAGTTAACTTACATGACAACGAAAGAGAAAACTCACATATCCGAGCCTGCCAATCCCCACTCCCAGTCGCAAGAACACTCCCCGATGGACTCAAATCTATCGAGATGACTACAGCAAATGATGAGCGCCCGGAAAACGGTTTTTATCTCCTGAGCTTACCAGAATTCTTGTGTCCCTGAAGCATACACTGCACTAAAGCAGTCTGCGCATTCCAAAACTGCACCCCTCTATCCTTAGATCCCGAAACAACCCATTGACCATCGTGCGAAACCGCCACGGAAAGAACATAATCCTGCACCCAAACGTCAGTACGTCATAGAAACGTCCATGCAAGTGACAGACCTTATGTCCGGTGAAGTTCATCGTGCACTGGCTGCTCGCCTTCTCACTCTCCTTCCTTACCAGTACACCGGGTCCATTTACGGAACTGCCGTTCGCACCTTCCTTCCTGGATTTGACTCCGGAAGCACTCAGGCCACTGACATCCCAGTACTTCAACGTCTTGTCCAAACTTCCACTAACCAAGCCTTTCCCGTCAGGAGTAAAGGCCACACTATACACGCTATCCCGATGACCTCTCAACCTCTCTAACAACGTTCCCGTGGCCACGTCCCATATCCGCACTACCGTGTCCAAGCTACCTGCGGCAACGAATTGTCCATTTGGCGATATCGCCACAGATGTCACGCCCGCGTCATTATTCAACGAATCAGGGTCATTGATGGTAAGGACCTTGGATGTGCCATCCGTCATGTCCCAAATCCGCGCAGTTTTGTCGCCCGAGCCTGAGACGATCAGTCGGCCATCTTGAGAGAAGTCAAGCGAGTATATTTCCTGCTGATGGCCATCGAAGACGTTGCGGATTCGCTTTTTAGCAATGTCCCAGATCTATGAAGAGTTGAAGGTTGATATTGTAGAAAGGACGTGTAAGACACAAATAACATACTCGAATCTGTTTGTCTTCGGCGCCTGTCGCCAGGTATTTCCCGTCGGGACTGAAGCACACACTCCGAATATATAGATCCCCCGCCTTGCCGACAGTTTCGTCAAGGAGAACGCTGACAGTACACGTGAGATAACGTTAAAAGAACGTAGATAACACGTACCAAGTTTTCGCTCCGGTCTTCGTGTCATAAATTTGAGCGGTTCGATTACAGCCGGTCGCGAGATATTTGCCATCAGCCGAGAAGCGCACACAACAAACCACGCTGAAGAAGGACAATCAGTGACACGGCGATCAAAGCGAGATTCGGGGTCCACAGCGTCAGATTAGACGTACCTTTCATGCATCAGAGTATGCACCAGATTGACGTCTAAAACCCTTTTCACTTTGGGATTGAAAAGCGCAAACCAGTCACTACCCTCCTTCTTCAATTCTTGAGGGACATTTTGTGGGTCAATATCGTCGAGGAAACTCCCCGTACCACTGGTATTGGTGGGTAGAAGGGACCCCGACGAGACGTTCGGCGGATCAAGTACCATAGGTGACGCAGCGGCTGACGGTGGCCGTAATCCCTGAGATGGCATAGACGGAATTCCTGGACCAGACATAGTTTGCCCCGGTGGTGGTAATTTTGGCATGTTGGGAAGCGAAGGGCTATACATATCTAGATGCCAAGAAATTAGACTTTGGAACTGTAAGGTGCGGTGATGATATACCTCCACGTTCAGGCTTCATTCGGTCAGCTTTCAGGCGTTTCGCGTCCCGCTGGTCCATCAACCGCTCTCGTTCGCGCTGACTTTCGCGATCGAGAGGATCGCGGTCAGGGAGGCCATCCCTGCTATCTCGAGGACGGTTGAAAAATGGGTCGAAAGGACGACCGGGACCTATGGTGGTAGGGCCGGGACCCGGTGCCACCTGAGGGTGAGGCGTCGTTGCGTGCGGAGGGAGGTTTTGACGTAGCGCATGGAGTTCAGCGCGGGTTCGAGAAAGTTCCTCTTCGTACTGTTTGCGAATTTTGCCGTGTTGCGCCTCGAGATCATACAATGACTGCCGAATGATGTTGAGTTCATTGACTTGTCCTGATACTGTGAAAAGAGGCGCGTCAGTTTAGTATAGAGTAGGTGGGACCCCGTGATGGACGGCGTTCGTGGAAACCATGTAGCTTGCCAATACCCGTACGCTGGCTCTGGAGGGTAAATGTCACGGGTACATGGAAGCCGAAACCTGCATGGAACAACAGCCGACAGCCGGAGGATCTTCACACATGCACCCATAGCAGAGCACAGGTTGACCTTGGGTATCCCATCAACACTGTCAATTGCGGAGGCTGGAAGCAATGACGTACAGATAAAGAAATAGGCAGATGTTGCGAATAGAGAGATCTGAGGTTAAGTAGGCAAAACCATAAGCCCGATGATTTGGTAAATAGATTTTCGAAGACGCACAATAATAGAAAATGAACTCGGTGCCCGATCATACATACAGCCACCCCGTATGCAGAGCATAGAAACGACGACTGGAGATTCAGGCTGTTCATTGAGGCGAAGACAGCCGTCTCTCATATTCTACGGGAAGAGGACATGAGACTAGGAAACAAGATAAAGAGCAGCCACGTACATACATGAACTCTTTTGTTCTAGCGGAGCTTCGCAGCAAGAGGGCCACCAGCGTATCCATCCATCACGGGGGCAGAGAGAAAGAAGAAAGAAAACATACCCTTGTTCTCAAACTCGTCTCTCTGGGTGCGTGCGACGCCTAGTTCCGTGGCCAACAGATCGAATTCCTGCCTGATGACTTCAAACGATTCGTTCAAACGATTGGGATTGATCGGTTGGCTAGGGCCAGGAGCTGAGGGGCCCGAGGGCTGGAGACTTCGGTGCTGCAACATGGTGAGAGTCATTAGAAAAAGAAACGGAAACAAACTGGCAAGGCTGGGAAATAGGAAGGGCAGGACCACACGTGTCCGGCGAGACACCGGGAGATTAGGTCGCAGAATGTGTACACGCCCCTAAGAACGCGCCGTATAGACAAGTCCACTTTGTTGACGGAGATCACGATGATGGCGAGTCCGTCGCCGTGCCCGTTGGTGATTCGCTGCTTCCTAGCCTAGGCAAAAAGGAGACGTACATTGTAAATTGTGGACGACATACGACTATGACTTTTTTCCTTAAATTTCAACGACGGTTGTGAATGGATGTTGTGCTGGGCGGCGTCGCTGATGACGAGTACTGGTGGCGCTGACGACGAAAAGTGGGGATTTCTGTTGATCAGACTGCCTCCTTATAAGTCGTACCGGACATTCGGGAGTGTCCGGAAATAGCAGTACATTTCCACGAGCACTTGCCGCCGGTAGCCTTATTTGGATATCTTCTGAGCTTGAATCAGATCTCCCAGGCACTTCGGCGCAACAAATTCAAAGGTCCTTTGATTGGGCACGAAACTTTGAAAGCTGAAATGGAACAATGATGATCCCTGGGATCTTGCAAAGTCCCCTTTCAGACGCAGAACCCTGCGACCCTACATTCAATCATGTTGAAGCGGTATTCGGTTCATTGTGAGTGAATGTCTTCCTGGCCAGACTCATGTCAAGCAACGTTGTCAACTGTGTATCTTCTAGATTCGGAATCACGCCGTCTCGTGATTCTCGGTTTGTGTATGGAAACGAGTAAACGGTCTATATAGTATCGAAGTTTTGACAGTAAAAAAAGATTCCGCACAGAGATCTTACTAACCGTCACTGATGACGAGGACAGCAGATGACGACGAGCCGGGTCACCCCGGACTCCGGTAAAGTTCAGTATGAAACACGGCGAAAAACAGAGTTATCGCCGCCCTACAATGAATTGCTGTTCGCCAATAACGATACGTTCTTATCCAAGCCTCCGCCGCCTCGTGACGAGTTGCGCCTCGTGGCGGTTGCGTGATTCGCACGGATTAAGCGTAAAATTTTTGTGCTTGTTTGCCGACATCTTTACAATGACCTTCTCGGAAATTCAACACCAATCCGGTATGTAGGATAATCACCGGCATCTGCTTAAGACAAGAGAAATCAAGATTGAAAGTATGTAAATGACAGTGTCATCACCCCCACCGAGCCTTCTTCCTACTACTCTGACCATGACTACCATATGGATTATATCTGGGAGGCTGTGGTGGTTCCTTCGCCTTCGCCTTACTTGAACTGGTGAAATCGATCTGCGAGCGCTTCGAAGACGACTGCGCAGCTGACTGCTGCTCCGAACGGGCTTTCTGCTTCTCCGCTTCGGGCGCCAGAAGTAGATTCGCAGAATAAATGCACAAGAAATTATGTGTGTCCACCATCAGATACAAAGGTGCGAATAGAAAGAAACATCGTGAACAGAGTTGCCTGGGCAATACATTCGAACGCAGACGCACCGATTCGATCAGCAAACCAGTCCTCATCCAGATCATCAGGATCCCAGACCTCTTTTGGGAAATTCGTTATTCGCTCATCGACATCCACAAACTCAACGAGTTTGGCGTATAGATGAGGATTACGAAATGAACGATTGGACATGAGCGAGTCATTGAAGTGTTTGGGGTTGCTACTGTCATCTTTCAGAGCATGGAACTGCGCCAGCTTCGTCTGCAATACACGTAAATAGACTCATTAGTAGACAGAAGGTTAACAACACGCCTCGATGGCTGGATCACAGGGTCCCGTAGACTCGGGCGGTATACCCCAGTCATCCAATCCTGCTAGTGGCGGTGGGCGAAGGATGCGTCGAACCAGGGATATATCGCTTTCGGGATCATGGATGGTCTGAGATGACGACGCCTCCTGGCTGGCATTGCTTGATAGCTCAGGTATGGCCATCGCCGTTGGTGGTTCAATAATATCTTCCGATAAGTGGGCTCTGGGATGGCTCTTGCGCTGCGTGGCGGGTCGTTTGATGATTATTTGTGATTTGGCAACTTTCCGCGCTATTTCTCCTGGTCAGTGACGATTTCACATAGTTTAGAAACCACCTACAGTCTGAATTATTAACGTTTGTCTTCAGTGATACATCCTGACCAAGACAGAAACGGTAGCCAGCAAAGAGGGAAACGGATATTGAGAAGGGTGACGACGAAGGATCTCACATGTTTATTATGAATTTTGCTCTTCGCTGTGGATAAATTTTTGTCTTCCGAATCGCTTTGGGAGTCGTCGTCGTATGCAACGAGACCTTGGCAAGATGAGTACATTATCGACATTCCAGTATACTTTACTTTACCGTGCATTTCTTTGGAGGTCAAAGGAAGGAGGTGTTTCAAACTCCGACAATGCGCAAGAAACTTTATGGAAATTCGTACCAAATTGCCCCAAATAGTCAGTCCCCTGATCTCATGTTGCTTTTGTCTGTCATCTTTCAGGTATTCTTATTTCTTTCCAGCTTCTCTTGGACGGCATCTGGCTCGAAGGAGGACGTCGTTCGTGAATTCTTTGCCAATAATGGAGGCAGTACGCCCACTGGCTCGACACATACCAATAACTGGGCGGTCCTAGTATGTGCGTCTAAGTATTGGTTCAATTATCGAGTGCGTGCAGTCATTTCACGACCACTGAGGCTGATTAACGAATTTATTTGTAGCATATGGCCAATGCCCTCGGGATGTATGCTTAACGAGGTTAGGTTTCTCACTCACTGCTGACAATTAACACAGGTACCGCACTGTAAAACGACTGGGAATACCCGACTCAAATATCATCCTCATGTTGGCTGACGATGCTGCATGTAACTCAAGAAACAAGTTTCCCGCCAATGTCTTCGCAAACCCCGGGCGGGCTCTTGACCTATATGGGGACAACATCGAGGTGGATTACAGAGGCTACGAAGTAACGGTGGAGAACTTCATTCGGGTTTTGACCGGTAAACGCCTTGTGACCTTCGCAGGAACCCATCTTATTCATTGTTCCAGGTAGAATGGAACCTTCTGTTCCCCGGTCTAAGCGTCTATTAACGGACGACCGCTCAAACGTTTTCGTTTACATGACTGGCCACGGAGGCAATGAATTTCTCAAGTTCCAAGATAGCGAAGAAATCAGTGCCCACGATATTGCAGATGCTTTCGAACAGATGTATCAGAAGAAAAGGTGATAATTGTTCTCGATACAATTGCAAGCGGTACTAACTTTGGCACAGATATAACGAGATCTTCTTCATGATTGATACTTGCCAGGCCACTAGCATGTATTCCAAACTATACTCGCCTAATATCTTCGCTACAGGCTCGTCGCAAGTCGGAGAGAATTCGTATTCGGTGCGTCCAGCGGTTTCGTCCGCCCTTATCCGGTTAACAGTGCTGCATAGTACAAGAACGACAACGATCTCGGCGTGTCGACCATTGATAGTTACACCCATTACGTCCTTGAATTCATGGAAGGAATCAATAAGACTAGTCGCACGACTATGGCCGACTTGGTAATTCCTGCACCCTTATGGTACCTTGCGAATCTGACTGTTACAGTTTGATTCATACGATGTGAAAGCTATTATGTCCCACCCAGGAGTCCGGAGCGACCTTTTTCACCGGCATCTGAATGAAACTTTGATAACCGACTTCTTTGGGGGCGTGGCAAATGTAGAGGTCTCGTCCAAGGACGTAGTGCACGGGCGGCCGGGTAACACAAAATCAGCGTCTATTTCAAGGGAAACCGTCACGGACCAGGAAAAGCCGATGCCTCGACGGCAGTCTCCGATCCCCTCAAATTCCAGGGAGCCTGGAAGTTCCAAGTGGCGAACATGGGGTTCCTGTATTCTTGTTGGTACCTTAGTGGGATGGACTTGCCCTTACGAAGTGAACTAGATCTACTGTATGTATCTGTCAGTTACAGCTCTCTTCACATAGTACCTAACATACATATAATAATAGTTATCCCAGCACGACTAGATGTCGATTTTACAACCTTGGTTACGCTATGCAGTCGGTTCCGCCCGAACCTGAACCAATTATAGGCAAATAGATTTTTCCAACTTACCTCAACCTCGTGGCAAACCGGGGACATGGGCAGCTCCGAGTCCGTGAGTTCTATTGGACCAGTAGGATTGGACCTTTTATTGGGAAGTCGACCGTTTCTGACATCCGTATGGCCTATTCTCCTTGCAGCATTATGCTAGTTACTGCATCATTTTCAGATCCGGACGTGTTCAGGTCCAAGATGCGGCTTATCAGACGGTGGCGATGGATGTACGGCACCTCAGAGAGAAGTGCGAATCCAACGTCTCAAAGAATTTTCCTTCGCACAAAGCGCTCCTCAATCAAGAAGGAAATGAAGAACGAACGGTGGATTTTCCGAAGTCAGCCATCTTACACGATCGAATTGCCATGTGCGACAAGGGGCGACATTCTTTCCAAAAGAGTCTTACCGGCGGCAAGTCGTGAGAAGGTGGAATTCCCTTCAGCTCGATTATAAAATCGGTGCAATGCCATCAACACCCATCTTCTTTCCTTCCTTCCCGCCCACCACCTCCTCTTTGCTCAGTCGACGCCCTTCTCACCCGCGCCCAGCTATTTCCAACGGCGCTCTGCTATAATCATGTCCTCGGGTACCATCTACAATGTACGTGTCCTTTCGGTCGGAATTTTCTGCGTCTCCGCCCCCGAGGAATCCTCGCAGGAGAGCCGCATTATATCGTATTTTATGGGATTTGATTGATGTGTTGATTTGTTCTTCAATAGCATCGGAGCCTCCAGCCTTCGGGACCACCGGCATCTGGTCCCAGTCAGCCGCACGGGACTCACGGCCGGATTAATGAATCCTTCGATCTCATAAAACAAGAGTTTGACAATCTTGTAGCAGATCTGAATGTTATGCGGCAGCAGAGGGACGAATATGAGACGAAGAGTGCGTTGATCCGTCTGTCCTTTGTAGTGGGGCCTTGTATTGACAATGTCATCCCAGTGTCGTCTCAAGTTAACGAGCTTAATATTATTCGACAATCTCTTTACGAACTGGAGACACAGCATACGAAAATTCGGTCCCAATACGAAGAGGAACTGGGTCGTGTGCGCGCGGAGCTCCATGCACTGCGGCAGAATATCCCTGTTACAGGAGGACTCCCACCTCATCCAATTGTCGGACCTAGTTCTGTCGGGGCAGCCGGATCGTCTACCTCTGGTATTCGGGAAAACCTTCTGATATCCGGTCCACTTGCTTCGTCATATGGCACCGACGCGTTTTACGGACGCGACCGCGATCTTCGTGATCGTGAGAGGATGCTTGAACGTGATCGGGAGCGAGACAGAGAGAGAGACAGGGACCGTGAAAACAGAGACCGAGAGCGCGACAGAGACCGGGAACGTCCTCTGGATCAGCGAGATCTCAAGCGTCCTAAGACGGAGCGTATGAAAGGTGAACGTCCAGATACCCCTTTCCGTCCTTGATTTCTAACCGACCATTTTGACTTGAATACTATGTTCAGACCATTTCAGTCCTCAAATGCCTCCAATTCCGGGGCAGACTCCCAAGAGTTTGCCGGGATTGGCCGCTATAGGTCCAGGAGCGGGGCAAGGAGCGTCATCCCCACCGTCACAAGCCAGTCTACAACCACCACCGTTTCCTACTACCTCGGGCCCAAGCTCAGGCGCCTTACCGCCCATGTCTGACCAAGGACCCAGTTTCCTCGATCTGGATATGCACAGCATTCCACCAGAACTCAAAAAGGAGGGGAGTGATTGGTTTGCAGTGTTCAATCCGAAGATCGAGAGAACATTGGATATCAGCCTCGTCCATACTTTGATGCATGCTACGTAGGTTTCATGCAGACGTGGGTGTTGGCAGATGCTGACCTGAATTACTTATAGGGTGGTCTGTTGCGTCCAGTTCTCCGCGGACGGCAAGTACCTAGCAACTGGATGCAATCGGACAGCCCAAATATACGACGTGAAGACCGGACAGAAAACATGGTATGTGATTCCCTTCTCATCGATCTACTCCCTATGACATCCTGATCGTCGGATATTATTAGTGTACTCGTTGACGATGCCGCTGGAAAGACCGGTGACTTGTATATACGTAGTGTGCGGTTCAGCCCTGATGGCAAGTACTTGGCCACGGGTGCTGAAGATAAACAAATACGGGTGCGTGGTTCTTTTCTTAGAACACGACGAATCAGAAAACGATGCATTATTTCACATAGATTTGGGATATCGCGAAGAAACGAATCCGGAATGTATTTGATGGGCACCAACAGGAAATCTATTCTCTGGACTTCTCGCACGACGGCCGCCTTATAGTCTCCGGGTCGGGTGACAAAACAGCACGGATATGGGACATGAACGGAGGAACTTCAAAGGTTTTGACAATAACCGATACTGATACTTTAAACAACGATGCCGGCGTTACTTCCGTCGCTATCTCGCCAAACGGACAGCTGGTAGCCGCCGGAAGCTTGGATACTGTGGTTAGGATATGGGACGTCGCTACCGGAAACCTCGTGGAGAGGACTCCGTGGTCCACCGTGACAGCGTTTATAGTGTTGTATTTACCCCGGACGGAAAGGGCATTGTAAGTGGAAGTTTGGACAGGACGTTGAAGTACTGGGACGTCAGTGGGCTGGCGAAGGGGAAGCAGGAGGGCGATAAGCCTAGCCCTTGCACCATGAATTTCAATGGGCACAAGGTATAAACTTTATCATTGGATGTCGAACCATTGGTCTCATGGATATTTAACAGGACTACGTTCTCTCCGTTGCTGTTTCTCACGATGGTCAGTGGGTTGTATCGGGGTCGAAAGATCGTGGGGTGCAATTCTGGGACTCCCGCACTGCCATAATGCATTGTATGCTACAAGGGCATAAAAACTCAGGTTAGCCATCTTCGCTTCAGTGACACTTGGCAATTAAACGTATCTCCTGGGCAGTGATATCAATAGACTTAAATCCTACAGGTAACTTACTAGCAACGGGTAGTGGGGATAATCTAGCGCGGATATGTGCGTTCCATTATTATATCTTCCCGTGGCAATCATTGACATCATTTCAGGGAGTTACAACACAAATTATAACAGTATTTAACTTGTCCTATCCTGTATACCGTATATGTTGTATTTGTCGGAGCCGCTTTCTTATATCGACGTATCAACCACCAACCCGAGTACCGTTTTTATCAGTGCATTGCCACCACACGCTGCATTGAGGGTAAATACCCTCCGGTTCGTCTCCCGCATCTTTCAGGAAAAGTGCTACGACGCCATGTGCAGGAACATCATATGCCGTGAAGTTACGTACAGCGGTACCGTTCTCCGTGTGGGTCCACAAATCCTGGGGACATCGGTAAATTCGCTCCCACGATTGGAATAACTCATGGGAAAGAGGAATGGCGTACCCGGACTGAGTATTGTCGTCCCGCTCTGATCCAAGGGGATTCGGTCAGATTAAAAAATAGTGTGGAGGGCTCATCCAGGGTGTTCAACTAAATTGCGATCAGTCTAAGGAAGTAGATGAACGAAGAACGACTCTTACGAGCATGAAAACTGTTCCGTCTTGGGTAGGACCGCTCCAGTACTGGGCTGGGAAGCTACTGTTGCTGGTCCAATCGGGCTAGAAGAAGCACCGTCAGAAGTTCTTCGCAGAAGCAAGATACGACTAACGTTGATCCCCCATCTGAAAGGCGAAATGGATGCCCCGACGACTGGGTCCTGATTGATGGCGAGGATTTCTTTGTTCTTGAAGATGCTCAATGTCTCATTGGTGATTGCAGAAAGCTGGAAGAGACATTAAATGTGGATATCCCTGGTGAGGCTTACTCACGTTCGTCCCGATCTACAAACCTTATTTTAATGATTACACAGCTATATCAGGAATTCTGACGTACGAGCAGGGGCGATTTCATTAGTGCCCACGCTGTGAAATGCGATTTTGACTCATCAAAGGTAAGGTTTCCGTTCCCTCTGCAAGCCAGTCAGACATTCAGGATGCCAAAGTCATGACGGGCCCATACAGTTGAAGCTACACTGGCGTTAGCATGTGCCCAAGACGTATGACACTCACGCTTACCATATCGAGGTCATTGCGTCCATAGAAATCTGTCGCTTGAGTTAGGAAAGAGTTACTGGAAAAGCGTAAGCATCAGAAGTCTAATTCAACCAAGCTTACAAGTTGATGATGTTCGCGAGTGAATTCCACTCGGGGGCTATATCCCCCGTAGTCTAAGATAGATTTGACGTGTCAGTATTACAGATTACGCTAAACATTGGGGGGTAACTTACTCTCCAACTCTGACCGAATTGCTTTCCCCAGCTTTGTGAAGATTAAATGATATAGACGCAGAAGTGTTAGCTCAACGTACAGCCAGACTTGACTCTATAAAGTGAACATGTTCAATAAGCACCTCCTGAGCCGTTTGATGAACATACCCATCCCCATTCGCAGAGTGATAGTAAGATAGGCTGATTTTTGGTGGATCGTTGAACTTGAACGACGGCATCGGCCATGCGCTGGTATCCTGTGATGAAAATTAATGACCGAAGTGCGACATGGTCCAAAATATACACTTCCGACAATACCCTCCCTAGTGATTTCGTCGTATGGTACTAAGAGAAAACGCAATTAGGTCATCGGCTAACTGGAACAGAGACCCTGAGGCCATCTTACTAGCACAGTTATCGTATCTACGCAGAAAAGTGCATATTAGTAGGAGACAGAACAAAATCACATTATTGTACTTACTTCAGATAGTCAAAGCCCCAATCTGAGAATGTTTCCAGGTCTCGTAGCTCGTTTTGATAGGATCCTGGATATCCAGCACAGGTATACCATCCAGAATCGCTGTACTTTGTATCTAGTGAGAAAATCATACGATGTTGTGACTGAGAAAAGGCGCTCACGATGCCAGTTTTACTGTACGGAGGTGAGAACAGTATAACGCGAATAGAGAGATAATCCTTACAAACCCAGAGCATGAATCTGATCAGTTAGGTTCTTCATGCCACCTTTGAATCTGACAGTATCTGTCCAATGGATGTCGTAGCACATGCTAACTTTTGGGCGACAAAGTCTTACCTGCAATAATGTCACCGGCAGCACTGCGGTTCCTCTCTGCATAGCAGTCATCGATGTTTAATTGATTATATCCGACGTCCTTAGTATCGTCATGCATTCAGCGGTCTGGATAACCTATGGGAGCACTTACGAGAAGACCAAGAGATTTCATGAGGTTGGCAGTTGTAAGCAAGAGGTCTTCATCAATGTTACACTACAGGTCGCGTGAGTTGTCCTATTAGCATATGTTTACGCTGAAATCTCACTTGGTAAGCATTCCAGGCTGCACGACTGTGGTTTGAAATCGTAGTCTTCGGTAGAGGATTCGTGCTCACTATTATATCCCAGTACTATGAAAGCTCGTGAGGAAGTATAATGAATGGAGCTTGGGGAAGACAATTACCTGGTAGACGTCCTACGCCGTTGTCCAAAGCGTATACTGAACTCAGCAACGGAATTGCTGCTCCCAGGATATTGATAATTGAACGTGTCATTTGCGGCTATAGTCAAGCATCCCAAGACCTCAGTATTTAAGCATACCACAGGACCTAAGAACCCAAGGGATTTCGAGCACGTAGGTCTCATGGTCGACTTCGGACGACATACATTTCTCCGACAGACCTCCGAAGATTCTTGAACACACCACGAGATATCCAAGCTGCCCGGAGTGCGCCGAATCGTGACCTTGATTGTGTCTGACGACATATCGTACCAGCTGCGGTATCTCCGAAAAAGAATCAAAGAAGCTAGCGAAGAGCTACACGCGGTCCGGGAGTGGAGTCAATCGATTGGTCACTAGGACTTTGAAGTGGACGCTCTAAACCGAAGATACTTCGTCTGGCCAAGACAAAGGTTTGATACGAGAGAATCTCGAGGCAGCTGAAAGTACTCAAATGAACCAGTACACTGCTCCGCTTGAAGAATGTGCCAAGTTTAATGGCGCAGACAAAGTTAACTTGTTCACCGAGCATGGGTAATGGGTAACTGCGGGATTCGGATCTCGCTTATTCCCGAGCTTCGGCACAGACGTAAGATTTCCAACAGTGCGAACATGGAGGACTGAAGTAAAATCTGATTCGCGGGGACTTATATTACTTACGAACAATCTGTTACCTGTCACCAGAAAAAGGTCCCCGAGAAACACGTAGGTTTGAGAAGATTTCACGAACCGAAGAGCGCAGCGACTTGAAAGGGATTACTTGAAGTTCGTTTTGGTGCAAGAATTGACTTTTGAGGGACACTTGGACCTGCTGGCAGTGCGAGGGGCAAACTCTCTTTTGCATGCGGTGATCCGGACCGGAGATCCGGACTGGGCCAAAAAGTGCAGTTCTTACCTGAACATCGACATTGGCGGCAACTACAACTGTATGCTGGCATTCTCGGCGCTTCACCACGTTAAGCCTACTGCACTCAGCTCCGAATTCCTGACTCCAGGGCATTGGATTTATTTTATCACTCAGCCCATCGCATGCCATCGCCACCACAGCACCAGCAGCTCCGCATCTCGTTCCCCGTGGAGAACTGGCCTGGCTGGGACATCAAAGAATTATCTTTGACGCGCTTTGAGGCGGACTTTGTGCCCACCTTGGATTTGGATCGATGCGATTGTTCATGGAAAAAGACAGCCGCGGCTAAGAAGGGTAGTCACGGTGTCTCGAACTTGGCAGCTTCACGGGAAAAATGTCTTGCCATGACGAGGGACGTCCTCAACGTGAAGGTGGATGCAGCCACCCACGATGATTACTGTTCTGACTCGCCGATCTTTCATGGTGTTGCGGTCTCGAAATCGTCACCGACCCAGCTGGCCTTAAAATTTGCCCTGCGGGAAGACCTCATACCGGCGTTGCTGCACGAGGCTCATATGTACAGTGCTCATCTACAGCGCGTACAGGGCCGTGCTGTTCCGTACTCCTGGGGCTTCTTCATGGGTTTTTTATGTGATTCAAGCCATGGTGCAGCACTCCATGAGGACGGAGAACCAATCGCATGTCTCGTATTAGAGTATTGGGGCGATGCACTTCCAATCCGCTTTGATCACTTGGAAAAGGGTATAAGGTATACGTTCATATCCTCTTTAAAAAATGCATGCTGATTAATGATAGGGTACACATTTTAAACAAGCTCGGAGAGATCCACCGATGTGGAGTACATCACGGAGATGTTGGTGCTTGTTTTCTACTCAGCTTATAATAGTCCTGACCAACATATGCCACTAGTTTGCCGAAAGGAATGTACTCTACTCGGACAACAACGGGGTAGACTTCCGAATCATAGACTTTGATCAGACGGAACCACATATGTGTGGACAAGGAGGCAAGGAGTGTGATGTGCTACGGCAGGTGGGACGAGACATGGGTCTATAGAATGCGAAGATAGATGATTTTTTAAATCTTGGAAGTGTATTATGTTTTTTCTAGCAATTCCCGCCTATTTATCTAAAAAAAATTATGCTAACTGTTGGTAGAATTATTATTTTTGGACCATTACGCGACTAAAGCGACTTTAATTTGATGATGCCCCTCACATCACCTCATCCCGCTGAAGATTATACGCTAGGAAATGAGGATCTGATGCGATCCAATTTTGTGGAACAACTTGCATCGGCGCTTCACTTCAGCTCGACTACAGTGCTCGTACAGTCACTATCAATGACGGGCTTGTCATCGAGCCCTAAAGAGGAGGTAGACATGAGAGACTTCCTTCTTCGCTTTGGTTGCACCTTGTTTGGTACGTCTACATCTACAAAGGCAGTGAGGGACCAGTGAACAGATGGAAAACAGATGGACGTACCTTCAACCTCAGGTCCGACTTCCGAATGGGTAAAAACGTGTGTATCAACTTGGACCGCCCTGTAGGTCTCTAATGTTAGATGCGGTTAAGAGCGAAGAGGAAAGACTGACACGGGGGGTTGGGTGCGCATGGTGCCGAAGGTTCCCGAAGAAATTTCGGTGTTCTTGTCGTAGAGCTGGACGCCGGTGGATTGAGCAACTCTCACGATGAGCCCTAAAGTGGATAAGCCACTAGCGAGGATTGATTAGATGTCGATAGACGTACGAGACATGACCATCTCAATTCGCAGCTTGACGATGTATACAACGGGGTGGAACTTGGTACGGATGAGTGTTGAGCGAACTTGATGCCAGTACTGTTTCAACTGACCTGGGTATAAACAAATGGATTTCGCAGAGCTGTTGTGCAGATGAGTAAGACGTCCATTGCGATGGAGATGCTGATGATGCGTAGGTTGAAACTGCACGGACATTCATTATGATTTTCAGAACGAAATGAGCAGCAGAACTAACCGCAAAATGTGGTCGTATTTCTTCAAGCCATGATCAACCAATCGCTTTTTGACCGTCCGGATAAAAATGACGTTCAGGGCTAAGTCCAGGCCTAGATACATGTTATTACGCATTGCTTCAGTAGGATGACCACAGCACTCACATAGGTATAAACTTTTCTCGACTCGGTCCCACCTACACCCAGAATGAGAATTTTACAAGATTGACGCGGTCACCAGAAAGCGCACCAGCTGTTCACCTGGAAATTCGAAGAATGTCAGACTATAGTCGAGAGCAATGCCAAATTCAAACGTACCCTGATATATTTTGAGTTGATTTGTAACTGTGCCGGAATCCCTGGAACCCGACATCAGTATCAGGAACTGTATGATTGAATCGGACTGACAAATACACGCCGATGACACTGTTATCATTAGCAAGATGATTCCAACCGCAGATCTTAGAACGTTCTTCATCAAATATTAGACCGAGGGAATATGATTTAACGAACGACTTACTCTCTCTAGGGGCAGCGACAATAGGATGCAAATCCGATTGACGATGATGAACGTCAGGCAGGTTACCTAGGCACTCAGGTAATCAGCACGGCTACCGCCTAGGACTAGGCGCATACCTGGCAAATCCAACAAATCGCGCAAATGAGAAAAACTGGCAGCCCAGGGGGGAAGATGTTGATCCTGTAGGTTCGTTAGGAACTGGGGATGATAGATGTATAGTTGCGACTCACAGATATCCCCAAGAAACAACCTGGGAAAGCACTAAGTTGAATGTGTATCGTCATGTACGTATTGACTTACTGCAAATGTGATATTTCTAGACCAGATAGTTAGGCGGGCCTGAAGAGACAGGAAAACGAACTCACGCCGCAATCTCGAGCCATATCATGAAAACATATGAGGTGAGCTTGAAAAGCCATGAGTTTTCTGTCCGCGAATGTAAGAGAAGAGGGGGGCTTACTCGTCGAGCGCGTATGGTCTCCCGATAGCCAGCCCATACAGAGAAAAAGAGAAAGCCGGTCTGTATAAAGTCTACAATCGTCTTCGTAGTCACGTATATTTGTCTAAAAACATACGAAAAAACCAAAAACGATAGAACCAAGTTCTAAATCCCTCTTGCTAACTTCTAGCGGAACAAATCTGGCGTTAAATCGAGTTAGGCGATCGAAACAAGCTATAGAAAGATACGAGACGCACGGTTCCTCGGTTTTGAAGCGGGTATGGACTGCATCTAGATTGAACATCGGGATGCAAGGAGGCTAGAGGAAGGGTTTAAAATTTATGGACCTGGAGAAGTAGGTCTCAAAACGGTGTTCCATGTCTCGGGTATGGAGTGAAGTGAATGTCACTCCTATAACATTATATCCCCACAGTCGTATAGATCAAGTCATAAGACGATCGAAGCGGGGAAGTGATACGGAGGCAAAATTCTGAGGAATACAAAATTTTCATTCCGCTGGTCTAGAATAGAAAGACTGCGAGTGAGTTGTGGTGCTGATACCTTGATTTTTAATTTGAGCATCCCTGAACCGTCTGAAATGCGCCCCAGAAGGCCATAGCTGAGCAGTGAGCACAGCCAGCGGGAGCATTGAGCAAGACGGAGGCTGGCCATGTTGATGCTCATGTGACTGAGTTGGCATACCCGACTTCATCGGAATTTCCTAAAAATCAAGGACCAGTTACGTTTTCGTCCTGACTTGCTCAAACTGACTGCAAAGTCGTTTAACGTGCCGAGAATTTCCATTCATTAGATTTAGGCCTTTCAAATCAACTGAGGCTAGGTTTTCATGGTCCTGGAATTTCCAACAGCTTATACATGGAGAGGCTGACGAGACATCTATTATTACACCAATTTTAGGCTGACACTATGTGGCTGACGACCGTTGGGGTCACTGTTGACTAGATGGTAGTGAGGATTAGGTTTCCGTAGTGCAATTACCTGTATCCTTGCGTCCGGCGTGCCTGCAGGTACCGTGCTGTGTAATGATGATAATGATGATGGTGAGTGTATAATAAAGCTAACTTGCCAGCTCTTGCCAGGTACCTGGGCGCTTCTGTATTCTTCTTCGTTATCTTCATGCCTTTCGTAGAAATTGGCGACGTGGATCGCAAATCATTTGACTATGTTGTGATTGGTGAGTCTTGCTTAATTAAACTGCCACTGGCATGCTCTGACGGTTTCAATTGTTAGGTGGAGGGGTAGGTTGCGCTTCAACGCCCTTGCTTTGCGGCACTAATTAACGAGACAGACGGCCGGTTTGGTTCTTGCGGCGCGTCTTTCCGAAAATGCTATAGAGTCTGTCCTCGTTTTAGAGGCTGGGGAACCCAATTTGGACGACCCTATTATCAGTACGCGTCAGAGCGGGTTAGTATGCTTGAATTTAATGTACTTTTTTTAGTGCGTCCTGGCCAATACGGTCACACTTTTGGTAAATCCAAGTACGGGTGGTCCTTCAAAACGGTATGCGTTATCTCGACCCCTTTCCAGGCTTGCATCAGTTCAACCAGGTGCTTGCAGGTTCCACAAAAGTTTGCAAATGACAAGGAATGTTTCTGGCCACGGCAAGTCCATATCTTTTGGTTATCTTATCGGTATAATGTAACATTCGCATAGCGGCAAAGGGCTTGGTGGATCCTCGGCGATGAACTTTGGCATCTGGTCAAAGCCTCCTAGGGAAGACATTAATGGTGAGTTCATGATGTAGCCACTGTTCCACACTAATTATCAACTGTCAGATTGGGAAAAACTAGGGAACCCTGGGTGGAATTGGGAAACATATGAGAGATACTGCGACAAAGCAGCATCGTTAGCTCATTTTTAATCATATCCCCTGGCGTGAACTGACATGAATCACAGCTACGTGCCACTGGGACCCTTGGCCCCTCAAGCCTCTAAGCGCGACAGCAGCACTATGGGAACATGGCAGCATCCACGGGGCACAGGTTACATCCGGTGATCACACTAGCTTTTTTAATTTCTCATCGTGTTCCTAGGTCCGCTCAAGATAGCTCATCCCCAAAGTGTCCCTGATGTGGACCTTAAGCTGCAAGAAGTACGTGACTGTGTTCTGCAGCGAAGCGTCTCTTCCGAATCATATATCAGACCTTCATTAACCTCGGCATACCCTTGGCTTCGGCACCAGTGCGTCATTTCTTTGCTCATACTTCTGAGATGATACTTATATCTCCGTCAGGATGGCGGAGAGGTTAGTTTTGATCGTCAGAACTCATGTGATTATCCTTCAAATAATTTCAATCAGCCTAGTGGGGCACAGGTCGCCCTGAACACAGTCGATCCAAAAACACATACACGCACTTACTCCTCGGCAGTAGGTTTGATCAAAAATCCTGTTACGAGATTGAAACTCATAGATGTTATAGGCTTATTTGGAACCTAATCTATCCAGTCGGAACTTGCTGGTTTTGTCCAAGGCGTATGCGCGAAAGTTGATTACGAAGACCGAGGTTGGCTTTCTCACTGCAACTGGCGTTGAATTCTCTTATGGGGAAGGAAATGTTGTCCATGTTGCTCACGCGAAGAAAGAAGTCATATTATGTGCGGGGTGAGTAAAGGGGGTATCTATCTATCTTTTCATCTTAAATTATTAACCATACCCAGAGCACTCAAATCGCCGCAAATTTTAGAGCTTTCGGGCATCGGTCGCCCTGAAGTTCTGTCAAACATTGGCATCCCAGTGATGCTTCCCCTCGACGGAGTCGGTGAAAACGTTCAAGATCATATATGTGCAGGTGTGGTATCCCGTACGTGTGTAATAGAACGTAAGCGTATATCTCGCACTCAAACTTCACAAAGAACTCAAGGACGACTTAACCGACGAGACATTTGACTTGCTACGTGATCCCGAACAAGCGAAGAAACATGCCGAACTTTTGTACGATCTCCTTGATATGATTATGAACAATTTGATTCATCCTCTACAGCACTCAAGCAGAAGGCGTATCTATGATGGGTATTGTCAACCTCACCCTTACATCCCTCCACTCGGTTTCTCCTCGTACTGCTGAGCTGATTGACATCGAGAAACGCATTGTCGAGGCGAACATCAAGGCCAGGAACTATCATCCGGGCTTGGTCGACCAATACAGGTTGATGTTTCAGAGACTAGAACGTAAGGAGCCCGGTTGGGAGTTCCTTGGTATCCCAGTCCATCTGAGTAGCCTGCGTATGCGATGCCTTCTTTTGTAGTTCTCGTCTGACGGCTGAATATCTGTCATTGTAGAACCACCCGAACCTGGAAAAAGGTACTATAGCATATTTCCGATATCCAATTACACCTTTTCCAGAGGAACCATTCATGCCAAGTCAGACGATCCTATGGTTGACCCTATATTTGACCCTCACTATTTTGAGCGTGACATTGGTAAATGCTGCTATTTCTGTTGATATTTTTTTGCTTATATCCCCACAGATTTACAAGGGTTGGTTGACATGGTGAAATATGTTCGCAAAATATGCGATACTGCACCCTATAAAGATGTCCTCGGTATGTTCTGTTGACGTCAGAGTCTATCATTCTTGTTCAATAGAGTTCAAGCTGCCGAGATCGTTCCTGGGCCTGAAGTCCAAACCGACGACGAGATCACAGGTTTTTCCATTCTGATAGACAAGTTCCTTTCGTTCTGATATGGATCTCTCTAGCCTGGGTGAAGAAAGCCATAAGTACTGTGTTCCGTATGTTGATAAGTCTTATCTGCTCTAAATACGAAAGCTGAATATACACAGATGTCGCTGGCTCCCTATCAATGCTTCCTCGCGAGAAAGGTGGTGTCGTAGACTCAGAATTGAAGGTATAAACTGCGCGCGACCCTACAGCCTTCGTTTTCTGAGTGGTTCTTTGTCCACAGGTGTATGGAACTACGAACATTAGGGTGGCAGATTTGTCTGTCGTTCCTCTTCATTTTTCGGCGCATCCACAAGGTAATTTCTCTGCAACTCTGTCTTATCTTTTTCCCATTCCTGATGAATGGTTATGCCCAGCCACCGTTTATATCATAGGAGAAATAGGTGCTATCTGGTTTCGCCTTGCCTTCATTGAGTACTAACTTTGCACTTTTCTAGCTGCAGATATAATACTAGGACGTTTAGAGCTAAGATAAAGCACTGTTTGGTACCCGTACAAATCGTTAATTGTACGAGTTCGCTTCCAAGTCAACGTTAAATTGGCCTTTACTAGGCCGAAGCTTTCCGCTTTGGCATATGCATCCTTTATCACGCGACTGCATGCTAATCGTCGAAGCTAACTGAAAGGGCTTGAACTTTTTCAGCCAGTTGTTTAAGAGGTCTATCCGGAGATCCAGCTCGTGGAAGTCTTCTGTGATGGACAAGCAGTACGGCTCCTCGGCCATCATAGGCGCATGGCTCGCCCTTCCAGAGTTGGGTATTCACATTGCCTTTTTTGTACACTAGTTTATTCAACAGACCCTTGTAGACAAAAACGTTGGACTGTTCACATCACCCTTCAAGCTATGCAGACTTCGTGGATGTCATTTCATTTGTTTTGACTCGGCGCCATTGAATCCTTGTCTTCAAAATGGATACTCACTTGTTCCGGCTCCTTTCAATATTCTTCGCCGTTAGAGAGACGACGTATTTTGCTCTTGTTCTTGCTGGGATTATTAAGGGTGCCGAATGTTTCTTATATCGATATGACTGCGCCCCCGTAGTTTCTCGACGACAAGTATTCCCCTATGTTCGTCGGTCTTCCCGTCGCTTCATTCTTTTTCGTCGCAGTTCTTGCGGTTCTTGCGTTTTTCAGGCCTGTCAAGTCGAACGCGGCTCTTATTACACTCGTCCTGTGGTCCATCGTTTGCAATATCATTCATGGAGTCGATGCTGTCCTTTGGGCGGACAACACGAACATTCACATACCTGTATGGTGCGATATTTGTGAGTGCTATGTCGTAGGCCTGCTGCATTCGGCTCACCAATCGAATGTATGAATGTAGCATCAAGAATACTTCTGGCGTCGCATATAGCATTTGCAGGAGCATCTCTGAGAGTTGCGCTTGACCTCGAGGACGCTTCTTCGGCCAGGGCCATCTCCGAAGACAAGTATACAAAAAGAGTACGACGGATATTCAACGTACTATTATGCTTTCTTGTCCCCATGATATATGTCATATTGCGTGAGTTCCCTTTTCCTCCTCATCTGTCGCAGTGGGGGACTTACAACCAACCCAGATTTATTCTTCCAATATCACCGATTTGACATTGTTCAGAATTTTGGATGCTTTGCCTCTATTCGCCCGTCCGCCTTGAGTTTTGTCGTGATGATCATTCCATCATTAATATTCTGCGCCATATCGTTCGTGGCTTCAGGTGAGAATCGCGGCTTTCTGAGATCTAAAAACTGGCTGAGCATTGCTAAGGTTTCACTATGCATCGCGTTTACTGTTCTAAACACCTTCGGAATTCACGGAGCATCTGTCTTCGAGGTCCTCGCTTACATATTTTAGCTTCCGGTGTCGCCTCGCCACAACTACCTTGGTCACGCTAGCCACATTGATAACGTCAATCGTAGCAATCGCAGCTCAGGCATCCTATGCTTGTGCCCCAGAATGATTCTCAGGACAATGACCATGGCGTTTTCCCGATATCCATCGCGAGAGACAGCCGCTCAGCCCGAGCTGCGTGGTGGGGTGTCTTCGCAGTGTCTTCAATCGTCTCTCTGTCCTCACTCATCGAGATCGGGAAAGAGAAGAACTGCTGGAAGTGGCTCTGTGATAAAGCACCTAGGCTTTCAAGGAGAGGACCTTCTCAGGATATACTATTGCCCTCTTAGTATGCGGTATTTATCTGTTACATAACGGACAGTGAACTGATTTATGCATAGTCGGAGCGCCGCCTCAACTCCTGCCACCATCAGCCGAACCTCGTTGTCCCACCATCAGCCAAAACCTCAGAACATCGACCTCGTCTCAGGTTGGGATGACATGCTGAGCTTGAAAAGGCCGAAGAAAAACAAATCACCCCCGCCGCCACCTTCCCTTCATCTGCACTCGGACAAACCGTCCGACGAGGACGAAGCCTTCGCTGCCGACACGATGAAGTACCTTCAGTCATTTACCGCTCGAAGTTTGGGTATTCCCTCACTCGAAGACCGTTCTCGCGCTCCGTCGCCTTATGTTGTCCCAAAGCTCATCGTGCCGGGGAGCGTTGATGAAGCAAGTTCGGAGCTCTATCGCCGTCGTCCATCGATTACCGAAGATGCGACTTCCAGTATATCCTCCGTTTATGATATTCCATGGCCTTTGCCCCCACCTGAAATACCCGTTTCTCCTAGTCGCTACTCCATTATCGATGCCGCTGAGTATCCTATAACGTGTTCGTTGCTGGAACAACGGAAGACAGCGCCGCTGCGTATTCCTTCCAGAAAGAAACGCAGGGTGAATGCGATGGAGCAAAGCGCTCAAAGGCCGAACGGGAACACAATCATCGCAATGGTGCCCGTGCCAGCCGAATAACAGCGTATGGTTGTAGTCAGTCTTGTTCTGTCAGCTTCATATTTCGTTACAGTTATTATTTCGTCGTTGTGTAGCTGTAGCAACATTGTATTCGATTATGTAGCTCTTATGTATCTCCCCTCCATCTTGTTGTACAAGTATAATCCACAAATTCATATGATTCAAGCTGCCATGAGATGCCGGTGCGAAAAGTAGTCTTCCAAAGCCGCGTTTCCTCTCTTACCTCCGCTCCATTCCTTCCATCTGAGATGTGTAGGACAACCAGTCATCCCAGCTAAAAGATCATTAACGAACATGAGTGGGATCAGAGGTCAGAATCACACACTTAAAGCCCCAAGGAATACTTGACCACATTTCCAGAGCATCTTCGGCAGCAACCCGATCCATGCCGTCCAATGTAGAGTCATTTTGAGAAGGAATAACGTTGTCATTATAAACAGAAGCCGTGGCATCCTCAAGTAAGCCAAAAGACGTTGGGTCAGCAGCCCACGACTGGGGTATCGAAAACGGTAAAGTCTGGTACGTCATAGAAGGATTGTTATCAGTAGCCAACGGGGGATATGAGTTGCCTGGTGAGAAGTCCATAACGTCGAATTGCTGGCCGTAAGCCTGATCTCGCTCTGATGGGGTTGGCGCGTAATCCGAGAGAGTCAGGAGGCTGTCACTAGAGCAACGTTACAACTGTTAGGAGGCTGTATGTAGAAGAAAAGTAAATGTGCCTACAGGGTACGTCCAGTGATGTTCCATCTGAGCGACGAACATCGTTTGTAAGGCTGAATGTAAATGAATGATGGTGCTTACCGTTTTGAGGATGCCTCAAGGAAGTTCAGGCATTTCTGAATGCTTTCTTCTATGTCCTTCTGCTTCTGAGAATGAGAACCGGATTTCTTCCCTGTCCACATATTCATTATCAGGACAATGCCGGATGCAAAAGTTGCCATCTGCGAGAATCATTAATCGAATTCCAGTCAGAACCAAAATGCTTACCCCGAACCCGAAGATCATGAGGTGACCCTTTTTTTTCTGTACCTCAAGCACCCGTGTACATGCCTTTGCCGCGTTGGTACATATGACGAGGGACGGGAAAGAAAGTGGAGATGACTTGTGTATGAATGGGCGGTGGATCTGGATTTGCATATTGTAGTAGACGGTGTACAGTACTGCTGATTGATCAAAGAAAGCGTCGTATGACCTATTGGGATCCCAACGCACTGCAAATAATATGAATATAATGGATCTTATTGGATCGACGGACTCACAGCGATCGGGTATCATGTCAAACCATTTGTTCAGCATAGAATCGAGTTCCGATACGTTGGTTTGGGCCCAAGTTTGACCAACAAGGCCAGCTGCTTCTTTGGATTTGCGTATTGAATAGAGAGTACGTAGAGCGTATGACATTATTTGACATAATTTCAGGTGAAAAGTGAAATAGACCATTCGGGAAGGAGTGCCGGGGGGCTGCTTAAATGGTTCGGCAGACTCCATATATTCGTCGTCGACTTCAAGAGGGAGATCTAGATCGAAACTAAGAATATAACTTAAAATGAAGCAGAGCTTAGAATACAGAGTTACATACTCTTCATCGCGAATTGCCGGTGGTCGTCCGTGGTAGAAGCTCGTATGTCGGTCAAGTAGGATTAGGCACCTGATAGTACGTTAGACCCCATGAAAGTATCGCTAGGCCAAAAACTCAAGTACCAGAACGCACGCTTCTTGAGCTCACTTTCTACACTCGGATTGTCAGGCCAATGACGATGTAGTCCCATCTCAATTGCATAGCGAATTCCAATTCCAATTATTGTCCAGGAGGATTGTGGCGCCGAAGTACCTGTGAGGTATTCCGCTGATAACTGTAAAACAATAAAGCATGACGCTGCAAGGTGCAGGAGAGAAGACGCACACAGCAATGTTGTAGGTCGTAGAGACTAGGGCGGTCAAAGACAGAGCGAGGCATTCCTTGAGTTTGAATAAACCACTTCCACCCACAGGAATGTTCTGAGGTACCTTCCAGAAAAATGCGCGGATCATCAGAATAACGGGAGGCAACGGCACAGACAAGCAGAAGTACGGCGCCAAAACGGTGATCTCGTATATGAAGACCTGATGCAACAGACCGACGGAATGAAGGCTCGTGTAGAAGAGGCATGTATAGGTGGAAATAAGCGAAATATAGATCTAGTAGATCTCTAACGAGGTCTTCTGGAGGGAAAAATAAAGGAGCCTTCTCCAGAGCGACCAGTTCCCACTAAATGAAAGTAAGCTTGGTATTGGCTGGGTAAGGTGAAGGAGCTTCACTACGAACTGGTTGGATTTCCCAATTATGCGCATATTTGCTTTTCACCGAAGTATGGCTGGTACCTGTTTGCTTTCCTTTCATGTTGAGAGCTTTCCGCATAAAGTAGAGATTGCTAGAAGGACCAAAGTATCGGTCATCGATACCAGTCAAGGAAAGAGTTTTGATTTGGTCCATGAGTTCAATGTATTCGAGGTCAGATTCGTCGTCGTCGTCGTCTTCGTCAGGTGTATCTTTCATTATGGACTCTTCAGTTACACCACCTTGGTCTGGTTGGTTCTTTGGATAATGTAAATGAAAAGAACAGTAAGTTTGATGAATAAATTAACGCACTTGTTGAAGTATCTCTTCCAGATGCTGTACCTTCCTCTCCAACCTGGTAATGTAGCTGAACGATATCAGCTAGCAGTTGGTCCCTTCATTTAAAGATGCCTACTTGCTCTTAGGGCCCCGCTTCTACTGAAAAAATCAGATCGAAACCAGAGTGGCGTGTAAAGAGCCTTCTACCTTGGCCGGAATGTTGTGCGTACACGGGCAGTTCATGATTCGACAGTTGCTGCACGAACCTCCTTCCATTGTCGCGCTATCACCTGGTAAGCACATCTCAGCTGCTGCTCTGGATGCAACAAATGAAGATACAAACATTTCACTAGAAAGACACTTAGTCAAGGTCCCGCTCCAGACTCTGTATTTCAATGTACCTTTCTTCTGCCGACAGGCATCACAAGCACCTTGGAGGCGAGTCTTCTTCCAGGGTTGCGGCGGGGGAGAGGTACTTTCATCCGAAGACATCAGACTCGATATTTCGTACTCGACGTCGTTTACACAGTGATCTTCGGCAGATCAACGTCAGCGGCCGGAAACTCCCGAGAATAATTATTTAAACGCCGAAATTGTACCTCATCCCCTTTCTCTTTGCTCTTTCTTATCTTTTAACCCAGATGCCTCTCTGCGAAGCTGATGGTTGCCTTAACTAGGGAAATTTACGCTGTTCTAGCTGCAAATACGCGTTTTACTGGTACGTTCTTTTCAGTTATTGGTCTTGTATGAATATTTCTGACGCGACGCGTCTCGACCTCAGCTCTGAGAAATGCCAAAAGGCGGAATGGCGCATTCACAAAAAGGGCTGCGCAATGAACAAGATGCTGCGCGAGATGCAGGAAAAGGCGGAAGAAGAGGAAGCTAAGAAGCCACTGAAGCGACCACCCACCAACCGCTGCACCGGGTGCAATCACAAATTTGAAGACGGGAACGATGAAGATTGGGATGAAGAAGACAGGGATGAATGCCCAGATTGCGAGTATATTGCTTGTGAGAGCTGTATCTCTGACACATCCAGTGGCAAGTACTGTCGTCTTATATATCTCATCCTCTAACCTGAAAGTAGGATCCTGCTACTGCCAAAATTCCAACTTTGGGGTTCCATACTGCGTGATGTGTGAGTTTATGTGCATTCATAAATAATATACCTCTGACTGTCGACGTTAGCCCCGAGATGGTACCATATGAGTTCCGCCCCAAGAGGAAAGGTTTATCGAGGTGATAGGTATCCACCGGCTGAAGATGAGGATCCGAATGTGTACGAAGACAAGCCCAGAAAATGTGGCAACTGTGGTGAAATCGGCCTTTGTTTCAAGAAGGAATTCCTCTAGTGGTATAAGGAGAGCACATCGATCTATGCTCGCCATATCATGTTGCACTGACGATTGAACTTAAATATGGTATGAATGTAAAACATTGATACATACATGATAGTAGTACATGCGTGTTTGTTCCAAGCTGACCGAACCGCGACTCCAAGAGATGAACCTGAGGCCAATGCAACCTACGTCTCCATGCTGGATATATATGCTCCCCAATCGTTCCAGCTGTAAGGACCCGATGAGAATCGCGTTATTAGTCTTGACGACAATGAGCGTACCTGAATCCCATAGGCACGTTCGACCACATATTTATTGCGTCAGGTTTCAATGTGGCTCCATCTGTCAATGTGATTGACTCCTGCATGCCTGATGCTCGGGTCCCTTCACGCAGAAGACGTGAGCAGCCGGCTCCTGCCTGGTAAAAGCGGCTGTGGTTGGCTCTGCTACTGCCGACGGCGATACGCCAGGCACCTGGTTTAACGTATTGACGTAGGTGGACACTGGTGAATGCGTTGCCGTCGATCCGGTTTGCCACGCTGTATTCGCAAAGAAATTGTTCACATTGGAATCGGAGGCCATAAACGAAGGTGCACCACCCAAGGAGAAATCCGAGGCTATGTTTCTGCCTTTGAAATGGGTTTCGGTTGAAGGTGGGGCATCTCCAACAATGACTTGTAAAATATCCCTAGAAAAGCATTGTCAGGGAGAGAATGGTCCCTCATGCAAGAAAAGTCTTACACTAAGCGACCGGAGATATTCCACCTGTCATCGTAAGTAGACGTTTCTGTAAGATCAAGAAGGCGCCTTACCGTTTGGCACTGAGCTCCAACATACTTAAACACCTATCGATATCCTCCATCTCTTTCATTGATGTCGGAGTAGGTCGGAGAACCCGGCTTAGATGTGCTCCACATGTTCATGGCAAGAATGATAGCCGATGAAAAGGCCGCCATCTGGAGCTTACAGTGAGCATTAACAGCGATGGGTGAAATTGAACCCCACCGAAAATCCGAACAACTGGAGAGGAGGACTACCTTCTCTCTGTACCTCGAGAACGTGACAACAGGACCGCGCTGCATTAGTGCAAATCGAAAGTGAGGGAAACGTGAATGGTGACGACTTGTGAATGAACGGTCGATGGATCTGTATTTGTACATGGTAATACGTTGCATATAGCAATGCAGCCTGATAAGAGAAAATCCTGTTTTCACGATGCTGACCCCATTTCACTGAACAAAACTGTTATAGACTGAGACATAATGGCAAGATAATACGCACAATGTTCTGGCATCTGAAAAATCCAACCATTCAACATAGAGTCCAATTGCGAAACGATATTCTTGGGCCAACTTGCACCTACTAAACCCTCTGCCTGCTTCGCTTTACGGATGGAATAGAGCGTCCTTACGGCAAAAGACATGATTTGACACAACCTCAGATGCATGATGAAATAATCCATCCTGCTGTGGACGCCCGAAGGTTGTATAAATTCGCATCCTCCTTCGTTTATTGTCCAGTATTCGTCGTCGCAGATAATCGGAAACTCGAGGTCAAAGCTGGCGTCAAGTTATGCCATGTTAACATAGACACGAAGCGTCAGAAGAGGCAGGCGTACTCTTCATCCCGAATTGCTGGAGGTCGACCGTGATACAAGCACAGATGTCGGTCGAGAACATACAAGCCCCTGAATGACAATGAGAGATCGTTCGCTTGGATACGACACCAGCGACGAACCAGAATGCTCTTTTACTCAGTTCTGTTTCGTAATTAGGTTTCTCTGGTCGCTGTCGATGTAAACCCATCTCCACACCATACCTAATACCCAACCCAATCATAGTCCATGCTGACTGAGGTGAAGAGGTAGCCAAGAGAAACTCCGCCGATAGCTATGGTCGTAGTAAGAATGGTTCGGCAACGAAGGACATGAGTCTTACGCTACAAAACTGTAGGTCATACAGGCTTGGCATGTCGAACAGGGCTCGCGGCATCTCCCTGGTTTGTACAAACCATCTCCACCCCGACGAGTGCTCCGACATGCCTTCCAGGAAAACACGAGGATCATCGGACGCTCTTGAAGCTACAGCACATACTAAGAGTACCACGGCGCCAAATCTAGGGTCAAGATGGTGCTGCCCTGAAACTACAGAATGGCGGAAAGTTGGCTCGTGCATAATGGGCATGTACGGATGAAATTGGGTGAAATAGAGCTCCACGAGATCCGCAAGAAGGTCGGGTGGCGGAAAATAGAAAGTATTCCGACTCATTTCGACGGTTGCTTGTTCCCACTATTATTCCCGATCAGCGATGTGGGGTAGTAACAGGCAATGTCTTACGGGATGAGTCTGCCAATTCTTCCAATGTTCCTTTTTAACATTGACTTCCTGTCCAGTTTGCTCACTTTTCATTGAGAATGCCTTGCGCATGAATGCGAGATTGCTGGACGGTCCAAAGTAGCGGTTGTCCATCATGTGTAGTGACATTTTCTTCATCTGGTCCATCACTTCGATGTACTCCATGTCAGGGTCGGTGTCGGAATCGTCTGTGGCAGCGCCACCATCAAGGTTATCAGATAAAGGAGAGTCTTTGGTTGAATTTTCCACATTATTGCTTGTCCCAGTGCTAGACGCCGGTTCATCAAAATCAGGGATAGTAACGTCCGGCTGGAACTGTAAGAAGGATGAGAGGTGGACAGAGGAACGACGAGGCTACTGCTATTGAGCTGACCTGCTTCAAAATTTCTTCAAGCTTCAATACTCTCTTCTCGAGACGAGTCACATAACTAAGATGAAGTTGAGACATGCTGGCAGGTTAGGGACAGACTACGTACTTGCTTTTAGGTCCGCGTTTCTGATTAGAAATGAGCGCTGAGCAATCGTGGGTTCCTGTGATATCGAAAGATTACTCGCCTTTGCAGGTTCGTCATGAGTACAGGGCGAGTTGAACGCTCGACAATTGGAACATTGGTTGCCAGGCATATTCCTGCTGTCGCCTGGATATATGCGCATATTAATATGCTATATCGTCGAAAGAAAGGCTACCACCATTCACGGACATTTTACTACGGAATCAGTTAGTAAATGCTGGCTTTAATGACAGATGTTCCGTAATACACACTTTTCTTCCTCCTACACGCATCGCAGGCTCCTTGCAGTCTTCGTTTCTTCCATCCCTTCTGCGGAGGCTTCCCAGTACCACTCTCGTCAGATGACATCGCGGAGGAGGTGGTGGTTGAAGGACAAGCGGTTTTGCGTTGGGATAGGACCCGATAGTTCGTTTCACCATTGCCGATGATAGACCTGAATGACGACACGGCCGAACGTAGCTGAATCGGGAAGTCATCACGTGATATGCCGCCCAAAAATTAACGATCGGGATTGGCGCAGGTCTTAATAAGGGAGCTCAAGTATCAATCAGCGGATGAGATCTGAGGATCTGAGGCGTGATGCTTAATGCTCGACTCCTTCGTTATCTTTGCAGGGCATCGGTATCGCTCTATTTCACTTGATGCCTATCCTGTCACAGAGAGGTACGGAACTCAGCTAATCAGTCTAACTGGCACTGGCAAGTTGGCAACCCTGCTTCATTACATTCACTGCCTTCAGAAGGTCTCTGACCCACTTATATCCAAATACGATGCAATCAATGCCGAGGATGCTAAGGTGTTTGAGCTCGAATGTCTGATGGTCTTCAGTCTCATATTCCTCCGAGTCGGGAAAGTCTGTAACACGCTGAAGTTGAAGGTACTTATTCTGAAGTAACCGGCAGCGATATTCGACTTTATAGGATGGGACGGGCATCACGACCCAAGCTTAAGGCCCACAAATGTCCTCAGGTCTTAAGCGGTCATCACGGTCATCACTGTTGAGCTCGAGGTGGTACTTGAAATCCAAACAGACATGTTCCAAGTGTTGCTGTTTGTCTGGAATGGTGCAAGTGCTTATTGACCTTGTTTTGGTGTCACATCACTAGCTAAACAAATATTCTGACAACGCGACTCAAGGATGTCATGCAAGGAGCCCCCGCCAGTGATGACACAGCGATCCCCGGCCTCAAGGCTCCTAATGGCCGCAAGGCTCATGCTTAAGTGAGCAGTCTGAAATTCGAACTAGTCTCAGTGCATCAACAGAGTTAGAGCCTAAGCATGGGAAGGATGAGTACAATGTCTACACATAACTCAAACAATTCAATCTATATCATATTTTCCTCAAAATTTTCCTACTTATTCCCCTTTCTCTCATAAAACGTGCCAGTTAGAGGCTCAGATTTGGCTCAGATAACTTTGACTGTCCGAGCACTTTCAATTTCATCAATACCGGAAATTCTCAGAGCACCGTTCCCCTGACATTGTGCATTATCGCTTACGAGGATTCTCACCAAGTGTTCACACGCTTGAGATTCTTCTTTTTAAATTCACAGGAACCACGCAAAAGCTCGAGCTTGTTTGATCACACGCTCGGGTACACTACATCAAATTTCCTTCGGGAATTCTGATACTACAGACAGAATAGAGTTATTTGTATGGGGGCTAAACAGTCACACGTTGTCGATACAACCAATTTTCTGTCTTTCGTAGTTTAGACATATTAGTAATAGTACACTTATGTGGAATATTGAAGGCCGGAAAAAGTCCTTCAGATGATAGATGATCAGATACGATGCATCTAGGGTAGCGGCTCTCGACTGCTCGACAGCCGATTGAGGTGAATATACACATCGGTCCCAAACCCGTCCATAGCTATTAGTCGAAGATCGCCACCAAAATAACGAGCATACTACCATCGGGGACGTGAGCCAGCAGTTCTCAAAGCAAACAGTCAACCTCACCAATCTTGATAATGGTAGCCCATAACCGAATCCAGCCATAGGGGCCTTAAAATCGCTTGCGTTAAAATCTTCAGACACGCCTTGACCTTCCATCGTCGTGTACATGTACGTCCAGATTAATGGTATGGCACTTCGGGGTATGCCGCCGCCTTCGTCGCTTATTTTTATAGTGATATCTTCCGTGCCCTCCACTACAACTACCTTTATAGGTGGATAACCATTTTCTGCATCAACACCAAATCTTTCCACAACCGCACGCAAAGAGTTCTTCAAGAGCTCGAAAACAATATGCGAAAGATGGCCTGGCACATAAGGAAAGCAAAGGTCGGGAGGACAAATGAGCTGAACGGGAGGTCCCTTGAACATGGCGTAATGCTCTTCGCATACGAACCGCGCATTTTCAATGGCTTCTTGTACGATGTCGTGAACGTTGGCATTGGTGCAAATTATGCCGACATAGTCATCGTGCGACTGTTCGCTGTTCAGCGCAATATCTTCATCATATAGTAAGGAAGCGAACATATTGCACAAGAAAAAAAACGCACGTTGTCCAATCAAGAACCGGATGCCAATCCGTGAAAGATAAAACCGGTCCAACCATGCCTGAACGTCGAGCCCAATATTTCTTTCCCCCTTGCTACGTTTCCACTCTAGAACACCTTGTGCTACAGTCGTCACGGTGGGGTCGTGGCGACTCTTTATCGCCTCCAGGGTTTTAGTGAAGCGTGCGTTGTAGTCCCGCACTTGAGGAGGCCAGTCAATGTTGTCGGTGTTGGCGTAGTACCTAACGAGTCGTATTCACAGAGACAGAAGACCAGGAAGGGGGAGGCTCACCTTCTCTCCATAGGAACTCTAAGCTTCAGTTTATTGAACCCATTACCACCGTTTCCGCTCAAATTCATCATGCCTTGCGATCCACCATGGTAACTTGTGTGCAGATGAGGATTATTGGCATAATCTTCTACTAATTGCGCCAAAGATGGGTTCGGAACGGGTTCAGGAAGCGATGAAAGTTTGTCATCACGCGTTCCAATCAAGGCGCGCCGAATATGTTGGGGAAGAACGATTTGCGGAAACGTTATGAGTTCCTGGCCGATATTTGGTTGTGAGGGGGGGAGATGGAATAACTATATACCAATGACTCACTTCGAATGACTGTGCATACCAATTCTTTACCTTCTTTATCGAAGGCATGGAGCTGAGATTATGTGGCAGCTCGTCAAGTTCTTTGACGCGGTGAGCCAAACGAACGGGGAGCTCCTCTACGTAGCACACGACCGTGAATCACATTTCATCCAAGCCAAACAGAATAAGGCATACCAGCAAGAAATTGGCTAGCTTTCAGCAGAGTTCCCTGACTAGGATTCTTGCCAAAGAGGACCATTTGTTGTAGAGAAACTGCAGCAACAAGTATGAACACCGCAGAATCCTTCGACAAGCTTGGTACTTACCTCCCGTTTGCGGGAAGCTAGCAAAATGGTGGATCTTGTCCCATAGGCTGGGGGTGATGCGAAACATCGAGCTCATGGTACATCCAGACGATGGAGGAGCAACTGACGGCGAGAAGGAAGGAGGAAGATGAACGGATGAGGACTCCGGGGTACCCCAGATTCACATGCCCCTATATCACGTGCTCTAATAGCCGGGGCCGAGAAAGCTTGAGCCTTGCCGGACTGTGTGAACATTAACCCACGTCCTTTCTATCAGCGTTCTCCAGTTGCAGCTATCCTAAAGACCAACTTTTCTTTCTATGGGTCCTATATCTACAGGTATCTCCGCGTTTCATTGGCAGACGGGGCCCCGTTGGTCTTACATCCGTATGTTTCCGGATGCAGACCAAGACAAATTCCCCTCCGCATCCAGGCCACCCCCCACACCCCACCGGGGTATCTTTGAAACCCAACTGTGCCGTCTTCGTTCTTGATTGACGTCCACAGGCATTTCCCGACTCTTCGACGTGCTTCGTCTGGTACATCTAGGCATCTTTGTTCTTGTGACCCGCCCACCACAACTGGTTCAGACGATGGAAATACTAGTCCTATCTGCTACACAGTTCGAGAAACTCCAACGAAAAGTTTGTGTTGTGGGCGGACCCGCTATGTTAGAGGATGCCACTTGAACTCACTGCTGGCAGCTTATGATTGAACCATTCAAGTATCGTCGTTCCTCACAGAGATTAGCGCTGCGACTAACAATAAATATAGGCATCCGATTTTAACGCATTCCCAGGATCCAGACATCGAGGTGGTCCACACGCGAGACCGGAGATGAAGTTGGCCGTTGTATCATGACAATTGACTTTAAAGATACTTTCCGACTCCTCTCAAGCCCCCGGAGAACTCTAATTTAGGCGGACGCGGCGGCCGACCGCATGGCAGGTCAACCCGCCGCTAATGGCACAGACTTGACGTCAACTTTTAAGAGTCACCCCTCTGACCATCAAAGCAAAGAATGCAACATAGCAGCTTCAGCAAGGACCAACAGGCGCTGCTTTGTCTCTGATATGGATTTTGGTACAGGATGACTGAGAAAAAGCGAAGAAGTCAACGGGTGTACCGTCCACTCACCTATAGGGAATGTACGGCCGTGACGTCAGCACATATACGACCTCCCACGCCGGTCTCAATGTCTCCAGGTTTCATCTTGAGTAGTACAAAATATCAGAACACTTTCCACTCCTGCATCAGAAGCTCTGAACAGCTCTGGGCTCGTCCTGGAAGCCTGCTACCCAGTACCTTTCTTTGCTCACGGTCTCATTGAAAGCACCTATATCGCAGCCGCTTGCACGTAATTATAAGCAGATGCCTCGGGAAGTCTTTGCAGCGATACTTCAGTGCTCGTGGGGGAGTTGGCGTTCTTTCATTGGAGTTTCGTGGTATTTTTAGGTACGTTTTCCTTCTACGAGGATTCGCAATATCATCTGACACCTTCCGGCGTGAAGTGCGCACTAATCATAATGTGGAAGAAGTCTTGGGGCCTTGGGCCTTAAAGTTTTGAATGGATGCCACAAGGTTTGTCGGAACTGCACTGTCCAATACACAGTACCCGCCGTGCCAATGCATCACACTGATCATCAGGCTGTCAAAATCAGGTCGAGGGAACATGGGACGAGCAGAGGAATGCATGTAAATGCCAAGCCCGTCATGCATGAGTGCTTGAGGTAAGGACGGACTTCGTTTCTTTCGAAAGACAAAATAACGCTAAACCTAGGCTAATATTGTATCTGAGCTCTGCCTCAACCAGGATACTAACATTCACGCCAAGGATAAACGCGGAGCTCAAACCCTTCCGTTCGGTCCAGAAACTCGGTAATCTCCTCTGCGGGTTCCACGCCTTTCAGCTCCAAGAAATGATGGTTTTTTCGGAATCGGTCTGGAGGGCTATCCTGGAACCTCCATTGTTTCGTTCTCAGTCACCGGTGGCTATGAGATCCGACTATAAAATAAGGGATTCTCTTATGAATGCATATCCTCAAGCTAAGGCATCTTCAAAAATGAAAGGCATACTATCTTGCGTCATTGCATTCCTCTACTTGGGCTTCGTCTCTGCGACGCAGGTAGGCTCCTCCATTAGGTCTTTGGCCATTATCGGGCTCGATGTTAATCTTCTACTCCCAGAATACCGACTCAGCGATTCCTCTCCTCCGAGGATACGACGGGGCGACTCAGGATCATTTTTACACAACCAACGCCGCAGAAATGGAGAATGCTATCACTGTGCTCAATTACAAATCTGAGGGTGATGCAGCTCGCATTTTTGGTTCCCAAGTTTCCGGAACGGTACCATTCTATCGCACATACCACCCCACTCGTAGTTGATCATTTCTACACCACATCCATTGACGAGCGCAACAACGCGGTCCAGAATTTGGGATATAATGACGAGGGTATTGTTGGATACATCTATCCTTCGGCGGCGTGCTGCAGCGTCCCGTTCTATCGCTTGTACAACCCAACTGTGCACGATCATTTCTATACCGCCAACGCGAACGAGAAAAACACCGCAGCCCAGACCGATGGGTATGTGGACGAGGGCATTGCAGGATATGTCCTTTCCGTTTGATTGCAGTATGTGGAGTCCATGTGTCTGATCACAACATTCATTAACCTGCATCACAGATGACGATTGTTCCTTGTAGATCATGATGATGTCCGAATGATATTTTCCCTTTTCCGTCAGTTTCTCCTGCGGAGAGAGCGATGATAAGTTAAGCATCAATCACATCATTTCGGGGGTTGAATATCTATACACAAGAACACGCCGTGCCCTTCATGAACATATTTGGACAGGAGGTACGTTGATGTATCAGACGTCCGAGCACTGTTTTTGAACGAATACAATTGACATCTGCACCAACAAAAAACGGGGATTTCAAGGCGCTTCCATTCATCTCCAGAACTCGAACATTTCACATGTAGTGCCGCCACCTTCCGGGGCCTGAAGCTTCAGGTCTCAAGCTTTACTAGACCTTCCATTTGTTTCGTTCGCCCAAATTGGATCGAAGACATGCAATCCACTATACCTCAAGTATACCTGAAGCCTTGTGTACAGCGGGGCGAAGTCTCGAGCAACTGCATCCCAAAGTTTCAATAGTATAGCGTGTGGGATATTTACCAAGACTTCAGTTGTGGACGGGCGCTCGGCTCTCCTTGTGTATCATCTCAGCGAAAGACATTGAAGGGGTAAGTCATCAACATACGTATTTCTTATAGCACCATTGTCATTTCCGTTAGGATAGCTGAGGGGATTAGCGGCCGCTTGTCAGCGTCATCACCAGTGCCTCAGGATCACTATGACACAAAATCAGTGCTTATTCAATCAAAATCGAACAAGCTTGAGGTTTGCCACCGTAACCCTGCCCCGTGCACTTCATACATCGCCCACACGCACCATCTCTGTGGCGATCAGTTCGGGGAGCATGTGAGCAGCAAAAATGTACGTAGATGTCAAACCCACGGGTAATTGAGGCACGAACGCTGTTCGCTCAAAGATCTGCGAAATCCAGTTGGCCACTAAGCGTCTGCCTGATCTCGGCCTCAACCATAATAGGTATGAACAAAATCGCTCAGGGCCTTCTGTGAGTCGATCATTCAGTTTTGCGATTTGACAGTTCTTCTATTCGCTCCGAAATGTACGCAGGAGTATCCAGGAATTCGGGCTTCATCTTTCAGGTCAGTCACCAGGGAGTCGGACATTCAATCATACTATAAAACGAGGGTAATTCTCTCATAAATTCATATCCTCAAGCATGAAAGGTTTACTACTGTCTTGTGCCATCGCTTTCCTCACCTCGCGCGTCGTCTCTGCGACGCAGGTAGGTTACTTCATTAGTTCTTTCGCTACTGCCAATTAAGCGTCTATCCGCAGAATACCTGCCCCCAAGACCAGGCAATACCTCTCCTCCGAGGATACAACGGAGGGTCTAATGACCATTTTTACACCACCAGTGCTGCAGAAATGGAAAATGCTATCACCCAGTCGAAGTACAGTTCCGAGGGAGACGCAGCCCTCGTCTTTGGTTTCCAAGCTCCCGGAACGGTGCCGTTATATCGCACATACCAGCCCAGTGTTGTGGATCATTTCTATACCACCAATGAAAACGAGCGCAACAACGCGATCCAGAATTTGGGATATAATGACGAGGGTATCACTGGATACATCTATCCTTCCGCACTGTGCGGAAGTGTCCCGTTCTACCGCTTGTACAACCCAACGGTACATGACCATTTTTATACCGCCAATGCGAACGAGAAAAACACCGCAGCTCAGACTGGCGGGTATGTGGACGAGGGCATTGCAGGATATGTCCTACCTGTTTGAACGCAGTACGTCAAATTCATACATCCGGTTAGAATATTTACTGACTTACACTATTCTCAGGCGAGAGCAGCCTCGTGTGGATCTAATATTTTAACTGCTTTCAGTTGTCCGTAACATTGTGACTGCCAGATGATATATATCAGTTTCTTCCATAAACAGTGATGATAGCACACAGAACGACCTTGATGCAAGACATATCTAGACAGGAAATCCCTGACTTCTTCAAATCTGTTGAAGCGTGCAATTCGCAATTGGATCAATAACAGGATGTCTCTGTGAGATTGAAGGGGTTTTTAAATTCTTCAGAAAGCAAAATAATGGTACTTCAAAGAAAGAACTTACAGGGTATCGCCGCCATCAGCATGCTGATTTTGGATTCTGAGGAAATCCGGCCTTCCATCCAGGAGACTTCACCGAATTCAAGGGAAGAATCATCCTAGAGAAGGTATGCGTTAGGTACAGACAAGCCAAGCAGTCAAGCAGGCGGTGTACAAGCAAGGGATAAGCAGCTAAATTCACCACAGTGCTTGTACAGGAAAACTTTGGGTCAAGAGAGTAGCATCATGTTACATTCCATCAAGCGCGATTAAACAAGGCAGAAGGAGATCTCAAGGAGACAGTTTGTCGCACCCTGGTGCTAGCGGCTGGCACCGACTCAGACGCGGCAATTGCCACATCCAACTTGCAGTGAACTCCCGTCTGCCTTTTACCCGTTCTGATACTGTTTTTCAATCCAGTACGCCTAATATCTCCGGCCTCACGAGCTTGTGAGCTGGTGGTGAAGTGGTGGTTAGGGAGGCACCACCCCCGTACGATCATATCGTAGAGCGCGCGGACCAGGACATGGCATTACAGCTTCTACTAGCTCCTTGAACATCTTCCTGTTTGTTTCCCTACGTCTCACTTTAGACTTGGGGTGCCTTCTACGCTTCATTCATTGATATCAACAGATAATTCTTTCTAACTGCTAAGGCTGGAGAATCCTAGTATGACTGAGCCCGCTTTATTCTGGCTCTTTAGGAAATGACGACAACTTTTAGCCAGCTCTGACAAGTGTGAATGCGTTGCTGATCCTTGATTCTTCAAGCTCCTGGAGCTGTATCCTCTGCATTGTGCATAAAGTGGGCATAGGCAGTGAAAATGTGTGACGCTCCTGTAGCAATCCGACTTCGGCTCTCAGACTCGGCCCTACTATGCCTCATATGGCATACTTCCAGGTATCCAGTGAGGTATCTCAGACTTCCCAGTCACCTGTTAGAACGTTTCCTTTGATGTCGGATTACTAGTTGAATGGCGCCTTCCCATCGTCTTCGATCTATCCGGAAACACATGTCCATCACATCGAACAAAGAACAAATCCCCAATGCCTGACTGGGTGCCAGGACTTCCTTACTATCCGCTCAGGGCAAGCTTGGCAGGGACAATGCTTCGTCTCAGCACCTGGACACTCGAGGTATGTAGGGTGCTTATTGAGATTCAAAAGTCGAGTTAGAAAATCAGTCAGCTGATTAAATATCTGTCTTCGTTCCGGAACGAGAAGGACTTGATACTCTGGTCTGCACAACTTATCATTCCGGCTGTACGAGTCGACTTGACAGGCCTTCCATTCCTTTGAGATGTGTTCCGAGAGCTGACTTCGTAGAATCGTATTCGCTCCAAGATGTGTCTTAGTAGTGATGACGCCATTCACATACAAGTAGGATACGGTGTTTGTGAAAACATATCTTCAAAAAGTCTACGGGATTATCGAAAGGCTTAGTACTGACCTACGTATCTGCTCATCTCTCATTGGGTGTCGTTTCTGTGACGGAGATAAGCCATCCCATTTGCATCGTCGGTTAAATTTTTGGCTACCGCTTCACCGCGCGCTTAACAAAGAGGATTCAGACCATTTATAGACCACCAAAGCTACCGTCGCTGGCGGCTGGAAGCTCGAAGGAGACGCTGCCTGCATCTACGACTTCCAAGCTCCCTGCAGCGACTGTACCACTCTATCGTATGTACTCGCCTGCCGCCGTTTATCGCTTCTACACCACTGATCAAGCACAGCAAAACAATACAATCAATAATCTTGGATTCACCGACCAGGGCATCGCTGGGTACATTTACCTTTCGACTTTTTAACTTTGTGGTAGCGTTCCATTCTACTGTATGTATCAGACCACTACGCATGATCATTCCTACACCATTAATGCGGCTGAGAGGGACAACACTGTCAAAAATGGAGGATGTCAGGAGGAGCACATCGCGGGATATGTTTCTCCTATTTAATCGCAGTAAGCCGACGTCATCTTCCTAGCGTAAATCCATGTTGGTCAACATCATTTCCAGGCCGGTGTCTCTAACCTGTCGCGCAGACTACCTATAGTTATTGCGTAGTCGGTTTCGTGCTATGAATTAGCCTGCTAAGAATGAGTTGTGTCCTAATAGTAATGGAATCTGTTTCAAGAGTTCAAGGTCAAATGATCAATTTCAATTCGGGATACAGAACTACAGTCAAACAATACAGACAACAAAACTACAGATGAATGTAATACATACAATTGAATATCAGGGAAAAAGAGATCAAGTGATGATATAGAGCGGTCGCCGCCTGGGTTGGCATAAGGGCATAGATGAGCATAGATAGGCATAGATGGCATAGACAGCATAAGTGGCATACTGGCGGCAACCGGCTCTTGAAGATTGTGGTCAATACAAGGTGGCGCAGGAAAGATGAAACGGAGAAAAAAATGAACAAGAAACGAAAGGAATAATTCAGTGCAGAAGAGTTGCGCGGTGCCGGGCGGGTTTACATCTGTGAAAGTACGTTAGTTTAGACGAAGATGTGAGACTGAAAATGATCACTCACGACACAAGCTTTAAGCTGTTGCTTATCGTAAGGACATTGGCACTCCTGAAGGATCCATCTACGATTCATCGCTGCAACGAGAAGTCTGGTTTCTTTAGCCACCTCGTCCTCTTCGGAGTCCTCCTCGACCTCTACGTCAACAAAGGCGGCGAAAGACTTCGGTCTCCTCAGCTTCGAAGGTGTGCCGATCTTAGGAGACCCGTGCGACTCGGTGCGGGAGCGGGAGGTACGGGTTATTGAAGATAGCTCCTTGACGCGGACCATTTGAGCAGGAGCCATGGGGGCAGCTGGAAGAACAGTTGGAGTCGTTTCCCGCGCCCTGTTCCTTAGGTACAGACTTGAGCCTAAGCAAGACACCGGCAGTCTTGACGAACTTGCGTGTCGTGGAGTCGGCCCTCTGACGCGTGAGCCTATCGATGACCGGAGAAGGCAGAGCAGGCGAAGGGGGTCTATCCACGTTCGAAGAACGCTTCAGGCGGAGGAAACTGGGGGCGGTGGCTGCAGAGCGGATGCTGAGGGATCTTTGGGCCTTGATCCTGAACCTGTTGGATGCCACTTTAACATTACGTTCCTCGGGAGACTCGACCATCGTCTCATCTGAAGAGCCAGACATGGAGCGCAGGTGGAAGCCCCGAACAGACGACGTGCGCGAGGACAGTGAGTCGGCATAGGTGGCACCATTGGAGCGAACGTGGGGATGAGTCAACTGGGAAGCAGCAGGCGACATGATGTTCTTAACAATAAGCTCGAACGAAGGAAGTGGGAGTTATGTTCTTGTGGATTATATAGGCCAGCCTTTTGTGTGTTCGGGTTTGGTCGTTGGCTTGGTCTCTTTGTCCGTGGGATGGTTGCATGGTGGCGCCTATTGTTTTCATATTTCGGCCAATATCTTTGCTCTATCGTGGCTAGGCAGTGTGATTTTCAAGCCTCGGACACGCCAATTTCGGACCATACGTTCCCTGTGGAAGCTTTCATCTAGAAAGCCAAAGCTCAGATGCTGATAAGCTGAATCCTAAGACTTCTTTGCCTCTAGTAACAGCACGAGTAGATAATTGTGACGGTGCATTAATGATCCAAGTGGGAGAAATCCAAAGAACGGCATTAATTAATACTGTTGTTATCCCCCACATATATCAAGACGCCCAGGAAGACGAGTTACAAGGTAGATTTGCTGTAAAAGTCAAAGGTGGATGCTCATTTGGCCTTGGATACTTCGATGTGCACCCATCGTGGTCGGTGTGTCGTAAACGCCAGAAAAACGGGTACCAGCATAGCCCTAGTCAAGGCCAAGTCAGCTTTCCAGTTCACCAAAGGTAATAAGAAGATCCAATATAGATGGTGTTGATTTGTCTAGACTCCATGTGCTTTCTTCGCTGCGGTTCAGCGGCTTTGGCTTTAGCTTCGTTGTGTCTGTAGTCAGGTTACGTGTACAGTATTACTTAGATCCGAGTACGGGTGGCTGTGTCGTTACGAACTCCGATTGAAGGTCCGAACTCCGACTCGCATCACTAATCAGTTTTGTAAAGACATTACTCATCCAGCCTGAAGGCATAAAAGGGCGGCTGCGCGCTCAACTACCCATCCCCCTCCGACCGTCAGACTCAGAATTCAAGGTAAGCGCTGTTTCTCTCTGTACTGGGTGAAATTTGCGTATGGATGGAGTCCTGGAGAGCTGGATTAGGTTGGACGAAATTGGATGACGCAAATTGAGATCGCATTGCCTGCATATCTTGTGGAGCTCGTTGGAAGGCTGGATGCTAACATTGAGGTTATCTCTTATAGATGGGTCGCCGACCAGCTCGTTGCTACCGCTACTGCAAGAACAAGCCGTACCCGAAGTCCAGGTACAACCGTGGTGTCCCGGATCCCAAGGTATATCTCATACCTCTCCCGCTCATTAGCTGCGATTCTAAGGCTTGTTCAGATCCGTATCTTCGACCTTGGTAGGAAACGTGCCTTCGTGGACGACTTCCCCTTCTGCTGCCACCTCGTCTCCGATGAGTATGAACAGCTCTCCTCAGAAGCCCTGGAAGCTGCTCGTATTTGCGCCAACAACATACGTCCACCAAGGACTAGCGGAAGGATTCTTTCCATCTCCGTGTTCGCGTGCACCCCTTCCATGTTCATTCGGATTAACAAGATGTTGAGTTGTGCTGGAGCTGATCGGTGAGTGGTCCCATTGCTGCAGTTTTCGGTTAGTGTACTAAGATGCTTTAGACTCCAAACTGGTATGCGTGGCGCTTGGGGAGGAAAGCCCTATGGTCCGTTGCACGGGTCAACATTGGACAGATCATCTTGTCCATCCGATGCAAGGATGCTAACGCCCCTGTCATCATGGAAGCACTTCGCCGTGCCCGGTACAAGTTCCCTGGCCGCCAGAAGATCATTGTTTCTAAGAAGTGGGGTTTCACTAACGTCGACAAGGCGGATTACCTCAAGCTCAAGGCGGAAGAAGAAGGTGTTGCAGTTGAGTATCACGTATTAGTGCATCCATCCGAAGTTATTCTGATGTGTATTATTCAGGGACGGTGCCTATGTGCAGTTCATTAGGCCCAAGGGCCCTCTTGAGCAGAACCTGAAGAACCAGCTGAGGGCGTAAGTCTATATGAATATGTATATTGCATACGCTAGTTTGGAGGTAATCCAGTGTCACCATCTTCGCCTTGTTTCTGTTCCATTCTTTTCACTAAGCTTCGCGTGATTCTTGCCCTTATATTCACTGGTCCATCTATTAACCATGGGTGGTCTCAGGGGAAAGGGGGCATATATTGATTTACTGTGTAGTTAAGCTATGTTTTCTGACAGTGACGAGTTGATGTCGTCTTTGTTTGGCGACCTATACACATTCCAATAATATTATCGTTGAATACGAATTGTGAGAATACAAATGATTTGATTTTGATTTTAATTTTGGATGATTATTAGCTAAGATGATTTTCTGATTTCATCAATATGGAGCCGCCCTGCTTATTGTCTCTCCACCACCATCGGACCGACGTCGGCACCTCAAAATGGACCATGCCTACAAACGCGACCAGTTCGACAGGGAAGGAACGTACCATCGAGAGATGTACCCGTCAATGCCCTCTGTTTCCTCAAATACATCAAGGCCGCCGATAACTATCCAAGTGCCTCAGTTTATGTATACTGGTCCACCAACACTGGCGCCGGGCGGTGGAGCGGAGGTCTTGGCTCCAGGGATGCTCACTGAAGGCTCATGGATGGAGAACAATGGGTTCAGCAGCGTAGCGCTGTCTTCGTATGCTAGTCTTCCTGCAGGGTGGGCACTGACACTTATTGTTATCACGCAAGGTACTCGACGTTGAAGAATTATAACACGGTCCCTGCACCACAAGAGACTGTCGAAGAAATGCAGCGGGAGTCGCATTCGGCGCCATTTGACTTTCCGTCGTCGTCTGCGACCTCGCCAGCATCAATGCCCAGTCCCCCAGCCCCATTACTGCAGCCGACGCCTATAGCCCTGACCATGCCTATTTCGCCTGCAACGTTCACCTCCGTTCCAAGTGCACCTTCAGCCCTTGGTCTTCCTGTTTACTCTACCTCGGGTTTCGATATTCTCTCTGTACTCGCCCGCGTTGCTACTCGGCCAAACCCCACCGTCACCCTAGGGCCAGTTGATCTTACATCATCTTTCGTTGTTGTTGACGTCCGGCGGCACGACCACCCTATCGTATACTGCTCTCCAACATTTTGCCAGTTGACAGGTTACCCGGAGCGGGAGATTCTAGGGAGGAATTGCCGTTTTCTGCAAAGCCCTGACGGTCGGGTTAGAAGGGGCGAACAACGACAGTATACGAGCAACGAAGCCGTTGCTCATCTTAAGAAGAGCCTCAGCGCAGATAAAGAGTGTCAAACATCTATCGTCAACTACCGCAAGGGCGGAGGAGCGTTTATAAACCTTGTGACCGTCATTCCCATCCGCGGGGGTTTCAGCGATACGCGCGGCGGCGAGGAAGACGAGGTCATCTACCACGTAGGCTTCCAGGTAGATCTTACGGAGCAGCCGAACGCTATTTTGGAGAAGCTCAAAGACGGATCTTACATCGTCAATTATCCCCCTCAGACCATGCTGCATCCCCTCGGTGACCTCCAAACTCTATGTATGGGATCAACTAAGAAGAACTTCATACCACCACTAGTGATGTCCTCACACCTCAAGGCCATCCTTCAAGCGTCGTCTGACTCTAATAATGAGAAGACAGAAGATGGAAATTTAAACCACCCCCTTTCCCTTTCCCTTCTTTCGCACCTACCTGACTTCTTTCTCGTCGTTTCGTTGAAGGGGGCATTCCTTTATGTGGCTCCTGCAGTGCAGCATGTACTCGGGTATACTGCGGACGAGTTGGTAGGAAAAGCTCTTGGAGACATATGCCATGCCGCAGATGTTGTCCCGCTGATGAGAGAACTGAAGGAGAGCTCGACATGGTCCACACCACCGCATAGTCAGGGCGACTCGGGCAAGCCTGCTGATTCAGATGGGAAACCCAAGACAGTCGATTTACTCTTTCGTGCACAAACTAAAGCTGGTGTACATGTCTGGATGGAATGTCGCGGAAGACTGCATGTCGAGCCAGGGAAGGGGCGAAAGGCGATTGTGCTTTGCGCGAGGTCCAGAGCAATGACGTCGTTATCTATATCCTCGGCTTCACCTCTAGATGGTCTGTGGGGCACGATAAACAGAGATGGTGTCGTTCTTATGGTTGGCAGTGGTCATTTGCGAAGCCAGAGGATCACATTACGAGACGAATGGGGTTGGTCAGAAGCTGAGCTCGTTGGGAAACCTCTAGCTGCTGTCTTGGAAGGCGTCGACAACCTGTTCTATCGTGGTGGAGGCAGAGGTAGAGGCAGAGCCCGGACCAAGGGTGGCGGGAATATTGACGTGGAATTCTCTCTCTACGATACTGGCAGCTCACCCAGTGTTGGAGTAGGCGAACCGCCCTTAGTATACCAGATCATACCTCTGCCTTCAACTGCAATCGCCACAGATTACGGAACCGCTTATGCTAGTGCGTCAGGCGCTGGGCCTCCTACGACCTCCAGTTCTTCCGGCCCTCCAGGTGCTGTTCTGGCACTCTTTTCTGACCTTGACACCTCCCGCGCTTCGAGCTGGCAATACGAGTTGCAACAATTGCGATTCGCAAACCAGCGGTTGGCAGAGGAGATTCGCGTGCTGGAGGACGAGCGAGGTACGAATATGGCCTCACCAACGAGTTCCTTCACGCCGAACTCTGGCTCATCCCCTTATCCGGCGACTGGGGGGTCGTTTAGCAGCTCGTTTGCGCAGTATGCGAATGCTAGTGGCTATACGGCCACAAGTCAGCCTATAAACTCGGAAGGATTATATTCGCCTAGTGGGTACATTCCGGTCAACGCTGGATATTCGAATTTCCAATGGCCAACGGCCATGTATTCTGGTGTAAAGCGCTCGTGGGACCACCCAGCTTAAAAAGAAATCACACTCATAGGTCCTAAAGTCCCTGAACTTTAACCTCTACAGTAAGACTCTATGCTCATATCATCTACTGCGCTTTGTGACGTCCCTGAATCCAGAAAAAGCGATATCCACGGACCTACAGCTATATAAACTACTATACACGATGTATTATTTTCAGGTTGCTTTCTTGTCATTTTCAACGTTGTCGCTCTCAGTGTATTTATATCACCTCTGACCACTACCTCATCTTATTACGCCCACACTTACATTACGGGAAATGATTAATAGGTTGAGCTTTGGATAACTGTACCTAATCAAATTGCATGGAATCAACTTCCTTTGACAAGCAGGAGGCAATTCGACCGTTTCAGGACGCATGCTATTGTATGTGCGGACGTATTTACACGCTTCCCCGCTGGTCTTCTGGTAAGTTCCGAGGGACATATATCGTCCGGGACACAATCGGCTTTACGCTCAATCCATCAGAGCCTTGTAGAACTGCCTCCCGCAATGAAAAGGGTAAATTGGTGTCCGTTTGATCGGCGTTCGTGGTATGTCTTGCTTGAATGACAAATGGTGGAACGCGGCGGGTTCCTGACGATCGTCGGGTGTCGGGATCTATATAAAGGAAGACCTGCAACCTATAAATCCAGATCCTTTCATCGTCCCTTCTTTGGATAAGAATATACAGGAGGAATGGTGTCATTTTCGAATACAGTCCATATCGATGGGCCTGAGATACAGTGAGCTGGAAGGGCTCTGGTTCCCGCGCGCGACGCCCCATTAATAGATCGATAATTATAGACTGAGGGTTAGACAGGACGTGTGAGTCGAGTCACTACCTATCTTCAGGTCCAAATCTTTGGATCATCAGTGAAGCTGCGGATGCTGGGAATCATGAGAATCAGAGCAAATAATGAAACAACAACTCCCCTTTTTGCGCTCTCGTACGTGATATTAGAGGTTAGACGCGGGTATGAGAGTGGATAGACGGGTTGTGATATCCGACGTCACTCGTTTTCCATCGATTTCAGCGCTATGCGTATCACTTGATTGTCGGAACTCGAGGTACATAGACAAGACCAAGGAGAGCTGTCGACATGGTTACAGCCTGAGTTTTATATTCATCAGTTAACAAGGCTGGCCAGGGGATTTCAGCCGTCTTGTGTCGTCGCAAGGGGGGCCACGGCAGACGAGCACAGACCTCGTAGGAGGCTGGGACTCCGCAACTGAATTGAATGAACGTTATATAAAAATATCGCGCGCGCACGTGCCTATATCGGATCGTGAAGCAATGAGAACACAGCAGTAACTTGCCCGAGTAGTCCACTCTTGGAAGGAACGTTTCACGATGAAACAGCGAATGCGACTGGCTCGTTGTTCGATAATTGCGTCGCGCAGCAGGTAATTTGGGAGGGCAGTGCCTGTGTGGCGGTGCCGTTTGCAAATAAGGCGCAACTTTAGACCAAATATAGATTTGTCTTAAATTCCTTCCAACGACGACTATGTCTTTGCCCCCTGTACCTCCGCGTCCATACGACTACGACGACGCCGCTCCTGGCCCGCCGCCTCTCCCGCCCCACCCGCCAGAAATCCGGTATCACCCCTACGAGGTCGGCATCAGCGCCTCGTCACCTTTGCCCGCTCCTCGCGCTCACCAAGCCGCCAGCGTCGCCGCCGACCTAGACGCAATGTCGCGTGTCATGTCACCGCCTGCAATGTCGTCGTCAATAAATTATAATCCTGGATTCGCTCTACCGTATCCTGGCTCGCCTTCGCCGCCATCTCATGTAGACGTGTCCCAGTCCATCGCTGCCATCGGTAGGACGCCATCGATGTTCTCTACCTTTGGACGGCCGCCTTTACCACCAACGCCTCTACAAACGTCGCTCACGGCGCCGATTCCCACGATACCGTCGCTCGACTCTGCTCTGAGCACCGTGCAACAGCCTTCTCACGACCCTGCATTACGTATCGCTTGGTGTCGAGACGTGCTGTATCTTGTAGACAGGCATACTCACGCTCCGCCTAATGAACCCGTCGTCGGGCCAGTGATAATAACAGACCCGAATCTTACTCGCCTAGTCCAATATGCTATACCAATCATCCTGTCACTGGCTTCATCGCAGCCGCCGCAACCAGAAGCGCTGTACCTGCGAGCTTCACTCGCCGCCAGTGGTGCATTCCCCGACCAACTCCCACCCAATCCACGGGCAGCTTTTAGGGACTTTGAGTCCGCTGCTCGCGCCGGATTCCACAAGGCGTGGTTCCGTCTGGGCAGAGATTACGAAACATTCAACGACCTGACCCATGCCCGAGATTGTTTCGAACGTGGCGTCAAGTTTGGCGTTGAGGCGAGCATCTACGTGCGTTCGTTCTTGCTTTCCCTTTGGTCTATTCTGATTATTCCAACAGCGAATGGGCATGGCTCACTTACTCGGCCAGCTCGGTCTTCCTGCGTCGCCCCAGACTGCTTTACCTCTCCTCCAGCGTGCTGCTACCCTCGCTTCTCTAGAAACGCCACAGCCCGCATACGTATATGCACTTATTCTTCTCAACGAATTCAACCTTGTCTCCGTCCCACCAGCTCTTCTGCAGCCTCTCATACCCGCTGGATCATCTCCGCCCCTCGAAGCCCGTACTCATCTTGAGCGATCAGCTTACCTTCACTTCCCTCCTGCCCAATACAAACTAGCACACGCGTATGAATTTGCTCAATACCCCTGGCAGTTTGATGCTCTTCAATCAGTAGAGTGGTACTCCAAGGCATCGCAAGCAGGAGAAGTTGAGGCTGACATGGCTCTCTCAAAATGGTTCCTGTGTGGATCAGAAGGTGCCTTCGAGAAGGACGAAGGATTAGCTTGGGTGTTTGCGGAGCGAGCTGCAAAACAGGGGCTGCCAAGCGCAGAATTTGCCATGGGGTACTATGCCGAAGTAGGCGTAGGTGGTTCGATTGATGTAGCCAAGGCCATCGATTGGTATCAAAAGGCGAGTTTGCCATCTCCTTATGTTTCATGTGTTCTGATCTTCATCGTAGGCTGATTCGCACGGCAACACTGATGCTCGAGACCGACTTGATGCTCTCACTCAATCGCGTCCAGCTCCCCTCTCTCGCCAAGAACACGACGTCATCACCGAGTCCAAGCTTGTGCGAACGCGAACCCAAGCTCGTTTGAAATCGGAAGCACAACCCCACGGTGGTCGTCGTGGAACGGCTTCTGGCAACCCCAATGTCGTCGAAGTGATCCGCAAAAACACGCTGATGGAGATGCCTCATTCTGCACCACCACATCGGAGCAGTGTCAGTATGCCTCCACCGAGCGGCCCTCCCATGCCTGCGCCAGTGAGAGGGAACAGTGGGGGAAGCCTGCAACCACAACAGATGCCAGGACGAAACCGGTACTCACTTGCGGATCCGGGATTCAACTCTGCTCCCCCGTCGACATCATCATCGCCTTCGCCTTCATTGAGACCGCAACGAACGGAGTCACCGGTGGGGATGGGGAGAAGGACAGGTAGTCCTGCCACGGGTAGAATTCCCAGTGGCGTGGCTGCTACGCCGCAGCCTCCTGCGCAGGACAGACCTAAGCCGTCCGGTCCGACTACGTTCGCGGAGATGGGCTTCCAAGGCGCGAAGGCTGAGGACAAGGAGTGTGTTATCATGTAAGCTACAGGGCAGTACGAATGCCTTGGTATGAGTCCGTTATTTATTTATTGCATATCTCGATACCTTTTTTCTCATACTTAACACTAAAACACTAAAACCATCGATCATTAGTATCTTACAATGGACGTTTCTCCTTCATACACTTACATCGTATCTAGTCTAGTCTTTGTCTGTAGGATAGAATTTGTGGAAGAAGTACAATTAACGCGGAGAAAATACTGCTGTGTAGAACGGATTATTGTTTACTTTCTCTTGGAATCGATGTGTATCTCAGTTCATCATTACGCTACACAGCGCACCTACTGCCACTTTACATTTTAGCCGCGACAAACTGGTCTCCTCAAGATGTCCTTCTCTTTCCTTGTTTACTCACGCTTGATGGAATGTAACGTGCCGCTCTCATGAACCAGAGTTTTCCTGTACAAGTACTGTGGCCAATTTAGCTGCTTATCCCTCACTTTGCTTGACTTGTTCAAATACTAGCCTGGCGGTCAGAACGGTTCGAAGCTATAGCCGAAACTATTCGTTGCTGCTAATATGTGTACCTAAGGCGTACTTGCTCTCAAGACATCGTGACTTTGATTCTTTTCCTTGAGGTCGGTGAAGTTTGGGTGAAGTTTCCTGGACAGAAGACCAGATTTCCTCAGAATCCAAAATTGGCAGCGAGGCTCAACCGTACTATAAGGCTGGCTACACATGTCCGTTATCGATAGCAGTTGCTAGTTCTGACCAGAGTTTCAACTGAGTTTGAAAGCTGCTATACTGGGTAACTCGGATACCCTTTGCCGTCGCAACTGCATTGCACGATTCAGTAACATTGGCATCTCCATCACGTCTACTCCCTCTTACGACGTGTAAACCCGTGTTTTTCTCTCTGGGAGCACTTCCTTAGGACGTTACAAACCTTTCCCCTTCGTTTCTTCTGGTTTTTCAGGTAAGAATTTATGATCTCTTTGCTTCAGCGGTTCAAAACACTGTCTGCTTCTATCAGATCTTCGTTGGAACCGTGAACTATATGAGACGAAGTACCCATACAGCTGCTACTGTAGATGTAAGATTTTCTTTATAAATATTTACATGTCTGATATTCCGTTCAGATAGATATTTGTTACATTTCTTATATACATGTGCCTAGGCACTTTTCTCTCCTCAGCTATATCACCATCCCCGAGACGACAAGTTCAAAACTCGTAACCGTAACCAAGCGCATCAAGAATTTCTCGCTATTAATGCCAGATTCAACCCGATCTCTTGAAGGCTCATCACCACTTTGTTCCGCATTTGACATCTCTCATCATTACACCAGCAGGCGCAGGAATCATAGAAACCCATAACAGCCAGCTCCTCTCGGCTTTGTACTAGCTCAGTGGCCCCTACAAGCTCTTCCAGGAACTCGACGTCGGTATATTAGGCATACACAATGCCGAGACCCCATTCGTCACACATACCCAGTCCTCGTAATGAACTACAGGTTACTAGTATGATGGTAGGACTCACTACAGAGATGGCATTTGAAGGCTACTTTTGACAAGTCAGGGTTAGAAGCTACGGGCCAGTTCGAGGCAAGTACTTTGGATGTTGATGTGCCTGACGCTTTTGTTCGGAAATATTGTCCAATGCGCTATTATGTTGCAATGCTGTTGGGCATTTGCACCAGTTGCGATTCTGATGCCTCGAACTCGGATGCCACGATCTTTTTGTCTGGCACGGTTCTATGGTTGCTCTTCTGGCCCCTCAGACTCATCACTCATTGTTGACCGAATGCTACGACCTTTTGTCTGACGCGGTTCTATGATTGTTCTATGGTAGTTTGGCTTTGCAGCCAACATTTTGGATGACACTCTCAGGCTTATTGTCTCTTGATCTATGTTGGCGGTCTTATTATACCTGTATCCTGGTTTGTCTCATTGTCAATGAGGATATAAACTCGGAGACGTCGCGCATATGTCAATCAGAAAATATCCCCCGTTTCGCCTCATCACAATGCAGTCTCTAAACGCCTCCCAAGAAGTGGACTTCTCCACGCGCGAAAAATTCTACGCTATGGACGATTCCCCACTGGATCTCTTGTATACGAATACAGAGCCGGGAGAGCGTGTCTACGTCGACTTCGCCTCCAGGTTCAAGGACACCCCTCCAGAACTGCTATATCTATGCGCCATCGTTCAGGTATGTGGGTGTCTGCACTCATGAGCCTCCGTCTGATCAGATATCTTGTAGGCAATGACGGTCGTCTCAAGTTCGGAGTACTGGTACATGCTCGAACACGCCGTACTCTCACCGTAAGTGCACTTTTTTAAGCACCATCCCTGATATTGACTCACCCAAATTTGGCGCAGACGAGGTGAACTCTTCTTCCAGTATGCGGTATATACTTCTCTCAGCAATCCGTACGACTCTCTGCCCGTTTGCACGAGTTCCTTCGAGTCCGACTCCTGGGCAATCGTCAAATTCATATTTCCTTTCGACATCGGGAACGTGGAATCGTTGAAGCAATGCGCTCTGGATTTGCAAACTTTGGCTAAGAACGGATCGCTCTCTCAGTTGAGGACGTACTTGGAACCTGCATCGCAACAAACGATGATAAACGTGCATCGTGAGGGGCAGAAGAATAGCGAAGATCTGCACCCTGCCTATACTACGGACCTGGCCGCGGAATGTGTCAGTCGAGGGATGTGGGGTCTTGTGGAAGTTATAAGTGATGGTACGGGTGTGGATGCTAGTACGCAAGACGAAGTCGTGGGCACTATAGGGTATTATTGCCCCCGTTACGGACTGGTCAGTGCAGTGAAGAGAGACGAAAAAACCAAGCAGACTTATTATCGAGAAATAATCAGATGGGTAAAGGAAGATACAGAAGAGGAAGATTCTTCGGAAGATGAGGAAGATTGAGGCAGACAAAGTTGTACAATATCAATGATTCCATTCCGACAGGTAGAATAAATACGAAATGATGTTTTACAGTAGGTTATGTTCTTCTTATCCAATCCTTGGCTCATTTACTTCTTGAGATCGAAAACAACACGGCCCGCAACCTTTCCGGCAGCCATTCCGTCGTAGACGCTAAAGAATGTTCAGCACTCGTCGGGCCACAACGGGTGATGAGACTTACTTCTGGAGCTCCTTAAGGTCCTTGGTGACGAAGTGAACCTTCACTTGACCACGAGCGGCAAGGTCGAGGGCCTCCCGAGCATCTTGACGGTTTCCAACGTAGGACCCGAGGATGCTGATGCTCTGAAATAAATGTGAGACTGGCAGGAATGGGAGCGAGAGCCAAAATAAGTACCTTGAAGACAGTGAAGAAGATGGACGCGTTCAAGGTGGATGTTCCGGGGAGACCGACTGCCATAAGGGTAGCACCAGGGCGGAGGTAGTCGAGCGCCTGGGTGTAGCCGGAGCTCTAAAAGAAAAGTTTAGATGGAAATTCACGAGGAGAAAAAATGATCAACTGACGTGGGCGGCAGTGACAACAGCCGAGTGAGCACCGAATCCACCGGTGGCGGCCTTGACATCGTCGACAATGTTCTTGGATTCCTTGAAGTCGATCCAAACCTCAGCGCCGAGGCTCAGGCAAAGTTTCTTCTTCTCGGCACCGCTATCTACAAAAAAAGGTTGGTAGATGTTAGAAAATGTACGATAAGGACATACCGATGGCAATGACGCGGAGACCGCGAGCACGAGCGTATTGGACGGCTGTGAAATACGTTAATTGATATTGAAGAGGGTTGCTTGTAAAGAGACGCACCAAGATGTCCGAGACCTCCTCCAGCACCAGGAAGGACGATCCAGTCTCCAGCGCTGGTCTGGCTGTACTTGATGGCACGGTAGACGGTGACACCCTATGAAATAATGAGAAATGACCGATCCCACCAGAGAGCACGGAAAATGTACAGCGCAAAGGATAGAAGCAGCAGCATCGGAAGGGAAACCTTCGGGGATGGGAGTAACATGGTTGACGTAGGAAACCACGTATTCGGCGAAGGTACCGTCGACGGTGTAACCGCTCAACTTGGCCTGAGAGCAGTCTGAGCAAAGAGTTAGTCGATCGTACGGAAATAGATACAGAAGAGCTCACTCTGTTCACGGCCTTTGCGGCAGTCCTCGCAGTTCAAGCAAGAATCAGCGAGCCATTTGATTCCAACGCGATCACCCAGCTGAACGGGCCTATCGAAAGCTTAGTTAACGGATTCTGATATCACGCGAGAGTAGACATACGACGCGTTGGTGTTGCTTCCGATAGCTACAACAATGCCGACACCTTCGTGTCCACCGATGAGGGGGGTCTTTGGAGGGACGGGCCAGTCACCAATGGCGGCGTGCAAGTCGGTATGGCAACATCCTGGAAAGATGCTTAGAACCGCAAAAATGGGCGACGAAACTCATCTACGAACCTGAAGCCTCAATTTTGATGAGACATTCACCAGGAGCAAGCTGGTTCTGCTGCTTCACGGGGAAGTCGTTCTTGATTTCGATGGTGCCTCCAGTCTTCTGGACGATGGCGACCTTCTGGACCTTGGGGATCTGGAAGTTGGGCATTGTTGATAGATAAAGTTTTGGTGTTCAAGAGGGAATGAGAGAAGGAGTGGATTGGTGAAGATTGGGACGCGACCGACGCGCTTTTATATCTTCTAGGTGGGGTCGCGCTGGCCGGACGGCCACCCCCTGCGGGATTCCGAGACATGCGCCATTGTGAGACAGCCCTACCCCACGGGGCACACCTAGGGGATTCACCTGATCACTTCCACGCCCCTTTTGAGCGATCGTTATGGGGGGAAGAGGGGTTTCAAGCGCGTATGCATTTCTCGCCGTCTAGAATAGAAATCTTTGTAGGATTGACGCCAGAGATATTGTACGGAATACAGTTGGGCCGGGAAGGAAGATATTACGTCGAAAATCGAATCCAAGTACACCTTGAAGTACTGAGCGCTGTTAGCGTTTGGGTAACCTGAAAAAAGTTCATCAATTTCATATTTTGACGTGTTAGGCTAGCCTACATTTGTAAACGTGTGCAACTTGGCCGTTTTGTGGGGTCACGAGCATTACCCCCTGCAATTAGAACTGTATCTTGGAACGCGACGGAAATCCTCACCCGCTTTTTTCGATCTTTTGGCAGACTGCTTCCTTCCCGCTTAATTTATTTCCGCGCGCCCGTACTGCGGGTGGTGTCTGGGATTCGTAATCTTTGCATATGCGCCCCTACTTGGTGTCCGCCCCTTGGAGTTCTGACGAGTTTTTGATTACGGATAATAGGGTATCTTGTATTTCTGTCGGTGTTTCAAAAATATGAGGTTACAAACTCCTAGATAGTGCTGTAAGCATATTTTTAGTATGTTTACATCAAACCAGTTGTCTGTGTTCTTCCCCGACATTCCTTGTCAAGTTGGGTAGAAACACTGACACAGTGTAGTGATATCAGCGGAGGTGAATAACGGAGTAACGCCTTCGGAAGGACCAAGGTCAAATTTGCACTGAGATGAGTCATTTGTCACAACAACCAAGAGATTACGTCCGTTAAAGACCTAGTCTGGATTACCTGATCTCTGAAGATATGCAGGGAAATGAGCATTTGGGTTACATATGCGCAGTAGAAATATCAACCTTGTGGAGTGATAAGCCATCGACTTCATTCAGTCACAATTCGCTTTGACCCGACGCAAACGACAATTTGCCTGATTTTTTAACTCTCCGGGTATGCATGATAACACCTCAACGATCCTTGAACACGACTCGAGATATAGAAGTAAGGGACGGATTTGGGACTCGGATCTCTGTGCAGAAATTAGTACGCGTAAAGTATCCTCCGAAGGGCGCCTTATCAAGTCACGGCGTTCCATGATACTTGTCAGTGTCGCAGGATTCTTCGCCACAAATCCGATGACTCCGTACCAAATGCAACCCCAAAATGAACAGTCAACGGGCGTTTCAAGAACTCCATATTCTGGGAAACGTGACTGCCAGTAACACCGAAGAAGAGGCTGGGTGTGCTGATCACGATGGGGCGCACATGGAGATGCTACCCACCATTCCAAGAGCAAATACAGATTCGGTGTCGACTAGTATGAAACCTACAAGCGCGTCGATTGATACTTTTCGACTTTTGTAGAGAGTGTGAAACCAGGAGAGTTCCGTTTGCTCTATATTCAAGGGACCCCAGTGAGAGCTAACCCTTGATACACGTCATATTCACCCGGCGAAAGGCCTATTATCGAATTTCGAGGCTGTTCTGATAATAAAGGACCTCTACAGGCCATAAATGTCGCCCGACTTCAGGTTTACTACAGAAGGGACGCGTAGTCGCATATGAGGAATAGTCGTCGTTGGGAGGTCGTGGTAACAGTGTAAACTACCATTTTTAGTCATCACCTTCTGGTTCAACGGCCCGATTCCGATCCGATCATTCAAACTGAAGACTGAATTTAGGCTTGCACCAATTGGATAAACCAACCCTGTACCGTGACAGTCGCAGCCACACGATATACACCAACGTATCATAAGATAATGCCATTGGCTGGTAGATAGCTGGGTCCTCGGGTCCAACTCCTTAGCCCGAGTCGCATATTTGTCTGCAATGTTGAGTTTACAATCTTTTCAAGTTTTGTATCATGGCAGACTTGAAGGCGCGAGGGTAACACGCAAGTAGTTATTCCATTTTCTCTTCTTTTCAGTCATCGTACACTCGGTCCCGTAAATGTCGATTGTAAATTGAGTCGGGGCCGAAACGAAGACCGAAAAATGAAAGAGTGCTTCTTATATGTCATTTCTATCCGTGACAACACGCGACATCTGTTACCCAAAGAGACTTCAACCTGACAAATACTAGGGTCGGATCACCCGAAGCAGAAAGCATTACTGATTCCTCAAACGCATCCCTTTCAACGCTACTCAGTTATAGAGTCATCTGAGATTGAACTTCCTCAGACGGATTAAATGTGCCTGTACGTAACTCTCATCCATAACGTCTATGGTATCACAGCAAGTACAGATTTTGATCTACTAAAACAGAATAAGTTGCATTTCAATTGTAATGAGTGTGTCGACTAAATATACCAGATGCAATAATTAGTGAGGTAACGCCTAAACAGAGAAAAAAACAGACAAAGGTTAGAAAAAAAGGTAGAATAAGGAGTGTTGGAATACTTGGAAATCCATGATGGTATGCAGTATGTAATTTGAGAAGTGACAAGGAAAAAGAAAGAAAGAAAAAACCTTAAAAAGCAGAAAACTGTCTCTAGAGATCCCCATCAATCGCGTCTACAACATACAATACCTGCTGTGGTCTCACAAACAAACCTCGACTCTCAGCAGCCTCGCTATCACTTCCTGCTGGACTGGAGCTTCTTATTCGTTTCGCCCGCCCGCCCATACCTTCACCAGGTCTCTTCACCCCCTTCACCGTCCCGTTCCCATTCCTGGGCATATGTACCCAATCGGCTTTACGTCGACCAGCAAATCCTGATCCTGAGCCATCCCCCCATTCACTTGATGCCCCGCCCCCAATATCGAAATATCGGACTCCACCCCAGGAGCCATCGTTCCACTCGCCACCCAGATCACCAGCGAAATTCCCTGGAACCTCAACACCGACCCAGCTTCCTAGCTCTCCCTCGACTTCTCCGATGTATCGAGCGTAAGCCTTGAAGCGCTTCCGCCGCGAGGAAATAATGCAAGGGATACCAATTTCTAGGGTCGCACCCTTTGCCTGAGGGGACACAGGTAAAGATGGAGTAGACGAGATGGGGGCAGGTTCGGTAGGTGGCGTTTTGGGAGCAGTGGTGGTTTTGATCGTATCCGACGATCCTTTGCGTTTGAGTGTCGACGTGCTACTGCTGTTACTGGCCACACTTTCCGTCTTCTTGTGCTCTGATGCCAGACTTTGCGCGCGCGTAGTTTTGGGAGTCGCTTTCGGAAGGGGAGGCACGGGAATTTTTGCTTCCTTCTTCACTGGTGTTCCCGAAATACTTCTCCTGGTAGTCGAAGCGGTTGATGCGGTCGAACGTATGGACGACGTAATCGATGGCGCCTTCTTAACAACTGGACTCCTTGTGGAAGGCGATTTTGAAGCCAAACTAGCTGTTGACTTTGTGGTCCTCACAGAAGAAGTGCTCAAACTGGACGCTGTCGAACTCTTCCGAGAGCGGGCAGTAGCCGTTTTATATGTTGTGCTGGCACCATCGTTCGTCGTGTTCGTGCTCACCGTCGAGACTCGAGAGTTCGGCCGTGACGATACAATTGATAACGGCGGCCGTAAACTCGAGGCGGGCGTCGATTTCCTCACAGTTGAAGCCTGGCTCCTGACTGTCCGAACAGATGAGACAGATGCCGTGGATTTTGGTCTAGACAATGAGGAAGAAGTCGATGCCACCGACCGGCGCGAAGAAACAGACGAGGGTCCGACTATCTTCTTGGGCAAAGGTGCGCTCGGTGTTGTACGAGCTTCTGTCTCCTCTGTGGGCTCGTTGAGTGAGGGAGTAAGGAGTAGGGTGAAGATGACTTGGGCGGAGTAAGCTTTGAATCTGGTCGCGGATCTGTGACCTTCCGCCGTGGAGACGAGGCAGAGGTGGAAGTGGAAGCTACAGAAAATCTAGATGCAGCTGTACGCACGCTCCGCACGGAAGGCGTGATAGATGCGTTCGATCGTGCAGGGAGATTGCGGGAGAGGACGCTTACACGCATAGACTGCATGTCGCTGTCCTTGTCGGCGTCCTTCGGAGAGACCAGGGAAGCTCGCGGACTATTCTTTGCACCACCATTGAGGGTGGGCTTCAGGAGGTCGTCGACAGAAATTTCAATATCTAAGAGGCATTAGAAAAAGTAGCTGAAAGGAACAGCCATACTCACTATCACTTATTTCTTTGATAGCCCATCCTTCTAATTCCTCGAATCCGCCTTCGTTCCTCACGCCCAACCAACGTTTTCGTAACCAGGATAAAACATCCAGTCTAGTCTGCTCGACCTGAACACGTACGTGACTCGTTGAGGGGAGCATGGCTTGGTCACTCTCCGTCGGATGGGGTCGTAGCAGGATGTTCGACACCAGTGTTTGATATACAATAGCAGCATTCTTGTCGTTCACTCCTCTCTTAACAGACGCCATGATCCAGTCAACGCGTTCGCCGTCCTCAAACCGCACTCCGTCCGTCTCCATCATCTCGAGCCAGTCGGGTTGCGAGAAGCACGCGTCAGATTGGGAAGCCAATACATTATCGATCGTCTTTCGACCCAATAAGATCATATCCCGGACTGAATCTGCCCAGGCATCAATGACGTTGTTTAACTTTCCAAGAGCGTGTTCTGCAGCGAAAAGCAAAGCAAAGGCATTCTGCGGGGTGGTCCGTTTGCCAACACCCTTGAGTAGATTGTCTTTAATCTTTTGAGGGAGAGCGGAGAACTCTGATGTACACCAGCCCTCGCCGAAGAGACCAACTAGTGCTCGTCGGGCTCCACGGTCAAGGTGAGCGTTCTTGACGTCATCTGATAACGCGAATTCAAGGACACGGGGTGCGCGCCGGGCGCACTGACGACATCTGCATCCACCTGTGCCCCATTTGCCTCCAGTTATACGCTCGTACTCGGAGAATTCTAGGAATGCATGATACAAGCCGTGCATCATCTCTTGGACGATGCGCGCCTGTATTTCATCATAGAGTGTTTGAAGAGAGAGGTAAGTGGCAGATCTAAGAATATGAAAGGCAGTATCGAGATCGTAACTGCGGTGTGAAAAGACGAGGGTGCCGGTGTATATAAAACCAAGCGTGAAATGCAGTGATGCGGGAGTAAACGGTGGGGAAGGAAGTGAAAGAGTGAGAGGTTCGGAAGAGGTGGACTTAGAGGGTGCAGATGGCCACGAGATGAGAGCGGTGTGGAAATAGGAACATCGCGAGACCAGAATGAATCGGTGAGAAGAAAAGATGGCAGTTGTATGTTCAGGATTGGATGAGGAGAACGTCCCTGTGAGCTCAATACGCACGTCAGAGTAAAGCCGGGACCTCCACATGAAAACGAGGTCCTTTCGCAGTTTGTCGATACGTAGCTCTTCAGCGTCGCCTTCCTGCCGCGACTCCGAGGAGTCGAAAAGAAATTCAAAGGCCTCTCCAAAGCCTTGGCCGGTATAAAGGTATTCAAGTTCGTTGGAGAAAAGAGCGGGATTGATTGGGGTATTTAAACGTAGAATGGTGCCCGTCATCGTGGAAGGTGCTGGCGACGTGACTCGCATTGGTGACGAAGTACGCGAGCCGTCATCACCAAGATGGGGAATGTCGAGTCCTAGAGAAAGAGAAAGGGCCGATGTGGTGGGTACGGGTGAAGAGTATCCAAGAGGTGAAGGAGCGGTGTTTGGTTTGAAACTGAAGTAGCGACTTTGGAAGCTGGGAGGCGCCCGGGCATATACGATAGCTGGTCATCGTTGGAATCAGCATATATCGACATCTTCAGGGTCATCGAACTCACCTTTGTGCCCCCACACCTCTTCCGTCTGGTCATCTATCCCAACTTCCCATACAACATCAGGAAAGCGGTCCTTGGCATGGTGAAATAATGACTCCAGGTCTGCCTGCCATGTCATAGTCGAGTTTTCAGTAGCTCCTTGCAGCCCGGGTGGCGATACCATCAGCGCCATCGGCAAAGAAATGAGTGAAGGAAAGGTCTAAACAACGGATTTTGTCAAAAAACACGAGGCAGGCTAGGGCCCAGTCACGTGAGAAGGTCCCACTCTCGGATCCTCGGACCGCTTAGCCTCGAACTTCCAAGATCATACCGTGAACTGCCCATTTGGCAATGGTATCACAAGACGCCTCGGAGCCTTGGAGTATTCCTACTCAGTCACTGAGTGAGCCTTCTCTTCTTCAGGTTCGACTCTACCCTGACCAGAATTTCATTTCGGGTGGCAGAACACTCAACATTTCACCCCCAACAAGTGTATTTCGCGAAGACTGACGTATGATACTTCCGTTCTTCTACTTGACGTATACTGTCAGCCCTCCAGTAGCGGCTGCGCAGAGAACATCCCGTTCCACTCGGTACGAGGAAGCGGAACACACTTTACGTTCTTCAATGCCTTGCTTCATAACCGAATAGCCAGTAAAATGTTACTAAGGACGGTGGCGCTGATACTTCTCAATCAAGCCGCTCCTCCAGCGGCTCGGATTCTTCTACTCACGTCGTTGCGCCTTGTGCACGAGCCAAAGTCGCCGTATTCCATGTGCATCTATGTGCTATGGTTGAGGGGTGTCAAATTCCATATGTTCTCTTTGGAATCCCGGCGACTAAGATTTCACTCCGTCAACATCTTCACATACCTGCCCATACAGTAAGCACACGGAGGCTCACTGTCTCCGACCGCGTACCTGTTGCCTCTAAAATATCGGAAAAAAACCTGGACGCGATTATTAGCTACGTGCCGTCGCCTATCATGTACTTTGAATGAATGTAGTCTAATGTAAAGACTAACATGGCTTTATAAGAGAGGTTTTCTGTGCATTGATCAGCCACGTCAGACTCCGCTTACTGTTCAATTGTACGCGTGTCAGTCTGACAAGCCGACACGAAATCAACCTTTGTGATTCGAGGAACCCTGGGTGTCGTTATTTGCTTGACGGAAAACGAAAGACGTCACATAAACATCTAACAAGTCCGGAAAGAATTCCTGCGCCTAATATCGCCATTGTGGTATTTCCGGCCCAAGATGACCTAGTAAAACTCACTTGGGGAAAGGATGTTGAGGATGTCTGAACAGTTTTGAAAGTGAGATCTTGGCCGAGCCCGAGGAAGAACATCGTTTGCTGCGTATTTTCAAGCTGACGAGATTCTGAGGATGCATTCGCGTCGTCTTTCGTCAGTGGCATGTAATATAAATCCACAAGAATAGAACAGTTCCTTCCCTAGCGGACAGCCTTGGATGGTCTCCTGACTTTCCTTGAACAGTGAGGTCCGTCCATACCCTCCCCAGCATCACGCAGCATTGCAGACACTGCGGCCAAGTCATGGACGTAGAGCGTGTTCCTGAGCCGGGCCGGCGAGCCGTAATTCTTCGCGCTTCTTGCAAAGCAAACGCGTTCGATCCAATGGGTCCGGACACTTCTCTTTGCGTAAGTTGCCATCGCAGCACGTATGTATATCGTCAAGTTCCCACGGCCTTTGACTATGGGATCCCACAGGGGAAGGATTGCTACATTGGTCGCAAAGGAAGAGCATTCGAAGAATCCAGATTGACCGTCTATACCCCACGGACTACGGGCCCATTTAAATGAAGACAAGCGTCAGGATTGCCAGAAATAGCGCTCTAGATCGACCGAGAAACGATCGAACATGGTAATTCCTAGGAGACTTTTCCCAAGGGTACAGGCCAAGTAGTTCAAGAATCACTTGCTCTGAGAAGTCTAGAATAGGGTTATCAAGACGCAGAATACAAGAAATATCATAGTTAAAGTGATGATGAGCCTAGCTCAAGCTGAAAACGATGAGTATGGATGAATGAGACTCCACCACAGAATGACCGTCCCCCTTTATACCAGGTGGATCCGTCCGTGACTGGCACTCTGGGGAAGCATTCGTTGTGCATAGGTATTTTTGGGGCCAGCATCCCCAGAAACAAGGCCAGGAATGAGGAAATGAGAGAGATGTGGCAAGTCAGTTTTCCATATAGGCACCTGCAGATGAGAGCCGAATACAGCTCGTTCCAGGATCTGCACGGTAGCCTGTCACTCGGCCGAAAAAAGGTTACCTAATACCACGTGGCCCGTTTTGCGCGACGGCCCAGGTGCCTGTTCTTGCTTTTCTTGGCCCGTCCACCGCTCTCGCCTCGACTCTCACTGGTCGCATTGTACCCTGTATTCCTCTTGTATTGTTCTACACGGCAGAAACGTCACCCGCTCTCCCATTTTTCCTATTTACGCCTCGTTGTTATCACTTTTTTACCCCCCTCCCAGGTCACTGCGATTACTGCACTGTCTGTAAAATATCCAGATCATGGCTGGAGACCGTAGCGACTCATCATCCAATCTCGAAGCTGAACGAGAGAAGGAGCGAGACAGAGATGATAGAGCCGAGAAGGGTTCCAAGCAACCAAAGTCGTCGTCGTCGAAAGGTGCGGCGGCGTTGATCCTTCTTTCTTCCGCAAAATATTCATTTTTTTCATTCCAATAGCCAAAGATCTCTCCCATGTACCTTGCAAATTTTTTAAGGTTGGATCATGCACTGCCGGTTCATCCTGCCCTTTCTCGCATGCTTCTCAAGAGCCGGGAGGCCAGAAGGATACTTGCGCTTGGTTCGTGAAGGGTAACTGCAAATTTGGGCACAAATGTGCACTTGCTCATATTCTACCTGGTCAACCTATGGCTATGGATAGGAAGAACAAAAAGGCTGCCCAGGTGGCTGCAGGCGGCGGTAGGGAGAAGGGCAGTCGGGGTAGCAGGAAAGATAGCCAAGCACCACCCTCCCGTGCCTCGCTTGCACCTAACCGTGGTTTGCAATCGTCGAGGCCACCTATTACCATGTCACTCAAAGCTAGCATATCCCCGTCAGCGCCAGCGCCAGCCCTTAAGGACACCGATTTTTCTTCCTTTGGCGCTTTGGAGGAAGCGTCCAAGTTGTCTGACGCTCCTGCCCAGAGGAAGCCAGACTCGGATTTGACCCCTCCTGCTTCTGCCCAGGCCGATGCTACTCCCACCATCCCTACTGCGCCTGCACCCAAAAGATCAGCCGAAGCCGGACGGAAGTTCCTCCTCCCCTGGCAGCCTTCCCGTATCCACGCCCCGACGAACGAATTTGTCTCCACACAAACCTCCCATTGATTTTGGTCCGATTGGTTCGCCGCCTCGTGCAGGCTCTAACGCTGCATCACCTCATTCTCGCGTAAATGGCAATGGCATCGGTACTTTCTCTCCAGGAACTTCACCTGCTCAGAGGAATATCAACGGTAACTTCACGTCTTCATCCCCATTTTCTGCTCCACACACTTCTTCTGTACTCTTCAACTATCCTGGAGAGCAAGGAAGAGCAGGCTTGGCTGCCAGTCTTGGCACAGGCTTAACAATGGGCGGTAGCTTCGGAGGTCGCAGTGCCTGGAATGCTGACGTCGGCGGTATCTCGTCCAGCCACGTTCCCAGCTCGAACTTGAACGCGTTCGGACGTGGGGACTTTGACTTGGAAGACGATACACGAGGCGAAGATAAGGTGACGGACGGGGAAATGTTCTTGCCCGGGTCGCTCTCTGAGCTGCTGACAGCCGAAGAAATCAACAGGAGAAAGATACAGCAGAGTGAAGTGCAGGTGGAAGCTCCGCACCGGGAGAGCCAGCTTGGATTAGGTGTACCTATTCCCAGTGGACCACAAGCGGCTACGAGTGGACACCGTCACTCGCGTTCTGTCCCCGCTCCCTCGTTACTTAGTGACGTGGGCTCCATTTGGTCAGACGCGTCCCACGCGCCGCCTGTTCCGCCAATTCCGGCCGGTTTGCCGTCATCTCCTACGCGTATCGGATTTGGCAATGGTACGCCCACGTCGTTCACGTCTGCGGCGTCTGGCTTTGGAGGCCGTTCGTATGATCCACTCGGTGAGGGCGAGTCACTTCTGGCTCCAAGCAACGCAAGCGGTGCTTTCTTGCCAGGGTTGCATCAGCAGTACTTCCAATCAAAGCAGAACAGTTCCTTGGGCTTAGGAGGTTCGGGACGTGGTGTTCGTAACACCAGTAATCCTATCTTCTCTCAACCAGGCGCCACCGCCGCTGGGATATCAAATTACCTACAGTCGGGTCCGGGTGGCGGTACTTCCCAGCTCTCTGGCTTTAATACATCACGCCAGGCAGCTTATGATTCTCATCCACCTAGCTGCTACCTAATCCCTCTCAAGACACCTATCTTCCTGGCGGTCGTCCAATACCTACCCAGCCGCAACAACACCAGCCGGAGGATCTACACCTGATGTCTCCCAACGCGCGGGCTCTACATGCTCATGCACCAGGTCAGAGTCTTCCTCAAGGTCTTGCCGCAGGTTATTCTCGCATCCACGCTCAGCCACCTGTTCTCGTCGCTTCACCTGGATCTACTGGCATCGGCGGATTCAGCATGTCACCAGGTCTCACGAACGTATTCAATCCAGGACCTTACGGTACTAATACGTCCGATGACTGGTCCAGCAGACAGGCGGGTCTTTCATCCAAGTCTCGTTGCGGGGGTAAATAGTGGGAACAATGGGCTGGACTCGTTTTCGAAACTGTCATATTCCGCTGCTGCTGCAACAAGGGGCTCGTCATCCGGTGGTAGTCCGGGCAGGAATGTGACGGGATCATTCTCTCATCGACCTCGTCTTGCGTCATCTGGTGGTCCATTGAGTCCCTTGAGTGGTCCAGTTGTGACACGCGATGATGTGGACGATGATGGAGAGCTGTTCAGTATGGATGGGTAATTGTAGGGCAAGCAACCGTTCATTTTTGTCGCCAAAGTGTACGTATAATCGTTGTCGGACCGTTGCTCTGAATTCGCTTCGTTCAAGTTCTATCTATTTTTTCTACCCAACTCCTTATTTCTCCTAATGTCCACCTTGCATATATCCGTGCCTTACCACGTCCACTTCCTTTCTTTTTACTTATTGACGTACGCTGCTTGCTCGATCTCTATTTTCCGCTGATTCTTGCTTGGTTTACTCAGCCCAGTGCTGAAACAATTCTGCTCTCTTTTCCTTTGGTTTCCTACCCTCACCCACGCATGCATAGTCGTAGGAACTATATAACGTCCGCTCACGACCAAAGTAGATCTAACATATAGTTGTATCAATATTAACCCCAAAATGAACAGAAATGTTTTTGTGTTTCATTGGTCTGCTAACTAGCGATACTTTTTCGTAAAGGGAAAGAAAGCATGATAGACGTTTGCATAGTACTACGTAACTAACACCGGACTGATTCAAATCACTGCAGGAAGATGACACGTCAACGTTCAACAAAGGTAATATCAAGATAATCTAGTGCGCTTACCATCCCAAACGTCTCAACGTGTAACACAATGCTCGGCTGGCCCGTCATGGCATTACCAATTTGAGGTGCTCTGAGTGCACGACGGATCCCTTCAGCGAGGCCGAATGGACCGCATACTAAGTTCATCAGCAAGTATCCCACTAAGCTGGAGCTAGAAAAGACCAACCATTGACTCCCATCCTCCCATCCTTGACGTTTGACATCTCGGCATGCAGCAAGCTCGGAAAGTCAGGTCGTTCACCTTGCGTGACGTTCACGGCCGTGCTTGCAGTCAAAATGCCACCGCAGCCTGGCTTCTCCGATTCCGAAGAGGGCGTACCGATACCAGAGTTTTTGTCCTCCCAATCTTCGCTCAGTTCCTCACGCCGCGTAGCAGAACCTGTAATGAAGATTTTGATAGAGACTTCCAGATCCTTAGGAAGATTGCTCAGTGCATCAACAAGCGGTGCAGAGATCCAATTGATGTGGTCTTAATTTTGATTATCAGTTTGCTTGATAGTGATTTGATGCTGAGAATGGGTGTGCACGTACCTGCATCGCGGATGGCCCATATGAAAAGAATTCTGCTGCAGGGGAGGCGTTTCCCTTGTTTACTCTGCCTGTGTGCATGATCCAGAGTGGAAGATCGACAACGAGGAAAATGATGTAACGTACTGTAATAAATCCAGCAGGAGAGGCAACGTGAAGGCTACTCCCGTGCCGCCTAAAGATAACGCTCAATACGGATCCGGTACACATGGAATACGAGTTACCTGCGATCAAGACGACGCTATCGAAGCCTCTTGTCACGGGGGGAGAGCTGTATGGCCCATCAAGTAATAGTCTCATCCTCTGTCCATCTTCAGCTTTGTTCAAAAGCCTTTTAGTGAATCCATCATGAACACGGACGAGGAAGATCAGTTTGTCTTCCTTGCTCCGTGTGTCAACGCTCGAAATAGTGAATGGGTGAGCTACTAGACCGACACTTGGGATTGTCAGATAGGCGCATTGTCCCGGACTCCAATAGAAAAATCTGGGCTTGTCGGCGATCACACGTACGAAGCTCGGGGATAGGACGTCAATGGATGCGTTGTTGCTAGACGAGAACTGCAAGAAAAGTAGCATACGACACCAACGAAGAACACGATCCAGACCCCAAAGAAGTATCGCGGGCCAAACATAGTGACCCAATCTTAAAGAAACCCAGTCAGTCGCAATCGCAAAGGCAGTCAGCAACACTAGTCGTACTGCGCGTCAATTTGCATGTGGAAGTATGCGCCGAGGAGGATAATCCTGGAAACAGTTCAATCGTCGTGAAATCCTCGGGGAGATGAAATAGACAACTCACGATCCAAACAAAAAGTGCACAATTTTGAACAAGTCGTAACGGGGACTTCGGAGTGGGCGGATCGATAGGATTGACAAAACCGTGAGAGAGGTAAGGGCTAGGATGCCGCACTGAAGCCATCGCTCTTCGTGAAGTGTCGACGAGCTTATCGACCTGAAAGAGTATCATTAGAAGAGTAAGTCATGTTGTCACCGTGACTTACCCGTCGCCTAACCCAATCTTAATCTGTCCTGAGGGTCAGAAGAGTGCACTGGAAATGATATCAAGAAGTACTGACTCTTCCTGAAGCGTGCACCCATATAATCACGCATAGGGATCTTGCTACGGTCCGGTGGAGGATGCAGAGCTGTACGAAACGAAAGATCAATACCAGAGCCAAGAACAAACGTAAAGATACGAGCTACGAGCCTTCTCAAATGAAACTCCCGTTAAAACTGCGCGATTGAAGAACAGAAGTCAACTCATTACAGCCGATGAGAGCTTATAGATTGACTCACAAGATATGATATTGTTTTTCATACCTAATGCAACGAGTAGCGAAAACTGTGATGCAGCCATTGTTGCAGCCCGGTTCGCCCAATACTTCGGATCAAACTTGAGTCCCGTTGTGGCCGTCGCTGGAAATCCATTAGTATGCAACCATGCAGTTAGAAGGTGTCAGAGTGGCGTACTATTTATCAACGTCCATGTAAGCATGGCAGTCAGGTACATGACACCGAGAAAGATTTCTGCGAGGTTCATAACATGTGAACGACCCAAAGGGACGGTCCAGCGAAACGCAATGATGCGGAAGACATTGACAACTGTAGAGGGTAGACGCCAGACCTTGGACCGACCTTGTGGCCTGCGAGTGTATGCATACGCCAGGGATAAGATGCGACATAGCGAAACCAAAGCAATGAAACTCGCAATGAGGTACCAGTATTGTTTAGGGTATGCTGCAGTTCGCCCAACACGAATGTCGCGATCCGGGTTGGACGCTTTTGCCAAAGAAACATAGGATGAGTTGGGGGGAGACATGTTGGTTGGCAGGGATCCTCGCTGGCACAACGCAAGGTCCTTTATCGAAATCGGGGTGGGAGGACCAGGTACATTTTGGGACTGGTAGGTAGCTGTTTTAGGCTGTTCCCACTAGTAGCGTAAAGGAAGACCAGGATATTTGGACGGGGAAATCTTTCAGAAGATATTAATGCTGACTTGTGTCATGAAGTTAAAAATAGATACAGGTGGGAAAAGTGTTTGCAATCTGATAACTGAAGGAGTTGCAGGCGGCGATGAGCCGTCAAGATCGTTATCTGATAAGCCACTGATAAGACTACGATAAAAAAACTGAAGCCCCTAGTCGCCCAAGAACACACACGGTCCAACCGAATTTCGTAGCAGCCGCGAAGTAAAAATACGAAGACAGGAGTAGCCCAACGTTTCGGAAATGATTCGGACATGGCACAATAACGACGTCCAATAGTGTTTTTGCCCCGTCAGGATTCCTCTTTGAATGAGGCCTTGGCAAGATCCAAGTCACGTACAGATATCACCGAAGGATAGTATCGCATCAGCGAGAAATATCAGAGAAAGCCGCAGGGTTATAATCGTATGGTCACTTAACAGCGGAACACGGGCAGAGACGACCGCTATTACAACGTAATGAGGCGGGTTTTCAACTAAGAAATGATCCGCAGGAAACCATAACGGAGCTGCTCTGTGTATGGAGAAGACACAGGACCCGATTCTGACCTCCGCACCGTCGTTGCATACGCAAGACCCAGTGTCATGGGACAAAGGAGGCTGAAGAAGAAACAAGCCTAGATTACTTGGCACGAATGGAGCATCACAGACAGCGCTAAGTCCAATGAGCAATAGGGCCAATGAGGCTAAGTGATGACGATGAGAGACAATGCTTGAGAAGAAAACGACTGGATAGGTATATATCTGCTGGAGTTTTTCTGGTTGCTTCTTCATAAGCTGTCAGATGAAACAACAAGAGACGCATGGACCCTGCGGCTTGGAGAAATTCGGATCAGCATACGTAGTAGATAGCCACCCAAGAAGACCGACCGGAGAATTGATCTGCCCATAAATACAGGCGGATTATCTTTAAGTGTGTACTAGCCACGAAAGAAGGGGATTTACGTGTCTGAATATCCAGTAAGGGTCGACACGTCAGAGATACCTCAAATTCTCGGAGAAAACTACGCGTATTGTTCGAAGAACAAGTTCAAGAGAATAAGCCTTGAGAAAAATATAACATAGCGAGCGAGAAGATACAGTTCGCTAGACACGGAAGGGGGTCCAATGGTCGTAGTGGTTCTGTCGAAGTTCTATTACTTCGATCTCTTCTGAAACGCGTTGGGACAGGGTGGGACCGGAGACCGGTCCGCCTACCGCACCAATCAACAGTGTCCTTTGTATGGAGCTCATTGGTTACTTTCTTTTGTGAGCGCTTGATGAGCTAGCACATCGTACATGACACCGTGAATGAATCGTAGCATATTATCTGTTCATTATACATGGCGCAGGCATAGAGCGCACTCGGACTTACGAAGCGATTTGAACCCGTTTAGATTGTCAAGTTCACGTCCAACCAGAGCTCTTTGCTGACTTCCATAAGTAAGCCAGTAAGTCGCACACAATTCTCGGACCACCCTGAAATAGGTCATGGAAAAATCAGCGAAGAATAGCAGAAGAAGTTGCAGCATCATAACTCTAAGCTCCGGATAAAATTTGGACAGCAAGCGACGAAATTCCGGGTTGTTTATAGAAGTGAATAGTACCGAGTTTCTGAAGAGAGTTAGAGTCACTGTGATACTACGATTGTACGCATTGTAATACCGTTCTTTACCACGTTAACCCCGTTTCTCCCACTCAACAAACAAACAGACGTCACCATAGATGTACGCCAATGACGCCTCGTTCCCATAGGCGACATAGCCCGTTTCGATCACATTCAAATTCCGACCTGTGTCTGTAACCCACACTATGTTTTCCCCATACTTCTCTTGGACTGTATGCATAGACTCCTCCATCGCACCATTGATATCCTCCACCTCGAGATTAAAATATGGCGCCTCCCTGCCCACAAAGAGTCGTTCCCCGTCTTCTTCACGGTACAGCACTCGCAGCATCACGTTCAGCCCAAGTTCTGTGCACGCAGAAGTAAATTGCCGCCGTCACTACCCTTGAGGTTCCTAACGAGGGATTGGACAGAACCATTGTACCCCAGCGGGTATTGATGGTTCAGCCCGAAGGCTAGGCAGCCACCATCCGGCAGGAACGTCTCGTCCTCGATCAATCGCTTCAGTGCGGCCTTCAGTATCGTATGCTTGGCATCCGGCACAGGCCCAGCAGCGAAGAATCTAGGAGCTCTTTCAAAGTAGAGGTTATACGTGAGCGTGATGCGCGCGCCAGAAGTTACAGGTAAAACTTCATGCTCGACATCGCTGTAGAAGGCGACATAGGCAATTGAAGGCGAGGTGGGGGAACTGCTTGCAAGAATTGTGCCCGCGTCGAAGGTGTAAGATTCCGAGTCCTTTTGATGTTTAAGGGTAAGCGCCCCACCCGTGTGTTGGGTAGGGAACACAATGACAAGCGAGCCAAACATGTTCGGGGCACGCGGAGTGTCTTTGTGAGCCTTGAAGAACGCGCCTTTGCCTACAAGTTGGTTAATGACTGGTTGAAATCAGGGTGAGATTTGCCTCACCATAGACATTGAGCTTATATGGCTCAGCTCTAATGACACGTTGTTCTGCTTGCTTGCCTTCGATTAGTTCATGGTGAATCTTTCCCAGGATAGGTGTGTTGCAGAGCTCGAAAGAGGTAGCAAAGTGTGAAAGATCGAGTTTTTCTGCCTTGCGGTAGGTCTCGTCCAACACCGTCTCGTTACCGCGTCCAAACGGAGCTGGGTCGCATGCCTTGTGAAGGTGAATGAGGTCATCTTGAGTAGCGGCGGCAAAGTTGAGCGAGCTGAAAAGGGGTCAGATAGTTGTATATTAACAGAAGAACGCGTACTTGGCCACGTTGTCTGCATCGCGGAAATACAGGTAACACTGGTCGGGAGGAATCTCACACACACCGCTGGTGTACATGCTCGTAGTCAGAGCAGCACGAATGCGCTCGATGGCGGGATTATCATAGGGGTCTGTGGAATCCATGGTGGACGTGAGTGAAGGAAGTGAGACCGACTGTCTGGCTTTATATGTATCGAGGCGGCCCCTCTATCAGAACGTGAATTACCTTTATGGGAATTTCCGCCTCCAAGGTGACTGCACAAAAGAGTCTTAGTCGAAGCCGGTATCCGACGCTCTTCAATTGAGATTCGCCACGACATTCCCGTGTCGCGTCTTCATCTGAGTCGTAGATTGGTCGTAGAACACGAGACCGCGACTGAGTCAGAAACGTTGCCGAGAGCAGAAGAGACAAACACAAGATGAAAGGTGTCATTATTGCCAGCCAACCAGTGTAGCGTAAGAAACAAAATCGAGATGCCAAGTTTTAGTAACTCCAGTTCTGCAAGCGTCAGCGCAAGAGTTCTATAAAAGTTGGTAGAAAGACAAAAAGATGGCATTCTATCCATCCCAGGACTGTGACTCGGTGAAATACCGGGAGGAACAGTGTCTTGCTTTGGTTAATCCTGGTTAATCGCTCCTACTTAACTTTCAAAACGGTATCGAATCGCTCAGAGGCTTCCTTTCTTGCACGCCATGCGGTGGGTGGGCTATAATACATCCACTTTGTTTACCCCGTATACAAGTTCTTGACAGAATGACATGCATCATCGCAGCATCGATTACTTGAAGTTACTCTTGAAGTCGTGAGCAGAAACCAAAACAGGGAATCCCGAGCTATCCCGACGTCCTGCACATCGATATTCCACGTGAAGTCCCTAAAACTTCCGAGCTGACGGAGGAACCCACATCCTCGGGACGGCACGTGCTAAGTTGGCGGTATACCACTAACTCGTTTCTCGGGGGCGTCATGTATTCCACAATACTGGGTTCCTGCTCTCTGGTTCTCCTCATTTCTGGTCCTGTATATGGCCGCAGCGACTCCCCACCTTCACCCCAATGGCCATCACTGTCAAATCGTTCTCGACGACATTGTGGACTCACGCCAAAAAGCACACAGGCGTCGGGCTTGTATGTGCAGTAGCCTATTTTGATCCGTGAGTACCTTTTCCCTGAAATTTCCCAGCTCTAACGAACCTTCTTATCTTTCCAGAGGCAACTGGGGTGTTGATCTCCAAGCAGGGTCGTCGTACGGATATCGACTGCTTTTCGTCGTTCTCCTGGCTGGACTCTTCGCTGTGTTCTTCCAGGTACGTTAGTGGTTGACTGGCTGGATATATGCGTGCTGATTCCATCGATTAGGTATCCGCTCATCGACTGGGATGTGTAACTGGCCTTGACTTGGCCTCTCACTGCCGGGTGCTGCTTCATCCTCGCCCTGTAACCCGGTACCTACTCCTATACCCACTTTACATTCTGTCGGAGACAGCAATCGTAGCGACAGACCTGGCAGAACTGCTCGGGTCAGCGATCGCCTTATGTCTGCTCTTTCCTGCTCTCAAAATATGGCACGGCGTGCTGATCACCGCGTTCGACGTCCTTTTCATCCTCGCTCTCGGTGATCCCCTTCGTGGACGGACCCGTGCGCATTTTCGAAGTCATTATAGCCGCACTGGTAATTGCTGTCCTGATTTGCATGTGCATCATCATTGCCCGTGTGGACGTCCACTGGCCCGATGCTTTTCTTGGATATGTGCCTTCAAAGTACATATTCAAAAATGGTGCTCTGTATACGTCAGGTGGGTATCCTCGGGGCCACAGTCATGCCACATAGTCTCTTTCTTGGATCAGCGCTAGCAACGCAGGACCGTGTGGCGGCTAAGACTGCTGAGGAAGAAAGGGAGAAGCCGGAGAAGCTCTGGCAACGGATCCGGGCCGCTTTCCACATGGCGCCCATTTCCCCACCGCAGACATTAACTAACAACTCGCTCTCTTTCATCAAGCTACACCTATATCACGGCATCGCCGATGTCGTCCTCTCACTTCTCTGTTTTGCGGTAGTAATTAATTCCCTCATCCTCATCCTCGCAGGCGCTACCCTTCCCGCCACCGCACAAACTGCTTCCCTTTTTGACGCGTATGATCTTATCCGCACAGCCGTCTCTCCCTCTGCTGCCACCCTCTTTGCCCTCGCTCTCCTGTTTTCTGGACAGTCTTCATCCCTCATTGCCACTGTTGCAGGCCAAGCTGTGTCAGAGGGATTCCTGAACATTCGCTTGTCACCCGTTTTCAGACGGCTTATCACCCGCCTGCTATCCCTCGTACCAGCGCTCACGGTCGCAGTTGCAATAGGCAGAAATGGAATCGACACCCTCCTCGTCGCATCCCAGGTCGTTTTGTCCATTGTTTTGCCCTTCATCGTCTTTCCACTTTTGTGGTTGACGAGTAACAAACGCGTCATGTCGGCGAAAAATGATGATGGAGGCTCCGTGAATTTCAGCAATAGTATACCTACTACGTTGCTAGGGGCAGCGATCTGGCTCCTTGTTGTAGCGGCGAACATTTATGTTCTTGTTAGTTTGGGTATGGAGACATCGTGACGCTGTTATTTCCTAGATGCTAATACGAAAAGGCTTCTCACCTCTTTTTGGCAACTGGCGAATCATGATCTTGGCTTTGCCGCCGTCGAATATCGTCTATCACGGATTCCAACCTCGGCATCATCTAATGGAACGTCCGGCAAGACACCCTCAACCCACCATCGCTTTCTTATTCATTTCCTTCATCTGCTTCAATGTCTAGGCTGGTAAAGTACGTAAGGCGGCTACCGTCTCAAAATATCGCATAAGGCACGAGCCAGGTTCGATAAGTTCGATCATTGACTCGGACTACGCGGCTGATCTGCAGGCTATCGTCGAACATAGCTCTATTTTGGCGGTTACATCGTATTTGATTTTACTCGATGTACTCTGATCACCTTGCAAGAGCTCGACCAAACTGACATATACTTATACCAGCCAGTACATCACTTCATGTGCGTGTCTAGTCTGCAATCATATGCGTTATTGAAAGTTATAAGCAATTTGGTGGACTGGCCATGATATTTGAAGATTAGTAGGATATGCTTGATCGTGCGTGTTTGGATACAAGTACTCTAAGTACTCGAATTTCATATAGTACAGCTCGTTCGCCGCTTTCTTTTTTTTTCACGGGATTCGGTGACCGGGTTCAAGTGCACGTCTGAGCCAGGAACTTTTGGCCAAGTCGGATATATTGGTATCGGAACACATCATAACTGCAAGCTACTGCACGGCGAAGGCTGATAAGTTAGAGCTGAATGATGTTTCGGCCAAAAATACGCGCTGAGATATAGCCAGTTTAAAATCATCTGAACCGACTCGCGGACAGCTACAAGCCAGAATCCGTCCAGCGGCAAAGGCAAATGGAGAAGGAACCGATGATCATGGTAACAGCATTGTTTTAATTGATACCGACAACCGATTCAGCAGGCAGAACGAACCGATAGGGTTTACCGCCGGTTTCACTGGGTTCCCACGCCATGTTACCTGCCAGTTATCTGCCATGCCCATACTGGGCAGGTGGGCCCCACGCATTCAACAATTTATTTTGAGGTCGTTTCTTCATTGACCCTCATAAGTCTTGTATATATAAATTGAATATATTCATATAAACCATGCAGTAAAAATTTGTGGCTCAAAACGCGATGAGGATAACGCTATTCACTCAAGACGCAATTCCCCGCCAAAGTTATCTGCCATCAGCCCCTATAGTTATCTACCATCATCCCGAGTTTCACCTGCGCGACTGTTCTTTCTCTACTCCTGTCGTGTATTCTGTCCCTAGTCACGTTGCTTAGTTGCTACTATCATAGTGATGTGTTTGTGTCAGTCTGGTATGTTCTTTTTGTGATATAATGTGGGTATACATGCTGAAAGAACTTCTTTTCATAAATAGCTCGCATTTTTCATTTTTCAAGCTCTGTCTCCTGCAGCATGGCATGTCCAAGCGGTGTGAAGGATGGACCAAGACCAGACAATGCTCCAAGGAGAGGACAGCCACCAAAGCCGCGAGATATTCCATCCCAGGAGGAAAATGGTCAGTATGTCTCATTCCAGAGTTCAGATATTCTACTCACTGTATGCAACATCTGTAGACTCGGATGCCAACGACGAATACGAATTTAATGATGAGGAGTACTCGGAGGAGTTTTTGAGGAGGCTAGATAAGGCTGAAAGCAATGTCATAGCCAGTAAGTTGATTCTCCTTTCAATTTCGGAGTTTTTCCTGATTTTCTGGCTGCCTCTTAATGCAGAGCTCAAGTGATTGAAAGCAGAAGCAGACACCTGCAAGAAATGTCTTGTAGACCTGCAGGAGGCTGCGAATCATCCGCTTAGCTGTACAAACCATTCTTTTTCATTGCAACATGGGATACTCATATTTTCCTATAGAACCATTCTTTAATCTACTTGCAGGACCCCTCTCTGATGCGGCGAGTGACGAGGATGAGCACTTGGACTCCCAAAACAAAGCTGAGACACCACACATCAGTCGCAATACCGGGGATGAGCCAGCGGCACAAAGACATAATGCAAATGACGAACCTGGAGGTATGTCGCACCTTTGAAGTTTCCTTGTAAAAAATTGAGACATTTTTCACTAGCGTGGTTCGATAAGCCAAAATATATGCAAGACTGGCTGTACCGGTACTTTGCTACAGTTATACACCCGCTTATCCACAATAAAAATGGCAGCAAGATCCTGCTTGCACCGCCAACATTCACAGAATCTAAACCTTATGCCCTGCCAATGCTCTGGATCCGTTCTCCAGAATCTGTCATGTCTCTCTCTGTGCATCAGTTTGAGCCCACCCTTCTCTTCCGCCTACGTGTCTTGCTTTGGCTTGTACATTTCTTTGTCAATGTATTATCTTGTCCCCAATGCGGAAAACCACTTGAAAAGAATGGCACGCTGCCATCTCGTCATGTCATAGACCTCGAAGATTCATTCTACATCATCACATGGGCATATTATTGCCAGCAGGACTGCCACTCACATTTCCACAGGTGGAGCCAGCATCTTCTAAACTCATTACCCCCGTATGTGCATATGGCTTTTCCTGCTGTGCTCTCCCACAAAATAGGCCTGTCATGCAACGTTGTCAGTACTCTCCATGTTGGCAATCAGCATAAGATGGGACCATCCGGTGTTCACTCACTACTGTTCGAAATGCACACCTGTCGATTCAATGTAATACAGCTCCAGTATTTAGAGTCAATCTTTGAGCAGCTTCAGACTCGAGAATCAGCCAATGCTGATTTGCGCAATTACTTTGATGCCTCTATGAAAGTCCCTTTGATCGGAAATTTCAGTGATGTAGATGGCTATGGTGGCTTCATTCCCGGTGAATGCTATCTTACCGCCATGCTAAGTAAAGCCATTGAACGGGATGAAGCTGATGCCAACCAGCATACATCTTTACTTGAACCAGACCAGCTGGCTATTGATGACTCGCACAAGGTCTGCCAAGGCATATAAACTCAACACAAGTAACAACTGGCTGCGACAGTGACAGGGCTGAGCTCTGCCTGTTCTTCCTCCAACCACTCAAGAAGCTTGCTGCTCCTTCTTTGCTCAGATATGCATTTTCTCTGTGAATGCAAGTGCTGATGGCAAAGGCAGAGTTGATTATGAAGCATTTGCTCAGGAATGGAACCGGACAGCAGATGGAACTGAGCATGTTTATGTCTCTCCGGAGGTCCTGGCTGCATATTTAAAATCATGGGAGAAAGCAAACAATATCCGAGCAATGGTGGACTTGATGTCTGATGGGCTTGAAGAAGTACGTCGCAGCAGTGAAGTATTTGCAGCTGCAGATCTTCCATTCCCAGATTATTTGGCTGGAGATGTGTCATTCACTCATCCAAGTCAAGATGTGGTTGAAATAGATTCAGAACAGTCACTCCCTCTGAATTTTTCAATTTCGACAGCTCCCGCTGCTTCGCATTCTTCCTGATTTACTGATACACTGATATCCACCCATCCCACAAGCGGCGGCACACCTCGATACACTCCATCCCCTGCACCTATCCCTGCTACATTTGATGAGCTTCCTACAAGTCCTCATCCAATTCCTGCATCCCATACTGAACCGGCCCAAAATCAGCCACTGGGCGAGCCTCAATCGGATTCCCTGTCCATAGTTGTTAGAAACAGCAGTTCCAGCAGCCATCAGCACATGGACATGGAAAGAGAGAGCAAGAGAAGATGTACCGTACCCACAGAGGAGAGGAAACGCCATAATATCCATAGCTGTCGACGCTGCCGCAATGAGACTTGCCCTGGAGGTAATGACATTTTGTGGTGTCAGATTGCATGCACTGTACCTTGCCGATGGTGCGGGAGACTGGATGAATGTCGGGGCGTCGATGGAGGGAAAAAATGCACGGCCCCCCGGGCTTGAATTAGTGTATGTCGAGGCAGAGAGTGAGGCAAATGAACGGCGATCAGTGTTGTCTCTTAAATATAACATGAACAAACAAACGTCGGTGGTCGCCCATTTTGGCACGCGAAATCTTTCTTTTTTTATTCTTTTTCTCCTTTTGGGACCTCCGACACCCAGTGAAATGGACGGAAAACCACCGATAGCCCTGATAACAGCATTGCTTTAATTGATACCGACAAACCGATTCAGTAGAACGAAGGACAAGGCTGTCTCCGCACGATTATATAGAAGAACCTTGTGCGCAGCTGACCCCTTCAGGCAGGGACGACTCAGGCATGTGCATCTGCCCAAGGTTACGACGCTGTTCAAGATACGAGATGACTAGAAGTCCCACCATATAGCCATGGTTGACCGGTGAGCCCGATATGTCTATATAGCAAATGATTCGGTTCACTTCTACATAAACCGTTGCCAATGGATCCCTCTCATTATCCGGATGTCTGATCTACATACGAATTCTCCGTAGACCGACTCCGAGTCCCTTCCTTTCATCTAAGGCTGGTTCTTTACGACATTTATATCAAGGGAGAGTGTCTATAGGCTCAACATGCGATACAATGTATTGCATGTCGGTTTTAGCGGTATGCATCTGCTGTTTCATCAGATTGTACATCGTCTACAAGATTTCTGGCAGAATTCAGCGACAAACGTGACCCCTTAGACGTGGACACGCCATCGTACCGTGGTAGGTATTTTATAGTCTCAAGGGATGTAAAAGGAAGACCATGAAGATATCCACAAGAAAGGGAACGGTTAGCAGCTTCGGCCTTAGCCTGCGGGTTTAGCTCTGACAAGTTCTGTGGTCCTGCTTCCTTCCCTTCCTGGATAGACACGAGCGTCGTCTTGTTGAAGTTACGGCCGAGAAGTGGGTGCTAAATCAATGCTAAATTGTCAGCCGCGGGACTGGACCTGGACTGGACTGTTTCGTTGTCGCCTATTAGCGCTCTCAGGAAGAGCTTCAGATCGCCTGAGGCACGATGGAAGGTGTGAGAACGGCTCCGATATGGTTTGCATCGCCTGCGACAGTCGAACTTGTCGAACTCGAATGCTTTATTGTGATACCATCACCACTTTAAAGCATCGGCAGATAAGTAGCAGTTCACCGACTCGATCGATCAGAGTCGGCTAGAGTGGGTTGAATGTGAAAAAGAGTCGAGACACACGCACGAGCCACAGGCACTGCTACTTATAATTAGATATCTGGTTCGGTCCGAGTCCTAATAGTCCGTGTCGTGATTGTGATATAAATATGTGGGCCCATTGGTGTACACAGTGCACACGTAGCCGGAAGGTCCGTAAGGCCATGAAACACGAGATCGCACTATTCGGAAAGATTCCCAGTGTCCTCGAATGATACCCCGTTGCTGCCATCCCGCTTATGTTTGTTTGGTCTGAATACTGCATTTTGTAGTGAAATTAACATCTTAATGCTGTTTTTCGAATTGAATAATGACATCAAAGAAAAAAGTTTTTCGTTTGGGCGACTTTCAATGACATCATCAGGCCATGCATCGAGGCCTGTGTTGCGCGAAAGCGTTCACCGTCAGTGACATTATCACTCATTGTAAACTAATTTTCTTTAGACCTGTAACCGATCGTCTTGAATGGGAGGCAGCTCACAGGTCTAATTTTTTTATTTGCAGTGTCATCGTTTTCGAAAATGGCAGTAAGTACTCTATCATAGTCGTCACACTAGTCAGCGGAGGGCGGTGGAAACGAAGACAGCATCCATGTCAAGCAAGACGAAGGTATATGATGAATCTGAACGAACAATCGATATATTAGCTGTAGAATAGATCTAATCGGACCTGCATCTTGTACATGAAGGGACCCTAACTTTTAATCACGGGTGCTATTTATTCAACACCCTCGAATCTTGCGCTGACTTCGGCTTCCAGGGCCTAAAGGTTTCCGATATCAATCTGAGGGAACGCTATGCTGCATGGAACTTGTCACCTATGGAACATGGGTGCTGTATTACTGAAGTTACTATTGCTCGGCGTGGTTTTGCCCAATAAGATCAAAGAGGTGTTCTTGTTCCTGGCTGAGCGGTTTGAGCTACGAACGAGCCCACAAGCATCGAAGGAGAGTCATAGGGAGCTATTAACACCGCATGGGATCAATTACCGTCTTCGCGAGAGTGATGGAAGGAACAGAAAAAAGCTACTCAGACGACAACCGTGATGCGATTATTTGCGCTTTCAAACCAGGCTCCGTGACTGATCTTCAAAACCGCCGAAGTTGGCATCAAGTCCATAGTTTCTCCGCTACGCCATTTAGTAAAAGCTTCTATGACCTCAGGGTTTGAACTGCGGACTTCTTCGAGCTGGCGAGCTGGGTCGTTCAGATGTCGTTTTGATTGCCTATAAATACTTCCCCCCGACCTGCATCCTCCAGAAGGGACAGGAAGTACCTCCTAGCTTTTAACCACCCCATGGATTTCAAACACATCGACCCCGAACTTATCATCACTGCCATTTCTTCGTGGGGCTCCCCTCTGTCCATCGCCGCCGTTGTCTTCCTCATGTTACGACTCTTCATACATCCACTGATCCCACCGTTTACGCCTGGTCACATACTCAGCGAGGGCGAGTACATGATGGAAGAAATTATGCATTTGTTCGAAGACCATCTTGAAGAACTGGCCGACACTGGGTTATATAGTCGCTTCACAATGTATGTTCTTCAACCCGTATGATATTTATTATTTTGACGTTACAGAGACAGCCTCAGAAACAGGAGGCATCTTCTGGGTCAAAGTATTGAAGAAGCGAACGAGGAAGCTGGCCTCTCCTCCTCGTACACATACATCACGAAAGTGGTAGCTTATTGGAAGGAATCCAAACAGTGTCGGCAAGAGCTGAAGGCGCTGCGACGAGAGATACAGGTGGGTTGGGGATGTAAACATTTTATACAATCAAAACTCACGAGGGTGGTTTCAGAACGTCATTGATAGCGACAGACGTGGAAATTTAAGACCCGGAAGGACCAGTCCTGGCGTAATGCGTCGAAGGAATCACGCAAGCCTGGTAGGCGCTGCACGTCGATTCATGGGAGCATGGTCTGACTTAAAGCAATAACAGGCTTAGACACCCACCTCGATGTCTGGGGTTTTGTAGTGTTGGACGACAAATTTATCTTAAATGTTCATTAAAGTATATTAGTAGTATATTAGCAGACCGTATATTGAGTAGCAAATACTTGCCAATCGTAATGGGGAGATGGATTGCATCTTTTCCCTATGGCCTGCTCATACGGCCTTCTGTTGGCACCATTATTTGTGCATGGCATTATTAACGACCGGCATTTTACCGCATACGAAGAGTGAAGGCTGTAACAACTTGTTGAAGCACATTGCCGAACCCGCTCTAAGATCAACAAGCCTTTGATCATAGAAGCTATCGTTAATTGCCTTCTTGACTGTATGTCCTGTTCGTCAAGGGACCTGACCGTCCTAATGAGGATGGAACTCCGGAACCGCACGGGTATTGAACGATATGGCAACAGCCACGCTCCGTGCCAAGAGGTATGAGAGTCTATGAGAACAGTACCAGACGTGACATGGAATGGACACGAACAGCACTTGGATGTAACTTCGGAAAGCGGGCAAGGAACGTCGCTGGAATACAGCCCCCAAAGTGTTGATTGAACTCGCTTTGACTCGAGACCGACGGCAATCCGATTTAGTACTTAAGGGCAGGCTGAGCCACCATTTGGCTCGGCTCGTCTAGACCTGTAACCGGTCGTCTTCTATATATAGAAGACGACCGGTTACAGGTCTACGGCTCGTCCACAAGTTCCCACGTTAAGTTCATCTCTACCTTTAGTAATAGACTCTCCCTTTCTGCCAACTGCGTTCCCCTTTCTTCGTCTCTGCCATTTTCTTTGCAGCTGTCGCCAGCCACACTTTATATCTGTTGCTGTCGATTTATTGTGTGTTACATCGGTCAATGCCCGTCCATCTTGCATCACAGTCTTACCCTTGTCCTCTTGTTTCAACAAGAGAGAAATATTACAATGACAACAGACATATAAACATCGATCGGTAGTCCTTTGCCTACGGAGTATCCATACCTTGCCATCCACTAGGCAGCATGCTCGTATTCGGGCCATACCACACCTCGACCTCTAGAACTGATGGACCCCCTAGGTATACCTTCAATCTTTTGACATGAGCATCATGGTTATTTCTAGTACAGTGCCCAGCGATTCATAACAGGAATGTGGACAACTTCCCTGCTACGGTCGCTCTCCTCACGTCGCTCTTTCTGCCAAGTTGTCGAAGACGCCTCCTTCCCAGCTGTCCGATTGTTCTCATACTGAAGCCTACTGCCTTTGATAACATGGGACAGGAAAAGCCTATCCTCGTAGTTCGCTACTCCCCATCGCACTGTTCAATATCGTGTTTCTATTTCCCCTTCCTTTTCATATTACTGTTCTAACACCTTCACCATGCCACAGTACCTTCTCCGTTCAGCTGCACAAGTCAGAGGATCCGGATTCCACCCTATCACTCGTCTACTCCAACAGACACAGACGTGTAGTATCTCTAATGTTCGTGGCGCCTCTGACATTCTGTCCTCCACGTTAACACATGTGTGTAAATAGCTGGGCCCTGAGGATACACTTGTATCTGGACTTGAACGCTTCCAGTACATGTTTACTGATTCCTTTCTCTGTCCTCTGCTAGAACAGTGCCGGGAGGCTAAGGCAGAAGCGTACAAAGCCCTTACCAAGGCAGGTTATGTTAACTGTTTCTTTTGGGAGCAGCCGATTGTATCGGGTAACCATGATTCTTTTCAGTAAGTTATCCGCCAATTCAACAAACTTGAGAGCCCGACGCATATTCTTGCAGACATGTGAACAACGTCCGCTACGGTAAGCTCAGTACCTCACCTAACGGGACCAATTATACTGATTGCGACCTTACTGATCAGTCCGATACTTCGAATCGGTATGGTATCCCATGTTCTGTGCTGTCACATATTGAAGAAAGCAGAGTCGCCTCTACTGGATGAGGCGCATCGGCCACCGAATTGGCGGACCGTCCGTCGCAGAAGCTATGATTCGGGGCCGAGGTGTTTCTCTCATTCTTATATCCATCGAAGTCCGATGCCGACGCCTTTTTTCTTCGACCATTTCATAAAAAAACACTAACTCTGTGTCGCAGCTGATATTAGCGTACAGACCTGTTGCGTCGGATAATATGGACCCAGCCGCTTTTCATTTAGAAGCTTCGGCCTTTTCCCTCCGCCAACGCGCAATGGTGATCCATGTCAAGGAGGTCTTGGTGTGGTACGATTATGGTGCGCTGAAGAAGTGCGTTCCGGAGGACAGGTATATCCAGGCTGTCTGGAACAAAGAACCTGCTGGCTCAAAAATAGAGTCTGGGCAGTAGGTTTACAGACGTACGTCACGATAGACTTACAGCGCCGTCTTGTTACCATTCTTGCGATTACATCGTGGAGGAAGCAAGAATAAGAACCTACCTTCTCCATCGTCGTCTTGAATATTCTTTGATAACCGAAACGTAGCTTGAACATACCCAATCCAAATGTCACCACGCGCCGGTCCCACGTTTTTGTACATCTCGTCCCAGCTTGTTTCGCTAGAGATGATATTAAATAATGCCACAGCTGAACCGAAAGCAAATGCACAAAACCAAATGATAAATGATACAGATATGACTCTACTTCTCCGCCGCCTCGACCTGCCTCAATAGCACCCTCAGCTCCTCAATACACTCTTCCAGACACCTCTTCACTTCCCTCGCATTATCCAGCAAGGGCCTAATGTTCTCCGGGGTCATCGCCACCGCAGGAGTCGGTGGCATCGACCGTACGGAGCCAGATTTTAGCACCCCCTTGCCTTTGATGTCTAATGGCGGAAGGGACGGCGGTCTGGTAGATCCATTCACATGTCCATCAGGCGGATGAGATGCCGACCCATTCGGAAGTGGTGGAACCACAGTCGACGGTCCAGGCTGCGAAAACCGATTCGACCTTGCTTCCTCCTCAACATTCGATAGCCGATTCTTCACACGAATCGTATCCACGTGCTCTTCCCGATCGTCAAAATGATCCCATCCATAATCTGAACTCGTCGTAGGTACTAACGACAAGTTAAGATTACTTTTACTCGCATCTGCACCGCCAGTCACACTGCTCGATTTGGAACTCGAGGTTTTGCTCGATCCAATCCGGAAGATAGATGCGAGCGAGGGTCTTCGTGGACTCGATGCAGGTTTTCCATGTCCATTCGATAGAGAAGAATAGGACTCGTAGGGCTCAGTCGACGTCTTAGCGCGTCGACGACCGTACGTTGGAAGTCTGGCATGAGGGTACAAATGACCATCATTACCATTCGAGTGCAGTGATGCCTTTGATTGATTTGCGCTCTGACGCTGATCATGATTATGGTCGTGATGATGATGTTCGTGATTGTGCTGATGCCATTTCAAAGCCTTCAGCGCGTCTCTCAGCCCTCCCAGACCAAGCCTACTCCCCCGTCTTTTCTTCCTAGCATCATCCTCGGGGGCTTGGCTCGATGAGTCTTCTGACTGCGACGGGAGTGTTATAGTGCTGTCTCCCCAGCGCCATTCGCGGTTGATTGTAGTTGGATGCTGGGATTGCTGGGATTGAGGGGAAGCCAGCATCTCGTGCAATAGGTGCAGTTGACGTTGGCTGAGATCGTGTCGACCAGTAGAAGCGCGCCAGGCAGGAGAGGGCGAGGCTATGGGCAGGGCAAGTGGGCGGCGGTGGTGGAGGTTCATCTTCTTTTCCTACAGTCATTGTAGTGGCTATGGCAGGGGCGCTGACGCTCGTTGATGGCGCACCAGTCCCTAAATCAACGAGAAGTTCAGCACATTCCCAAGCAATTCGATATTTCGAATTGATGACATAGTATTCCGCTGCGAGATGTTTCGCGTTGGATTTTGATCGTCCTCGGGGACGGAAAACAGGAATAGAGGGCGAAGACGAAGGAGGTGGAGGGGGCTGAGCGAGAAGAGGGTCGAGTTTAGTAACAAGAGCCTGGTAGGTGTTTTGCAGGGCTTTGAGCTCTGATAATGTTTCAGTATATTGAAATACGTGCCAACAAAATCATACCGTCAACGCTCTGTGCAAACTCCCTGACCAGGCCTAGATCTCTGCGTAGGCCGACTTGTGCTTGAGCTACGCGAGGGGGAATCTTAAGGTCACCCAGAGAATTACGTCGTGTTACAGGCGCGGTGCTCGGAGCGGCGGTCCGTCCTAGTGAAGCCACCTTTGATGGAGACGGTAGTAGCTCCACCGAGGGAATGTCAGGACCTGAAGTACCAGGAGTACCAATAGATATACCCCGTTTATGCTTGCCCCCGAGACTTAAGCGTCGAACATTGCCCATCCAACTACGGCTACCTTCTTTTGGGGTTGGTGTTGAATTCAGCTCAGCCTCCATGTCTGCGGGTAATCCTGACATTGATTTTCGTTTATTTACTGAAGGAGAATGAGCGAACCATGAAGTATCTGTGGACTCGTTAGGCAGAATAAAGCAGAATAGATGTAGAACGCACCGTGTCGTTCGTCACGGACGACCTCGGCGGGCGTCGCGCTCGCTCGTTTTCGTCTGAGGCCCCACTTTGACTTGACGCTCCCAATTCTCGCCAGGACGGTTGGCGAAGTCGGAGGATCATCATCCTTCTCTCGTGCCGCCGGTAATTCCTCCTCGCTGAACTCTTGCATCTCAAACATTCCCATCGTCTCCGGAGGCCGGCTCTTCTTCTTCAATCTTCGTCGAGCGATAGGCGGTGAGGGTGGTAGATGTGATAGGGTCGAGGCAGACGTCCGAGAGAACGTTGGCCGGAGGTGAGTAGATGAGTTGTTGGCATGGTATGACGGAGCGGAGAAGAGCGAGGCGGTGGGTGAGTGCAGCAGCGACGAAGGAAGTGGCGGCACTGGTGGCGGCGGTGTCGACGGCTTTCGCGACGAACGAGCAGTGAGGGTACGGTCCTCGCTGTCCCATAAACCAAAGTCGTCCTCGTCGGAGGAGAGTTCGTGTGACGTCCGTCGGGGTGGCGCTGTACTGGTGCTGGGCACTGGCTCGTCGAGCTCGAACTCGTCGTCCCAAATTTCAGGCTCCATCGACGGCGACGGCGGCGACGACGAGGAAGCTGTTGCAGTTTTACCGCGTTGTTGGGGGTTGTTGATCGTCGGCCCTGAAACGGACAGTTTGAGTGACGGTGCTTCTTTACCTTCGATCCTCACGACGTCCACAAATCGGACCATGCGTGGTTTGGTGAAGGGCGACTGCATCAGAAAAAGGAACATTGGAGGGACAGACACAAGCAAGTATCCCAATTATTATCCTTCCCTTTTATCTTGTCTTGACTCTGAAACTCGCTTCTTTGTTCAGAATACAGCTTGGACCAAGTCAAAGTCAAAGCTAATGCGCTAATTAATGCATCAATGGGCGCCGCTCACCGAATCCGGCCAGGCATCGTCAACAACGGACTGCTCTACCGACGACGTGATGACCTTGCTCATGGCAATGGAAGCGCCGTCGTGAGTTAGTACCGTTGTCTGCGATCAGCGGACGGTACGTTGAGCTTGCTCATTGGTGTACAAGCCTACTGTACACTATCCGAATATTGTTCTTGCGTTTGTTTGCTACTTCACCGCCACCGAACAATAATTAGACATGTATGATGATCGTCGACGTCGGTCAATGCCACGCTCACCAGTATCGACGTCGATATCTCCTTAAATCCAGCGATCGATCTATGTTTTGTTCAGTGCAAGGTACTGAACTGTCCATTGGCACCAACTATATTATGTTTGATGTCATATCCACAGTGATCTGCTCGTCTAGCGCTATACATTCCCAGTTGCACGCATGGCGAATGACAAGCAAGCTCTTCGTTCAATTCCCCATAATTCGGCTCTCTTCATAAAGTACTGTTGATTCTGCTAGACAACAGTAACGAACGAATACGCTAACCTTTGAGCGGAGACAATGCGATTCCTAGCTCAAGCAGGTGCCATACGTAGTATCTGAAGGACAATCTGATACTACTTAACTGGTGTCCTGCTATGAGACCAGCATGAAAAATATTTACAGTCTACGTGGCGCTTCTGCTCTGTTGATAAAGTACGGGCGACGCGAACAGACGAGTGTAGCATGAGGTGCATGCCTTCGTACTATCTGAAAAAACTCAGGTATTCCTTCGGCACCCACATCTCTAAAGCACTCTATTTGAAGTAGTCGGTCTGCATTCATTTATCTCTTCTCGAAGTCGATGCTTAATCCTTAATCACCAAGGACTGAATTGTTAACATGTCAATCTCCTAACTCGCAAGCACTAGAGCGTCTCGGAGGCGACTGTACTCAAGTCGCATACGTCGATGGTGTTGTCTTCTGATACATATTCTTTTTTTCTCTCGAGGAACTCCACGGTCAGCTGGATGTCTGGAATAAAGGAGCCGTCGGACGGCACCAATTGCTCTCCAGCGATACCTGATAACAGATCTTCAATCTCTTGGATTCAATTACCAACCCTATTTCACTTGGAATATTGATGTCAGCGATACAAATCAATCCCACAATTCACACCTCCAAGCAACGCCACGTCCATTCCCTCCTGTCATATGGTCGGCTCCGTCGCCGTGTTTTTGTCCTAGCGACTATCGCTCCTTCATTCCGAAGGGATCGGTTTGGGTTGGGCCCTTCGGTTCACGGGATGAACGGCTAATCACATGAAGACCAAGAGTATTCTCTTCAGCTCCATGTCCTGCAGACGTCGTACGGGAAGTGGGATGAGGCGACGAGAAAGCACCGGTGTCACGGCAGCGAATATTTGCACAATTTCGCGAGAGGGATAGTCAAGAGTGACGTATCTATCAGAGGCAAAGCCTTCCTGTTCCCAGGACACTTATTATGTTCTGTGTTTCTCCACCGCGCTAGGTATCGCCCATGCGTCTTTAGCAGGTCCTGATTTTGATAAAGCCCGGAGACACGCGCTGATGCCGCGATGGGAATTTGCCATTCTTAATCTAGTCTCTTACAAGGCTCGTGTCTGATGTCATAATGTTTGTAGACCAGACTCGGATTGAAGGATTCGTAGTATAAAGATCAAACCGCTCATTGATACGTTTACATGGATTGCAAAGGATCTCTCTTCCTGCATGCAAACAATAGACATTTTCGACCATAATCGATAACCACCGAACAGGCTATGGATATCTTATGCCATTTGTCTTTTCTGTTCGGCGAGTTTCCTGACGCGAGGGGTCCACTACTCCTTGATCTACGTTTGTATAATTCGACTTTACACTGTTACTGATGCATATGTGTTAATCCGGCTTCGATCAATTCCGTGAAAAAAGAAGAGTGATGATTGACTTGTTTACCTGATACTTGAGTGCACCAAACGCATAAGGCTTCCAAAGTTACGGATCGCATGAAGCAAAAAAATAATACACGATTAACAGATCCACTTTGTGCGATGATTAATTAGGAAGAAAAGTAGTATTTTTATGAGCAACACGGAAGAAACAGCCACAAAAATCAGCTAAGAACAGTGATCAAAAAGGAGGTTACAAATTACAAGTGATCCGGAAAGAAGAACTGGAGTCCCGTTTCTGTATGTAGAACATACATTAGATAGTTGGAGGAGAAAGTGACGGTGGGTCCTGCCCAGGGCAATCTTGTCAGATATCCCGTTAATGATATCGAGGCTGAAACTCTGTGCAGTCCCTATGATACACCGTACTCGAGCGCTGCAAAGCCAAGGTCATGATTCGCAAGCGTGTTACCCATTGGATGACGGACGCAAAGGCAAAAAGCCTTTGTATTAACGTCTGGGGTATGACGGAACTACGCAACCCCCAAGCCCAAGCTAACAAGAACGTAAACGTTCGCCGCTACAACGAGGAGCAAAATCGCCGCCCCCAGCAACGTAATAGGTATACTATTGCTGAAATTCACGGAGCCTCCATCATCATTTTTCGCCGACATCACACGTTTGTTACTCGTCAACCATAACAGTGGAAAGACGATGAAGGGCAAGACGATAGACAAAACAACCTGGGATGCGACGAGGAGGGTGTCAATTCCACTTCTGCCTATTGCTATTGCGACCGTAAGCGCTGGTACGAGAGATAGCAGGCGGGTGATAAGCCGTCTGAACACGGGTGACAAGCGAATGTTCAGGAAACCTTCTGACACGGCTTGGCCTGCGACGGTGGCGATAAGGGATGAAGACTGTCCGGAGAAGAGGAGTGCTAGGGCAAAGAGGGTGGCAGCAGAGGGAGAGACGGCTGTGCGGATAAGATCATACGCGTCAAAAAGGGAGGCGGTTTGTGCAGTGGCGGGAAGGGTAGCACCTGCGAGAATGAGGATGAGGGAATTAATTACGATCGCAAAACAGAAGAGCGAGAGGACGAGATCGGCAATGCCGTGATACAGGTGTAACTTGATGAAAGAGAGCGAGTTGTTAGTTAATGTCTGCGGTGGGGAAATGGGCGTCAGGCGGAAGACGGATCGAATCCGTTGCCGGAGCTTCTCCGGTTCCTCTTCCTCTTCCTCTACAGATATGGCTGCGACACGGTCCTGCGTTGCTAGCGCCGAGCCAAGAAAGAGACCATGCGGCATGACAGTCGCTCCGAGGATACCTACCGACGTATACAGAGCACCATTTTTGAATACGTATTTTGAAGGCAGGTATCCAAGAAAAGCATTGGGCCAGTGGACGTCCACGCGAGCAATGATGATACACATGCAAATCAGGACGGCGATTACCAGTGCAGCGATAATGAATTCGAAGACGCGCACGGGTCGTCCGCGAAGGGGATCACCGAAAGCGAGGATTAAAAGGACGTCGAATGCAGTGATCAGCACGCCGTGCCATATTTCGAGAGCGGGAAAGAGCAGACATAAGGCAATCGCTGACCCGAGCAGCTCTGCCAGGTCTGTCGCTACGATAGCCGCCTCGGAGAGAATGTAGAGGGGATACAGGAATAGGTACCGGGTCACAGGGCGAGGGTAAAGCAGCACCCGACAGTGCGACGCCAAGTCAAGGCCAGTTACGCATCCCAGTCGATGAGCTGACACCTAACCAATGAAATCAACATGCATATACGCAGCCAGTAAATAGCCAACGCACCTGGAAGAATACAGCGAATAGTCCAGCTAGGAGGACGACAAAAAGCAGTCGGTATCCGTACGACGACCCTGCTTGGAGATCGACACCCCAATTGCCTCTGGAAGGATTGTCAGAGCTGGGAAATTTTAGGGAAAAGATACACACGGATCAAAATAGGCTACTGCACATACAAGCCCGACGCCTGTGTGCTTTTTGGCGTGAGTCCACAACGTCGTCGAGAATGATTTGATGGTGGTGGCCATTGAGGTGAAGGTGGGGAGTCGCTGCGGTCATATACAAGAGCAGAATGAGGTGAACCAGAGAGCAGGTACTCAGAAATGTGGAATACATGAGGCCTCCGAGCAACGACTCAGCGGTAGGCCTTTAAATGAATGAATCGATACTAGTAAGAGCTACTCCGAAAGCAGTAGTACAGAATAAGAAGTCACTATTTTGTTGCCAGGTTATACTGAGAAACGCAGCTGGACACAAGCGGTAGTCCTGGGTAGGTAAATTTTGGTAATCTCAACTGTCGTCAAATAGATGTTAGGCCCATACCATGACAGAGCCTGTACGGCATAACCGAGTCCTACGTATGCCAGTCTATCTGGAGTATTATAGCACTGACGGCGGACCCTGAGAGCGATGACGCAGCATGAAACACATCGGTACTTCGGAGACGGCGCCAGGTTATCATCTTGTGGGCGTGGTGCGTATCGTCGAGCCATTCGTTTGGCCCTGGTGACGATGCGATCTCGTCGAAGATAAATCAAACAAAGGTCGACAGCGAAACAAATCTTGGTTTCTCGATGACGGCGGGGACGATAAGAAATCAAAGATCATGAGAATTATATGCTGCAAGCATACACAGGGTGAACGATAGAACGCAAAGGAATATACACAGTCAGTTTAAAAGTTATGAGGAAATTATTACGTTACCAGCAATAGACACCAGAGTGTAGTCTCAAGTTCATAGAATCATAGTCTGCCAATCTAGAAGGTATGATTTAGTGCCTGAATCAGAAGGGACATAACCCGACATCGTACACCACACTGAAGATATTCTTCAAGGAGGGCCATCGATCAGAGGAAGTTCTTGTTGTGTCGCTTTCCTGCACTTCCAAAATTCGTCATCCGGTCCTTCAGTTTACCTTTGTCGCTGTTACAATGATATCCTGGGTCCTTGTGTCTCTGGGTGGGTTTGTGCTCCGAGGAAGATAGCAGCCGATAGTCCACAATCCAGCACGGTTAGTTATTACGGTGTTATAACGTTCTTGAGCGACATGTTACATAGTCTTGACATAGCCAGGTAGAGCCAGGTAGAGTAACGAAAATGCCCTAGGAAAAGTAAAGTTGAAAAGGAAGACCAAGTATCAAGAAAAGTTAGTAGAAACCAGAAAAGTTGAGACTAGGTTGTGTATTGCCTAAAGTGGTGTATCAAGAAATTCTCACGCGTCTATCTACAGAAGAAATTACGGCAACAGCCGTGATTTCACAATCTACGAACTGCGCGAGTAAGTATCCCATAAGACTCAGAAGACTGGATTGATTTATTCTATCGTAGACAGAAAACGATACAAACCTGTTGTCGGGAAGACTGGACGCTAAGATGCTGGACGTAGCATGAGGTGCATGCCTTCACTGAAACAACTCCTGTATCCCTTCGGCACCCACGTCTCTACTAGAAGCACTTCATTTGAAGTAGGCGGTCAGCATTCATTTATCTTTTTGATGCTTAATCATTCATGTCCAAAGACTGAATTGTTAGCATGTCGATCTCCTAACTCGCAAACACCGAGGCGCCCTGGAGGGGACTGCGCATATGTCGACAATGTCGTCGACGTCTCTTGATACATATTCTCTGTTCCTTCGAGGGACTCTGCCGTGAATTGGAGGTCTGGAATAGAGGAGCTGGATGTAACCGTCCTGATAACAGATCCTCAATCACCCTGGATACAATCACCCCACTTCATTTCACTCTGAAATATTGATGCCACTCTCACGTCCAAGCAACGCTGCGTCCATTCCCTCTTTCCACATGGCTCCGTCGTTATTTCTCTGCCCTGGCCATCATTGCTTCTTCATTCCGGCGAGGGGATCAAATTCAGAACGATGGCGCAATGGGAATCTACCGTTCTTCATCTAGACTCCATCAAAGACATATCACGACGCTCATAGACTCGACTCGAATGGAAAGATTCGTAGTACGAAGATAAAGCTGCCAATGGATGCGCCTAGAGCGCAAAGGATGTCTTTTCAATGTGTAAGCCAACACGGATATCGATCGAAGCGTCGGGCCAAGCCGTCGATGCAGTGCAGCAATGGATGTGATCGACATTTTTCGCTTATAAACACCGAGGAGGAGGGGCGGTTCGGGAGGAAGCCCTGAGCTGGGACTTCCGCTGGTTCCACGCGGTTCCACCGCCATCTAGACCCTATTGGATACCGACGTTAGACTTCAGAGTCTCGGATGGGGATTCCTAGGGTTTTTCCTCTTGTATGATCTACAGGCAGCCCAGGAACCCAGAACATTCACCAGAGAAGAAGAACGGAGGAGGATCATTTCTGGAGGGAAATGGCTAACGATGAAGGGGTCCACTACCCACTCCCATTTTGTCGGCCGATATATAGTCGCTAACCCGTGCCCGAACGGAGTGGCGGTGGGCGGCTTACCGAAATCGGCCCCACTGAATGTCCCGCAAAGCCTAAGGACCCCCTCTCAGCCTAAGCCCTCAAGACACACCCAAGTTTGGCGCTACTCCGAAATGCGGTGGCACTAAATAAGAAGACATTATCTTGTTGCCAAGTTATGCTGAGAGACGGTGTACGGGACTAGTGGACACGAGCGGTAGTCCCGGGTAGGTAAGTTTTGGTAAGCTTGACTGCGATCAAGTAGATGTCAGACTTACACCGTGACAGAGCATGACAATGATAAGCAAGAGCAACAGGACTGAATTTTAATGAGCCCTCTTACACAGAAACGCTAGTGGAAACCTATCTAGCATGTCTATGTTTGGACACTGCTGAGGTTTGCGGGCCGGTTGCTCCAAGGTCGTATTCTGGGAATGTCGATTAGAGACCACTGAAGAGCGTTTTCTAGGTAGGTTTTTCAATCCATCAGTCAATTCACGGATGTGGCTCTAAGCGGGTCTTGCAGCCCTGTGGTTTCCAGGGAATATACCCCACTTTCCCATCATTTCATGCTTCTGGAAGATGATTCTGACTTATTTTTCCCATCTGAATCATGAAAGATAGTGTGATGCGTCGTCGCCGGAGCATTCTTGTAAGGAAGTGTGGTCATTTTCCATGTGGAAGCACGAAGCTTCACAATGGTAAGCATTCAATATTCATCAGACGTCACATCAGCCTTCCGTTGAACTGGAATTTATCTCCCACCGGGTCATGCTTCTCATCACGTCGTGATTACGGAAAATACTCTCCTAATCCAAATGTACCATGCTTGAGTACCAAGTATACTTTGACAGGCTCGGATACGTTCGGACGTAGAATGGGCATCGGATTACATCGGCTACTTACCTCCCAACCCGTCCTTCGACACCGGCGAACTAAATTTCCCTTTTTATCCTCTATTAATAAATGTCTAGGCCTGCAGGTGGCGGCTAGCGATGTTTAGTTCCTTGCGGCTGGGTACTCGAACCATTTTCGATCAAGCTTCTTATCAGCTAACCGTACCTAAACGTTAATGCCTTACACCTGCCATCTTCGCGTAGCACATGGTCTTCACCTAGAATACCCATGCAGTCAACCCACACCCCTCAAACAGGAACTTTCTCCCTCCTGAATACGAGATCAATCACTGTCGATTGTTTTTTGCGCAAGGCCTCGCGGCGGCTTCCCGTATACAATATCGGAACGATCCCAGATCTAATTTACGCCGTCATCCCACTCATCTCAATGGTCAAATGTATTTTCCAATCCCCACCATTTCTCTTATCTTTGACCACAGGGGCCGCCTCGAAAATGTGGAACAATATCCTTGGCCTTCATTACTCTAGCTTGATGGAGCGAACCCGTCGACCTGTATGCAGTTGACATGGACTGCACTGGCCTGCTGATCCGATATGTACCACAAACAATTCTATCTCGGCGCCAAAGTCCAGTTAATGGTCTCTACAAGTCCACAGCGGTGTCCACACGCCTCCAGTTAATAATTGATGCGAGTTTCAAATGAAATCAACACTCGAACTGCATGGTCTCAATTGATTATTTGATGGTGAGCCAATAAATATGAGCGTATAATAAACAACGGTTGCCCACGGCGATGTTTCTTCAGATTCCTCTCACTTCCTCTTATCGTTTTAGGATTTTCGTGGCTAGGAACAGGAACGGAAGCACACGCCAAGCGATCATTCCGATCAACCGTGTATCTTTATTGGACGATAAAGAAGCGCTTATGTCAGCAATTCAATATCTTTACGGGAATTTATCAAGCCTTCGGGGATGTCGTTAAGTAAATTTCTTCCTACACCCCTTCATCTCAACCACGATGGTCAACGTCACTTACGACGCATGTAAGCCCTTATTTTTCTCCAGTTCCTCGAATTTTCTGATCTATTCTCAGCTGGTACTCTTACCACGACCGACGCAGACGGCGTCGTGAACGTATACAACAATGGTGACATTGCATGGACTCTTGCTTCCACTGCGCTTGTGTGGATTATGATCCCCGGTGTGGGGTACCTGTATTCGGGACTGTTGAGGAGGAAAAATGCACTTGGTCAAATTTATATGAGCGTTATGGTCTTGGCCGTCGTCTCTTTTCAAGTGCGTATGCAAAACCTTCCATTTGATCGTACGTTAAACGATTCGTGCAGTGGTTCTTCTGGGGCTACTCCCTCGCCTTCAGCGAGACTGGTAGCAAATACATTGGCGACCTCAGTGCGCATCCCAAATTCTTCATTAGTGTTATCTGACCCCTCGACAGAATACTTTGGTCTCAAAGGTGTCCTTGACGCTCCTTCAATGGGTAGTGTGCGCATACCTGCACTCGTTTTTTGCGTGTACCAGCTTATGTTCGCTGCAATCACCCCCATGCTTGCGGTTGGCGCCCTCGCAGAACGGGGACGTTTGGGTCCTGTACCCATATTCGTCTTCGTGTGGTCGACCATAGTCTATGATCCCATAGCTTGCTGGACCTGGTCGGCGAATGGATGGTCCTTCATCATGGGTGGTCTCGATTTCGCTGGTGGAACTCCAGTCCATATCTCTTCAGGGACTGCTGCGTTGGCTATCAGTATTTATCTTGGCAAGCGAAAAGGCTGGGGAACTGAGCGGCTATCATATAAGCCCCATAACACCAGTTATATCATTCTAGGTTAGACTCTTCTTGTCATCGAGTCCTCGCCAAAGCTAATACTTGACCTCAAGGCACCGTGCTGCTTTGGTTTGGATGGTTTGGTTTCAATGGCGGCAGTGCCCTAAGCGCCAACCTGAGGGCAGCCCAGGCATGCATAGTGACCAACCTCGCCGCTAGCGTCGGAGGTTTGACATGGATGTTGTGGGATTACCGCCTGGAAAAGAAATGGTCCGCAGTCGGTTTCTGTTCCGGTGCCATTTCAGGACTAGTGGCAATCACCCCCGCAAGTGGTTTCGTAGGAGCACGTACGTATTCAATTTCTTTGCATATACTTCGTTGCTAATAACTTTTTCCAGCTGCCTCGGTGCTTTTCGGAGTTATGGCTGGTACATGTTGTAACTTTGCTACTCAGCTCAAATTCGTTTTCGGATACGATGACACTCTCGATATCTTCGCCTCTCATGGTATCGGCGGCATCGTCGGAAACATTTTGACAGGGCTATTTGCTCAGGCCTCGGTCGCTGGGTTTGATGGCATCACTGTTATCAATGGAGGCTGGATCGATCACCATTACATCCAACTTGGGTACCAGCTCGCCGACAGTGTCTCTGGCGTGGCGTATTCGTTCACAATGACAACAATCATTCTTTGGATTATGCACTTTATCCCCGGATGCCGCCTGCGCCTAAATGAGGATGTGTCAGAAGAAGCCCAGGCAGTCGGTATGGACGACTACGACATGGGCGAGTTCGCGTACGACTATGTTGGACTGGAGCAGGAGCTTGCTGGCGAGGACAATGATGCACTCGGCGTGACGACTGGTGGCCGAGAACCCCATCATCATGTGCATCAACACCATCATGACAGCGGATCTAGCAGTGTAGAGGAGAAGAAGGAGGTCGCAACCATTACGCCTGCATAAGCAAGCAGAAAACACGTCTTAGTTTATGCCTGTTCTTTATTCTCAGCGTTCTTTCACAACAGCTCTATCACACCGACTCACCTCTAGTACGCTGTAGATATATTTTAGTTTTCATATATAGTTGAGTAGTATTTCACCCCGAATTAGTGGGTTTTGACGTGGTTTTTTCAGCGGAATTCTATTTGGACGACTTGGTACACTTACAATCTTGCAATGGAACGCAGCATTTGGCCCACGACGCGTCGGTGGCGATACCAGTTGAAGACAAATCCACATTACGCGACTACGATGACGTAAAACGGTGATGTCATTTCCGTACCGCTGTCTGAGTCTCCACCCTGACAGTGATATATACCCTGCGTAGTCAACGTTTGCTCATTACCGCCACCACCAGTTCGACATGAACGAATCGGCCTCGATTTCGCGCGCGACGTCCGTCTCTCGGGCTAGTAGAAACGGCTCAACTATATCTCGCAACCAGTCACTCATCAAGAAAAACGTTGCACCTCATGATTTGAAGCCGTCCGACGTGCTCATTGAGCGATTCGTGGCGTGGAAGGCCATCGTCAAGCAGCTCATTGCTTATTTTGAGGTTCGGTTTTCTCGCTGTGACTGCGTGCTGTGACTGATGGCTCGCAGGGTGTCGCAGACATCGAGAACAACACTGCGAAAGAGTTGACAAAGTTGGGCGCTGTCATTCAGGTTCCATTTCGAGCTGGTAACCAGTTCTTGGGCGAGGGTGGACTTCAGGTATGCTTGTTGTACTGCTGGGCTACGCTTTAGAGGCTGATTCCTGTCAGGATATCTACTACGGCATTCGCGACAAGACGCGTGTCATCGCAGACCAACATGCGAATCTTGGAAGGACCATCGATAGTTCCATTGTTCAGCATTTGCAGAAGCTTAGAACGGAGATTAAGGCCCACATAAAGGTGTGTCATACATGCATCACTGTTGAATTGTTCATTGACAACCTGCAGAATGTCCAAAACGATACAGGAAGATTGGCAACTAGCGTTGCAAAAGAGAGGGAACTTTCGACGCGCTACATTGCCGAGCTCGCCACCAATATCTCTGCATACAAGAACACGCCTATGAACGTTACGGCCAAAACTGATCCGTGCGTTGGCTGCATGTTCAATTCATGTTGATGCTCAACACAGCTTTCAGGTTCGTATCCAACACTGCTGTCATCCGCCAACTCCAGAAGCAAGTACATGAAGAGAACCTCCTTCAGAAATCCATTATCATTATGCAACAAAATTCAGCAACTTTTGAAGAAGGCATAGTGCGTGCCATTCAGAGCGCTTGGCAGACGTTCGACGAATGGCAGTCGCGCATGTCATCATCTGTGCAAGATACATGGCAAAATTTAGGAACACAGATGGCATCCCTCGCTCCCGACAGGGAATGGATTACGTTCAGTGCACGTTCCGATCATCTCCTCGATCCCGACACGCCTTTGCGTAACCAAGAGACTATCATGTATCCCAGTAAAGAAGACCCGAGCGTCATCGCAGTGCACACGGGTTTACTTGAACGCAAGAAGCGGTTTACTAGGACGTATCGCGAAAGCTACTTTGTCCTTACCCCGGCTGGATTCTTGCATGAATACGCGTCAAGTGATCCTCATGAAGCTCAGACACCCATGTTCTCGCTATTTCTTCCTGCGTGCACGCTTGGCCCTCCGAGTTCGAATTTGAGCAAGAGTCACAAGTTCCATATTGAGGGACGTAAAGATGGTTTGGGGACGACGAAGAGCGGAGGTTTCTTGAAAGGCACCGGCCAACATGCGTGGAGTTTTCGTTCTCGCAGCCGAGAGGATATGATGGAGTGGTGGAATGATATAAGGATGCTGTGTGCAAGGTATCTGGTGGCTAGTGAGCAGATGGAGAGGAGTGGACCCGTTGCTGCTGCCGTTCGGGCTGCGGGGTACGTCAGTGAAGAGGAGGAAGAAGAAGAGGGTAGCAGCGTTGAAGAAGAAGAGGACGAAGAAGAAGAAGAATACGAGGACGTCGGGGAAGATATCAATCCTCCAAGCTATTCACACCCGGAGAAAGATGGTTATCCTGTGGGTTTTGATTCTTCTAGTGTCGCAACTTGCTAAAACTTTCATCAGATTGACAAGAAAGATCATAATGGCTATCCGGTCGAGAAGGATGAAGGGGCTGATGTTTCGAGAAGGCCAAGTAAGCGGCAGATGGAGAAGGCACCTGAAGGACAGGCTCCGCATGCTCAGGACGAGGACGGCAAGGTCGAGAGCAAGTTTACGGAGGAGTTGTAACGTCTTGATTATGATCTGGATTTGTTTTACGTGTAGCTTCCCGGTATGATGGATGATCATCATATAGGATCACATCGACTCATTGTCCACAGCGGGAGTTTGACAGTCTCATCGTGACCGGAATGACCGGTTCTTTTCATTGTGTTGGCGAGGGATATCCGCCATCTGATGACATGTCAGAGCATCGCAAAAGTTCTCTCGAGCAAGTAAAATAATGCATATTTCGCCCCTGGGCGGCAATAGAATAAGCGTAATAATTGGTATCATATGTTCAATACATCAGTACAAGCCCCAATATATATAAGAGCGCGGACGCATAAAAAGTCCTGCAAATTATGGTATCTATCATGAATACGAAGTGCCGAGAGGGAAAGGAGCGTCAGGGCCTGAGGGGCGCGTTATTTCTTCATATATTAGTACTGTTTCAAGTTGGTCAGATGGAGCCGAGAACATGTTACAAGGCACGGACCTTTGAGTTCTTCTTTTCGCATGGGGGCACCGTTGTCAAAGTGGAAGAAGGAAGGATCGAGGGGTTCTGCCGTCGGTTCGTCTTGGGGGTCGTGGTAAGGCTAGAAGGGACGTGAGATGGGAAAGGAAGGTGAAGGTGGGAGGTGTACCTGAAGATATGGATGCCTCAGTGCTTCGCCGACTTCGATGCGACGTTTGGGACTGAATGTTAGACATTTTTCCATGAGGTCAATGGCCTGGATGATATTTAATAAGCAGTTAAAGGGGAATAAAGACAAAGACTGACGAGTGGATTAGCCTTGGGGAATAATGAGGAAAAGCTCTTCTTCTTCCGAAAGGGCAGTGCACGGATGTACTCTCTGGATCTGCTGGATGATATGGCATAAAAGTCGTCTATTGACGGGGTGCCGAGTATGTCAAGAATGATAGAGAGCTGGTGGTGATAGTCGCGGCCAGGGAAGAGGGGTTTTCCGCTGAGCATCTCTGCGAGAACACAGCCGACGGACCACATATCAATGGCGCGGGTGTATTCTTTGAAGGTGAGCATGACCTCTGGGGCCCTGTACCATCGAGTGGCGACATATTCGGTCATGAAGGTGCTGCTGTCGTCGACGTTGGGCGGGGGCCGGGCCGAGCGGGCAAGGCCAAAGTCGCAGAGCTTGGGGGATGGTGAGAGTGGAAAAGGGGGAGGATTTGGAGATGACAAACCTTGAGATCGCAGTTGGCGTTGAGAAGGAGATTGGATGGCTTGAGATCGCGATGGAGCACGTCTGCCGAGTGAAGAGCCTTGAGTGCTCGGAGAGTCTAGATAGAGGTGAGGATGGATCAAAGACACAAAGCCCAAGGGTACGAACTTGGTATATAAAATACTGGCAATGGTCGTCACTGAGCTCCTGGGTCCGGATGACACGGTGAAGATCAGTCTCCATGAGCTCCTGGACGAGATAAACCTCGGTAAAGTCCTGGAGAGACGGTGGGCGAAGGATATCGAGGATGCTGATGATGTTCTCGTGGTGAAAATGGCGGAGGAGCTTGATTTCGCGGAGAGTACGGAGGCAGAACATGGAGTGGTCAAAGGGGGTGATACGCTTGATAGCGACTTTGCGCTGAGTTGGGAGATGGATGGCTGAGCAGACAACGCCATATGCGCCTTCGCCGATAACATCCAGTGGCTGGTATGACGACCCCACCAAGAAGTGGGTCATTTTCTCTTCCAGTCCATTCATCGCTGCGGTGACATATAAACACCCAAACTCGGCTATCCCCGCCGGTACCTTTGACTTGTAACACACCACAACAACGCGTCCCTGCATAGCTTCCTCCTTCCGGCATCTCTTGCCAAATACCGCCCACTCTGACTCATTATTTTCTCGCTCTACCTCCAGTCCCTCTTCCTCCAACCAACCCATCTCCATGGCAAAAGGAACCACGAGCGAGTATCACCCCGAAACCGGCGTGGACGTTGCCACTTTGCAAACGGCCTCCGTCTGTACTCCAATCTGGGGCCGAGACTCTTCCTCTTGTTCTCGCCATTTCATCTATTCTTCCAGCCGGGAAATACGGAGTCTCTCCTTTGCTTTGTCTCTTATTGTCAAAATGATAGCCATCAAAAACCTAGCCGCCACATTTTTATTCATTCATCGGCTCGCCCGATCTCTTATTGTCCGCCCCCCCGTATTAATTTCATTCCGTCACTACAGTTGCCTCTCGTACCGCAATTTGTTATCAGCAGCTTGCTTTTTCATCCGTCCTTCTGACCCCGATTCCATTAAAATGACATCCCTACGGTTCCGCTACGCCAATCTGCTTCAGGGCCGAAAGTCCGCAGCGACAACAAATAACCGCGACGGCTAACCACTCTCACTCTCCCGCAGTACCAGGATACATATAGTCACTGAATAGCGCAGACACGGGTCTCTACATTGAGTTTATCAACATGCGCAGGCACACCGAACGGGAGGCTGTGGCGAGGTGAGCTCGAAACTGAGCTCGTCGGCTAATGATGTGGTTTCCGGGATCTTCTGCAAATCGATTCTTGGATACGGAAGCCGCACGCACACGCGACAACCACGCGTCTCGCAGGGACTCGACGCCTACCAAACGCCGGAATAATGCCAGGTTCACGACCTTGACCTGACTAACCGGGCCATCTATTCAATTAACTGCTGCTGCTGCGCATGCACCCTCCGTCCATATGTATGGAATGCTATGTTGCCTGCGGGTACCTCTGACCGCGGGATCTTGAACATTACGACAGACGAAGCAGGATTCCTACTGAATTGGTTACCATGCTTCATCCCAGTACATCGCTCGACGGTCGGCAAGCTTAAAAGCTACCCAAAGGCGCAAAGTCTTCGTGGGGCAGTCGGTGCTAAGACCTCTCCGAACACACATGCTCATTGCTCGTCAATATGACCCGAACTAAGGACGATCTTCGTTGGTGGTTACCATGGTCATGTCCATGTATCGGCCCAAAGACGCCTCGTATACTTGTGTAGATCAGGAAGCATGATACAAAATCAAGTGCTAGATGCGAGTGTGCCAATCAGTTTATACTACAGCCGAAGATGTACTCCTCACGACAATCTAACTGCTAAAGACAGGGGCTTGTGAGAAAAGATAAGATCTGTAAATCTGCTGATAAGATTCTTTGATCCCTTTGAGTCAGCACCTGTTACTCATTCCTTTTCCTTTTTTTCTCCCATGACTAGCCTGCTCAGTGCGCGGCTCTTCGCCCGCCAATCTCTGCTATGCAGGCGGTACATTCACCGTTCACCCTCAGGTAATCCTGCTGTGTGTTTCCCATCACTCATAATGACTTACCGACCCAGCGCTGGCCAAGGCCAAGGCAGCACCAACCGACGAACCCTTTGGCGAGAGCACCGATGACGGTGACTTGTTTGGTGACGCGACATCGTCAGTGCAAGAAACCAAAACCCAAAGCGCTGCCCCGCAAAAACCGAAAAAGGCTGCCCCTACGCCACGGAAAGGGATGGATGCTTCCCGCCGCGCGGCGGAGTATACCAGCCTGTACGAATTTGTCTCACCGAGGTTGCAAGAAAAGAATCGTCCAGATTTCACGCATCCTCCATATGTGAAAGTCGCGAGCTTCAACCGTCTCATGGATCTGGCCACTACAGCGGAGCAACTTTCGAGTATTGTTGATCTCATCCCGGCTTGGGCGAGATATAATGGGAGAGGGATGAAGAATTCGACGGCGGACGTGTTCGTTCGTGAGTCTATTATCGCACACATTTAAGCTTCTACCTACGATGATTCTTTTAGGCCGATGCGACGACTTCAAGTGTCCCCAGCTCGCTCTCAAGGTCTTCGGAAACTTCCCACTGTACCAAGCAAAGCTCACTCGCCCCGCTGCGCAGCAGCTCCTGTACACTCTCCATCGCACCTCCGCCCCACTAGAGGACCTCATGCTCACCGCGGCGTTCTTCCCGATCTATCAACTCGGCCCGCTCGAGAACGATATCGTCTCGCTGTCCATTCTCGCGGCGGCGTCGGTGAAAGCCGGGAAACGCGATCTGGAGACGGCGTTGTTGACGAGGATCCACAAGTCGTTGGGTATCAAGGAGGGTTCGAGGGGGGTGCGTGTTGAGGGGACGGATTTGAGGGACAAGTGGGTGATGTGGCATTTGAGGGAGATTGATTTGGCGTTGGAGAAGAGGGATGGGCGGCCGCTGAAGTGGTTGAGGGATTGGAGGCACCGGTCGCAGCTCCGTTCGAAAGCGGAACCCAAGGCTGCTTAATTTCCAGTAGGCTCGGAGAACGTGCAAGTCATGAGTTGCTGCAATCTATCTTGTTCGAGTTAGGATGCGAGCTATATGGTGTTTTCTCGACGTTTCCTCCGGCACTCGCGGATAGTTTGCACAAGTTTTTTTCCGTCCAGCGGCTAATGTCTTCTCACGAATAGCAGAGCAGTGGCTGTATTCAGTTGAATTTTCCTACATTTGTGTAGCCGCGGGACACTTCGTTCGGCGCCTGGAGGTCCAGCCCCAAGGATTGGATGCCACGGATGAAGATCAGTTGACTGAGAGTTATTCAGTGTGAGAAGCCCAGATGCTCATTATCCTTGTGGATTCGTTCCAGGTAAGTATGCGATGGGCTTCGGAGCATTGGATGACAGAACTTTACTTTTTGGCGGAGTCATACGCAAGTTACGGCAGGCTTTCCGCGAGGGTACTGGGTATTCAAATTCTCGGTTCAGAATCCGCTTCCGACGATCCCCTACCGTACTATGACCGCCAGTTTTAAGGTTAACGATGGAGTAACGTTGTATTATACCTTGTATGTAAGGCAGACAGGGTGAATAACCTGTGCAGACCCAAACTTATAGGAGATACAGTATTTATCCCATTCGAGAGTTTCAAGCAACGTTGCCTGGTAGCAAGTGTCCTTGTATATCTCTTCCCTAGATACCAACTCGAAAGTTACTTTGTGAATTCGAAAAAAGCAATCTAATCTTATCACCGGAACCGGGTAGATCCGTATATATACTCCCAGGCACCGCTGTTGTACTCTTGACCATCACTCCCCGTTGTCATTCTTCGATTCCCTTCTTCTCCAACATTTGTTCTCTCCCCCTTCTCCTGCGACACCGTCTTTCATTTCTATTCGCCACTTGTCGCTTTCCACACACACACCCGGTGAGCGAGCCGCAGCGCGAGGATGGGTAACTGCGCGTCTCAGTCAGACAAGGAAGAGAAGGCACGCTCGGATCTGATAGACAAGCAGCTGGAGGATGACAGTAAGAAATTTAAAAAGGAGTGTAAGATATTGTTATTGGGTTCGTTTATCCTTTTTTTCTTCTTTCAAGTCGCGTCCTTTGGTTTTGATGGGTTGTATATCTTAGGATCTGGAGAGTCGGGCAAGTCGACGATTGTAAAGCAGATGAAGATTATCCATCAAGGCGGTTTTACCCCTCAGGAATTGGATTCGTATCGTGGAACGGTGTATAAAAATGTGCTAGAGTCGGCGCAGGGCATCGTTCAGGCTATGAGGAAAATCGGGATCGATTGTCATAATTATTCAAATCGAGTGCGTCCTTGTTTCTTCGTTCGAAAATGCCTTCCATTTCCCCTCCTTTATGTCTTTGAATACGTACAGTTCACGGGTATAACGCCCTGCTTTCATTATCATATCTGACTTTATCCACGCCACATGCTCTCACCCGTTTTATCGCCATGTTCTCATTTAATAATCCCCTCCCCGCTCTCCATTCTTCAATCTTCCTTTCATTTAGCCGCCTTTTCCCGACGTCCGTTCGGATCATTAACTCACGGCCTTCCAGGTGCTCGCAGAGACCATTCTTGACTACCGACTGGACGAAACGACTGCATTCACCCTCTCGTCCGAGATAGCAGACGCCATTCATCAACTATGGCAAGATCCCGTCATTTCTACCATGATGGAAGAACATTCAACCGAGTTTTACCTCATGGACAGCGCCTCATAGTAAGCTGCATTCATATTTTCATCAGCGTTTTACCCTGGTTGATCGTTGATATCATTCAGCTTCTTCACCGAAGTCCTTCGCATCGGTGCGCCAGGGTATAGGCCTACCGAGACTGATGTCCTTCGTGCACGGGCGAAGACTACGGGCATCACAGAAACACGGTTCAACATGGGCCAGCTCCAGTATGCTCTTTGGTCCCTATGCTATTTATAATACTAACATGCGATCTAGAATACACATGTTCGATGTCGGCGGTCAACGTTCGGAGCGGAGAAAGTGGATACATTGCTTTGAGAGCGTGACATCCATAATTTTCTGTACGGCGCTGAGCGAGTACGATCAGGTGCTGCTGGAAGAGCGGAATCAGGTGAGCGTGGCTATCACATTCTCGTCCACCCAGCTTCTTAGAATCTTATCTAGAACCGGATGGCCGAATCTCTAGTCCTTTTCGAGTCGGTTATCAATTCGCGCTGGTTTCTCCGGACGTCTATCATTCTCTTTTTGAATAAGATTGATGTTTTCAAGATGAAGGTGTCGAGGGTGCGTTTGGCTTCGATGTCTTTCTATGCTGTCTTCTCACCTCTGTTAAGGTGCCCCTTGATCGATATTTCCCCGAGTATACTGGCGGGAATGATGTCAACAAGGCGGCCAAGTACATTCTGTGGCGGTTCATGCAAGCGAACCGAGCGAGACTCAGCGTGTACCCCCAGTACGTGATCGATCCGCGACCATCATGTAACGATCTCTGATCAGTTCTACCATCAGTCTGACGCAAGCGACCGATACTACGAACGTACGGTTGGTGTTTGCCGCAGTGAAGGAGACGATACTACAGAACGCCCTCAAGGACTCTGGTATTCTGTAGAGTGGCGGGAGATTTTCTCTTTTTTTAATTTTCATTTTCATTTTACTCGATTTGTCCTTGTATCTGTTGTGCTCATTGGTATGTCCATTAATTCTTCCTATCAGTAGTCTAGCACTGATGTGTATCTCATCTAGCATGTCCATCACCTGCTAATCGTGTCCCCTATCCATCCCACGTATACTATATCGGTCGCTATCCTTACTCTCCCACCACCACCACATCTTTTTTTAAAAGGACCCGTCCATAATTTAGGACCATTTTTTTATATCTATATCATGTCTACCGCAATTTGTATAGTAGTTCTTTTGCATATGGATTGAATGTTGTGTGTGTACATAGACACATCATGATAAGATAACTCTCTGAATGTGTGCTTGGGATCAACATTGATCGAGACTAGAGTAGTTGCACGATATTGATGACATTTCACTCGGCGCAGTAACCTGTCACCAAACCCCTTTAGCCTACTCGCCGAACACTGGCATGCAACGTATCAATATTGTCTGAACCTTGAAACTGTTGGTGCTGGGTGCGGTGCGGTCCTGGATGAAACCGCCATCATGTTTGGACTTAGTCCAGACGTTGTGGCGCGAGTGCTAAGTTTCGGGCTTGTTTATTCTCTTTCTTATCCAAAGCGGGGCTTGCCTGGCACTAATGAAGAGTTTCTTGCGGGCTTGTCGTATTTGTATGTTGTATACCATGGGTACAATTAGGAGTTATACGTTCTTGTGGCCCTCTCACTCCGTGCAAGAGTACTAGTAATGTCACTACAACTAGTTCAACACCGCTCCCGAACATCCTTGACAGATAATCAACCAAGCCGCGAAGCTGGTAGGTAAAAATTTATAACTTAATCCGTGGCTGAAACTCTCCAGGTTTTGATGCGAGATAAGTATCATAGCATACCGTCAGGGTCAGTAGTAGACAACCCCCCATAACGGCCTGACAACCATCAGTGTAACTGCCGGGAAGAGGGTGAGATCTACAAACTTGAAATCATGTCACATATTCCGTGAAACGATGACGCGGCAGAGTCGGACTCGGACTGACAGGTGCTACGCAGAAAGAGGCTCATACTGGCGGGAGCAGAATCGTAGAGCAAAAAAAAGCAGATACTGCGCGAGGTTACTGATGCTAGATCCAGCAATGTGTAGACTCCAAAAGTCAGGGCCAACCTAAATTATATCCCTCTAGGGCCAGTGCCCCAGAATAGAATCCAGATAACTCGTTAAAATGGTCGCCCGTGCTAATATATATGTATACAGGTCATACATTGCTCTCGCGAAGGCAATGCTCGACTGAGCAATGAATAGAAGAAGCTAAATGCTGGAATAGGCATCAGGCGGTGCTCTTCATTCGAGAGATATCAATACCTGACGAAGTGCATGACCATTCACGAACATCCTATCACACTCTTCGCAATAAGGATGGTCCTTCCTTGCCTGGCAATGCATACGCAGCCCATTCTGTGTCCGACAGTCCTTCAGACACCGGCTGCACTGAACGATGTCCTCTCCTGTCCCCTTATGAGTTATCGAAGAAAGGTGCTTGAATTTAAAAAAGTGAGAATGCGAACGAAATTTGTATGAGGCATGGTAACACATACCTGCGCAAGAAAGCCTTCTCGAAGGAACAGTCTACAGCATTCACTGCAGTAGAAATGATTCTCTTTGTCGCGGCAGTGGGAATGAAGGCCCCGCTCGGTTTTGAAGGTCCAGTGACAGGCTCGACACTCGTACATTGGTGGGGCCGGGGTAAGGGTGCCATACAGCGAGTCACATTATATACCATCCGGGAGGAATAGGAAGTATGGACTCCCCAGAACGTGTAAACCTCAAGGCCCTCGCAATAAATAGCAGTACCTGTGATCTATCTTCGGGCCAGTCACGAAGCATCTATCCTGAATAGCAATCTTTCTCTCGGACAAGAGATGAGAAGATGTCTAGACTCACAGTGCACACAAGTTTCCCCAGAAGATAGTCCAATAGCAAAGACGTCTGAGGGTGCATCCTTATACCAAGGACTTTGAGGAAAAGAAACTGGTACTTGGCACACTCATTCGTGAGCAGACGTAAGTATGTGTAATTGAACGACCTCAGGTGGAAGAAGCCGTACGACGATCTAAAGTTATGTCCAGAACTTCTGTTACGATAACCCCTGGCACTTTCAAGGCTTCATCGACGTCGGTGTAAATCGAAGAACACGAAGCAACTGTGGGATAAGAAACCGAGTAATCGTTTGCAGGCAAAGGACCGTGGGAAAATCGCGCCACTTCCTTACCATCAACTTGATCGCGTCGTATTAAGGTTGACATAGATTTGTGTCTGCGGAGGTAATGAGTAAAAACTACGTGGTAAGCAGCATGCTTACAGATACATCATTTGCCTCTATGCTCAAGCGTGTATCGATACTATCCTTGCAAAACAGACATGAGACATGTCCATTCACACTTGACATTGACGGTCCACCCAAGTGATTGCTGTTCCCACAACTACTTTCTACTTCTACAGACCCAACCTCTCGGAGACGGATATCATCATACCCTGGGCAGCGTTATAGCCATCACCTGGTCAAGATATTTATGAACGAGGAAGACAAAGGGTCCACAACCATGATTAAGGCACATGTCGTCTTTTCAGGATGTCCAGCATGCTCAAATCATGCTTTTTATCAATCTTCCGATATGATCCAACATCTTCGGCCCACTTGACCTCCTTGGACACATTGAGATGGATCGGATACCTGACTTCCTTCTCCTTCCCAGCCCAGTCAAAGTCGATCAGCCGCACAGTGTCGGCTTCATTGGGTCCTGGCACAATCATAATATTGGATTCTCGAAGATCACCAAAAACAAGATCCTCCCCATGGAGGATGTTAAGAGCACGCTCGAGGTCACCGACAACTTTTGGCGCAAGTGCACCGTCAAACATCTCAGTGGCAGCCTCCCCCTCGACATAACCCATCACAACCATTTTCAAGGCACCATAACCAGCACTATCTTTACCGAGGTGTTCACAGTACAAAAGATGAGGTGCCAAGTGGTGTTGCGCAAGCAGTCTATGGGCTTCGACGCCATAAGTCTGGACGAACTTGACAACAACCTTGCTTTTGTCCGTGATGGTCTCGGCGAGGAAGACGACGCAAGCGGGGTCGAGGGGCTTAAGTGGCTGCAAGTACTTGAAATATACCCGTGGCTGGTTGCCATTTTGGAATGAGGTTGGGAAAGGGTAGAAACGGGGGTGGGAGTCGTCAGATGAGAGGGGCAAGTGCACGAGATCTCTGTAATAGTCATCGAGGATGCGTATACCTGCCTTGAGGGCTCGTAGGACGCCAGCAATACGGATGCATTGCGCATCGTTGATGGCAGGGCTGGTTCCGAGCCATATGAAGTCTGTGAGGCGCTGAACTATTGGCTGGGCAGTGAGCACGGCACCCATTATGATCAGCCAAGGACCTGCGAGGCAAATGATGAAGGAAGGACAACAGCCACATTCCCTGAGTTCCTGGTGCTATACGAAATATCGTATAAGAAAACCAAGGACCGGAGTGAATACTCACATCTTCGGACAGCCAGAAATCTATGTATGAACACCCTCCTTCTGTCGTCACATCCCCTCCAGACCCCAACTCCGACTTTTCTTTGACAGTCGCCAGTAGGGCAGTTTGAAAAGGAGGAGACATTCGTCTGTGAAGTATCGCATGGTCAGCCGACGTCTTATTCATATTAACGACCTGCGAGAGAGGAAACCCTAGTATTTTGGACAAATGCATAAGGCTCGGAAGAGAGCGACTCCTCTCTATAACTGCAATCCCAGACGCGCTCCTCATCAGCTCGCCGGTCTCCACAACAAGATCTTCCGGAAGGTCACTCGTGTCACCCATAGCGCCAAGGAAATCTGCAAAGACGGGGTGATAAAGTTGAATTGGCGGGGCCACTGTGGGAGTAGAATTGGCAGGATCGTAGCGGCCGTCGAGGATGGCGGCATCACTAGCCTGGTTCTTGATATAATTATTGTAACGGGAATTACTGGATGGAGTGTCTCGAGCAGCTTTGATCGTCCTTTTGTACCCTCGATAGATTTGAGTGAGAGATAACACAAGATACGTGTAGCGTACTCGATAGCAAGTAATTGTCGACATCATCTTCGTCGTTCTCCCGCTTGCGTTTCATGCTCCGGATTTCCAGAATGAAATGCAATTCTCCCGAGTTCAGTCGATCTTGACCGCCTCGATTAAATAGCAGAAAATTCTTGACGTTCTGCCCGGGATCTTCCACTTTTGTGGCGATGGTCTTCAGGTTACCATGCGCCTTATTCAGGCGCTCTGCTAGATGAGTGGCAGCGCCGACTTGGGACACCGGTTGTTTAGCCTGCAAGACCGTCAGCTGTAGAATCCAGAACTGTAGGGTTATGATACGTACTGTCCACAAAACCAGTCCCGAGCGATCAATCTCGCGCTCCGTAGCAATCACTGCTACCAGGTCAGCAATATATGCATCAGAGGGCACACGATATACACGAGCATAACCGCCAATGTCGATTTCTTTGCATGATATTACCCACACATTGAAACTATCGGCCTCAGTTGTCGTCATGGTGGTTCAAGATTAAGAAATCTGAATTATTATTTTCATACTTCGACACCCCTAAACGTTACTGACACCGCAGTTACAGTTACATAAGCCTTCGGCAATATCCGGAAAGGTCATCGAATGACGACGACGTCCAACTCGCCGTCCTTCATTAAATCGAATAGACCTGAACCGGTCCCTCTTCTTACGAGCTAAGCCTCGCTAGAGGGACCTGTAAAACTCGCGCCGATCATGGCACAGACATTTACGGGCGTTGCCGGTATCCGAATTGGGGAGGTATTTCCGGATTTGGGTTTTGGTGTAACTACGATCATTTACACGTCGCGTCGCGTATATACCTCTCGTCTGTCTGTCGACAGCTTCGTATCTCATCATGGAGCCTCAGAAAAGGTACCAAGGTGTATTTAGATTAGAAAAATTCACTCCCAACACGAATTCCTTTTCCCAATCCCATTGAAACAAACAGTAGTTCGTCGTTTTCGAATTCCTCAAGCTTGATGTCAAGTGCCCATGGTTCGTAGAAAACCACATATAGACCATGAAAACCGATCCGACGAACAACCCTGCCTCCTCGCTGTGCATCCTCACCTTCGTCCAATGCAAGACCCATATTTCCGCATATCATAACGTCTGAGAAGTCAACACCCTGTACAAACGGTCAGGAAAAGTAACACTGGTAGGAGCTCAAGTAAAAACGAACCTACAACGGACTCGCCAGCCGTTGAGCACAAGATTCTACAGCCGCCATCCGAGCGGGGTGAATTCTCCGTGGGCATACTTGAGATAGTCAATGGACATTCTGCTGTGGTAATGCATGGCGAAGCCTTTACCACGAAATTGGGGTGGGCAAATACTGTTCAGGAAGCGGGCAACGCATACAGTTTGGTCTTTGTTATCAAAGAAGAGCAATACACGGGGCTGGTCAACGAGTACGCCATTTTCAGGAAAGGGAGAGCGAACGAAGCATCGGTAGTTCTCCATATTATCCAGGTTATCGATGACGCAGTGTCGAGCATAAGTAGTATTAGGCCGATTAACTGTCGCACAGGTTAAAGAGTAGCTAGAACGAAGAAAGGAAGCCTCAATGGCAGTTTGAATATGAGGCGGACAGGTTGCCGTGAAACCATGCCAGAGAATAGACTGCGGAAGGGTAACTTTCAAATCATCGAGGCATCCCCAGCATGGACGAAAGGCTTGTACACCATATTGAGAGGTCCCGGCAAAGAACAAGAAGTGTGCTTCATCGACATTGATTCGGAGGATCCGCGCACGAAATACCTTGTCTCATAGCAAAAGAGAAAGTCGCGTCCAATGCCCCTTACGAGACTTGAAGAGTTGCTCAGCCGTGACAATGAGATGCTTGGCAGTTCCGTCTTGCGACGCATCTTTCTTGCCGTTATGAACATGTATCTGAAAGATAGTTACAAGCTGGCATGAACGCAATTAAAATGCATCTTCCTCTCCAGTAGTCCTTATTTCGTGGGGTTTCATTGTTTATCGCTAGCGTATTGATCTCGTATTTGCTCTTGAAGTCGGAAACCTAGGTGTAACTATTTGTAAGTACAAAGAATGAACATGACTTCTGAATAATAAAGGCGAACCTGAGTGACTTGCAAACGTTTAAGAGGTGATATCGTAATGACTACTCGCTTTTCGTCGTCGTTGAGAAGAATTAGAAGAGCTATGACGTGAGTTTTGCCGGAACCTGTGCCTGCAATGAGAAGAGAATCTTGTTCTACTGCAGATAGCGCTGCTTGGAGCTGTAGTTCTCTGTGAACTTCGTTCCCATGCGTAGAGTACCAGGCCAATAGACAGAATCGAAATGTAGTTGCGCGATCATGGTCGTTTAGTAGACGAGGGAAGTAGCTCTGTGGGTATATGTTGAATTTGAGCCTCAAGATCATCATAGAGAGCATTTCTGATGGTTCTGAGGGACTCTATCATCGTCAAGGGGTATACCGGCGCTTCCATTGCGAATAATTAGGGTATTGAAGTCAGGAATACATGAGTGCAAGAAGACAAACGCGACGCGATTCCCCACCAAAACCCAAATCCGGAAACACCTCCCCAATTCGGACACCGGCAAAGCCCGTAAATGTCTGTGCCATGATCGGCGCGAGTTTTACCAAGCCCTCTAACGAGGTTCTCCTTGTTAGAGGGCTTGGTTACCAGGCTATAAATCGAAGAACACAAAGCAACTTTTGGATAAGAAATTCAGCAATAGTTTGCAAGCAAAGGACCGTGGGAAAATCACGCCACTTCTTTACCACCATCTTGATCGCGTCGTATTAACTTCTACCTCGATATCGTCGACCACGTATTTTCCGGAATCAATCCACAGTAATTCGTTTCTGACCCGATTAGAGGACAACACTGAGTGTTCGAAGGAGCATTTCTGGATATGCTTCGGTGTGTTTAGTATGCTACTAGGTTGAATTGACGGTTGTATTGCAAGCTAAGCTGCGTCGCACTTGTTGACCTAGAAGCTTGGTTTCTGTACCACAAGTCATATTCATCAAGCCTACCAACTGCCTTCAATTGCCTACTTCAACTTGAAGGAACCCTGACCTTGACCGGGATGCTTCGAGGCAGGCAACTTTCCTGTACGTCGTCTGATCTGCTGCGCAATAGCCTCTCAGCTTCGACTTTTCCTGCGACGTAACCATTACCACATGTCAATTATTCTCGGCCCTTGCAGGATGGGTCATGTGTGCCCATGATGCACCTGGAGTCAGAGACGGGGAAAAGGGATAAAAGTTATCTTCCATGAGCCGGTGATTGATTTTCACAGGTTGCTCACCAGTTTAACTGATAGATCTGTCAGATATGACTCCAGCCTTTTTCTATCGATGTAACAGCACGACCGGGGGAACACGTCGGTCGGATATAAGCTCGTCCCGATGAGTAGCCCTATCCAGGGACGCTATGCATCTCTGATCAACCCCTTGCGTACGTTATACTGGTTGCAATGTATCGTTGATGAAAGCGCGATACTCTGGCCTCGACTACAACATCGACCAAAAAGTAAACGCCGGTTCCTCTCTCTCACCGTATTGTGCAGGTTTCGTGGCAGATGAAAACCACGACAAAGATTATCTCAACCTATACTTCGGTGTCGTTGGTGGCCGGAGGCCAGATCATCAATCAGGGAAAAATTCATTCGAGAATCATGACGCGTCAACCGCGTGATCGAGCGGATCACTGCGATCATAAAAGACCTACAAGAGCATTATGTGCATTGCCATACAGTATCACCTAAATGGCAGGCAGATCAAGGAGGGTGCTACGGTAAATCGAAAAGTAGAAGTACCGCATCACCTGGGCCGAAGCAGGAAGTCACCGTGTGGCGTTCGGGTTGTTGAAAATGCAGTGCGTTTGAATTTTCTATTTCGTATAGGCTCTGGGCCTGTTGGAATGCCCTAGCCAGCGTCCTCGAGCATCTATAGCTCTGACGCAGTCATGTGTGATATTCGTCTTGGTGTTGTGGGTTGTAGACGCGTCACTGACATAATCATAATGTCACCTAGACATTCTGTCAACGCGCCACTCAACGCTTTTGCATCTTACCCCAGGCCATGGACATATCTTGCCCTTCAACATCAACCTGCGCTTCCTTTCCTGAGTACACCGCTCGTCGATATGCAGGCGAGTTGGAGTCGCCAGCGTCGAATCAATTCCATCTTTTCTCCAACGGGGACATCCCGTTGTCAGTGCCGTGTCTTCGGGCTCTTTCTCTTTATGAACAAGCCCTGCAGCTTGCGGATGACGAATCGTCGTAAGTTTCAATGGTTTTGTTTTTACTCACCTCGTTCATGTTGAATAACCTCTCGTCCAGATCATCTGACTCTTCGTTATCCCCTCATGCCACTGCCGCCTTTAACGACTTACATCCGCTGACCTCTGCTCAGCTCGCAACCTTTACCTGCCTTGAGATGAAAGCTCTTCTCTCTTCTGATCCAGTCTTCGTTGTCAGCAAAAAATTCTCCACGCTTGATGACTCCGAACCTGACCCAGAACTTTGTCGCAACTTTCTACTTGAAGACCCATGGATAGCAGTACGTGGGATCTACTCCGACTTCGTTGTGTGCTCTGGATGCAGGAGCATTATCGCCGGCGAAGAAGACTACCAACGAGATGTCGAGGCATGGATATCGCATCGAGATTCATGCGCAGGTATAGAGGATAAAATTCTGAACGCTATCGTTCAAAGTTGGGACGCCCTAGACGCGATGTCGCTGATGTGGGAAACGGTACACCAAGTTTGCATGCATACATATCTACCTTCGTTAACAAGTCAACAACAGGCGAGATCGTTATCGTCACGGACTGACGACAAGATCGACCCTCTTCCACATTTCTCAGAAGGGGTTAGAAAGCCCGATCATTTTGAGGTATGTTATTCTCTAACGGGAACTATCTCCGTTGACAGCAGTTTCATGACTACAGGAACGGAAACGGAATGTTACCTTTGTCAGAGAATGGCTGGCCCAAATCGAGTCTTGACCTTTGTAAAGTGCTTGCAAATTGTGTACACGTTTGATTATCTGACGCTGTAATTCCGTGGGCCGAATCGTGAATGACACCAACACCAGAATATGGCAGCCCTATCACCGCGTGATATACTATCAGATCTTCTAGCTAATATAGGCTGATATTCAGTGTCGGATATGACACATGGAACCGCCCTCCGCTCCTTGCAGCTCCGGTTCCCAGGATATCCCATGTTTGATCTCTGGTTGCAATTCGGTCGCGGCCTTTAAAACTCCTCCAATATAGCGTCTTATGAATTCACTCGATTCCCTGTCATGTCCGTGGCTATCGTGACCGGTGCCGGCCAAGGAATTGGCAAAGCAATTGCTCTCAGACTCGCTGACGATGGCTTTGATGTGGCTATCAATGACCTGCCTTGCAAATCAGAAGCACTGGAATTGCTTTCAGCGGAAATCTCGGCAAAGGGTAGGAGGTCGTGCATAATTCTTGCTGATGTGTCTGTGGAACAAGAGGTGGAAGATATGGTGACCAAAGTGGTCACAGAGTTGGGTCGATTGGATGTCGTGCGTTCTAGGTCATTTCTCGATGCGCGTCTGGTCTTCTCATTCGTTTCGTAGATGGTTGCTAACGCCGGAATGGGTTTTGGGCGGCGACTGCTGGACAGTGCGTTATACTGTCGTCATGGAAAGTATTTAATTTTTGGAATTTTGTAGCCCAAATTGAGGACTGGGATCGCGTCCTCAGTGTCAACGCCCGAAGTGTTTTTATCTGTTACAAACTTGCTGCAAAACAGATGATCAAGCAAGGGACTGGGGGTCGAATCATTGGAGCGTGTTCGGTCCTTGGACAGCAAGGTTAGTTTCGTGTAACGCCCTCCATCTAAATACTGATGCCCCGACAATAGGTGGAAGATTCGTTAGCGCTTATAGTGCCTCGAAATTCGCTATTAGAGGCCTTACGCAATGTGCAGGTTGCTGGTTTCATTGACTTTATCTGTACTTTTTGGTGACTTTGTTTCCCTGTCATGTTAGCCACTGAATTTGGAGAATATGGGATCACAGTAAACACCTATGCTCCAGGTACGCCCCGTGATATGCTTGTTTTCTCGTGTCTTAGCTAACATGGGAATAGGCGCAATAGATACTCCTATGAGTAAGCCTTCATGTCGTTAATTTTCGACCATGCCAACCTGGTCTTCGACTACAGTGGTTGAAGCCGCCCAAGATATGGGTGGTGTGGACGCCTTCTACGAGAAGGTAGGTGGCTTACAGACTGCGTCGCACTTCTTAGTCCCTAACTATGTATAAGGAGAGAAACAAAAGCCCGTTGGGAATGATGGGCGAGCCTTCTGATGTTGCTGGTGTTGTTTCATACCTTGCATCGAGAGACGGTCGCTTCGTTACAGGTAGCTAATCTCTTCGCTTTTGCTCCTTAACCTTTACTGAAAAAAAATGGCGTCTGCCGCTTAGGTCAAACGGTAAGGTCTTTCTTCTCTTTCGTGCCATTTGGTTCTCACTGTAACTTGAAGATACCGGTTAACGGCGGCAGGTTTTACTCCTAGATGAGGGTAATGTACAAGCTAGTAAAATATTTTCGTCACTGTAAACGATACATGCTGATTGATAGTATTCTTCCCATCACGCAATATCGTTACTAAGTCAGGCTACAGAAGACTTTATCTTAACTTCAGTTGGCTCGACTCTTGTTCATCCACCCGGCGAAATTATTTTGCCCGCGGGATCAGAGTGCCGATCGATCAGCGTGTTAGCGAATACCTAGATGATCGATCGGGGTCGACTTCGAGATTTTTCTATCTATAAGGCAATAATTCATCGATGTTGGACGTCTTTCTGCATGGCTGTTGGTAAGACTTTAATGGAAAGGTCTACACGATCTGCTATACCCACGGATAAAAATATGCATCGTATCTTCTGGTTACCTAATTCAATTCGAGGCTCCACTGTTTCCCCCCCAACAGCCATGACGACCCACGCCCTTCGTGAAGCTTTCAAATCGAACAGAACAGCTTTTGGCACTTGGATATCTCTTCCAGGCTACTTTCATGCACGAACGGTAGCTCAAGCCAGCACCCGACTCTCGTGGGTAATGATAGACTGCGAGCATGGCCAAGTACCGCTCCACCCAGGCGCCTCCGAGAGCATCGCCGCTATTCATGCCGCAGGAAACGGAGCTCCGAGTGCTTTGGTGCGGGTTCCCGCCACTGGGATCAGTTCAAGCACCAGTTGGCAGATCAAGTATGCCCTCGATGCAGGAGCCCGCGGAGTCCTGGTTCCTATGGTATTCTGTCGCTCTTTCAGGTAATTACGTTTTGAGTACAATGAAGCAACGATCTAGGTGTCTTCGGCAGAGAAGGCCAAGGAAGTCGTGATGGACAGCCGATTTCCTCCCGCCGGGAGGCGTGGATTCGGGAACCCCTTCACCCATGGGACGTGGGGTGTAACGGTCCCTCAATATCTTGAGTCGGCGAATAAAGAGGTCACTGTTATGGTTCAAATCGAAACCAAGGAAGGGGTAGAGAATATGAAAGACATAGCAGCTGTCGATGGAATTGGTAGCGTTGACTCTATCTACTTACTTCACTTTTACGAACTGACGACTCATAGATGTGCTGTTCATTGGTCCATATGATCTGTCTATATCCCTCGGCTATCCGCCACCCTTGCCGGATCCGCATCCGAGTGTTGAGAACGTGATCAAAGAAATACTTCGCGTAGCTCATTCCGAAGGAAAGAAGTGGTTGGTTGACATTGCGTGTGTGCGTGTCTACGCTTATTGAACTATCCTTAGCGCTATATATTGCACATCGGGAGAGCAAGCTGTGAAGCGGTCTCAAGAAGGCTTTGACATGGTGAGATTCGCGGTCTCTCTAAAACTCGCGGCCCGCGTGAAAGTTTCTCATGGTCCATTTTAGATAAACGTCCTTACTGACGTAGGGGCAATTTCGGACAGTATTTCTCGCCACCTGCAAATAGCTTCCGCTGAACAGGACAGATAATGGACTGGAAAGGCTGATCCAACTTAAAATTGTAAAACAGAACTACCTCACACCCTTCTACTATGTCTAAGCCAGCTTTCAATCGAAAAACAATCCAGAGTTAATTGATATCTATCCGTGATAGGCGTGAGGTTTGAGCAAGTCGATCGAAATTTTTGACTCACGCTTTGACCTGCACATCAATCGCTCAGTGAGCTTGCATCAGATACGAATTTACCACCCACCTGTTATGAGACGTGCTTCACTAGAAACGAGATAAGATACGATACTAGCAATGTCAGTAGGCTCCAGAAGCTGTCCTCTGGCACTCATAGCAATTTGCTATTATAAATATTGTTAATCACCACAGTGTAGCTGAGAAGAACTTCGACTGACCGCATCGTAAAAAACCCTTCTCATCTCCTGTAGATTTACCAAGATCGGTAACTGAAGTAGTGGAATATTAGACCGCGGTCACAAGATTCAGAGCAACGTACGCATTTCAGTGTAAGTAGGGCCTTGAGGAAGTATGTTCAGCGTTTTCGATCAGAGGGAAGCTCGATGAACAATAAGATTTACCAGGTGCGTATGCATTCACTGTGATGCCATATGGTCCGAATTCTCGGGCTAAACACTTGCAACATCAGTACTTACGCCGTGCACGTCGGGGAAGAACCAACGAACCAGCACTTTGTGTGAAAAGGCGGATGGCACCTTTGGATGCACTATAAGCGGCTAAATCGCTATAACCTGGTACATGTACATCAGTATTTGGATCAAAGACTAGCAGATACACTAACCTTGTTTCCCCGCAATGGAAGAAGCGCCCACAATACGTCCGCCGTTACCTTGTTTGATCATCTGCTTCGCAGCGTACTTGTAGCAGAGGAAAGTTCCCTGTCCGTTTATCGTAAAGATACGATTCCAATCATCCGTGGAAGCTAAACCAACGTAAGTATGTCGACAACACTGCAGGAGCAGCTTGCGGCTTACTGTCCAAGATGCTACGGAAGGTACAAACGCCAGCATTGGCCACCATCTACACCACAGAGTAGTGAGTATCGTAACTGATGCATATGTGGAGGTTCTGCTGACAACGTTCAACGCCCCCAGTTCGTGAACAGTGTTGTCTATGATACTTATGACATCACTTTCAACCGAGACGTCTCCTGGTACGACGCACGGCCTCCTCCCTTTTGCGATAATTTCGGCTGCAAGGGCCTCAAGCTCCCTAGTTTTCGATGGTAGGTCATTGATAGAGACGTCGAATCCATCTTCTGCTAGCCTGAGGGCGATAGCCCTTCCTAGGCCTTGGCAAGAGCCAGTGATCAGAGCGACGCCCTTAGTAGAAGCCATGAGTAGTCGAGTACAGCGAGGGTAACCGCTAGAGTTTATATACCGCCAGGGTCTGGCGCGTGCTGAGTAGCTTGAATTCCCGATCAGGATCATTCTAATTATGATATTGAATTGCCATCGTATCTGCGGGAGCAAGGCCGGTGAAAAGTGTGATCCTACGTCAAAGTGAATCAAACAATAATGAACGCGCAGTCGGATCCAGGAGCCTTCGACGTTATCGTCTACTGAAAGATAGCCCAAGTTACGTGGCAAATTTGCGACGCTAACTTCTATAGGAAGTACCAAGGGAGATAGGATCAAAAATCGACTTTTGACATCCTGTTCTGACGGGCGGCAAAGCTGATGCCTCTAATAAATCGCCCAATGCGGGTAACGTACCTTGAATACTTTGGAACGTACCGCTTGCGACTCGCCATATCCTGGTAGGGATACGTTCGTGTAGGGAGCCTGTACCAGAATTAAAGCACTAACAGATCGATCAGATGAACTAATCATCAAGAACTGGAGTTAAATCGAACCCCTACAGGTGTTTCAGCGCCGTCAAATGTGAGGAATTCGACTCGGACGAAGGACGTGTCGTACAGGTGAAGCTAACTGGATCATATGGAAGCTGCCATTCATTATTATTTAAGCACAGTGAGCAGCGAATGCGAAAGATCTGGAGGGAAATACATGAAGATTGGCTTGTATATGGACATAGGCACAATGCACCCAAAGAGGCGAGCTGAGGACTAGAGACATTCAGAGGCCTGGAAACAGAGGATCCATTCGATAACAAGCCTGTATCCAATATAGATATGCATTTGTATTAGCATTTGGTTGCAATGAACTCGTAAGGACTTGCAACTAGCGGTGAAACGAGACGAACCGGCAAATTTACCTAAAGCTAATAGTAAAGTTACTAGCCGATGGGTCACATGATCACCGGCACCCAGCGTTCCGAATCCGATTCCCAAGTTCCAACCGTCAAATTCCAACCTCACTCCAGGAATTTTGTAGCAGATCTCAGTCGGAAGATGGAACAGACGTCTACCGGAACCAGACTTTGCCTCAAACACTCTTTAAAAAAACTGCCCAAATCAGTGACTGAAGCGCTCGATCGGATTCGGTTACTCTATGAACACTTGACCTCGTCCAGCGAACATGTGAGCGAGAAGTTTCGGAATTAGCGGGTACAACGTTTCCTGCCGAGCTTCAACGAATTCGACTGCGCCCTATGGTAGCGCCTATTTTCGAGGTTCATAGTACGTAACTTCCAATGATCTCGTCCACCACGAGACCCAGAAGTGCACAGCGAAATTCGGGGTGCAGAAGACCCAGCCCCTCCTGGAATACTGGGCCACGGGTGCCGGTCATATGATGCTTTACCCCCCGGACCCACATCTGACTCTAGACAGCTCCAGGAATGCTATTCTTTCCCACCCATCCGCTCTTGGATACGTACCACCACCATCCTATAGAACGCACACAATCTCTCTTTCGCAATGTCAACTGAAGTTGCTGCCCCTGCTACCATCGAAGTCAACGATGCCTATTTCTGCACTCATTTCAAGGAAGTGGTTAGTAGCTTATCTTCTTCGTCGCTGTTATCTTGGTCGTCTGACGATGATCATAGTGTGCGGTCTGTGGGTACGATGGAAGGGAGGAGAATGATGCGTTCTTTGGAGTAGGTCGACTTCGCGGTTTTCCGTTCTTATCGTTGTTGACTGCATTCGTGCTAGTTTGATCCCATCGACCGCGAGGGCATCGAATGTCCTCCAGCCATCATCAACAAAGATGGCGTCTATCAGTGCAAGAAGCATGCGTTAACAGGTTAGGAGGCGCTCCTTGCTACCATAGGACGTACTGACTGTTATCGAAGGTTGTAACCAGTGCTACGGATGGAAGAAGCAGATTAATCGGGCGAGGACGGCGGCAAAGAAGGCTGGCAAGAAGTAAAGCGAATGAGTTGCCGTGGCACGAGACCTTGATGTAATGTTGTCGCCTTGGTGGGACAATTGCGGGAGTCTCAGAACTTACACTTTCGCACCAACGTGCAAATCTACACATGAATCTCCGTAGAGAAACGAATTCTAAGCAGTCTATAGTTCAATAAGACGACTATGTGATGGAAAATCTTGTAACTCGGTATCGTCTTCATCGGACCGAACGGTGGCAGTCTGAATTGTTCGAAATGTTAGGTCATTTGTGGGAAAGCCTGCGGAGAATATTCCAACAGTCGCCGTCTGATGCAGATTCAACATGAGCCGAGACATCATGGTCACAGAAATGCTTGGGCCGTTATTAGCTTTGATGCATGACAAATCATGAAAACACACCAGCTGGCAAACGATGAGAGAGATCCACGGAGAAACGGCTGTGGCGGAACCGGATGATAAGAAGGATTACACCTAGGAAAAGAGCTACTTACTGGAGCTAACTGAAAAAAAGAAACAAAGTCAAAAAGTGCCGGTCATGCAAATGCAAAAAAAAAAAAACGCACGTAAAATGTAATAATATTAGATAAATTAGCAAGGGCCATGACGCTGCAAGAGTAGCTGTAGCGTGCTGCAAGCTGAAATACTGACAAAATGGCCTTACGCGAAATATATAGCGCCTGATAAATCCGCCTCAGAGTCGGGAGATTCCAAGATCCAGTAAAACGTTGCTCACCATCTCGAAGGATAAGGGATAGAATGTCAGGCGTAACACGGTTCCGTCGCTCTTTGTACGTTTTAAAGAGCGTCAGACTGAAGAGAATGGTATCGTATATGAAGAGGGCCTCCCACGCCGACGCTATTCCTGTAGGATGAATCATGCCTCGCTGTCCAAGTGCGAGCAGTCAGAAACTGCTTACGGATGGCGCTGGAAAGTCCAAGTTAGCCGATGAAAGACTTGACCGACGGCGAGACATACGTATCTCGGTCCAAACCAATGTGACAACCAGACGAAGGCTTGAAGTCGACATGTTTTTGACCGAAGAGAGACCACTGGACATGAATCAGAAGGGAATCTCTTGACAAGACATTCTGACACGTACGCAGGAAACGCCGGCCAGAATGACGGCACTCGCCACCATATAACAGAGAATACGCAGGTTACACGCATAAATAGCGTATATTCGCATCGTTAAAAGAACTGCGAGGAACATCAGTACTAAACTTAGGAAGCATGAGATACTTACTGCAAACAATAATTTGGCTGATGATTAGCAGCGCTTGGCGGACCAAGTTGTAGTGTCCACAGCTGATTTGGTGGACGATATTAACTTTATACCACCAAGAAAACTCTGATAAACCCACCTCTATAAACTTATTAGCTGTCAATTGAGATACTGGAGTGGGTGTGCGCACCGTCATAGATAATGTTGTGAACGAAAGCACTGTCACGCATATGTTCCCAAAAAATGCGAGATATCTGTTCAGAAAGAACAATCGAGCACTGGGTGTTTTGGGCTGCTTCCATAGATACTCAATCTCAATGTCTACACCAAGTCAAAAGAGCGAAAAACGAGAAGGGAGAAAGACGGACCGAAGGTAATGAAATGGTCCCAGTACACGAAAGCTAAACGTGTACGTTAGCGACATCCACCACCAACGAACGCGATCGAACGAACACATAGCGATCATGTGCAGGTAATTGTGAAACAATCTACATCAATCATCTTAGCGCTTGCGCCACCAGAAGAAGGAAGTAGCTACGTGCATTTGTTCAGTAGACGACACATTGTCAGACATAGTAGTGGTGAGTAGTCAGGAAGAGAAAAAAATTCGAATGAGAAGCAGGGGCGTCAAGCATCGAGATGTCGTGTCCGAAAACGATGACAAGGACGGGACAGTATCCTAGGACTCCCCGATCGAAGGGAGGAAAAGTGGGGAGCGTCCAGCCGTCAGTCGTAGAAGGTGAGTCCAGGTAGTATCATATAGCCGAGAAGTCCGATCCGTCGCTAGATGTCAAAGAGCTTATTAGTCCAGCTAGACGCGCGGTTCTAGTGAGAACTTACCGGAACGCACCAGAGAGAAGCTTGACACAACTAAAAAGTGCAACTCCGGATTTACCTGCAGACGGTCGTTTAAGAAGCCTCGGCTCCGGCACGGATCTGATTCTACATCGAGGCCCACAGAGAAAATAATATATCCTGGGAGAAAGAACCAGGAGCAGTACGGCTACCGCCACTTCTTCGGGCGGAAAACAACATGAGAGCGAAGATAAGCTGAGATCGAGATGACGCCGCTGTCATTTCAATTTGACCATTGTCGATTTTTTCCACGTGGTTTGGAAAGTCGTGCCGATCGATGGCTCCAGACTCGGAGGCAATCTTCCGTTGATTAACAGTGATCAGCAACTCCCACGACCAACCTGGCATCAAGTGTTTTAATGTCGCGTTGCATCCACCAACTGTCAATGTTGTCAACGTATGGACATTTTTGTTTGTTCAACAAGATCCCAATATCAAGCTGGGCAGTGAGAGATGCTTATGAGCAGCATATTAACTTAAGCTCTTACTACCATGGATAACATGGACAATGAGCAGGCTTGGGAAATGTAAGTCCACCAGTTTCATTCAGCACGAATTGATGACGATGTCCGTAGATTGCTTCATGGGTATCTTCAAATAATATCACTCTGTATGTCCGCTTCGCTACCCCAGGATTCCAAATATTAATGCTTACCGTTTGTCGCATTTCCAGCGTTTCTGTACTGGGACCATCTGATAACCATCGGTATGACTATCCCCCGTTGCCATGCTACTCAGTTCTGACTAGTGCAGATGATGAACTCCGTCTACTCTGGAGTAAACCGAAGACATTTGGTTCTTATTTATTTTTCACCAATCGATATCTGGCGTTTTTCGGAAACATAACTGTCGCTATCTTAGGATTTACGGCATTATCAACAACGGTGAGCTGTTCACGTCTGTCCTTAAATATTAATCAGGGCTCATTGTCGTGTTTAGAGGTATTTCGTTTTCTGATTTGCGCCACCATAAAATTCAGCTGTTGACGGATTTTGCGCAGTTGTAACAAATACGCGCTTTATCGCCAAATCCTGCTCGTTGTTAGCCAAATCGTCGTATGCGGCAAGTCCCTTCTTTAGCCTGTGTTGAGAACCTTCCGCTGATTCCGCGAAGCCCTGTTGACCATGCGTATTTATGCATTGTATACATGCAACATCAGGGTATTAATGTACATGCTCGGGAGCGGAGTGATACTCTTTGCAGTGTCTTGTGTGCGTTCTATTTCCGTTTGACGACAATCTTGCCGATTCATTTTTCTCTTCAAAGTGGTCTCTAACGGACCAGAAAAGCGACCGATGGAAGGATTCCGGATGTCATATCGGTTTGTCTCGCGTAACGTGCATTTCCGTTCATCTATTCTGCCGGAGTAATTGCTGACTTTCTTTTTTCATTGTAGAGCCATCCGTCAGTCTACGTTTATATCGACCCTTGGAAGTACACATACTTATTAATTAACTGCCAGGTGTCGCGACTGCATGGGAGGCGCTCTTCATCTACGACTCGATGCTTTTCTCCCTCACCTTTTACACGGCATATAAAAATAGAACAGAAAATATACCCCTTTTGTACCTCGTTTTTAGAGACGGTGCGTCTGCCGCCTCTGATCGCCGAGTTGGCTAACTGATGAGCGGCTGCAATGGCAGGAGTCATTTATTATGCGTTCGTCCCTCCCCTGCACAATCTCGCTTCCTAATAATCAAAGCTCCATTTAGGGCTATGGCGCTAGCCACGCTTTCCAACGTTCTCACCTTCTATGTATGTTCGATCTTCTCACTGATAACGTTTGGATTGATGTGCGAACAGCTAGCAGGGGTAGCTCTTCTACTCTGTTGTATTACCCCGATGCTGACATTGTTAATAAAGCTCTTTCTCAGGGGTGGCCTTTCTTCCTTCGCCAGTAGGTAAGACCGTACACATCCTTCTTTGTCTTGGCGCAGTGTTATTAATATCCTAACGGTACCGCAGCGTATCTGTAACCTTGATGTCCCGGCTCGTGCTCAATCTTCACCAAACAACTGATACAGGCGTTGTGTCGGACAATAGCGACTCCACACCAGAAGCGGATGTTAGTCACGAGCTGGACACTCTACCTCTTAGTGATTTTGAAGAGTAGTCGTCTGATAATGAGACTGACTTGGAGGAGTCCGCTGTGTAATTGATTTCAGATCCTTAATATCTATGTTATAATACATCGTACCAATAAATGTTGTACTGTCCCCGTGAGGGCGTTTTAGCTTAGTTTATTTACCTTTATTCGGTGGAACAACGAATATTATATTGAATTTCCTCCGGTACCGAGGGATTAATTGATTCTCGTTCTCAGCTGATCGTATCGTTTGCCACACAGCTGTGGATCTCATGCTTAGCACAAAAATTTCGCCGTCGTCTTTTACTCACGCAAGGGTCGAATATCATACGGAGGAACTTCATCATAATACCGCTTCTAAGCAAGTTTGTAATCGGATAGCTTAGAAGTACTTAGAACTCAAGTGACCCGTCGGGTCCATTCTTCATGTCATAAGGACATTCAACATTATCGCAGTCTTTGAATACGGCCGTAAGTAAGATAAGAAGAGGAAGACGTATCTCCTCGATACACGCGTGAACAGAAATGAAGAATCATGAAACGACCTATGTTGGAAAACTATAACCGTTGAAATATCCACCACAAACCCCCTGAAGATAGAATCGGAGGTCTGAGAACGCGCCAATATCTATACGACGACAACGTTGTCTACTTTCCCTGCCGTCCTCCTTTCCTTTGCCAGGCGCCTATTCTCCTTCTCGGTACCATAACTGAAATACCACGTAAAGAGGACGGCAAACAACGCAAGCGAAAAGAATATGATGCACACGATGTAAGGGATGGTATCTATACGGCCAATTAGACTGAGTTATTAAAAAAAACGAGGCACTCACATCTTGGCGCATACTTCGACTGAAAAATCTGGGCAGCAAAAATACTTGCAATCTGGCCCACGCTATTCTGGAAGGCGAACGCAAAAGAGGCATAAGATGATCCTTTGGTGCTCTGGGAACGCCAAGGAAATATCATCGTCTGGTATATTGCGTAGGGCATCGCGGTGAGGAGAATGAGCGTCAGAAGACCTGCATTGTTCCGACACACGGCGAGACCAATAAAAGTACCGATAAGAACGACGAGAGAAACGAGCATGTACACGGGCCGGGGTATTTTGAAGGTATGGTCAGAAATCCCTAGATATCGAAGTTATCAGTATGGAGGTTTGGGTAAGAAGATAATGCCTTACAAGCAAATGAAAGCGCGGATATGATATATATAGCGGCAGGGGGAATATTAAGCAGCTGAGCATTCGTCGTAGTTGTAAATCCGTAGCCAGCAATAATTGAGGGCAACCAGAAGGTGTACTGTAATGGCAGAGGGATTAGCATGCTTAGTAGGCTACGACGCAAGATAAAAGGTAGGTTACTCCAGCAATACCAGTCTGTTGGCAAAGTAAGATGAAACTGAATCCGTAAGTAAGGGGGTCCTTGCACGCTGCCCTAACATCAGCCCAATTGAAGTTGGCGTCGGATTGGCGGGGCGAGTTAGAAGGAAGGCGATCAACTATGAACTTGCCTTCCTCTGAAGTGAGGAACTGCCGGTGACCCTGAGGAGAATCGGGGTAATCAGGGAGAAATAGGAAAATGAAAGCCGTGAGCACGAATCCTATGCAGCCGACTTGAAACAAAGTTAGTTTGGTGTTCAAGGTCACGATGAAATAAAATAACAAACCGATAATGAAAGCCCATTGCCAACCTGACAAACCGTGGCGTCCGTCGATATAGGCAAGGCCGTACGCAATCAGAGCGTCAAGGATATTGCTAAATTGTCCGAGAATGGTGATCATGGCCATGCGGAAGGCGAGTTCGTCTGGACGGTACCAGAATGTCATTTGGAGGAGAATTCCGGCTGCACATGATTATAGTTAGCATTAACGATATGGAGGGAAATTCCAGGACGTAACATACGGAAAAGACCGGCTTCAAAGAGGCCGAGAAAAGCACGGGCAGCGTAAAGGCCGCCTTTGTTTGTCGCCGCAGCATGGCAACAAGCAGCTATGGACCTGAAGGACAGAGATTATAGCTATACTGGCTACCACAGGCAATATGTTCACATACCACAAGAAAATGATACGACAAAAATGTAATCGAGGCGTAGACCACTTTAGAATCAAGTTCGAAGGGACTTCGAACGCCAGGAAAGTACACTAAATGGGTGATGTCAGCACTTTGAGCCTCCATCGCAAGAGGACTACGTACCGTAAAAATAGTGGACAAGTATCCGTACTCATCCGTAGTCATATGAAGTTGCTTCAGGATATTCGTAGATTTGCCCGTGTTAACGGTCTTGACATATGAGACGATGTTGGAATCCAAGTTCTGTTAAAATACGATTTAGACTGGATCGAACAGCCAGCTGCCAGTGAGAGTCAAGCCTTGAGCAGATACGCCAACATGAGGAGAGGAAGGAGATGTAAGTCAACCTGATCGAAGACGGTTAAGCAACATAAAGGAAGACTGTATTAGTGGTACTCACTCTTCGTAAAATCTTCTTCGTCTCCGCGAACGTGTACTGCGAAAGTACTTGCTCGTCTGCCACAGCTACTGGGTCCTCGACCTTACCTTCCTTTGAGTCAATACTGTCATTATGCAGCGACATCTAGGGGAAGTGAGATATTTGCGTCCAGGGCCACTGCGCTTTATTTAAAGAAATTTAGATGGAGAAGGTCCCCGCAGTAGTTAAAAACGATTTTCGAGGTAGGGTCAGACGAAAAGGAAATATAATAAGGAGATTATGCCCTAGTCAATTAGCAGACACAGGTCACAGTGACAGAGATTCAATGCTGAACGTTTGTGAACGTTAGTTTGGAAACCAGCTTCCACCAATCAACTTTTTTCGACTCGACCCGTCCATCGGACGTAACGGGCCGCATCCGCGGAAACTCTGTGTTAGACCCGAGCCGCGAACTTGACTTGGCATTTATTGATGATGATCATCTCTCTCAGCCTTAGTTGCCTTCTTTTCTTTACCCCGACATGGCCCCGTACGACCTCGAATCCTATGGAACTGCAGACCTACACGATGTACTCGCCAAGCTGACCGTAGCTGAAAAGATTTCTCTGCTTGCTGGGCCAGACTGGTGGACAACGACATCAATCCCGCGCGTCGGTGTGCCTCATATTAAGTGCTCTGACGGTCCAAATGGAGTGAGGGGTAGTTCGCACTTCTTGGTGAATGATTTTTCTTTCTTTGTACCCGGACACTGACTAGTAAATAGCCTACTCCAGCACAATGTATTCCATGCGCAACAGCCCTCGGAGCAACCTTTGACATCAGCCTAATAAACGAAGCGGGAGGATTATTGGCGCGTGAATGTAAGGCAAAGGGGAGTAGTCTCCTCTTGGCACCGACATGTAACATCCAGAGAAATCCGTTGAATGGAAGAGTGAATCCCAATTCTATCTTTCTCGATCAGGACTGATCGACGTTTTGCAGGCTTTTGAAAGTTTCAGCGAAGACCCGTTTCTCTCTGGGACGATTGCCGCTCACTACATAATTGGTCTTCAAAACAATGGTATCGGCGCTGTCATCAAGCATTTTGGTACACCGTTCTCTGCATTCCAATAAGAGTGATAACAACTGTCTTAGTGTGCAACGACATGGAACATGAACGACTTTCCGTTGATGTTCGTGTGGGAGAGCGAGGTACGTTTTATTAGCCTTGTTCACGTCTTATTTCTCAAGCCACAGCATCAAGCCCTGCGCGAAATATACCTCATGCCTTTCATGCTGGCTCAGAAGATCGCCAAACCTTGGGCCGTCATGACCTCTTATAGTCGCGTCAATGGGATCCATTGTGCGTCCCCTTTTCTCTGTATTACTAGGTAATGTAAACTAGTCTTTGTTAGGCTCAGAAAATCATCGACTACTACAGACTATTCTCCGCGAGGAGTGGGGATTCGATGGTATGGTAATGAGCGACTGGTTCGTCAAGTCCTATCGATCTTTCTCATTCATAGCGTAAGACTCGATATCTGTTTTCAGGAGTGGGACCTACTCTACTTCAGAGGCCGTTAACGCTGGACTAGATCTCGAAATGCCTGGACCCACACGCTGGAGAAGGGACCTCATCAATCATCTTATCCACGCCGGTAAAATATCTTTCGACGCCTTATCCTCACGGGCATACGCCATCCTTCAAGTCATTCAACGTGCAGTGCGCGCGGACCCGTCTCTTGTCAAGAACAATACACTTCCAGAGCGTCAGCTCGATTCTCCTGATGACATTACCCTCAACAGAAGACTGGCTGCGGAGAGTATAGTTCTACTAAAAAACGATCTTGGAGTCTTGCCCCTCGACATGAAAAAAATAAAGAAGCTTGCAGTCATTGGACCAAATGCCAAGACGAGGACTGTCAGTGGCGGTGGATCAGCATTCTTGCTCAGTAGTTATGTCGTAACGCCCCTTGAGGGAATCGAGGCAGCTCTTCAGGGGACCAATATCAACGTTGTATATTCACCAGGATGCTATGGTAGACCTCTTGCTGTTTACCTTCACTCTTCTAATTTACTTTCACGCAGCACATCGATATCTTCCTATGCTCGATGGATGGATCAAGACCGCCGATGGCACAGATGGCGTGAGTCATTTATTATATTGACCAAAGGACCAGCTGATCGTAATGCTGCAGTGGACTGCGACATTCTACAATTCTGACCCTGATGCTGACACTTCTCCCCTTTCAACATACACTCTCCTCTCAACACGCCTCCGTATCAATGATGAGAAACCTAAAGGTACGATTTAATCAATAGTTGTTATGGGTGTTACTGATGATTATATTGTAGGTTTGGCGGAGCATTTCTACATCATACTCCGTGGATATATTACAGCACAAGAGAGCAGTCCCTTCGAACTGGGAATATCGCTAGTCGGACGTGCGACCATGAGTCTCGATGGAAAGCTGATCGTGGATAATGGCATGAACCGCCCCCAAACTCCCGGCGATAGTTTCTATGGAAAGTTCCTTTCTGAAAGCGAATGCATCGTTGTTGACCATTTCCAAAGGGCTAGGAACCATTGAAGAGACTGCCACTGTGGACCTCGTTAAAGGAAAGACGTACGAAATTCTTGTAAAATACACTAATGTTTGTTTCCTCTCTGGTATCGGTTCACCCCACTGATTACAATTCCCCATGGAAGACGCCGCTTCCTGTCTCTTCTGACCAAGGGGAAGCGAAACAGCCTCCGCTCATGATGGCTGCCCTTCGCGTCTCCGGTGCACCCAAACTTGACCCTACCACAGCACTCGATGATGCCGTGACCATCGCCTGCGATGCCGATGCTGTGATATGCGTTATTGGAACCAATATGGACTGGGAAGCCGAGGCAAGCGATCGAAAAGGGTTGGAGCTACCCGGACTCACAGATGAGCTCGTGCGGCGATTACTGGACGCGAACCAAAATACAATTGTGGTCAATCAATCCGTAAGATCTCGTCAGCGTTCCCCTTCACGCTCAACTTTACTCAATACAGCTATATAGGGCTCTGCAGTGGCGTTCCCTTGGGTGGACAAGGCAAGCACTGTAGTACAGGCATGGTTTGCCGGAAATGAATGTGGTGGGCAGACTCGTACTTCAGTATCGCTACTTGTTTTCTTATAAAGAAAATAGGAAATGCCCTTGCCGATGTCATCTTTGGCAAAGTCAATCCCGCTGGACGGTTACCTCTCACGTTCCCCAAGTGTATCGAGGACTGTACAGCACATCTCAATTGGGGCGCTGAGAGTGGAAGAGTGACATACGGTGAAGGTATCTTTGTAAGTCGATGATCATTTAGCCTATGGTTTCAGCAAAGTTGAATAATATTGTTCAAGGTCGGGTACCGTGGGTACGAAGAAACTAAGCGAAGACCAACATTCTATTTCGGCCATGGACTGAGCTACACCACATTCGGTTCGTTTGAATTCCCACCTTGGATCCCGCTGACTAGAAATCCTTTTGACAGAATGGTCGCCGCTTGAAGTTAAGCTTACCGGTGCTTCGACTGAAATCAGTGCCACAGCTAAGCTTACTGTTACTAACACGGGGTCGCTACCTGGATCCGACGTTGTCCAGTTATACGTTATCGATAAAGTGTGCTCTTACCGACGACCCAAGCGCGAACTCAAAGGGTTTGCCAAGACTGAGATACTCTCTCCCGGCCAGTCACAAGAATTGGGGATCACGCTAGACAAAATGGCGTTCTCGTTCTATAATGATGCGCGAATGGCTTGGGTGGTGGAGAAGGGATTATTCAGTATCTGTGCATCTAGAAGTGCCAATGAGGCGGACGTTATGAGTGTTGCGGAGGTGTTGGTTGACGAAGACCTCATTTGGAGTGGTATTTAAGTGTTAGCCATGAGATATACTTGCAATAGTAAAGGAAGGAAATTGGAACCAATGTAATTCTAGAGATAATTTCACAAGGGAGGAAACCATGATGTTGTTCTGATAAAGAGTCTTGTGGATGAACTTGCTTCGACGTTGTAATCATTATCTGCGTTTTACGGACGACAAAGTTCAGCGCACCTTTAGACCCCCAACCTTTTGATTGGTCATGGATTACAACGCTGCATGTCAGTCCACGTCTGCAGTGCGTGGGTCCATCCCCCCCAGTGCTCGCAGATTCATCACACCGCCAGCAACCGAACTCAATGCATGCCCATAAAAGAATGCTGCTCTCGATAAAACGATCTGCTCCACCAGGCCACGAAAATCGGTAAACATCAGTGCCCACGATAACTCATTGCGCCGATCAGAAATGGTGAGGAGATCATCCATGAAGACTGCGCCTTCTTTACGGAATTCTTCCAAGACCTTTTTATTCCGCTCGTCCGTTGCAACATAGAACCTGATACCCATCAGTTAACGATATTTTGCCCGAGTAAGAAAAATACACACCAGTCTCCTGCTAATGGTGCCTTGTTCTTGAGAATTTCCATGTCTGGTCTAATTTGTAGGGTTCACCACGGGTAACCCACGGGTGCCGTGAAGCCGACCCGTACCCATACCCGGCTGACCCATACCCGGGACCCGCGCGGGTTTCGGCACGGGTCGGAGTCATGGCGCAGTCACACATTTTTTGATGGCATCCGAAATTGTTTATTTCGATCTAATCAATCATTTACAGGTGATCTATGATGAAAATACCCCCGAAAAAGCCCAGGATCACGGCACGGGTACAGCCACCATCCAGCAAAGGCAACCCGTACCCATACCCGCCGGGTAAGGGTCCGGTACCCGGCAAAACCCGCCGTACCCTTGGTTTTCTCTACTAATTTGTAGCGATACTGGGACATCGCAGATCTTCAATGTCTCTTCCCCAATTCTCAGTGCCCTGATGAAGTCTACACCTTCCTTCAAATGGTTCTTGACCCTAGCCATATGTTCTTTTGGGCTCCTCTCCATTACCAAGTTGTGCCTCACAACTGGGCATCGTGAGCATTAATTGTAATAGCAAAAACAATGACTCACAGTCGCCACGACGTATATGCGCTGCCATCCAGAGTCTCCCCTCGGTGAACATGTACATGCGTTCAACCATTGCATCTGCAAGAGCTAAGACAGCATCAATCCTGCGGACGTCATCTAGCACCAAAGCGACGAACTGATCCAAAGCGGCACGCGATGTAAATCGCATAGATCCCTAGATGGAAAATGAGATATTTCGAGACAGGAGAATCATGGCGAGCATACCGGCTTTCGTCCATGATGGACCTCCCCAGCGAGCAGCACGACTTCTTCCTTACGTCCTCCAAAATCATTCTTGAATCCACGTAAGTTCTTTCGAGGAGTGACCTGTCGTATGGGATCCACTACTGCCTTGCTGTACTCCATCCCTAACCTTGATAGATATCAGTCAACGCTCCTTTGCTGCGATGTGAGGATAACTCACAAGGGTTTGAAAGTATGTACCACTTCCTATCCGTTGTCAATGATTACCCTCTCGAGATCTTCGTCACTCAAGATACCTAGTAATTCCTGTGCTTTATCCCAATCTAGCAGAACTTGATCATCCAGGAGAGCATCCTTGAGTGTCCTATAAATCCCTCCTTCCTCCACATCCGAAATGTTCGCCTCTTCGGTCCTTGCGACCACTTCATCGACTCTCACAGTTTCGGGCGGGTCATACCACCCATTTTCAATGACATACAGCTCTGGAATCTTACTCGTGAGAACACTTTTTGTCGAATGGTATCGCTATCCTGACCATGAAGGCGAAGATATTCAGATATGGTAATGACTGGGTGTGACTGACGAAGGTGAGTAATATTAATCATCATATTTATGGGCAGAACCCAGGCCATCTGCTGGTCTATTGGAAGACCGAGCCATTCATTGCTTCCCAATACATCCCTGTGAACAGGAGATTAGTCACTGTAGCGATTGAATTCAATAAAGGCCTCTCACCCTTTGTTAACCATCACGGCATAGTCGGAGCACACTTGCCTGTAGCCGTGCTTAAGCACAGAGAAACCGCACAAAGGAGGCACTCACATATCGTACTCGCAACCACGCGCATAAACGAACGATGGAAGAATGAGCGTCCGGTGAAGAAGCTTTGCTTGCAGTAATGCCGAGTCGATAATAAATCGTATCTGCTCCTAATTTAGCAAAGATAAAATATTCGAGGTTGTCACGTACATTATTCCAGCCAAGGCCCAAACTCCAGTCTCTTGCAAAATACCCGTCAGTGGTTGACACGAGCTCCCTTAGCTCTTCGACATTCGTCAGACGCTCTGGATCAGCAGGCGGCCAAGGATCATGCTTTATTGAGAAAGATTCATTTTCGCTGATAAGTGTCGGTTTAGCACCGTTGGTCGAGCTACTGGGACCGAGCGCCGCAGTTTTGGGATTGATGAATGGAGAAGTGGTAGGGTGACCAATCCTGGTATCCACTAACGACCATCCCTTGTCTGTTGCCCAGGAGTATGGTGAATGACCGTGAAATATGCCTACTCCCGCGAGTAAAGCAAATAAAATGAACAGAACTGTGAACATTAGCGGGGATAAACGTCGAAAAGCGGGCCTGGAAGTTTGAACAGGACCTGGAAGATGCATAGCTGGTCAGGGAGGAGGATACTACGCGAAGTTGTGCCATAAAAGTACACTCCATATAGGCTCCACAGGAGCGGTGCTTTAGGCCAAAACATTAAGTCTAAGACAATACAGGTCCGTAGGGCAAAGAGCATGATTGATGAACTACGATACTGCTCGGATGAGAGTCACAGTAATGATCCGAAAAGGGATTCCATTTAGTACACTCCATTCAAGTCCCCATCATATGAGATAATTGAGTCAGCGGGCTGAGAAGTTTGAAGTTACCGACTCTGTGCACTGATCCAGGGAATATCAAGGTTCAGGCTAAGGCGATATATATCAGGAATATCGATATTGGCCAAACCTGGAATGATGGATCGAGGGAGTGAGGCACCACAAAGAGCATGACAAGAGCCGAAGGGAGCAAGCTGCAAAGGCGGCGCCTTGTTACAGCAACCTAAAAAGTCGTCAGGATAGGCGGATACAAGACTTAGTGTCAATGAGACTTCTCAGAGTCGAGACTCCTTGCAACGATGGACACGGTGTTATGGTTTGAGAGCGGTTTGAGCGTGGCGGGCAGAACACGTGGTACCCAGTAACAAACCGGTTTTCCGTTTTTGGTCATCACCGCTTTTTGGCGGAAGTGAATACAGTCAGGGCCGTCAATGTTCATTAGCGTTCATTATCTATGCCTTGGACCGAAGCAGAACATTCCGGTAGTAGGCTAGGCGCGACAGTGCAGATTATCAGCTGAAGGTAATCCCGAGGAAGGTCGACATTTGAAGGTCACGGCTCTTGAATACTTGGTATACCAAGTTGGGTCCAAAATGAATCTCATACGAAACAGGCATTACTCAGACTGGACTTGCAAGGGCTGGAGCTATTTGTCAGGTATATAATATGCGCAAGTAACCAGGCCTGTCAGGAACATCAAAAGAATGCATAACACAAAATGCTCGCTGCCCGGCGGCCTCGCCACCAACTTGCATTACTTATGCACGAATGCAGAATGGCACATCTTCCGCCTCGCCCACGCTGCCAGGGCTACTGGAATCTCGATAGAGGATTTCTCACCCGTACATTGTCCCAAGTGAGCGTAGAATCGAGGCTCCTATAAGCCAGGTCGGAATGATGAACCTGATCAGGATCTACATAACGATGGCTTCCTGTTCATTGCACTGCGTTAAATCTGCAAGGAACGAAATGAATAAGGGATGTATGATCGGGTAACCAAAGGCACTCACCTGCGGCGACGCCCGGCTTGAAATCGCTTCATTATGAAACATGAGATGGTGACCATGGTCTTGCTACGGATGCTGACGGGGCTGGGATTAGGATGAGCAACTGTTGAAAGCAGCCGAACTCAGACAGAAGATGTCCCCGAAAGATCCGACCATCCAGCACGACAACTCTCCAGTATAGAACGCTCGCCCATTACCTGGAGCATCGCCGAATAGGTGAGAGGCATCCTTGTCGACTTGAACAGGAAAGTCAGCTAAGCAACAAAGGAATTCGGATTACTTACATCCAATGCGTCTATCTCATCCGTTGGATCGCCCAATTGCGCTTGTCTCTTCGTGCAAAGGGCGATGATGGAGGCCGCAATATCCGCTATGATGCGATCTACTACGCCAGAAAAGTTTTGGTCGTCTATTCCCTCGTGCTCAACTAAGCGATCCGCGATGACGGCAAAGGAACAATCGCAGCCAAGCCGTACACAAGCCAGCAGGGCGTAAAACAACCACATATGATGTGAAACTTTTCCATCACAGTCAATGTAGAAGATAGGCGTCCCAGGTTGGTAACGCACGAGCTCACATTCAGAAAAACGATCCTGCCATGTCTCCGTTGGAATGTCAATCGAGCGCCAGGCCTCGATTATGCTGTCTGGGATGTCTTCCAGTAGCTCCTCTACATCCCAGATGACTTGATCGTTATCATTTACATCTAGAATGAAGCCATATCGTAGAAGCAGCTGAGCATTGCTGAGGGTTTCGCCATATGTGTTGAACACTTCCCCGTGGGCTGGAATGTGTGTGTTGCTGACCATTTCAAAATGATCCTCAAGATCCTCTGACCCCGGTGAAGGCTCATCGTCGTGAGCACATTCCTTCAGGGAACCACATTCAGGGCAGACATCATATTCGCTCTGTATCATGGTAAGGCAGAAGAAAAAAAGGTATAAGAGGTTCATACCTCAAGATGTACATGATTTTCTTGAGAATGATTGAAGCTAGGGGCGACAGATCAGAAAAAGACCATCAAGGAGCACAGGAAAAGGAAACGGCATACGCATCTGCGATAGGCACCATTGAAAGCCCGTGATACGCATCGACAAGGAAGGCTCTGGATGAGACTAGCGAATATGCATGATAAAATCCATGTAAAGAACACTTGGCGGTGGATGAGCCTCGGAAGTACGCTTTGAACACGGGCTCTGCCACTTCACTGTAGTATTGGTGTAATTCATCCTTTTGACATCATTTCAGTGAAATCCGCGCAACAAGAGAACCCTGCACACCAGACGAGTAAGGCCATCCACACGCGCCAGTAGGTCCTTTTCCACCTCAGTCCCCTTTAACCACTTTAAAACGTGTTTTCTATCCGTAGAATCCATGAAATGGTCGTCTGTTTGCCACAGAATGGGAATGTCCACGATTTGTGTAGGAAGTGATTGCAGATAGCCATGCCACCGAGATGATGCGCCTTTCGTTCTACTACACGTCACCAAACAGAGCTAACGAGCAGGACTAAGCAACGCACAGTTCAATGTATAAAGCAAGCGCCAATGACAACTGGGCTTCATGTCCAACAGGGCTGGGGACGACGGCCGACGAAACAGAGGACGATTTGACCGAAAGAATAGCATCTTTTGGAATATGCACCACTGTCCACAGATAATAGTGAGCAGCTGCAGCTGTATATAGTCCGATAGGTATTCACCTGAAGAAAAGGGTGCAATCTCCTTGTCGTTAGAACGAACGCTGATGCTTTCATCGTGGCAAACAACACGCAGCCGTGGATCAATTGTTATACCGCAAGTTGAACACCATTCGAGCAGTGCGGATATCTTGTCCGGATGTCCCATAAACTGAGGTAGAATGCAGGCATAAAAAGGATTGAAGTTCGATGAGGTAATGGTAGTGCTAAAACAAGTTCGAATTGGGTAAGATGGCAGGCATTACAGAAATTTACTATTTCGCTGGTAAATACTAAGTATTGAACTTCCCCTTGGACTCTACTCTGGGGAAATTTCCAACTCCTTTATTCCGAGCCGACTATACTGCTGGGTTCACCTATCCCAGTATTCTCTGTCTGAGCCTCAAGATCGCATACATCTCCCCCAGTGCTATTCCCTGTCGAAGAAGCATCGCTCCAAGAGTCATCCGGTCGCGCGTGTCCTGCCGCGATGCGCCCGACAAGAAGCGTCGGCGCAACACCCTACATGGCAGGTCTATTCGATGTCGACGGAACGTAAGAATATTTGCTCACCCTTGCAAATGCCGCAACCGAGTCCCAGTAGACTAATGCCGAATTCGAGCTGTCGTGAGCAAAAAGGCCTAGATATAGGATCAAGGATGCCGAATAGAGAAGTGAGGATTCAACAAGGACTTCTATGACACGGTAGTATATTCCAATACCACCATGAGCCCGTCCTAGTACAGTCCAAATGCGATAGAGAATAGAAAAGGTGCACCATAACGTCGTCGCTAGAATCAAACACGAGTATAGATTCACACCAAGTCTATAGTCCGTTGCGTTGATGAATCGTTTTAGTACATCGATCATTTTGAAACCTAGATCAAACTAGTTGGTGAGGGCCAACGCATCCGCGTGGCAGGTCCGAGTCCTATGTTTTTTTTCTCAGAAAAATAAAAGAAAAACGTAACAATAATAATTGAATTCGTGGACTAATAACTATAACAGATGTGTACGAAAATACACTGCGTCAGACTCCTCTGTACCACTTCGCGTCCCCAAAGGTTACACACAACTCCGTCTTCGTAGCGCTGGAGCTCTCGGGCCATGAAGCTTGGATAATGGAGGCCCCGGCAGTCCTCGATACACCACATTCCGATGCACTTGGAGTCGATGCAAGTGGCGCTTCCACATTTTTTGGCAGGGTGTTGAGGATGGAGGACGGTGGGTAGTGGGGGTAGTGGGAGGAGCGAATGAAGAGCGCACGAGCCTTGCCTAGGTAGGTGATAAACCATGACAGAATAAGAAGAAAATAGGAATAATACTCACCGCCCTTCCTAGTCTCTAAGATGATGGTGAATGGCCGGACATAGCCGACCTCTTTGTCGAGAAGGAGGGCACGGGTGCAGAGGTTGACTTGGTAGAAGCAAGAGTTACGACCGAGTACTGTGGCGGCGACTTGACAGACTGTGTAACGCTTGGGTTCAGCCGGAGAATGGAGAATCAGCATAGCAAGGATTACACACATTTCATCTCGCGTTCTTTCTTCGTCCGTTTATCAGCATTCAGCTCTACCCAGTAATCCGTCATAGGATCCTCGAGTTCCTTATATCAGTCTGCATATAATTGGAATGTCGCCGCCCGAAAAATCGTGCATATTCCGGAAAACCAGCATATGGTGCATCTAGTACACAGGGGTTGAGTCAACCATGACAAGAAGACATGGAAACGACGCACCAGCCCAAGGATTGTGATATAACTGATATTAGTGCAACTCACCGTATTCCCATACCGCTCCATATAAGCCCACAGCCCCTTCGTCGCGTACATCTGGACCCTAGAATCCGTGAGACTCGTAGGCAACAGACAACCTATATCGATGGTCCGGAAAAAGAGGTTCTCCGACACGAAAGGTTTGCCAGGCTTCCAAGCAATGGTCCTTTGCCGATTCTTCACGCTTGCAATCTTGCGGTACCATCGCTGGAAGGGTGAGAATCCGTGCCGCTCAATGGTGATCTTTTTCTTCTCGAATAACACGTCGTCGCGAAGAGTCTCGATCTTGGAAGCAGAGAGACCTTGAATGCCGGAGATGAAGACGGGCTGAAGAACAAGAAGAGAGAAAATAATTGAGCGCCAATCGGTAAAGAACGGATGGACGGACGGGAAAAGATGGGAATAATGAGAGTAAGTAGAGGCAAATGAATAGAAAAGGTTCCCACGATGAGCTCAGGCAGCGAGGACGGCAATTGCCGTGAACGAATAGAAATATTCCCACGGTTTGCTCAGGTAGCAAAGTCGGCAAATGCCGTGATGGATTGATACCCCAAATAGATTTTTTCCCACGATCAGTTCAGGACAGCATAATAACCGAGTATCCTATATACATTAGGACTCGGAATCTGATATCAGTCGAAACGATGGCAGATCTGGGTTATTACAAGTACCAATTCCAGACAGCAGGAAAAATATAGGGAACACGACGACAACCCAGCGCTGTCCCCACACCATCCAGCAACGCCAAATCTGAATTTGGATAGTAGTGAGCTGACGGGAACTTTCTGCAAAGAACGTTGCATACCATGGTAAAGTCGGCAAGGATAACAGAGACAATAGCTGTTATACCCGTCGCTAGTGTTGCTGTGGCAGGACCGTTCACTGTCAGAAATACAGTCCCGAGACTCTTTCCGTTGACCGTGAATGCAGAGCGTCCAATGGACCAGATGAGGGTGAAATCGATCGTGGCCAAGACATAAAGGGATATAATGACCATGACTATGCATACCATGACATTGCTGGGATGTATGTTTCCACTAGTATCTGTACCATCCAATTTAGCTTTGAATACTACATTGATGACATCCACTCACAGATATTCCACATAGTGACAGCGACGATTCCAGTGTATAAGCCTAGATATGTGTGTATCCGGGAATATGACATGGAAACCCGAAATTTGAGAGAAATTGCGCACCATGTAACAAGGCATAGAGCACCTCTAAGTTTAATTCTGCGTTAAAGTCTTTGAGCAATAACACTTTACTATCGTCGATCGTCAAGGTATGAGCAACCATCGTCCGTGTTGGAAAGAAGGACAAGCGCACTGATAGCGGCTGGTGACGACAGCAGAGTTAATCAATCTCGTTAAATAGACTCACACCCCGAGATAATTGTGGACGTTTGTAAAGATTTCACAAGTATGCTCCCATTGTAGTAATCGAGGAGAAGAATACAAATCACGAGAACTGAGCCGTGAAGAGATGAACGGTATCCAAGGCGTAACAAGGAGTCCACCGACTTGCTACTTCTGAGATTCGTGATCATGGAAGAGGTGATTGGCGCTGGCGATGATTACAAGCCTGAACGATGAATGGGGGGAAGTACTTTGGCGTCACTCATGCAGGAGTGTAGCATAACTGGATATTCCGGACTGGATATGGTCGCTAGTTGCATAATGGTTGCAATTGGGTGAGCTCCAGATGTAGACAATGTCAGGAGTTGTTGTCCTATATACAGATTTTTAATAGACAAAGCATGAAACAAATATTGCATACCATCACTGGGTAATAGCAACCGAGAACTCCGTGAAAACAGATACTGGTGCACTTTAACCTACCAGTTGCGATTGGTTGATTCCATCATTTAGCATCACCCATCACACAAGATAATATCCAGGAGGTGAGCCCGATGAGAGCGATCGGTATACGGTTCCATGTGCTGCATAGACGAAATTAAAAGGAGCAGGTCTTCGACATCGAGAACAACAAATAACCCGCTTCTTGTCATGGTGTCACTCGAAGTCGAAGAAAAAATCGGACCCTGCTTTTTCCCGTGGATCTCGGAACCTGAGATAAATCCACATTCACGACGTCGAAATTCGATGTTTAACCAAAGAGGCCTCTAAGCAGAACGCCAATGCAAGAGAGCCCAGTTCCCAGTTACATTGTTACAAGCATCCATTAGTAGAGCAAAATTAGTTTGCCTTTGAAGTTGCGGCGAGAGATGCCACTGATCATGGAGGAGAGCAATCACCGCTTAGCGCTCAGGCCCAGGCTTCGACTCGGTTCAGAATACCGGTCGAGGCATGATTGAAAATCAGAGAGATCGCATCTGTCGCAGCAAGCTGTTATGAGGCAAATCAGAGATGAGACGAGATGATTTATTGGCGGCGGAAGTTTTTAGAAAAATCCTCATGACCCTGGTGTGAGATTTCGAGCTTCTCTCGGGTTCTCGTATGGATTCACTTACGTGTTTGCTTATTCCCGCGGGTATTCCTAGTAGATAAGGCTGTAATTTTCTTAGTTAGCCCCCATATCGTGTTTGCCTGAGAGGTAATTCATTCGTGCCACTCACTTCGTTTGAGAACAGCCCCGCGGTGTACAGCGCATACAAGTTAACGTTTATGTGTCTTAGTACATTCTATCCGTTCATATCTCGTCAACATTTCGTTATCATTTCGTTTTCTCCTGAACAGTCTGGATCCATGCCAACAAGTTCTGGTTAAGCTCATCCCTAGCCTGCAGCTGAACCCAGTGCCCGGTGTTGTAAACGTGAATAGTCGCATCCTTGCACGTCTGTTCGACGGTGGCCTTATGAATATCGGCTCTGCATATAAAATCTTTGGAAGCACCACCGAAGAAGACTGGCATTGTCAGCTCAGCAGTCTTCGGGGGATTGTCTTTGGAGCATATAAATTGAGTGGATGGGATGCGCTCACACATGTGATCTGAAACCCTCATCTTGCAGATCTTTAGCATATATGTCGGAAGTCACGACTTTGTAATAACATGTCCCTGCAGCTAGTCCGCTGCTGCGCAATTTCTCCTTCTGAGTGTGTTGATCCTGAAAGAAAGATTATGCATCATCTCACATATTCTGGCAGTTGACTTGCCGCTTCTGTGAGGAACGAACCAACTTTCGTCATGCGATTATTTTCAACCCATCTTTTCATTCCGCCTGGAGGATTCATGTACTCCTTCCAGAGCTCAGGGTCCTCACAGTACGCAAGGCTATAGAAGGAGTCAAGGTTCTTCAGTTTGATATGGGCATCGTTTTCAGAAAGGAATGACCAGTACCCGTATAACTCTGTGCCGATGCGCTGTTTCAACTGGTGAAGAAGTTAATCCATCGAAATACAAAAGCGAAATAAGGAGCTGCGTACCGTCTGCATAATTTCCTCGTATGGCTTAGGCAGATGAGGAGGATAATACCCCAGAGCGAGGAATCCAAATGCTAAGAAGCGATCTGGATAATAGCTTGCCAATCTGCTTGCCGTAATTGCTCCCCTGGTGCATGAATTCGAGTTGACGTTACTATCCACTGCAAAACAGGTGTACTCACGAACCATGTCCGATAGCAATGACGCGGTCAGTTTTCTCAGCATCTAAGAGCTCGACTATGTCCTTGGTAATCAAGCTCTGTTTGTAAGCTAATGGGTCCGTGGGCTTTGACGTCTCTCCAAATCCCAACATGTCCGGAACGATGAGGCGGTATCCCTTTGCTTTGAAGAATTCAACCTGGTACTTCCAATCATAAGATGTGCTGGGGAAACCGTGCAAGAACAGCAAAATGGGTTTGTTGGTGTCACCAGGAAAGGCTAGGTAGTAGTATTGAAGTCCTCGAGACGCGGTAAACTTCTTGTAGAGAGCTGGATCCATGATCGTAGTAGCACAAAGAAAGCAAGCAAGCCATAAAAGCAACCGCCATGTCTTCTGGTCTCAGACCTGAGGAGCATTCAGTACTAGCCGCGAATCAGATGATGAAGGATGATGGCAGTTGAGTCTCCAAAATTCCCTTATCTTATCTCACAAATAATTTCTTATCTTAGACGCGACGCAAGACAGATTTGTCATTGCCTTCCAGGAAGCATGATTGAATGGCTAATGGATCCAACGGAAACCCCGAAAGCTATACATATGGATGACATAAAAGTTACTATACAACAACGCCTACTGTTTCAGACCGAGCTGGATAGCCTTCATCTCGAGCGCCTATATCCCCTTATTTAGATTTTACGAGATTGAGTGACAGCATAAACTCACCATGCGCTTAGAGAGGAATCGAGAGTTGCCCAACTCACCACCTGCAAACCATAACTAGGGTAAAATGAATAAGAGCCATTATAATTGGTAAAAGAAGAGAACTTACTCCAGGATACCCAGACGGTTTGTAACAGCCTTTCAATTCACCCTCTTCGTCGAGCCCCCAGATTTCTCCGGTGTGTTTGATGACTTCTTCCCCAAATATCGACTTGATAGTTTCCTTGACGTTGTGATAACCAGTGCTACGATTTGGGGTTAGACTTTACAACAAAAGATAGATCAGGAAAACATACGCCCAAATCACAACATCGGCATCCAGCATAGAGCCATCGGTGAAGACTACACCCTTGTTCAAATAGCGCTTAACCTCAACGCCGTGTTTGACTTTGACTTGGCCCGTTGAAATAAGCCCCGCACATCCAACATCAATCCAGAATCCTGAAAGGAGTTCAGTATTAAACACGTAATGATAGCAAAATTCTTACCGCCAGATTTCTCGAAGACCATAGGGAATTGACCAGATCCATCGTCACCCATGTTGATGTGAAGACCCGCCTTCTTCAGCCCATCATGCAGGTCCTTCTCGGCCGCTGCTATTGCATCCGCCTGGGAGGCAGCGATCCGTTTACGCAATAAGAGAGGCAGAGCCTGGAACTTGAAGTCGCAGACCTCTACAGGAACGCCATCTGGCCAAACTTTGAGCAAGTTGTTGGTGTAATTGGGATGTTTCGCGACAACGCAAGTTGAGGAGCGCTGGACAATAGTCACGGATTGCGCGCCCTGGGTGACAAGATCTTGGCAGATATCTGCTCCCGAGTTGCCTGCGCCGACAACGATCACACGCTTGCCAACGAAGGGTTTACCTCCAGGATAGTCAGCGGCGTGGAGCGTCCGGCCTTCAAACACCTCCTTATCATCAACGTGGGGAACCAGGGGGGCACCCAGAATTCCAAAAGCGGTGACAATATGGGACGGGTGTACGGTGGTGGGAGTTCCTGCATGATCGATGACGACAGTCCACTTTTTGGTTTCGGGATCGTATGTGGGGGTCCCGGATGTGCGTGAATTTGTCCAGATACTAAGGTCTTGACTGGTGGCGTATTGTTCGAGCCAACTCGCTACCTTATCTCGTGATGCGTAGATCGGCCAGTTCTTCGGATACGGTTGGTATAGAACTGTAAAGGAGAAATATGTGGATTAGTATTTTACATCGGGAGTTAAGACGGAGATGACGGCTACTGACGTTGAAATTGGGACCTGGGGCTATGCAAAGTAAGTGTAGGATATCTGACGCGCCAGTTATCACCGACGCGTGCATGGGATTCGACGACAAGGGTGGACATATTCATCTGTTGGAAACGTGCGGCAAGGATCAAGCCGGTCTGTCCAGCGCCGACTATGTCAAAGTAAGTACGACAATTGTGGCGGCAGTGTAAAAAACGACACCCACTGATCAAGACATATGGGTCTTTCTCCACCGCTTCTCTGCGCTTTCGGTGAACTTCGTCCCAGGACAAGGTGTGGTCTCCGTAGATCCCAAGCTCAGGGCCCTCTTCAGGATGTCCATGGATTTCATCGAGAATCATGAACACCGCCAGAGCTTTCCATACGCCCTGGGCATCAGGTAGAAGATGGAAATATCCTCGTGCCTCACCCGTCGCTGTCGAGAACGTGAATCCTGACGCGACAGCAGTTTGAGTCGGGGTCACATGAGCAAGCTCGGGAGTAAAGTATTGACGCTTGTCAAGGGCGATGTTGGATACCTTGGCTGCAGCGAAATTTGCAGCAAGATGATCCTTGATCTTCTCTTGGCCAATGAACGTGCGGTTGCTCCAATTAAAGATCAAGACGTCACGAAGCCAGCCGTCGGGAAGAAAGCATGATACGATGCCGTCTACATCTCCTAGTTCGGCAAACTTGGAGAAGTTTTCCAACCAGGATGCAGCGATGTTGGAGATAGCGGAAGAATCTAGAGTAGCCATTGGCGAGTTGATTTCGACAGTAGCCATTGTTCCGGTACTTATACGTAGTGTGGACTTGGGTGTGGGTGTTAGTTTAAGTCGTCGATCCGCCAAGACCTGAATTTGTGGATTGGTACCTAGTGGGTTCGTATCAAGATTTCCGGTGCGTGGCATGATAAAAAACGGGCCACCCACCTTTCACCCGACCCAGCGCTCCCGAGGGCCAAAAATGTAGCACGCACCTAAAACGTCAACACTACATATGTACATTGTATACCATGTGACGTCGTGTACAGACCGGTCAATTAACATCTGAAGGTTCTAGTTTCAGGCCCCTCCGCATCCTGCACGTCAATTTCATTCTAGTTGAAGTGTCCCTGTGCGGGGACGGTGCTAGCTGTGGCGACATAAGCGCAACATGGGCATGGGCCGGTGCCAGTGGGTTACCTTGAGACTAGGCCTACAGAAAACAGACAGAATATAATCAGAAGAGATCTAGGTTTCAGGTGGCTGTTGGAATGTACTCACCCAACATAGGATAATCCCTGAAGGCTATAACGCGGGACAGAACCAGACAACGCCCCAATTCCATAGGGAGATTGTATATCCACATAGTATAAATAAACGCAGGCATTGTAAAAATTGAGCGGTATTTGTGGTCCGACCTGGCTAGCCTTAACAGCTAAAATATACTTATGAAGAAACACATCGGTCTTACCATTGACTAAAGCGGTTACGATCCCGCAGAAACGGTGCGCCCACGGAAACATGACTCTTACTGCATACAATCTAGTATTGCCGATAGGAATTAAATCTCTTCACTTTTGTGCTATGATGGATAGAATTTTTATACAGCTTTGTTCTTTCGAGAAGCCAGCCTGAGCGACAGTGGAGATTCGTTTCGATTCGCAGCGTTTCGATTATCCTATTATCTGTGAAGAGTTCTACGACGCAGTACTGCGGTATCATCCATTACAGAATCATGCAGCAAGACATACAACGTTACCAGAAAAACTACTGGGTGATTGAAGTTATGGTCGATCGTGACGATGTTTGGCAGAGGCAATGGCGCCACGTCAGAAACACGTACAAACTTGAAGGCGGAAAGCTTGTCTTCCATCTACTATCACCACTATGGCGTCGCCTGCTCAACAGTTGCCGGCAGGCTGGACTGCTGAATGGTGAGTAGCAATTCGCTCAGAGCGATACCTGTATTTTGACGAATTTTAGGGACGCGTCGAACCAGCGATACCTGTTTATTGGTACAGACTTGGTTTTTTCTTCCGGACGTGTACATTAACGACCAAATACAGATTCGTCGACGGGCCACACGCAATGGGAACCTCCAGTTGATCCTGCTCTCATGGTTGACCAAGCTCCAACTGTCGCGCCTGTTGCAGGTCACGGCTCGAAACGGCGGCAGTATGCTGCTGGTCAGACTCAAGCTTATTTCGGTACCGTTGGTGCTCCGGACGCGTTGGGCGATGGTGGATACGGCGCCGCAGCACAACCAGCGCCTGTTGGTGGCCAGTTCTTCACTCCGGGCTTGGCAGGTGCCGGGGTGCAACCCCAAGGTCCTCAGCCGCCCTACTATGACAGCAGGCCAGAGTACATAAATGCCCCGGAACAACTTCAACCGCAGCAAACATTCGTACAGCCTGGCATGGGCGCCCTTACTGATCAGTTTGGTCAGATGGGAATGGGCGGGCAAAAGCCGTTCCAGCTATATACCACCAACCTTCTAACGTCACCGCCAGATCCTCGCGAGCTGCTCCTTCCTCCTCCAGAGATTCGTCTACCGCCTAACGCATCTATCTCACCATCACCGGCGGCTAATGCTGACCCATCCTACCAACGATCTACCTTGAATGCGATCCCGACGACGTCATCAGTTCTCGGCAAATCCAAAATCCCTCTCGCTCTGATCATCACGCCTTATCGAACGCTCAACGAAGGTGAAGAGCCCGTTCCGGTGGTAACGGATACCGTCATTGCTCGGTGCAGGAGGTGCAGGACGTATATTAATCCTTATGTTCAATTCATTGATGGGGGTAATCGGTGTGTTGTGCACCATCGAATTTCCGGTCAATGCTAAACGTTTTGTTAGATGGAGATGTTGCATGTGTAACATGTCGAACGAGGTGCCTCAAATGTTTGACTGGGATCAAGCCCGAAACCAGCCAGGTGACCGATGGGCCCGCGCGGAACTCAACCATGGTGTCGTAGAGTTTGTTGCACCCACAGAATATATGGTCCGACCTCCACAACCGGCTGTGTACATATTCCTTATCGATGTCAGCCATGCATCAGTCCAATCAGGTATGGTGGCCACGGCAACTCGCACCATCCTTGAAAACCTCGATCGCATCCCGGACGAAAATGGGCGGACCAAAGTGGCCATCATATGTTACGATGTGTCGCTCTACTTCTTCTCCATCCCTGTATGTCATGATCGGTTCGTCCAGTCTGTCCCTCATCGTTTTGTAGCCCGGATCTACGGATTCATCCATGCTTGTCGTATCCGACACTGATGATGTTTTCTTGCCAAAACCTACTGACCTTCTTGTGAACCTCGCGGAGGCGCGCGCTTCTTTGGAAGCACTTCTGGGTAGGATCAATGACATGTTTCAAGATAACAGTATAATCGGGAGTGCAATGGGACCGGCCTTGCAAGCGGGTTTCAAGTTGATGGTAAGACTTTACCAAAGAAAAATTCGCGGGAGGCTGATCGTGATCCTTAGGCACCCATAGGCGGTAAAATAATGGTGCTCTCGGCAAGTCTACCTAGTGTGGGTCCCGGCGCGCTGAAGAACCGTGAAGACCCAAAAATACTTGGTACAGCGAAAGTACGCTTCAGCCCTTCGTTATGCGCTTCTTCTGAGTCAAAATCTTCTACAGGAATCTGGACTCTTGCAAGCTGCATCGACATTCTACAAGACTTTTGCTATCGAATGCTCGAGGGCTCAGGTTTCGATCGACATGTTCTTGTTCAGTACTTCGTATCAAGACGTCGCGAGCTTGGGTTAGTGCTTAACGCATGTGCTTTAGCTAGGATTCTTACACCCGCTCAGCATGCCTACCTCACTACACATCTGGTCAAACATACTACTACCCTGCCTTTAATGCTGGTCGCTCAGAGGATGCGCTCAAGTTTGCCCACGAATTTGGCGGTGTTCTAGCAATGCCAATTATGTTGGAGGCTGTTATGCGTGTACGGGCTTCTAGAGGTAATGTTCTTACAACTCCATCACAAAAACGAAGCCTGACAACGCATAGGTATTCGGATGGCTTCTTTCCACGGCAATTTCTTCGTGAGGTCGACGGACCTTCTCGCTATGCCTGCTGTCCCACAGGACCAGTCATATGCTATCGAGATCCAGATCGAAGAAACGGTCACGTCTCCTTTCGTCGTATTGCAAACCGCTGTGCTGCATACTACATGTTATGGTTGGTTCTCTAGCTTTTATGGGGCCCAGTCAATTAATTTATCTTCATAGGTGAACGTCGGATTCGTGTTATAACTACCGCACTTCCCACTACCACTAGTCTCTCCGAAGTGTTTGCATCTGTGGATCAGGTTGCCCTAGCCACGTTGTTTGCGAACAAGGCAGTGGAACGATCTTTGACCCACAAACTGGAAGACGCTCGGGATTACCTGTACCAGCGACTTGTGGAAATATTGATCGCCTACAAGAGCAGCATGACTGCTGGTGGTGCAGGTGCTAGTGCACAGCTCGCGATCTCTGAGAATATGAAGATGCTGCCTGTGCTCATCCTTGGGTTACTGAAGAACGTGAGTGTCGCAGTGTCGCACATGATCATTTTAGTAATGGCGTAACGCATCAGGTTGGTATACGACAAAGCGCGCAGATTCCGCCTGACATTCGAGCCTATTCGCAAGCATTGTTGACATCCCTGCCTTCGCAAGTCCTCATTCCTTACATCTACCCTACTTTCTATTCGTTGCATAACATGCCTCCGAGGTATGCAGTTGTCAAGTCATCCGCTAGAAGCGTTACTCATGTCATTTCAGGCCGGCACTGTGGGACCTGATGGTGTTATACTGCCGCCAGCTCTGCCCCTAACGTCTGAAAGACTAGAACGGCACGGTCTCTTCCTCATTGAAGACGGACAGACCATCTTCTTGTGGATTGGACGGGACGCCGTGCCTCAGTTGGTGATGGACGTATTCGATCTCCCCAATTATGAGGTACTACGAGGCGGAAAGGTGAGCTTCTCTTTCTACCTTCAATATCATCTCTTGAAATTTGGTCCTAGTACACACTTCCCATTCTTGAAAATCCGTTCTCACAACGGGTGAATGCCATCATACAAAAGACGCGTGAAATGCGTCGCGGGGTGTATTATCCGCATCTGTATGTTGTGAAGGAAGATGGGGAGCCACCGTTGAGGCTGTGGGCGTTAAGTGCCCTCATTCAGGATAGGCTGGATGTTTTGCCTAGCTATCATCAGTTCATTGGGTCGTTAAAGGAGAAGGTGCGTGAGATTCTCTAATTGCTGTAACCGTTGTTACTGACCGTGATTCCAGGTCAATGGTAGCAGTTATTAAGAGCTCAAAGGCGGATAGAGATCGTTTTTTTACAGTCGTATTTAGGATGTGCACATAATTCCTTTGTTTTGTCCTTGTGTTCGCTACCTCGTCCTAACTGAGGCTTTCCAGGTTCAAGCAGATCAACGTCAGTGTATCTGATGAACTAATTATTCAGTGGCATTCAGCTTCTGCGCCCTTCAGCGACCCGGTATCATCAAGCTCAATTGATAACAGTTATTCATTCGCCGACTCTTATCGATTTCATCATCCGTTTCAATAGGAATGACATGACACCACATATCTCTCCGTGTATGAATGTTCCTGAATGCGTTGTGCAAACATGCCAATTCACACTGTACAAATATGTCATGTACACAGGATTCATCTCGCAACTGGTAGCGGCTATCATAACACGGGATACCCACCATTAGCTTCAACTGTTTACATTCCGATGACTGACTTGAACGCCTCGAAACACTTCAAAATTTCTCTTCTGGCATCCAACGGCTTTATCCCCTCACTCCAGCGACGTTGTGGTCGGAGTACAGATGGAATATGCACAGGAACATAAGTGGGTTAGGCAGGAAATGTTCCACGACGCACAGCAATCTCGAGATTAAAGGTGACAGGAACTTTGTAAAAGGTCGGCGTTGTTCCGGTCATGACAATAGCTGGAATAATCTGTTTCATATCATCTAGTGAGGCAACAGCAGCCCGACAGGGAACGCCAGATAGATCATTTCACTAAGCCCTCACCCATAGAACATTCACCCTGCCTGAAGCGCTTGTTTTCCACAGCCAAGAGCAAGATATCATTCCGATCACAATCCACTAGGCACACATCCGATTCCCCACAAATAAGTAAAGGAATGTCCTTGCGAGTGCGGACGATGCGATTCCGTCTCACATAACCAAGAGCCTTGAAGAGGTTTACGACAAAATCATCCATCGCAGAGTCCTCTGAATTTGGAACCATAGCAAGGTCGAACAAGTTGATAAGCCCAGCGTTTCTATCTGAGGTCATGTTCGAGGCGTCTCGGATGCTTGATAGCACCGGGTCAACGGAGGATTGTGGCAGGGTCTGTATAGCAAAAACAAAAAGTGGCTGTATCCTCAATGACGGTATGGATATTGTAGACATCCAGATCTGCAGAAGTCCAATCGCTCCCGCGTTTGGCAGAGCTAACCAGAGCCGATTGGACTGCTGGTGGTAATGATGATGGTGGTGGATCACATCATCACAAGTATCACAAATTACGACAAAACTAAAGTGGGTGGTCGACGTGTACCTGTGCAAGTGGATTGCGATGTGCAAATTTTGCTTTGCGGCGCGTTCTAGTTACTTGTTGACTTCGCTTTTTTTCTGATGACTGAACAAAATTGGATAAGTAGTAGTGCACCGTGTCGAATTTTGCACATCGTGATCCATTTGCACATGCTAACCACCCACAGTAACGCACCCACCTCCTGTCGCAAGTGGTGCCGTGGAAGATAGTGATGAAAACTCAGAACTCAGTCGCGGTCCTTCTTTCGGCCTTCAATGTGGTGCCTATTCAATTTGATCTTACCAGCGAGGTGCGCATCTTATTAATTCGTCGACTTCGACTTCGCGCACCATTATCTTGATATGCTCTGCCCTTCGAATAAGGGGAGGTTAGTTTACTCTTATATTAAACCAAAGAAACACAGCTGTCCAACGCCCACAAGGTTCTCTTTGTAAACCAAATGAACCTCTTCAATAATACTTATGCTATTTGCTATATGTACGACAGTGATCTATACGTGACTGATGCAATCAAACTCGAATGGAGCGCTTTACAGATGTCATGTAATAACCCAAACCTACTCGAAACTCCACCCCAAGATGTGCAAATGTTATGACCAACCAAGTTCAGCGACTTAAGTCGCTTTTCAACCGGACGGATTCTCCCTTGTAGTAGATCCATATAGGGAATGGAATACCTAGGAGAATAGCCAAGCCTACATGAAGGAATGTTTGAAGGTTCCATACGCTAGATAAGGCTCGAAACTTACCAGCCAGTAATGAGTTTCCGCCCCCAAGCCCGAGGGTATCAAACATCTGTTCACCGAACAAAGGGAATGCGAAGCCCAGTAAAGATCGGAAGACCTGTTTATTGCGTCAATGACTCGTCCAGTCTGGAGAGAATAGGGCCTACCGACGCAGCAGCAAGTGCACTAGCGGCGTACTTGAATGTATCGACCAGATATAGTTGTATGGGAATGCTTTAAAACCGCGAAATCAGCATCGAGGGCATCGTAGGAAAGGTCGGCACTGACAATGTCGTCATCGTACCTACAAGAAATAAAGTAAAGAAAATCAGGGTTCAATATATTGAACGCAGAACCACGTACCGAATCCAAAAATACCAGAGCCAATGATTGGCATGATCCAATGAACACGGGCCTGAGCAGACCATCCATACCAGCTGATGAAAACTGAGATAACTGCAACGCGATATGCAACTTGGATGACTCACAACAACCCAATGGGAACGAAGAAAGATCCAAAGAATAATGCAGGAATACGCATTTCTGGTTTACCGACGCCATTGTTGTCCCTCTTTGCCAACTAGAAGGAAGCAAGGACGATCGGATACCTCCCTAGTGCTCCATAGCTACGGACTCACATAGTGGTAGACCTGATCAGCAGTCTTAGCACCGAATGCTGAGGCGGCAAGAAAGCCGAAGCCTATTCCAAGATATACAAGCCCTCCTACACCGATATTGAAGCCGTATATGTCATCGAAAACCGCTAGACAGAGGCGTCAATATGTTTACCTACAAAATATGTGGCGGTACTGACTCGGGAATGTCGTGAACATCAAGTAGTAGATTCCTGGAAGGATGGTGTGTATTGAGATTCTAGACACAGTAGATCACACTGACCATACATACTATAAAGCGTTGTTAGACAGTCAAAGAGGGTGCGACAAAAGATGAACTTACAACGCCATGTATAGACTCAGAATGAAGCAGATGAAGCTCCGGAAGAGCAAAATGAGGGGCCTGGAAATATTGATCCATAGATACTCCAATTTGCTCATTTGCGCGGTGGGATGGTGGAAATACGCAGCCTTTTCGAGGTCCCCCGAGCGTTTGGCAAGACGTTCTCGGATAACGGGCGCGTAAGTTTCCTTCAACCGAATCAGTATCCCGGAGTCCAGAACAACCTAAGTCCAACGAACCTCTAATAGCGGCAGCGCAATGACAGCGGATAACAAGCATAGTCCTAATACAAGCGTCGAAATAGAACAAGGAAAGAGTGCAGGGCCATATACCTGAGATGATCACAAAGACATATTTGGTACCTATTGAATTTGCAATGAAACCACCAGCAACGGGACCAATTGCGGGGCCAATGAGCGGACCAAGACTGTAAAGAGCCATAGCAGAAGCACGGTCACGTTCTGAGAAGAGATCCCCAATAGTTCCTCCACCACACGCTATAGGTGCACTCCCCGACAGGCCAGCTAATTTTCCGTCATACCAGAACCAATCAGACTATCAAGAAGAGAAGAGAAGCACGGTACCCACCGAGGAGTCGAAATCCTATTAAAGCTCCCGTGTTAGGCGCGTACGCGCACCCCATGTTGAAAGCCAGGGAAAACAAGTTCCCGATGTGCAGGACCTGGGGCATATGAATGGTCAGCAGGCATCAGACACGATACGTTGGGGAGTACATACCCATGTGCGACCATACATCTCTGATAATGGGGCTAGAAATAAGGGCTGGGGATGCGAATCGCGTCAAGTGATGAATATTTGATTCGAGATGTCATATTTTCTCACCCCAAGGGCGAACGCCAGCAGGAAGATGCTGAGTGTTAGAGCGATGACGGTCTGATTGGTGATCTGATATCGCACTGCTAGGAGTGGTAGACCTAGACAGCGTCGTGGAGAGGTGGGTTGCTAGGTAGACATATTGTAATTACCTGGTGCCATCATGGAACTAGCAAGCGGCGAGACAAAAGTATAGAGAGAGACCTGGTTCGTACAGTAAACTCAAAGTCAGAAAAGAAACCGAGGGGAACGCACGATTGAAACAGTGATCCATTTCTTTTTCAGAGTCCAATTTCGAGGATTTCTGGTATCGTCTTCCCAGTCGTCTTCATGTCGCTCTATTTCTTCCTCTTTGGGGTCTGCAGGGATGGCAGATTCACCGTGGCCTGGTGACACGAAACGCTGTAAATGAATATTCGTCTCTGCATCGGGTGGGAGAGTGATCGAGGAATGAACGGAGGGTGCTCTGTGCTCATCTTCAACCATTATGAAGAGAAAAAATAGAGGAAGGAGAGGGGAGCCTGAACGGTTGGCCAGAATTCCCACCACATCCTTATATAAAAGATCCACGACGCCATTCGCACCTTGACGTTATGATCTATTGGTCAAAACCCTTTCAGGTTCGGAACACGTGAAGTTTGTTTAGTGGCGGCCCGATTATTTGATCGAGGGCTGTCGGTGGCGGGAACTAGTATATCCAAGGGCAAAATGTCGCTTTCGACTGAACTGACCCATTCCCGACAGAGGCCCATGTATACCTAGGTAAAGGCTGAAATGCCGCCTTGAATATTGCAGTGAAATGTCTGGTACCGGCGGATCTAGTTCAGGGTAGTCGCATTTACGCAGCTCCGCCCAGTCCGGTCCATCATCTTGGTATCTATGACGCATAACAAATCAAGTGATCAGGAACAGGAGAACTAAATCCGTGAAACGATGGATGACAACATCGCCATAGAGAATTAGATTCTTACCTATTCAATGGACTCAAAAATATCTTACCTTGACTCCAAGGTCAGTACAAAAGAGGTGATCGAGGTTAAGCGAAGAACTTACGGCAACCCTAGTACACACGTTTTGATATGTTTGGACGTCTTCGAAGCACCTACAGCAGGCTTGTGATGATTAATCTCCTACTAGTATACCCCGCCCCTGCCGTTAATCTATAAATTACGGTAACTGCACTACGGCACATACAGCCACCCAAGCAGCTTCACAATCATATAAAAACTGCGTCGGGAGTCGTAAGCGTGCAGGTACTTAAGTGTGTGGTAGGGGAAAAGTCTAGGTCTAGTGCTGTAAGCATCCGATAAAATCTGCGATTAGGACCTCGTCCTCGAAGTGTATCAATAAATATGCCAATGGTCTGTGTGCTATGCAACAAGGTCTCATGAACGAGAAAGAATATCACGGATAGTCTGAGCAACGAGGTCAGCGTTTACTGTCATCGTCGCTTCATCGTTCTCTGGTTTTGAAATGGGTGGTAGGTTGTCTGACGTGTATTTTCTGGATGAGAGGATAAGCCATGAGAGAAGGCATACTGCAACAGTGAAGATATACTTACTGGTCATTGCACCAGGCAACGTAGTGCATCCCTAGCCCGTGCGCCATAGTCGCTCTATCCCTCACAAATCTGTCCTGTGGGAAAAACTCTATCACTGTCGTCTGCGGTGTTCGTCGCATAAACATTCCATCCATTAGATCACTCCCGTGTGCACCCAGAAGCACCGTGGACCGCACAATCGAAGATATCCTATCATGCCACGAAGTCTCGAAGTCTAGCGCCGAAACCACGTTGAATTCATGACCATAGGAATACGCCATCTTCTTCAGTTTCTTCACCAACAACTGATGGTCTTCTGCCTTCAGCTTGGGTGTGGGTGGCTCCCAGTCGTGTTGGGGAGACTGATTCTGCCTGTGGACATAGGTAATGACCTTTTTCTTCGATTTCTCGTCCTCCAAGTTCAAGTGGGTCGCAAGCTGCTTCCGAATGGGCTCCCACCAATATGGCGACACGACTTCTGGTAAAATATTGCCTGAATTTCGGTCAACAATCACCATCCGCTCAACGACATATGGGACCTCCATAAAGTGGTAGTCCATCCAGTCTTGGTCGAACATAACCGCCATCTGGGGGAAGGCAGCCTTGACGAGGAATGGGTGGAAACCAGTGTCTGTTCGAGGACGGGGCAACATCGGATTCTCATAGGGCGGGTCTGGATCCGTAAAGGGGTGAAGGAAAGGCATGAAAATTCGATGAGGCGGTGGTAGAATAGTCCTCCCCTCCGCGTCAATTGAAGGGTCCAAGGCGCTATATGTCCGCCATAATTCGTGCAAGGTAGAATTAGCGGGAGAGGGGTCCGTGGATATAAATGTCACACCTCCCAGACTACTCAATGAGAATTCACATCGTTTTTGCGAAATGTAACTAACACTCACCGGCCACCATAAGTACCAAATTCCTCAATTGCTTCGGCGGTGGAAATCTTCGACCAGAAATTTGGTGGTGATACGATGGAGCCGAGGGATGGGAGACCACCTGGGTCGTCGGTTACGAGGTACACGTTGCCCTTGAATAGAATGACGTTGTCAAGGACGGAATGTCCTAAAAATGCAAGTCAGTAAGGACCGTAGAATATATAGTAGCGACACGCACCTGGAGTATGCTGCAGAACCTTCGCGGTCGGCACATTTCTCCCCCACGACACGAATGGCTGCATTTCGATGCCATTGATCTTGGGCACCTCTTTGACCGACATCCACATGGCATGGTGCGGCTCAACGCCAAGGCCTTGGCTCCTCTCCAGGCCATCCCCAGCAATGTGTCCTGAATCCCAGCCCCAGTCGCCAAATATCAGATTCTCAACAGCATCTCGCCATCTAGCAAGTTTCCTTCCGTCATTGCCAATGATGTTTGAGGCGCCAAAGCCGAGGCTGCTAAATCCGAGCACGCCCTTTGTCGCAGCGGGATCAATACCAAGAAATCGAGTAGAGTTCGTGAAATTGTAAGCGAAAGTGAATATCGTCAGGCAAAAGATGATGAGCGTGAGTTCTCTACGGTCTGGAGGCGCCAACCACCGCATGGAGGAAATGAGAGAGGAAGGAAGAAAGAAACGAGAAGAGGGTAGGTGGTGAAAATGCGTCCGATAACTGGCCCGCTGTATACCTAAACAGTGAATATCAAATTCACGGGAAATACTAAGACACGGCCTTCGCCAACAAGGCGGCATTTAGGTCCAAATGGCGGAGAGGTTATGTTCGTACAAATGTATAGATAGAGTCTAGACAGATACGAATGTACAATGTTACATGACGGCAGAATATAAAAGACATAAAATAGAAAAGATCCACTGATACATAGTCATTACACCTCTTCACCCTCTTTACGTCCCTTGCTGTAGAGCAATCTGGTCAACACTGGTACCACGTACAAGCTGTCACCACTTACCCAGACTTAGTCGGCAGAAGTTGAGATTCGATATGGGGCACAACACCACCCTGCGAGATGACGACGTCGCCAAGTAGTTTGTTCAATCTGATGGAACGTCAGATACCGGAGAGCAGTGAGATCAGGAAAAGACCGTACTCTTCATCGTTTCGGATAGCAAGCTGAAGGTGACGCGGAACGATACGCTGCTTCTTATTATCACGGGCGGCATTGCCAGCCAACTCAAGAATTTCCGCCGCAAGGTACTCCAAGACGGCAGCGAGATAAACTGGACCAGATAAATAAACGGTGAATATGCAGGCGATGGACAAAGTGACGCACCAGGTGCTCCAGCACCAACACGCTGGGCATAGTTGCCCTTCTTTAGGAGACGATGAACACGACCAACGGGGAACTGCAGACCCGCCTTTGCGGAGCGCGACTGCGATTTTCCTCCGTCACCGCCAGCCTTTCCGCCAGATGATTTTCCGGATTTTCCTGCTATATCGTCAGAAATCTTGTCGTCATCACCGAAAAGTTGTTCGCGTACCCTTTCCAGACTATAAAAAGGGTGTTCCATTAGTATTTTGGAGGCATATACGAGACCTAGAACGTACCATGTTGAATATTTAGAAGAAAACGCACAAGATTTAGGTGACACTGAGGAAGTGGTGGTGGTAAGAAGACAACAGAGACCGAATCAACAAACTGGCACGCGTTGCTTATATTTAATACTCCAGTCACGTGAACACCGGATGCGTCCGCCACCGTCACGTTATTATCGCGGCCAAAAATGGCAACTTCCATTGGTCTTCGGACAATGGCCACTTTTTTGCATGTTGCTCGTCAATGGCCGCGTCGTGACATTTGTCGCGCTTTCCATTCCAGCAGGGTGTTCTGGAATGAAACACCAAAATCCACATTGACCGAAGGTGCCCTCGGCGACAAGAAAGAAATCTACCACGAACCCTACGACGAAGAGCCGTTACCTTATCTCAGCAGGCCTCTAGGGGTGCGGCATCGACCAACGACGTCGCGTTTGAATACCACAGAAAGGCTGAAAGGGTACTTGGATACGGACAAGGTCATGGCAGAGCGGGAACTTTTGTATGTTCTGCTTTTCTTTTGCGAGTCTGGTTCTTATTGTCACCGCAGAGTGAAAGAGGCTTCAAAAGGATATTTTCACGATTTGAATCGAACAAGAAGACATGGAGGAAAGACCTGGCTTGCTCCCAAGAGTCTAATACGGGAAGACGTTGGTGCCACCCTGTTCTTTACCTGAGTACCGTTTAACATATGTTGTCCAGCAAGCCCTGTATTTCCCGGACATCCAGGGTAAAAATCTCAAAGGACTTAATAAGCACACGACAGATCTCTGTATTGGCCGAATAACGGTGCTCGCCGTAATCACTACGCGAATATCCGAGGTGCGTAGCATTCAATATTCTCAGCACCCGGATTCTGATGTATGCACAGTTCCACGTCAAGGGCTTTTCGGAATCAACCAACAACCGATATTTGTCCAATCCATTGTACCAATTCGTCCAGATCAACCTACAAGAAAATCTCCTCAAATCATTGTTGGTCAACATGTTTGCCAACTCTCTACGTTCCGTCATACCTCCAGAGCTACACTCCACATATCTCGTGTCGAGTCAGAATATGGAGTACGAACGAGATCCACTAAGCATGACGAATAGTCGAGTGGGCTACGTGTATCTTGTCGATGAAAATCTTAAAATTCGCTGGGCTGGCAGCGCAGGTGCTACCGTCGAGGAAGCACAGACCCTCGAAATATGCACTGGTGTGCTCTTGAAACGTCTAGAACAATCGAAACCCGAGTCTGTGGCTTGAGAGTCCATGGTATGCAATCACACTTCTCCACGAATTGATGCTGATATTTTTCCGTCTAGAGGACCCGCCATAATCATTGCTAATCGCTGTATAAAATGCCGTCATGAACTAGATTATTCGATGTTCTGACGAACTCACTGTGCGCACATGCAACTCAATGATCCGGTGTACGCGTTGACCAACAGATAATATTGGTCATCAAGGAATCTGTTGTCGTCGATAACACAAGTGTTCCTTGTACCATGAATGACAATATGATGAAGATAACTTGACACCGCAATATACTAGCGAGAGGGCGTCAACACCATCACTGAACGCAGCGAACCACACAGAGGTCTTCCACGATTCAAGGAGTCTTTCCAGATCATTGTGATTGCAGGTTGAGGTTGCCTGCATTTTCCCAGTGTCTACCGGCTAATTTTCCAGCGATCCGACGTCACATTCTCACCCGGAAGAACCGGCTGGTCCTCAAGGGAAATCAGAAAACGCACAGTTCAAGAAATGATAAGAACCTTGACAACAGAAAGCCAGACGCGGCCATCAGGAAACATTGAGGGTCAAAGCTCTGGCAGTAAGCGGGTTCGATCTCCCATCAATCGCGTATACCGTGTATTTCGGTTGATCAGTTCATTTGAGGTAATGTTTTCGAAGCCGCCGCCACACGAGATTCGCGTGGATCTTGGTAAAACGTATTATTATCGTACCTTTGGCTTCCCAAGTCTTTCCTTCCTTAACGATCCCAGTGGTTCTGAAAAGCTCGTACACCCACTGTGAGGGGCGCAACTAACTATTGCCATCGCTGTTAGTAGGAGAGGACGTTCTGCCGCAGAAACAGCCCCTTGTCTTTCTAATCATCGGGTCCTTCGCTGGAAGGTTCAAGAGCGTTCCAGCAAACCGCGAGTTCCGTGCCGCATCATATTGAAATACATAATTGACCCTTCTGTCTCTGTGCGTCCTTAATTCTCCATTTGACAAGGGGACCCTTCGGGGAACGGGAGTATAAATCAACCTCTCTGACTTCTTGTTCCAACCAACCATCACTTCAGTTTTGGAGTTGACGCCGCAGGACGATGGGAGAATATGACACACTGCTTGGTTAGTCTTTGTTGTCTTGTCTTTTTTATCGTGTATGTTTTGATCAGAGACACAGGTACATTGTTGATTGGCATATTTTGTGAGTCCATTTCACGTGCGCTGCGAATAAGAGATGAGCTGATCAAACTCCAGTCAATACGTATCTTTTCGGAATAGTCACTTTCCAGTTCGCGACGTATTATGGATCCAGTGAGTCGAAGACAGCATCCTTGTGGCGGACAGTTAGAGGTGACCTGTGGGTATAGAGCACAAGGATCCGTTATGGATCAGGTACGATTGAAGCCACAACCGTGTTATAAAAAGCATTCACCTCTGCGCCTTTAATTTAGGGTTACAGTGCTTTTGCTTTTCTTGAATGACTCGGTACATTCTGCAGGGTATGTGCCGCGACAACGTTGCTATTTTTTTTGTTCTAAACACGCTGTGCAGGGAGATATACATGGCTTGGTTTTACTGGTTGGTCGTGTTCTCCTTGGGGATGACGCTTGAAAACTGATCCAGAAGGTCCACAAAGCATTGAAAACTATACCAACCCTGAAATCCTTCTCAGTGCGTTTCTTCGCTGTTTCATCCTGAGCAGTGCTGACGCTAATCAGTCGCGCCTTGGCCTTATCCTTTCACCCCCATAAGCGAGGCTATTGCTGCGATCCTTGTCCATAACTTTTTGGGCTTTCGGTACGTCTATCTTTGGCCTTCGCTGGGCTCGGCTCCAATCATTTTGTCCAGTCTATATCGGATGACGGGAAAGCTGTACTTGTATGTCGGCGTAATGATATGCGCTGTTACAGTCTTTGGCTTTGGCATAGCGACAGGAGTCAGGGTGCGTACAGTCACTGCTCCTACGGTCTTTCATGTTGATGATGTTACATTTAGGCCTGGATTATTCATGAGTGCGTAGAAGAACTATCACAGATATTTTTCTTATGAAGATATGTTTGTCAGGGTGTTAAAACTGATCGTTTTGAAACCTATCATCATTACATGGCTTGTCGGACAAACAGTGATGGACTTATTTTTAACAAGTGGGCTTAACGCCTCTCCGTCTTTCAATGTTATTATTAACGGAAGACGTATCAAGGCTCGCTGTCCTTCGTGCTTTACAAATCCAGAACAGGATTCAGGACAACAGACTCGGTTATCTACCAGCTCATTCGTGGCACGATTCAAACCGGAGTCTTCTCGAGCATCTTTGCCTTGGCTCTTTTGATTTGCTACCTTAGTATTGCCCTTTCTGTCACTGTGTTCCCAGCATTTACCAGGCCTATAGGTTCGCCGGCGACAAACCTCTATGGCATGTTTGCTATGCCTGTCGGACGTATCTATACAAATGTATGTACATCGTCCTTTTCTATTTTACGTGTTTTGACAGACATTCATAGACCCTAATGGATACGCTAATTTCCCGAGAGAAATTAAAGGAGAGTCTGTCGTCAGAACCTATTGATGTAAGTCGCCGCTGTCATTCCCCCTTCCTAGGCTCTTAGGGCGGCGTCATTCTAGGTCACCTCGACGGTTATTATACGAATGGACAAGGGTAGACAAAGATCCGGTGACAGCGTCCCGGGTCAGATACCTGTTGTGAATATTCGCCGAGGCGTCTACTCTGAGACCGATGCTACAGAAATGAACCGACTCGATTCAGCAGACCGAAAACGTCAGACTCTCGAACATGACTCTGAGGGTGAGATGTGGGCGTCAGCGTCAGGCTTTAAGCTATGATGACGAAAAACGCCTTTTATTCAATAAAAAATATGTCGTGCTGTCTAATTTTCATGTTTTCGATTGCTTTCCACTAGTTACCAGTAAATAATATACAATTCACGGATAGGCGCTAAATTTACGATTTAAGATCTATTTTTGGGGACTCGGTCACCATATTTGGACGAACACGTCGCACTTGATCATTTCAGCTTCCTACTCTCCTCCATGACCATGTTTTCCTTCGCATCCCTGCTGTTGCTTGCGGCGGCGGTGAACGCGTCTGTACTGACCCTACAATCGCCCAGGTTCTCTGTTACATCTTCTAGCGGGTCTCAACTTCGTTCAGAGCCGTATGTAACCATCCATCTATCTTGCACTTATTCGACCTGAAAACTGGCTTAGCATCTCTTTGGCGCACAAAGCTCCCGCACCAGTCACTCTTTCACCAACGGACACGCTGAAAATCACCTTCCAGACGGTCGATGCGGAGAGTGGGAAAGGCGTGCAACCGCAGCAGACCTTCCTTCGTTTCTATGATGAGGAGTCTGGGGAAGAAGGTATCCAGCCTGTCCGAGTGACAAGTGGTGGAAAAGCAAAATTCGAGCTGGTGAGTACCGCTTATGCCTGTCTGACTCTCCATCTGAACTTGGTGGTGAACTAGAACATGGCCAAAGTGCCACCGTCGTTACCAGCGACGTCCAAGGCACCCTTGAAAGTTTCCTTAATCATTGGGACACCAAAATACTCGCCCCTCAAAATCAGCCTTTTCGACCTTTTTGTGCCAGCGTCTCATCCCATCACGCCTCACCCGGACGAAGCGTCGTTCCATCCTCTTCCTTTCATCGAACACACATTCCGACCTGAACCAACCCAACCTCCCAAGGCCATTTCTGCTTTCTTTGCCAGCCTTGTCCTTTCTCCTTGGGTCGTTTTGTTGGGATTGGTATGTGCCTTTCAACGCTGTCTTAATGCCGTTTCTTAACAAAAGTATAGTGGGCGCATATATCGCCTCGCGTGCCTCGGCTTTTTTCTGCGAAAATACTTCCTTTCACTGCTACCCTTGGTGCCTTTGAGGTCTTACTTCTCTGGTATTGGGTCGACCTCAAACTAGGAGACGTCTTGTTGTATGGGGGTATCCTGGGTGTTGTCATGCTTTTCACTGGGAAGTATGCCTTAGCTAGTATTTCTGAGCGTAGATTAGCATCCCAAAAGTAATAGAATGTCATACTTGTCGAGACTTTGCAGACTCGGTATTCGGGTGCACTGGGCCGCTGAAGTAAGAGACCGGTCATTTTTTTTCTTTCCACTACTACGCTGTTCTGGCTTCAATGCAGCACCATTGTGTTCTGTCATAGAAAGACACTTCAGTGTGTGCATAAAATTACGTCGCTTCGAAGTTCGTATACTGATTCTCCCTAGATGCTGAACCGCCTTCAGCTCCTTCAAATTCCACGGCGACACTTTAGTTCCACTCTCAGACTTTCATCTGACAAAAAATGGCCTGCCTTTCTTGTTGAAGATCTCCCCAGTGATACGACAACCTTAATTCTTCGCATATGCGGAGCCAAATCATATGGCCCCAAGGTGGTCCAGGGCCTGCAACAGCTGGAGAAACTTGAATTTTACGATCTACACATGGATACCATCTCCGGGGACCTTTTGAAGACATTATATTCGCATCCGGTCCAATCCATCCGTTTTTCGAATGCCAAGTTCGAAGATCAGCAGAGCTTTTCAAAGCTCGTCGGGCTGTTCCCACAGCTAACGGACCTCGATTGCCGTCAAGTTTCCGTCGACTCCAATCCTCGTAAGATACTTGTTGAGGAACGCAGTTCAGCTCTTCACACGTTCGGGAGCCACCAGTCTCCAGAATTTGGCGTCTGGCTCTGAACGGATCTTTGGGTTCGAATGACATTCTGCGCCAAGTCATTTTGAACGACGTTACCTATAGCGATATTCCATTCCTCAATCTCTTCCTTCAACGCACCTTTACAGCTGGTACTCTCGAGGAGCTTAATGTTATGCATGATCATGCTCGCCAACCGGGTAAGCTATTTCTTCCATGCCTCTCTTCCTACTCACACGGTACTTAGCTGCGGTCAAACATGCCTGGAAAGATGTCCCTCCAGTTCTTGATGTTTCCCACATAAAGAGGCTCGGTATCGACATTCATGGCCGCGTCAGAGATGTCTACCAACGTAATCCTCTCGAAGTTGTGCTACAACGGTGGATGAAATCACTGGCACCGCCGGGGAAGGACTCGTCTCTGGAGCAGCTGAAGATCGTAGTGGGCATGAATCAGGGGGCCATCTATGTCACAGCGGATACCGGGACGACGTGACCTCCTCCTTACCGATGGTCGATTTCCCGCCCTCAAATATGCCCATGTCGTCATCAAGGTGTGGAAACCGACCACGCTCAAAAAGGGCGAACGCCAAAAGGGACTGATCCAGAGAAACTGCCCTCGTTTGAAAAGGTTCAGGAAGTCACACATCGTATCGGTCATCACAGCGCGGACATTGCAGTGTCAGTCAATGGTGCATACCAACTCGGTGTCTACCTCGACTTTAGAATGGGTTGCAGAACGAAGGAAAGTCCTCAGTCGCTGCTATCATAGATGCATTACGAAGGAGGGGGTGGCACTTGAGGGTGCTTGCTTTTTCGCTTGACCTGGTTACAGTATCCACATTCTTCTCCAGCACCATCAATGCCATCACTCTACCACGACGGAGGGTCGACACTGGCTTGAGGTTACCAGTATTGATCTTCGTGGATACTATACCTTATCATCATACATCCTCGTTAGCTTTGACGCAAAATAGCTGATCACCTACGTTGGGCTCAAAATAGTGCGTTAGTAGTAAGAATGCATAGATGTTTATTTAATATACAGGTGTCTGAGCTGCCTATTCTACGAGCCTCGAGAGATAGCATCGGATCCACGGAACGTATAGCATTCATTGATTAACCAAACCAAGTTGAATGGCTTTCACTTCGAGGGCCTATAAATTTGGATATAGGCAAGAGTATAATACTGAAGAGTAGTACTTAAGACATACCATGCGCTTAGAGAAAATTCGGCATAGGCTTATATCACCGCCACCAAACCAGAGCTGGTAAGAGAAGCATAAACTGGCGAAGAAAGATGATGTGCAGATATGCTCACGCCTGGATGACCAGATGGTTTGAAACAACCGTTCAATTCGCCCTCTTCGTCGAGGCCCCAAATTTGACCTACGCGCTCCGTGATGACTCCGCCGAACACATTCTTAAGGGAATCACGGATGTTATGATAGCCGGTCCTGAGAATGATCAATGATGGATCTTGATGCGTCGAAGAACGGCACCCACGCATAGATCACAACATCGGCGTCCAGCTTGGAACCATCTGTGAAAACTACACCATCACTCAGATATCGCTGAAGCTCGACACCTTGTTTGACTTTGACGCTTCCTGAAATGATGAGCTCTGCGCAGCCGACGTCGATCCCTATAGTTTTGTGATGCTTCGACCTCCGTGCATCAAAAATGAGACTCACAATAACCTCCAAGCCTCTGGAATACCATTGGGAACTGGCCAGACCCATCTTGTCCCATATTAACATCGAGTCCTGCCTTTCTCAGACCATCATGCATCTCGCGCTCAGCCTCCGCCAACTCCCCAGCACGAGCACTAGCCATCTTCATTCGCAACGGCAAGGGTATGGACAGGAACTTGAGGTCAGATATCTCATGCGGAACACCCTCAGGCCACAAGTTTAGCAGGCCATTGGTGAAACCAGGATGCTTCGCGACGACGCAGGTCGATGAACGCTGAACCATGGTCACGGACTCGGCGCCCTGCGTGACAAGATCCTGGCAAATATCTGCGCTAGTATTTCCCGCGCCGACGACAATAACTCGTTTGCCTTTGTAAGACTTACCACCACCATACTTCTCAGCGTGGAGGACGGTCCCCTTGAATACATCTCTGTCTTCGATCGCGGGTATTCGAGGAGCACCAAGAATTCCGGACGCGCAGACGATGTGAGTAGGATGAAGAGTGGTAGGGACACCCTGATGGTTGATGACAATAGTCCATTTCTTCGTTTCAGGGTCATAGGTGGGAACGCCAGTAGGCCGAGAGTTTGTCCACACGTGCATGTCTTGATTGATAGCATAGTGCTCCAGCCAATTCGCAACCTTATTACGCGAAGCGTATATCGGCCAGTTGGTCGGATATTGATGATACAGAACTGCGCGTCATAAGTCTCATACAAATGAAGGACACAAATATTACCCACACTGGAAATGAGTCCGCGGAGTATGTAAAGTAAGGGTCGGATACCGAGCTCGCCAGTTATCACCCACGTGCGGGTTAGATTCTATTACCAGCGTAGGCAGATTCATCTGGCGGAAACGAGCCGCGATTGTCAAGCCTGTTTGTCCAGCCCCAACTTCATAAACTTGTCATCAACACGTCAATAAATATACATAGAAGACGGGCGTACTAATCAAGACATGAGGATTCGCCTCGACACTTTCCCTTCGCTTTTTGTGAACATCCTCCCAAGCTAATGTATGCTCGCCATACACTCCAAGCTCAGGACCGTCCTCGGGATGTCCGTAAAGCTCGTCAAGCATCATGAGTACGGACAGTGCTTTCCACACACCTTGCGCATCAGGGAAGAGATGCACATATCCGCATCCTGTGCCCACAGATGTGCTGAACGTAAACCCCGACGCGACCGACCCAGTCGCTGACGCGTACTCTGGAGTCAAAAACTCCTTCGTCTCCAGCGCTACATTGGATATCTTTGCTGAAACGACTCTGTTGTTGCCATCACTGTTGAGATACGATGAGATCTTCTCATGTCCTTGAAGGGAGCGGTTGGCCCATGTAAACACAAGGATGTCGCGAAGCCAGCCGTCAGGGAGAATACATGATAGGACGTTGCAGGTTTCCCCAGAAGCAAGAGCTTTGGAGAAATCATCTATCCAGTTAGACGCGATATCCGAAGCACAAGCTGAGGTGGACATGCCAGCGAACAATGTGATACATCATCAGCAGTCGCTTCTATGCTTATACACCGACCTAGCACTCTGAATATTCCACCGGTAATAGACCGTGGGGTTTCTACCATCATCTGATGCAATGCTTACAGACGCGAGAGAACCCGGAAGTAAATGGTCCTATCTTTCATCCGGAAGCGAAAACCAACAAGAGAGGACCGAAGCGCTTCACGGGGTCGGACTCAGTAAGAAGTTGGCCACCTGAGCTTCAGAAACTCAATGAAAACGGGCAAGATTATATCCTTTGTAGAACATATAACGTACTATACACGTAGAATGTACCATGAAGGATGAGAAAACTCATGCCTTTCACGATATCAAGCAAATTGGGGGTATAGGAGAGCGCGACTTGTCCGTTGGAATTCGGGGTAAGAGGGTAGGATCCGGTCCGGCAAGCCGTATTCCAATAGAATCGGCTAAACCTTTACAAGGGTCAAGATGATACGCATTGACATGCATACTTCGCCGTGATGTAGATGTTAATCAGCACTCCTGGCAGGTGACTGACTAACTAGCGCTGGTCAAAATGCAAGGGAAACAATTAAAACACAGATAACATTTTGACCCAAACTTTTGATCACAGCAAAATGCGTCGGCTTTACCATTAAAGGGAATCCCGACTCATTTTGCTATGACCAAAAGCCTTGATCAGAATTTGATCTGTTGTTCACCCCTTTTCCCAGAATTTTGTCCCATTTGAAACAGTCGCTTACCAGGAGTGCAGGTCGCCGCGCCAACTTCTCTCCAGATCAAAGGTTTGGAACAGTAAAAATCCTCATCTCGAATACCGTCCACCAAATGTCTATTCAAAGCATTTTTATCACTTGATTTCCCAGAAAGGTTCAACGAACACTTACTTTGTTTTCAAATGAGATCGCAGTCCGTTGAATGTCAGGATACACTCTTTCCCAGACTCCTCCATAGGCTTCTCCGTCGATGTCGTCCGCACTTGCAGACAATGGCGACACCCATAGATCTTGTTCTCTCGCAACACCTTAGCCCTGTCTTCCGGTCCCATAAGCCTCAGAGCGAGCCCCTTAGTTAGCGAATGCTTCTCGATGACCGGGGCTGGGAGAAGGGACATTTCCATCTCCTCATGACGGTGGGAATGACCAGCCTGTAACAAAGGAGTAACGAAGTCAATCGATTAGCTTCTTAACGTTGAAAGGGAATACCCACAACGGCAGAAGACTGCAATACAATAGCAGCCGTGCAGCTATTGCACAAAACTCTAGCGTCAAGTGCCTCGAAAGCCTTAATAGACTCTTGTGATTCAGTGTTAATTGAGGCAATATCAGCCAATTTCGAGATAGCTGCAAAGGCCTGCAAGGATGATTAAAATTTAGGTCGGACAGTTCTAACAACTATAGCTAACCTTTTCATCTTTCAAGAATCGGGTAACGTCCCATTCTTGCTTCCCGCGCAACTTCTTTGAGCATTGGTGGGAACAAACGCCGAAGAAATCAAAACATTCGTCTTCTTTATACTTATTCTCCGTATGAGCACATTTCTTGCACCGAAAACGGGCGTTGATCCTATCCACAGGATGCAAACGTTTGCTGCTTGCCGACTTCCAATTTGCAAAACCTAGAGCACCGGCTAACGCGTTCTTGGCCTGACTTCTCCAAGCTGACAACTCGCTCTTAAGAAGCGTTGAGACAAGCGATGTCTGCAGCTGTTTAGCGACGTCAAACTCGGGCGAGGGAGGGGTTGTTTGAATAGTATGAATAATAGGGATTTTGCGGAAACTGGCTAGCGGTGGCAAAGGAACCTCGACCTTCTTGCAGCGAAGTCGTTCATAGTGTTTCTCAACGAGCTCTCGTGATTGCTTATAATCGGCTTCATGCTTCGACCGTTTCCGCGCCTCGGTCACTTTGAGTATTTCGGCTTCAACAGCTTCATGGATCATCTTGTAGTCTGTCATTTGAATGAGAGTGTGATTCAAGAAGAAGAGAAATACCGCACCAGAATCGGTTACTTTCTCTAAAGTTGTATTCTTGCTCCGATGTAGTCTAGCGTAGCTGGGCGCTTGCATAAGATCCCAATGATCATAACCAACCTTTGTCGCCAGAGCATTGGCACTGGGAAAGCTTGAGAATGGTGTCAATGGCCTTTAAAGGCAAGATAACGCTTACAAGTCAAGGTTGGACGATTTGTTCGCATCCCGAGCTTTGACATACTTCTCTTTCCATTTAAACAGTTCCAAAAATGTGGGCATCATCAACGATATTCTTTTCGCCATTCTTGCCCGCCGCTATGATACGTATTGAGTGGGATGATAGTATAACAACGTCAAGACCGACCTCCATTACAACATCCAGATCCTCCGGAGAGTGAGAGGCATCAAGATACTCCTGCACAGCCGCGGTCCATTCATTGACGCGGTAAAGCTTTTGGCAATTGGGCCCTGGATGGCAATGAGCTTGGAAGTGCGGGGTAACTCACAAAAGGACATACAACCCGCATTTCCGGCAAGATATGACAATGAACCTGATATATATAAGTAGAAGAAGGACGATGAGGGTGGAAAAGGCGTACCAATACACTCAGAGTGTTCGGGGACCAGAAGAGACTCCAAGATGATTCGGCGATATTCAGGCTGTGCTTGGGGTGAAGTAAGCTTTGTCCTAAGCACAAAGGTCAACGTAATAAACTTGACACAACAGCGGGAAAAGATTACTCGAGAAGCTGTGTCCGGCATTTACTCTAGAGCGGATCAATACATGTGAAGTACTTGTTAGTAGTTACCCGAGAAACGCACCATGCCGCAAGTGCGAATCCTCAAAGCAAACGAGTCATACATCAGCTTGCTTTCTTTCCCACATTCCTGCGTTCTTGATGAGGACTATTGATACCAGCTGAAATACAAAAATCTTACCTCGCATTTGCCTTCATCAAATACAAACGCAGCGTACGACGCTTCCGTGAAAATCTGCAAGGGCTCAGGTAGAGGCGCAGGTCTGCAGTTGTTTCTGGTATATCTCCAGATGTAATCCGAAGACTTGCTAACAAGAGTTGCGCAGAAAAATTTGTTGCATCGGGCCAGTGCAAGGACATCCTTGGGTGACCGGGTATACAGGAGCACTTCGGCAATAAGTTCAAAGGGAAGTCGCGTAATATAGCATAGCTTTGGCTGGTCGTCCTCAACGGTAGGCTTCGCCTTGACCTTTTTCCTGATGTGAGGCATGTAAGTGGTAGTAAAAAGAAAGGAGCTGGAGGTGCCCTTATTGGTTGGACAAAGAACCTTTCCTATTGGCTGCTGTTTCGGCCTGATGCGGCCAGGTAAATATTAGGTGACCTTGACGCGTAATCGCGCCGCATTTCAAATTGTCCCCTATCATCGACACTACATCTTCTCGCTTTGAAGTCGCCATGCAGCAGTCGCCCATTGCGTACACTACCCAAAGCACACTTAAAAGCAGGAATTTGATTTTCGATGACCCGTCTCTGCAGTGTTTTGCTATTGATCTGCGCAGCAACGCGGTCGATTCTGGATATATATCTGGAACCGTCTGTATGACTTGGCGCAGAACGGATCACTGGAAAATACTCTTCAAAATCGATGCAAGTAGCGATGACCGAAGCGCTGTCCCGTTCTACGTTATTTTTGCAGGAGAATGCTTCACTCCGTCTCGACGCAGGGGGTGGAACTGAGCCCCACGGACAAGTTATCCTTTGCCTTGAACGGGGTAATGATCCACGGAGACAGGTCGGAATATAATGCAAGTATTTGCCTGAAGGTGGTCGAGTCACGCAAAGACGTGAAGAACGAGGGCCGAATTATCGACACCTGGCTGCAGAGACGTGAGCTTTCGATCTTGTCCGTACAGTTTCTTAGCGCTCAAGCCCTCTAGCTGCTCTGGCCTCCATAGATGAGAATCGCTACTGGCGCAGTGACACATCGGACTCTCTGGTAGACCTCCCTTCCACTCCCAAGGTAAACAAGTTCAAATTCAAGCGATTAAGTTGGCGTCGAAAGCCTGACATAGCACTTAGACCCCTCAACTCATCAGATATGATACATCTTCACCTCTTCCTCCAGGAAAGCGCTCTCATGCATTAAACGTCTCAACCGATACGCCAGTTCTTGCAAAGAGATTCAAATATGACACAGCTGTCGACGTCCTTGAGAAGCAAGACTTCCCAAATTGACGAAGAAACAAAAGAAGGCCTTGAGAAGCAGCGGCGATAGAAGCTCTACGTTGAACGATATAGCGTCTTCGTTTTCGGACAACATCGTACCAACCTCTGAGGCCAAATTCACTGCCAATCCTACCAGCGCGGGCTCTGCTACAATGAACCATTCTAGGACGGTTTTTTCAAGTACACCCACAACTTTTATCGAGGCTTGTTCCAGAGGGAATACGGCCCCTTCTTTGAATCCAAAAGATACACCTGAGCAGGCGTTTGCTGAATCAGGAAAGTCTTCGCGTGACTCGGTCTCACTCCTGAAAGGTCCCCTTGCTATGATCGCTGGGTTGGACCTCTACAATGTAAGCAAGACGTATGCTGCGGCCGTCAGTCTTGTCTAATCATTCTCACCCCTCAGGCTCAATATGTAGCCTTGAAGGAAACGACAGTTCTGGACCAGGGCACGCAAATTAATATCATAGGCGTAGTCAATTCCGTATCTGAACCATTCTTGGTCTCTCATAGCAGGAGTAAGACTTCGCTTTAGACCGATTTTATTCATACTCATAATCTAATACAACTTGCAGATCTATTTTGCCCCATACAGATCCTTGATCCCAGTGTTTGCTCCGCTGACGACAGCACCCTAAATGGTTCAACTGCTTTCAACGTCAATTGTTTTACGACCAAGTATAAATGCTGGCTTCCCCGCCCTGAGGTCAACGATATTGTTATTCTTCGCAACGTCAAGGTAGTGTAATATTCCACCTACGAGTAAGTATGCGCGACCATTGAATTGTTATAGACCGCAAAGTTTGACAACCGCCCCTCTACCGTAGGATACCCCGATAAGCTTCAGTGGGTAGTGTACAAGCCAGAAACAAACGAGATAGTTCATAGCAGAGGCGATGCTCCTCTCTCCGAAAGTCTCGCACCCAACGGCATGGGCGTTCGATTCTCCCATTTCTACAACCCTCAGCCTCAAGAAATCGAATATTGTTCCAAACTCTCTACTTGGTGGAATGCAATACTCGACAAGAGACGAGCCGAGTTAGGCACGATCCATCAAATTGGCGGAGAGACCCCCGGACGTGGCATTGTTTCCTCTAGTACTCGGCGAGTGCATAAGCTCATCCGCGATGTGGACCACATAGTATTCCAGGGATATTTTGATTGTGTAGTCGAGGTACTCCTTTCCCTTCTTTCTTTCCAAGAAAAACACGGTTTATAAGTTTCTAGGTGCTTTCTAAATCTGACAGCGCCGGCAATAGCCCGTACGAACTCTATGTTACCGACTACACGAAGAATGATCGGGTCATTCCAATGCATTCCCAATTATGGCCCGAATCTCTTGCCGAAACAGTGCTGAAGATCAAGATGTGGGACCAGGCGCGCCCGATGGGGAGGACGATGGAACAGGGAGGAATATACAGAATCAAGAACGTCCGAATGATTGTCGGTAGAAGTGGCGGTCTTGAAGCAAAGATGTTCGAGCCAAAGATATTCGGGCTGCTAGATGAGAGCGACGCCAGCTTCGATGTGTATCTGCAAGAGTTTCTAGAGTACGTCTCTCCTTTGCGCGTAAGCAATGTTCGAGGAAGATCTCATCACCATCATCATTCAGGCGCAAGGAGTGCTGGAAGATCGACAATGAAGCCGCCCAACCGAATGCCTGAAAGGGTTAATACAACGAACAATACTAGATCAACAATACTGTCACAATAGTCAACTATGTTAAATTCTGGCCTAGTTTATATTAGGCACACAAACGTTCCTACAATAGCCACTTACAATCATGATAACCCCCAATGACGATACGATGTGGTTACCACAACGGCGACTGTAGTGGATCACATCGTCAAAATTTAGACGAGCACGGGAAGGCTTGGACATACCGATGGTGCTGACCAAAACCACGCTGAGGCATGATTGTCGCCCCGTGTTCGTGGTTTGAAATACTCAAGACACTTACATACTATACTGCTTCCAACACTCTCTCCAACTACACATGGCCTTCATTCGGCCAAGTCCTTGTTCTACCGATACATTATTCCGCAGAATGTTGGGCCAGGTGGATGGGAATACGAGCGTCCTGCCGCTGTAGAGCGTGGGTCATACTGTTGACATGTTGACGAATGGAAGAACAAAGAGTTGACCAGCCGGATGAATCCGAAAACTGCGTGCCTCCAAAATTGAACGCATGTTGAAGACGGCGAATATGATAAAAGTTAAAGTGATATTATATACAGAGGTATGTAATGTATAAACGATCATAAAATAGATGGGGCAAAGCAAGATAATCAAAAAGGATCTTACGACAAAAAATAGCCGATCCATAAGTCTCTGAACCTTGACGCTTAGTTGTTCATAACGGATACAACAAGCTCATCCGGCCGCTCCGTCTGGGCTTCAATGTCCATATCAAGGACTGCGCTCTGCATAGTGGATCCCTGAAAGCTTGAAGTGAAAGGTTGCGAGGGTTGAGAAGACTGAGAAGACGTCTGGAAACGAATGGTAGACACCGGCGAACTTTCATCATGTTCTTCGGTTGGTTGCGTGTGACCTGCCGCTGCTCTGCCAACAAGAAGCGTGGGTGCAACACCCTACACAAGGTATTCGATAAATGATGAAGGAGTCCAAGGTAGTGAACGCACCCTCGCAACGCCAGCGATTGCATCAAGGTAAGTAAATCCAGGGTCACTGCAAAAGAATAAAGCCAAGTATAGGATCAGAGCTATTGAATAGAGAGCGGAGGATTCCACTAGCACTCCAATAAAACGGCGATAAACTCTCAGTCGGTCGCCTGCTCCGCGTCTAACTCCAGTAACATACAAAATGCGGAAAATGATGAGCAGTGTACACCATAATGTCGTTGCCAAGACAAAGGCTATGTAGGGCATACTCCATACAATCCATTGGAGTATGCACGATATACATCAGTGATTTTCAACACTACACATAAAGACTGAAGTTGATATATATATAAAGGATTGATGAGATCGGACACTTACCAGTTGCGGAAATTAGGGAAAGGATTGGAAGCAGAACAATAAGCCAGCGCCGTTCCCAAACCATCCAGCAGCACCAAATCTAAAGGTCAAAAAGATGGTGAGCTGATGTGAATAGTCCCCAGTGGAGTCGCACCATATATAATTATAAGTCCGCGAGAATGGTACTCATGGACGATGTAATACCCATCTCCAAATAAGCTGCTTGGTCCACAGCAATAAGCTTCGAGTATACGGTCCAAAAGCTTTGCCCGTTTTGGATGAATGCGGAGCATACAAATGGCCAATTGACAGCAAAATTGATACTGATCAGAGTATAAAGGAGAATAATGACGACGACCAAGGCTCGTCGATTCCGCCAGCGTTTGTTGATGACTGTGCCACTCATGTCAGATTGGATGCCGTAGTAGAGATGCCTTTGGCTCACATATATGCCACAATGTAACAGCAAGAATGCCGGTGTATATGCCTGCTATCAGTCAACACTTACATGTCAAGGCACTAAACATTGTTGCCCACCATACAATAGCGCGTAGAGAATTTCGGAGTTCAGACTAGCGTCGAGATATTGAAACAAGGAAGCTTTCTCGTCGTCGGTAAGATCTGGTGGAATATCCGCCCGAGCCGTCATGAGGGAAAGTAAGAGCAACGGGGTAATGGGTTATAAGAATAACACATACTAACCCTCTTGTTATAACAGTGCAGTTACTGGGCACGCTCATTGGCTGCTACGAAGGGATCGAGTCGGAACAGGGTCCTTACGTACCGATTGTATTCAGCGATTTAATGAACCATCGTGTACATTGACTTTTTCAACTCCCAAGTGCACGTAACTCGAAGTGCGATGTTGCCGGAGAAAGCCATCTGTCCTAGAGGAAACGCCTATACGAGCTGCGATCTCAGATATATGTTCTGTTGAATTAGGACTAGGGAAACCGTGTCTAGGAATAAAATCAAGACAAGCGAGGTAAGATCGCAGCGCACTTACTAACTTGAGGTTGTTCTGCCATGGCGTGAATGCTGATTATATCTTGCTGCAAAATTAACAGGAAGAAGGCAGGTGATTTTTGATGCTAGTTGCGATCGTTACTACGCTGACAGATCCTATATACTCAGATCCCAAGAGAGGTTTGATATGGGCACCAGCTTTTGTAAGTCATACAAGGATGAGAAACCGCGGTGTGATCATATAAGATGAGAGAGCATTAACCGAGGGAAGAGAATAAAACACATACCTAATGTTGAGCGCGACGAATCCTGATCTCTTCCACTTCGAAGGCCGAGCGTTGCACAATGTATCCAAGTCGACCCATCTTTGTTTGCGTCATTGGTTCTTCATTACCCATCACTTAGACGCTGAGATCAGCAAAGATAGTGACGCGGTCCAATACCGAGAGCTGAGGGAATAGACCGACGGTCATAGAATCAAGCATCATGCATCAACATCGAAGCCAATGTTAGGAAATGGCAACCGAAGGGAGATGCTTGCTCGTCGAGTGATGAAGACAGTGCGTCACAGTGGAGCTTATTATTCCAGCGACCCTAATACATGAAAAGCCGTACATGTACCACCAACATCCCCGAGATGATGGACAACTTTGTCACCCCAGACGACACCAACATCCCCTAGAAGCCAACTAGACAATGCGTCAAAATGGCAATTACGGGCACTTTGTGATCATTTCACCTCCTTGGACGCCTTGCGACTTCTATAGTACTCTTTTCGTCGGCAAGTCCAGGGAAATCGTGACACAAGGCATGTGAGCAAACTCGTCATGTAATTTTTCTTGAGTTTCCATTATTGTTATACTGGTTGGATTCAATATTATTGGGATTGAGATTTGAATAAGTACGCGATAACTTGGACATACCAATGGCGCAGACCAAAAAAATGCTGGGAGGCACATCTGTCACCCAGCGTCCGTGGGTTGAAATGCATGCGACACCTCAAGACATCCACATACCGTACGACGTACTGCTCCCACCACTCTCCAACTACGCGCTTTCACTCTGTCAAGTCCTTGCTCTACTGATATATTCTTCTGCAAAGTTTTGGGCCAGGTCAATTGGGACACGACCATCCTGCCGCCACCTATATCGTAGTATGCGGTCTGGAGTTAATAAATGTAAGAACGAGCTGACCGGCTGGATGCCGCGTGCCTCTTAAATTGGAATTCACCGCCAAAGCCGTTTGTCATATATGTGATATTGAGGCCTATCACTTTCTGTCAGTCCTTCTCCCAAGGAGAGCAGATTATGCGATAATATTCAAAGAAAGATGTGATACACCGCGGACTATAGTTCATCATGCGAAGTCTCTGTAGCTGAAGACATGATAGTATCGGTTGTTGTAGTGATAAATGTATTTGGTGGAGACATCGTTGCTTCTGTAGCGGAGTCCGTTGTACTGGAATCCCATAATACGCTTGAGACCGACACTTCGACAAGAGAGGACGTCGCTAGAGACACTGCCGCAGAGACAGATCCCGCAGCAGCCGACGCCAGCGTCGTAGCCAACGTTGTTGCTTTAATCCCTTCTTCCATGGACAGCAGGGCTTCGTCACCGCCAAAGTCGGGGATGAACCGCGTCCACCAGAAGGCTATTCGAATACCCCGATCTACCAACCTCTGTTTCAAGATGAGGAGAACCACAAGGGTGAAGAAAACCAATCCAGATATGATTAAGATGCGGTCCATCCAGTCAGTTTTCTCAAGGGCGGTGATGAGCTGTTTGGAGGTGTCCAGTACATTCGTGAGCATGTCGTGAGTCGTCGATGTGGCGCGCAAGGAAGCTGTGGAAGCATCTGGATACTGCGATGAGTAAGAGCGAGACTAGAAGAATACAGAGAGACGCACCTAACAGCTGAGTTGCTGCAACCGACCGCTCCAGTTCCCCTTGCATGAGGCCAATTGTCCGCCGCAAGGCCTCCGTGACAGTCTGATTAGCCTGCATTAATGTATCCTCCCTGCGAGAAAAGTGGTCAAGAGCGACCTGGGAATCGGAAAGGGTCCACGTACGTTACTTTCTCGTCTGATTTCTCAGTGACGGCCGAGGATTTTAGTAGCTCTTCCCGATTCGACCTGCTCAAAGCATCGATGGTACGCTTGGACTCTAAAAGCGCTGCTCGTGTATCCTTTCTGAGACTAAGAATATCGTCAGGGCCTATCAATGCACAATGCTGCAAGCATTACCTGGCGAGCGCGTGTTTGAGTCCGTCCACTATTTGTTGCAAGTCTCTCCGATTCTTCTCTCCTCGCTGGTCTCCAACCATCAAATCTAGTCCCTTGTGAGACCTAAGAAGAAGAATTATGGCGAAGAAGAACAAGACATACTTCCACTTGTCGCGCAATGGTATCAAGGTCCTCTCTCAACTCTGCCGCTAGATTTTGCTGGGCAGCTAGCGGTCCTTTACATGCACGCAGACGTGGTATTTGGAACTGCGATATGTCATTCTGACGCCTCTCGATGGACGCTATCGTCTGAGAGGTTTCTTCGTCGAACGTGGAGGGAATGGGAGGCATTAGCAAGGTCGCGTGGTGGTCGCGTGGCAGTTTCGGCTTGAATTTGAATTGATCTCAGGCGGTTAATCTACCACAGTATTTGATGTTTTCCGTAAACTTTAATGCTGTCCCTCTACATTGTCCTTTGTATTGCTTCCTTATATACCCCGCGATGTGTCTCTACTCCGCGCGACACACTCAACAGTGTGATCACAACGGTATGAGCCTTCGTGGCCACAGCGCATGGCTTGCCATGTTTGGGCTGTGGGCCCGGCCGTTCCTTATTGGGACCTTGTGCCGGTACCAACACCAACACCAACACCACGACCTTATGCTGGTATCCAGATTCCAGGGATTCGGAAGAAAACCTACATACAATTACGAACGACTGCACCAAATACAGACATTTTTTTTTTACTCAGATATTATGATTTCGCGGAACCAAAAAAGGACTTCTTGCATTGGTATTCAAGTTGAAGTTGTGTCCGAAGAAGCTCTCGTTGTGCTCCGTACACCCGCTCGCAAGGAATTTCGAGGGTGAATGATTCTCCCAGCCCCTGTCTTTGATCTTTTATTTGACTTATCACCTTCTCATTAGCATGATCTGCGTAAAAGTACCGAGACCGTGCTGCGCAGTTTTCAGCAATTTCATGGCGCCGATTAATTTCTCACCATTACGCAGCATTACGCCCCCAGCTGACCCTGAGGCCTGACACCCTCCAGCCATGCATTTTAATCTGCTGGCACTAGGTTACTACGCTCTCCTTGGCCTGCGGAGTGCCAAAGCTCAAGTCACGGTCTACGGTCAGATTCCGCCTGGGGGAAACTATATCTCAAGATAGCAGTGGCACCTCCACCTCCTCTGCTGCTGCGGCCACCTCAACACTCGCAGCCTATGATGATACTGTATTGGATCCGCCCTCAGTACCAAATCCTGCACCTTCAACAGCCTTCACATTAACGATACCCGCTGTGAATACATCAGTAACTGGGCTATCGATCGCTCAATCGACTAACTCTTTCTATGGCTTCTCAATTGAAATGTCAGTTCTCACGCAAGTCTGTAAGTGGTTGTGTTGTTGTGGTCATTACATCTTTTGACATATGTATACAGTGGGCAAGAATTCGTATGTCTCGTTCGGGTCATACGAGGTCGGGATAATCACTAATGTAACTCGGATTTAAGCACCCACCTTCAACCAATCTTCTTGAACCTGATGGCTCTCATTGCGCAGAGGGGCGGCCGTGTACGAATACGTGCAGGAGGTAACACACAAGAATTCGCGACATATGAAGAAGAACTTCCGGATGCCAACGGAAAATGTATCACCAAACAATCAGCCAACTCGCAAAATCCTGTTTGTATACGTGCCTGCCATCAACGATGATCTCTAACGCTTCGTTATTTATAGACCGAAACACCTGCAGTCATCTACAACATGGATATGTTCTATCTATTCGCCAATGTTTCTTCGTTGGTTGATGTCGCTTGGTTCCTAGGTGCGAAAAGTGCTGTCAGTTTGGATTTTGCTTATATTCGCGTAGGTATACCTTTTAACGATACTTCGAACTGGAGATTCGCCATCGCTGAATACGGTGAAAGTGTCCTAGGCGACAGGCTACTAGGACTTCAGGCTGCTAATGAGCCGGACCTCTACGTTGAGTATGTCTTAGTGACTGCGAACTCCGTGTTCGTGAGCTGACGATCCATTATCAAAGCCACGGACATCGAGATGAGGGCTATGATGCAACATCATACTACGGTGAAATCCAAGAACTGATCAGTGCTATGAGTACCAACGACGATATACCCACGAAGAACAACCTCGTGGTACCTAGCGTGGCCGGTGATTGGGCGCCTGAACTTGTTTGGAATACCGGCATACTTGATACATGCATTGACAGCCTTTCCGCTCTTGCAGTTGAACAGTAAGTGATCTTCACTGCCTCTTTGGTCGTGAAGATGCTCACTTTCGCATCAGTTACCCAAACAACAACTGCTACGCTATGTACGGGACAGGTTCATATGTGGACCCGCAGACCACATTTCCTGACTATCTGAATCACACTTCCGGTGTTTCGTTGGTTCAGCCATATCTGAACTCTACCTTCCATTGCACAAACATACAATCGGCCATTCTACATGCTTGAAATGAATACGGCATCTTGTGGTGGTTTCCCTGGAATCTCGGATAGTTTTGGCGCTGCTCTGTGGGCTCTCGACTATGGTTTGCAGATGGCTTATAGCAACTTTACTGGGGCTATGATTCATGTTGGTGGTCAGAACGTTTATTATAATGTAAGCAATGATTCGTCTGTTCGTGTGCACTGCGCTTGCTCATGGATTGCATGCAGCCATTTACAGGTTCGGCCTCCGATTCTTCCTTTCTGAGCTACTAAAGAAGCTCTTGACAGCACCCCCTACAAATGAATCGACGTATCACCAATGGACGATCGGCTCGATCTTCTATTCTGCGCTAGTGATCGCCGAAGTGTTTGGCACGTCGGGAACCTCACAAATCATGGACCTAGGAGGAAATGATGGGAGTGTCTATACTCCACAGTATTCCATCTATGAGAACGGAAATCTGGCCAAGGTCGCCTTATTCAACTATATTACGGACGAATCCGGCGCCAACGACTACACCGCGACGATTACCATTGACGGTGGGACGGTCCCTGAGCAAGTCTACGTCAAGTGAGGAAGTCCTTACTCTGCTGGCTTTACAATCTCATCGTCACTAGATATCTTTTATCGGACTCAGTGTCAACGAAAAATAACATTACATGGGCGGGTCAGGTAAGGCATACCCTTTGTCATCCTCCCATCCTTGCTCACCCTTTCCAGACTCTAGGAACAAAATACACTGTCGACGGTATCCTCAAGAACGACCTAAACATCGTCACCATCACGTGCGACACCTCCGCCAACACTTGCAGCGTTCCCGTAAATGCCCCCGGATTCGCCCTCGTCTTCCTCACTGAATCGGAAGTCTCCGAAGTCACTCCCGAGTCAGCTTCCACCTTCGCGACGACGGCATATACAAAGACCATCAACACACAGACCATCGATCCTAGTGTCCTGGCTACTTCTAATGGACACTCTGGTGATACGTTTCCAGTTCTGGGGAGCACGAGTAAGAAGAGCCAGTCTGACGCTCTTGGGATGAACGATGTTTTGAAAGGTGGATCAGTGCTCTCGTTGGCAGTTGCTTGGGGAGCAATAGCTGTGTTATTTATCTGATAAATCAATATTTATAATGACAAGGACGACGTTTCCGTATTTAAGGTGCTATCTAAAACCTTCATCTGTTGTCGATATATTTTGACCCGGACACCAGGGACATGCTGCTACTTTACGTTCGATATATCTTGTATTGGAATTTACCGATCAACACGCACTCTTTATAAGTCGGGCTGTCTTCAAGGCCTTCCCCTGTTGTAAGCGCGACCTGTATAGGCTCCAATGAATCGGGTCAACGCCTCCGAAGGTCCAAGGTTCTCGCTCATACGAGGAATCTGGATGAATAGTCCTCGAATCTCTTTTCACATCACTATCATTCGGAGGCGTTTGCATTCATACGCACTTTTGTCGGGGGGCGCGACTCGCGCGAGCGCAATCTGACAGTGCTTAGAAAGCTAGTTCAAGGTCACAAATGGTTGGGTATTAGAGAGGGATACTTCTACAGTTGTAAATTATGATAAAAAAGCAATACCACACTCGAGTCAGCAAAACCGGCCTACTTCTAGGATTCAAGAGATATCATATTCCCCGCGACACTTTAGTCCTATCTTCTGGAAAGGTTTCTCCAAGGTCGTCTACTCTTTGATGAGACTGAGCTTCCAAGTCATGATGGAACCTGGCGCCTTGCATGTGGTCTTCCTGGAAGGTGGTCTGATTGCTACTCTCCGAATCCATCCCGAAGCGAAGCGACCGGGAAACCGCGCTTCCCTGCCAAGAGTCGTCCAGGTGTGCATGTCCTGCTGCAACACGTCCTAAAAGGAGTGTTGGTGCGATTCCCTGTATTGGTCTTAGCTAAATTCTAAGAGAAGGAAGTTGCAGACATACTCTCATTACACCCATTAGACTATCCATGTATAGAAAATTCGGACTTTCCATAGCGCGGAACACCACATACAGGATTGCAGATGCAGAATAAAGCGCTGAGGATTCTACGAAGACTCCAATTATATGCCGATAAGCATGAAGTCCATTTCCTGCCCTATTTGCGATCGTCGAGATGCGGAAAATTATGAGGATGGTACACCACAGTGTCGTTGCCAGGACGAAAGAAGAGAACAGTACCATACTGGGTACATAATCTTGTCCCAAGTAGAATTTGTAGCTATCAAAGATCTTGAGTCCTATGCAATATCTTGGATAAAAAAACAGGGATGTTAGAACAAATGAGCCACCTTACCGACCGCCGCAGCCAAGAGAAGAGCAGGAAGAGCGACAACAACCAGGCGATAACCCCAGACTATCCAGCAACGCCAAATCTGGTATGAGATTAACACTGCAGAGGGGTTGCAAAGTTTAGATGACATCGTCCATACCAAGACCAAGTCCGCAAGGACGGTAGATATAGCACCCATGATCCCACCGGCCAAAACCAACCCGGGATTGATGTCTGCCGTATTTTCAGCCCAAAAATTTATGCCATTATTGGCGAATGTATGACGCGTGTCTATGCAGTTTATGGCGAAAATGATGGCGGTTAGTATATAAAGGACGACGATAGCAACAGCTAAGGCTCTTCCGACAGGCTGGACTCTCTTGACAACTGCGTTGTCTAGCTTAGGTGGCACAAAAGACATAAGTATCTCCCTCACATATGTTCCATGAGGCAACAAAGATGATGCCGGTGTATAAACCTATGTGTTACGGTTAGACGACTCAAATAATACCAGCAAAAACGGTACCGAATAGTTGAGCAGCGAGAATCTTTGAGCCCAAAGAGGCATCGAGGGTTTGAACTATAGCTGCCATGTCAACGCTTGTAAGTTCCATTGGAACAGTTGCCTGCTCAGCCATAAAACAGTCCGAAGGGAATAGTATGCGAGAAGATTGTTAAAGAAGGCTAGGAAAATGCATAACAAGTGTCTCGATATATAAGACGCGTCATTATCGTCGCCGTCCGGCGAGAAGGCCCGCTGCGAAATGCAGGGAAAATCAGTGATGATAGAACCTCATATTAGATAGGTTCCATTGCAGAATGAAGAGTTCCGTGAGTATACTCCTTCAATCCACAGTTAAGCGAATCGCCGACTTGAAGTGAGGCATGCCATGAATGATGGTAACTCCTTGACGCGAATGTCGGTGGGATCCAGTAGTTCATGGTTCTACAGCTCGTAGACGTTATATACATAACACTCCTACGTATAGCGATAAGGAACGAGGATACTTTACAGGAAGTCTCCGGACTGTCCAGATATTATCTCGTAGCGAGTTGACAAGATAACGGTTGACCCTTCGCATCAGTGTTTTACGGCGTAGTACGCCGACATGGGTAAAGTGGAGCTGTGCAAGAAAATGACCAGCATGTGGTCATTCCGCAAGCCATAGAACAGAAGCATCGGTGCTACGGTCGTTCATGTACCTGAGATGTCGATAAGTATTGCATCTGTCAGTTGGATAGCAGTTGGAAGTTTGGAACGGTCACTGATTTGAAATTGGTCAAGAGTACACAAAAGGCAATCACCGCTTCCAATTTGAATTTTCAACGCCCTTTAATTCTGAAGTGTTGTGAACGTTCAACGCGTGCCGAAGCTCTCAAATAGGCCCCGAGCCGCGTTGTAAGAAATTTCTTTCAATTTCAAGAGTAGGTACATAGCTGGGGAAAATCACACATTTGAACAGCTAGAGAGAAGCCTACATAACCTAGCGCCCGGCAGTTACTTCCAGATAACGGAACTACAGCAACAAATGTCCCGAGAGACGGGAGAAGTTACAGAAATGCGACATGATTAATTAGAAAATGGAAAACTAAAATGGATGCAGCAACCGTTAAGCCCTCTTGTTCACTTTAATCAGTGGTACCAAGATTATCGATTTCGTATTTTTCCAGCCAAGTATGGTGTCACACCTGAATTCCGGAAGCTTCCTGGGAGACGATCTGAGATCGGTAATCTTCGTCTTCTCTATCCAGCTGCGCTTCGAGATCAGTACCGAGAACAACGGAATCCCTCTGGGAACTGGTCTGAGCATGTGCATGATCCCGCGAACGCGTCTGAAAGTGGAGCGACGACATCGCACTGCCATTCCAAGAGTCATCTGGGCGTGCATGTCCCGCAGCAACACGTCCGATGAGAAGCGTTGGAGCAATCCCCTACACAGGCTTAGTCCAAACCAAAAGAGGGAAAAGATAGCTTTCTCACCCTTACGATTCCTGCCACTACGTCGAGGTAACAGTACACTCACTATTTACGAGCATAGAAGCACACGTAAATGACCAGTGCTATAGAATAGAGAGCGGAGGATTCAACGAGAACTTCAATAACATGGCGATAAGCTCTGAATCCTTTTCCAGTTCCATTGTTCGCAACAGTAAGAATGCGGTAAACAATCTGTACGGTGCACCATAGCGTTGCAACAAGAGTGAAGGATATGTACAGAACGGCCCCAAGCTGATAACCATGACCTATAGCGTATTCTTGGTATACATGGATTATTCTGAACACTGTACCGGACTTCGGGTAAGTGGGGAAATAACGGAAGCGCCGGTAATCGTACCTAGCCCAGATATAAGGAGGAGGATCGGAAGTAAAATGATTGCCCAGCGCCGTCCCCAGACCATCCGGCAGCGCCAGATCTAAATTCCAGACCATAGTAAGCCGATGTTAAGGTCCCGATGTTTCAGCATCACAAACCATGATGGAGTCAGCAAGGATAGTGCAGATCGAAGTCGTGAACCCCATCCCTAGCACGATGCTTCCTGGATTTTGGGACGCCAGATACTTCGACCAGAAAGTCTGCCCATGTTTGATGAAAACGATGTACATCCGATACCAATTGAGTCCGAAATTGATGGTGGTCGTAACGAACAGCAGAGCGATCGCAATAACCATGGCCCGTCTGATGGGCTGCGATTTGCGCATAACTGTATTGGCATGCTTCATCAACCACAAACACAATCGTAACGGCGTTGCACATACATATGCTCGACAGTGTGACAGCAAAAATGCCGGTGTAGAGGTCTATAGGGCAGTACACATGAGCAACGATGGCTTCTAAATCGAATAGAGATATGCACCGTGCATCAGAGCATAGAGAATGCTTGAGTCCAACTGAACGCCTGACAGTTGAAGTATGCCAGCTATATCATCAGCAGTAAGGTTTTGGTGGACCTTTCAAATAGCCATCTAAAATATTCTAGAGGAAAGGAAGGAATACGTGAAGGACGAATTTGCTGGAGGCACATACCATATCTCTCATTATATACTAAATATAGCACATCACAAAAGCTCACACAGACTGAAAGCTATGAAGATGATCGTTAGCAGATATCAGCACATCGGGTCTTAGGGCGAAGGAGAATCGAATGTTTATAATAGTTAGAACTTGTTGGTGAGTTCGTCGACAAGGATATTGTTATAGGTCGGATGATAAGGTATCCACGCTTCGCTAAAGATGTGCCCAACATTTGAGACCCGTGAAAACCACGGCGGTAGCAACTAGTGAACGGTTCTGAGTCCATCACAGATGTCCCATCTACTCGGTGAATGGCCGAATGATCCTTAAGAGATGCGGGAGATGATCGGCCCGCACCAATTTCACCGCAAGAGAGGATTGTCGCACTAAGAGGGTGGGGGTGAGAGGGATCAGAGTGAAGGATCTTCGAGTGGATTCTTGCAGAGGTGGTCGCCCCATTTTCTTGGAAGATCCACAATTGAGGTTACCTCTTGAGTCAACAACGGGCAAGTGGGTCACTACCTGGCACCGGAAGCTTGACAAACTACTGCTGCTTTTCCCGCGCAGGCGTCTTGTGTCCGTAGTCGAGTGGACGACTGGCCGCCGATCAGACGATCACCCAGCGTTTGTTGGTACGGGAACGACTACGATCACGGTCATATCGGTGTGATGTCCTGGAAACAACAGATCTTGACTAACAACACTTCTAGAGCAAAACGAAAAGGAAACGCACCTCAGTAGCTGAGCATTCTCCTCCTATCCAAACAGGGAACACCGACGTAAGTTACCGTAGCCAGGTGGAAAAGATCACCTTAGCAGATACTTCATGCATGATTTACCTTGACGTACATCCCAAACCTCGTCACTGACATGCGATAAACAAAGTGATTATATAGCTTCTGTAATCATACCGTCAAACCGGCCAGGCTTCTACCTCTAGCCCTCGTCACAGAATCATAACTGCGAATTCCTGACCCCTTCTGCATCCTCCTCCCTGGTCCTCCAGCACCATCACCCATACCCAGTGGATTATGCCCACTCTGCAGCATCCGCAGCGCACCCTGCAAAATCAAAATCGGATTCCGGCTCTTCCACACTTTTGCACTGATATCCTTGATTCCTGCAGCCTTGAACAACCGATGCAACGTCGGCCCACACCTTAGCCCGAACCCGAGGGGCCGTGGTCGCATCAGGATTCTCGTCGAGCCAAACTTGCTTTCCACCTCCGTCCACACGGTCCGGTCTTCAAACCGGTCTACATAATCCATGTTTTTTATCGCCTGAGAGTACGATTTAATTGTAGCAAGGGACATGTCGGCATGGGTACCCCGGCCAAGTCCGACTAATCCGTTCCCATTTCCGATGATCGTGAAGACTTGCATGCTTGGTATTCGCCCTTTACCTGTCTGCTGGATAACACGGCGAGTGATCCTGTAGAGGTGGATGCTGGGGTCACGTAGCTTGAAGCGTTTTGAAATGCCAGTCCGTTCATATATCTCAGGAGCCGACCTGCCCAAGTCTGTTTGAACCGGCTGGAGTTTTGGGTCGTCAAAGTCAAATTTGTTTTCCTCCATCAACTCATGGAACATCGACTTGTGGTTGCGCAAAACGACTCGGTTGTGGAAAGGGTTGTCCTTGGTTGGAGGGAAGTCTACAACATCTCGGGAGTCCATTAGAGGATCTGGCGTCATGAGATTCGGCCAGTGATGGCCTGGTGGTATTTCTTCCTGGTTGGGATCTTCGTCTGGGGAAATCAAATATCAAGGCCTGACTAGATAAAGACAAAAATGGTATTTACCAGGAAGAAGGGTGTCGCCAGTCTCCACGTTGATGTTACGCTCAGCCAAAAATGACAAGGCATAAGGCAAAACCATTTCATTTGCTGCGCCTTCCGAGTCCATTTGCGAAAGAATTTTTCCGAATTCTGCCTTTTGGTCGGGTTTCAGTCCTTTCATAGTCGTTTGAACTGCGGGTTGGGACAGTTTCACAAAGAAGTCGTGAACGAAAGCAGCTTGTTCGGGCATCCATTTCACAGTCTGCTGGAAACTGGCTCTACTTGGAGCAAAACTGCCAAGACCCTTGAGGTAGTTTTGTCGTTTTGGCGCTTCGGGCTCTATCAATAGCAGTTAGCTACAGCAGCATGGTTTAGCAGAAGCGCATACTCTTATAGAATTGCTCGGGAAGATCAGAAACGTCGAGAGTAATCCCGTGCTGCGACAAGAAATCTACGATGGCAGGGAACCACTTCGGATCCGCAAAGTTCGTTTCCGACGCATTGGTTATCAGGCTCAGCAAGTCGGTTCGAGTGTCGTGATCAAACTGGTCGATGGCTTTATCGACAGAAGGCTCGTTGAACTTGTCGAAGAAAGCCTTGACATACTGCTGATGCTCTTCTACAGGATCTAGGCTTGCGGATGCGGATTCTACATCTTGGGAATGCGGTGGAATCTCTGCACGAACACATAAACACTTGTTCTTTTGCACAAAAATGGCGCTCACGTTGTACGGAATCTGTTGGCTGTGATGATTCCAAGACAGGCTCAGATGCAATGGGCGGTAGCGCGCGCGCTTCAGCTTGTGGTGAATCGAATTCCGGGGTAGAGGGATCCAGTGTCGGGGGCTCAGTCAGTATAGACTCTGATAGAGATGGTTCCGGTACGAGAGGCTCAGACGAAGGTGGCATTCCAGAAGTTTGTGTTGAGTCTTGTACAGCTGGTTGCGATGGCCTCAGGTCTGAAGGCAGTACTGGTGCCACCTCTACGTCCTGGGCAGGCGGTACAAAGAGCTCAGCTGGAGGTGGGAGGTCCTCCGAGAATGGTGGTTCTGTGACGGGTTCACTAGAGCCAGAAGCTATGGGCGAGGGTGACGGAGGCTCCTCTACGGGTAATAGCTCTTCCGGACGTGGCAGAGAAAACGAGTTGACTCTCTGGAGAGCATCTTCATAGCCCGAGGAGAGGTCTTCGGGCTCCTCCGGTATTGATTCTCCAGATACCTGAGCATTTCCTACAACAAAGATGAGTTAGTAGAGTGTCGAAGCCTCAAAAAGCAGTCCATGTAGGAAAGCTGACACGCCCCAGCATAGAGCGACCGTCATCATAATTAGTTCAATACAACTTACTTTCGTAGAACACCTCTGGCAAGTTGGAAAAGTCGACGTCAATTTCGTTCTCTCGCAGAAAATCAACGATATTGTGAAACGCGCTAAGGTCCGAAAAATCGTCGTAGGGCAGCGCGGACTTGAGACCCAATAGTTGGAATTGTTGGTTCTCGTCGAGAGACTGGAGAGCATCCTGGACGTGCGGCTCTTCCAATTTCATGAGAAATGTGCTGGCAGCTTCAGGAAAGTCGATTTCTAGGGATCCTCAGTAAAACAGAAAATCACGACGAGCAGCAGACGCACCATTCGAGTCCAAACCGCCCTCCAGGAGGAATGCCAGTTTCTGCCTATCCAGGCCAGGATATTTCTCCTCAATTTCCGCGTATACAGAATCCATATGCGACGGTGAAGGTGCTAGCCCTTCCAATTCCCCCACCAAGGCCGTCAACTCATGGGTAGGCAAGCCCGGTCGGAGCCGCGCGCGAATTTTGGAAAACCGAAACTTTTGCTCCGCATGAGGGTCGGTGAGGCAGCGTCGAGTTACGTGCAAAGAACGAAGGGCATGTCGCGACTTTGGCGGCAGTAGACGGTGCACAGACGTGCGTGTTACGAGCTGCCTCGACAGCCGTAACATGAAAGAAGGAAAAAAGTGCGTCCCGATTTGGAAGCTCCCTGTCGACGACCACGATGACGGAAGAGAACTCTATTGCTGTAACGCTGAACGGCCTGGAGCTCTCGAATCTCTACGGCGTGATAGATAAAGACAAGTGAGCTCTCTGCTTGCTCTTCTCGTGCAGTTCAAGCGAACGTGCGTCTCATCAAGTGTCCATGGCCTCAATCTGACCGTTCCCGAAGATGCGAAAGCCGTCATCAAGCCTTGGGATCAAAGAGAAGACAACGAGAAATATGCAGAATCTGGTGTAGACGACCAGGTGCGAGGCGAGCAGCTGTAATTGCGAGCAGGATACTGACCTTGACCTCTAGATCATTATCCACGTACCATTCTCGCAGAACGTCAAGATAAAGTCTGTCCTATTGAAGCTGGGTGAGTCTCTATACTGTTGTTTCCTCAATTCTGTGTGACTTTAACGGAAACGTTAGGAAGAGGAGAGTCGACGCCGCGTCACCTACGAATTTACGCAAACCATCCTACCATCGTCGATTTTGCAGATGCCGAGAATACCAAGCCTCAAGTCAATATTAGTCTCTTAGAAGGAGAAACGGGAGTGACTGAATACCCCTTGCGAGTTGCAGCATTCACCAGCATAACTTCGCTAAGCCTATTCTTCGTGAGTCTAGTATGTCTTCACGATGCTTTTAATCATCTCGGTGTCATTAGAGTGAATCAGTGGGCGAAGAGATGTCGCGAATATATTATATAGGCTTCAAAGGCGAGCTACGGTCTCCACAGAAGGATGTCAATACCAAACTAGATATACCTGCTGCAAATGCTGCTGATGCACCGCTAGTGAGCAATCCGACGGGGACAAGTGGCTCGATCTATGCTGACGTATCTTTCAGTTTGACCGGTTATCAGAGAAAGCTGGAGGCCAACAAACGACGGCACGATGATACAGAGATTCGAGAACAATACTCAAGGGTGGTGCATATATTGCCTAGGTTTCGACGCCAGTGACGCGAAGATCACAACGGTATACTGAGGGGTAGTTACAAAACTTGCTTGGCTCTATGACATGACACAGAATTATTCGTACTAGGAATATATAGTACCCCAAACCGTGCGTTCTTGCAATGAACCGTAAGCAAAGCGAATGCCAACCCTGAAACCGGGGTACTCACTAGGCTTCCTATCGACTTTCAAAATTCCTTTGCTGTGTAAAATTGGCATATTTCGTGTTACCTCCCAGACGTCAACACTATCATCAGCACCACAGTTGCAGATGGTAAGGCTACAACTTGAGTTTCTGGAAACGTGGATGTCCAGTTTGACCGAGAGCAGCGAGGGTAGATCCTGCTCCCCAATGGAAGAATCTATCACGGACCACTTGCAGCAACTTTCTGAGTACATCTGCGATTTGAAAGATACTTCGACAGTAATCTCCTGCACGGAAGGGCTCAGGCGCGCGAAGGGGAAAAGATCTTGAGGCGTATCAATCCCAATATGCACCACCCGTAGGTTACGACATAGATACAAGTCAAAGTAGTTGTATCTCTCCTGAAATTCTATAGCAGTCACTATTTTCAAGTCAGAAAATGATAAGATGATATGTGAAATTAGGGCTGACAATGGAGTGTTATCTGAAAATCAAGGTATTCAAGCGTGTCTCGAAATTGAGTCAAGAGATACTGGACATCAGGGACGTCGTCCTCGTTCCCCAGGGTGGCAGAAAATCGTCGCACGAAGCTGATATCAAGACCAGCATACTGAGAATTCTTGACTGGATCGAGATTGAAATGCCCAACAGTAAGAGATTCCAACCGTGGCGAACAAAGGGGGGCAGGGTCCAAGTCATTCCTCTCCCAAAGTCGCTCGGGGGTGGACCAAAGAATAGACAAATGCTTTAATGAGCCCCATCTATCCATTCTCAGACGACTGTCTCCATCGAATGCCATATGCCCCATCGCCTCTATTTGGAGGTCGATGATCTTGGAAGTATGCCAGAACGCGACGAGAGAATCTTGAACGCGAACCGGGAGGGACCCATTCCAACTAAATATCAAATTGGTCGCTGAGAGAAGGAAAAATCGATGGACGTTGCATAAGAGAGGCAGAAACAGAGGAATCTTCTCGAATTCGCTTTCTGTGCTGTCATAATGAAGGCTTAGTTCGAAGGAGGTGATGAGGGGAGCAATATGCGGGGAGGCTGACAGTAGAGCATGTAAATTGTCGAAGGAATGCCCACGGAGCGAAGATGGAGGACTGGAAGAGACATGGACGCAAGAAAAAATGGCTTTCTGACTCGAAGGTAGAAAAGCTCTGGAAGTGAGCGCGCAGGATTGTAATGAGGGTATATCTCCGTGAAGGTTGTCAATGATCAGATCTACAAGCTCTTGTGGCAACATAGTGGCTAAAAACGATATTTTCTTTGATAGTTCCAGGGTGAAATCAGGTTTTTGCACGTACCAGTGACCACTGACTGTGATGATCGAAGACAGCAAGGACACTGGACAATCAGCAGGCATAGCGGGCCGGATAGGTTTATCTATCCGGCTAAATCTCGGGAAATTGAGACGGAACTTCGTCGTGCGACGACTCATTTTCTCGCAGACTTTTTGTTGTGATCTGCGATGTTAGTCATTACCTGAGGCTTGATTACCAGTACCTGAGCTTACCCCCCATCTCGCGATAGAAGCGACCTAACTATTCGCGACGACCTACTGGAAATCTTACCATAGACAGCCCCCCCCTGGAAATTTCATGATTGGCACCACAATACTACTTTGATGATGAATGCCCCCCTCAATGACCATTCGGACACAGAAAAACGTGTTTTACCAGAAGATACCAACCCTGATGCAACATTGGAGGCTGATCTCCGAGATGATAACCCAAAGGACTTCAGAGTACATGTACAGTTCGCGGCCTTATGTTGGTGCATGTTTCTTGCAGGATGGAACGACGGGACGACTGGTCCTCTTTTGCCTAGAATACAAGAGGTCTACGATGTAGGTCCTACGTTATCAACGTGGAAAAATCTCTCTGATCTGCTTCTCAGGTCAATTACACTGTCGTATCGCTGCTCTTCATCTTAGCTTGCGTTGTATGTCGCCTTTGACTTTGAACCCGTTCCTTATCTCACCTTTCCAGGGATTTCTTTCCGGTGCTTTCATAAATATTCCACTCACGGAAAAGCTAGGCTTCGGTAAGATGATTGTACTCGGTGAGGTGTTATCATCATTCATCTATGGTATCAATGACTGAAACAACGTTCAAAGGTTCTATATTCCAAGTCGTTGCATACGCTCTCCAGTCCGCCGCCTTGCCTTTCCCCGCATTTCTCATTGCATACACCATCAACGGCATCGGCATGGCCTTTCAGGATGCTCAAGCAAATGGCTACGTCGCATGCTTTCAGAATAATCCGGAAACAAAGATGGGTATTCTGCATGCGGTATACGGCGTCGGCGCTCTATGTTCCCCGCTTGTCGCAACGCAGTTCGCATATTTGCCGCGCTGGTCGTTTCATTATCTATCGTCCTTCGGTGTAGCGCTGACGAACACGATATTCCTCTGGGCGGTGTTCCGCTTAAAATCCCAGGACGACTGTCTTGCAGAAATAGGGCATCCTCCCAGGGAGAAAGGAGATAACGAGCACAGTCCGTTTCGTCAGATTCTCACCCTCAAGACGGTCCATCTGTTAGCGTTCTTCATCCTGGTGTATGTCGGTGTGGAGGTAACCATCGGAGGTGCGTCCTCTTCTTTCTTTGTCAAAACTGTTCCAACATTATTTCAGGGTGGAGCGTCACCTACGTGATAAAGATGCGCAATGGTGGCAAAGCCTCTGGGTACATTTCGTCGGGTTTCTTTGGGGGACTTACGCTCGGTCGTGTCGCATTGCTATGGGTGAATAAGAAGGTTATCCAAATCTCTTGCGTCATTTCGAGCTCAATTATTCATATGACCATTGTATAGGTCGGTGAACGACGAGTCCTGTTCATTTACTCCTTTATCGCCATTGGGTAGGCATCATACGTTCGCAATATGGTATCACTCACCAACTTTACTAGGCTTGAACTAGTGGTATGGCTAGTTCCATCCCTTATCGGAGGGGGAGTGGCTATTTCTCTCGTCGGCGTGGTCTTAGGACCCATGTACCCAATTGTCATGAACCATTCCAGTCGGATCCTTCCTCCTTGGCTACTCACAGGATCTATCGGTTGGATAGCGGGCTTTGGGCAAGCAGGAAGCGCGCTCTTCCCCTTTATCTCTGGTGCGCTGGCGAATTCGGTTGGTATCTCAAGTTTACAGCCCCTGTAAGTACATGAAACCCCTGCTTAAACCCATTGGTTTGGTGACTGATCCCGACTGTATAGGTTAGTTGCAATGATGGGGTTCATGATAATACTATGGGCACTTGTGCCAAGCGGTCGACCTCCTAAGATGACACCCCAATCTACCACAGATGCTGCCACCGAAACTAATTAGACACTAGAGTGTACGCAAGTTTGCACAACTGGTGTATAACTGCACGTCCACTTATCCAAACCTAGCTACGATTACAGGAAGCATGTCGGAATAAACCCAGACTGATATTCGTTGTTCGCACACTTCAACTGTGTTCCTGCTTGCTAATAGTACATATGACGCATACCGTTCAACTCACGATGACTTCACTGAATTTTGTCAGTGCTTGATCAAAGCCATGCTCAAACTCCCAAACCATCTCGCTATCTCCTTTCTCCCGTCGATGAGCTTCAGTCCTCAATTTCTTCCACTGCCCCTTGAACCCGATTTCCGATCCAACCAGTTCGCCTGTGGTTGACCCCCAATAAAACGCCAAGCAATCTTCCCATCCTTGATAGTAACCCTGCTCAAAACGCCAGTGCTCAAAAGCCCCGGGATTCTGAGAATTGTTATTCCACCAGCCAACATGCCCCTGCATAGCAGCTTGGAGCTCGCTAGCACCGACACTTCTCAGGTGTTCGAGTGAATGGCGGGAAAAGTTATCTTTGGCTCGATCGAGCGAAGAAGGTAAGACGCCTTTCTCGACAGCGGTATAATAACACCATCCAGGGTCAGAACCTCCCTCTTTCTTGAGCGTCCAGAAGAAGTATCCGCCACAGAAACGCTCGTACGCTTCCCACTGAGCGTACCCCCATTCCCGCTGTGCGGCAAGTTTTGCGTTTTCATCCTGGTAGGAAGAGAAAGACGCGGGATTCAGTGCAGCGCTCCATTCGCCTATGACAATCGAATGACTTGAGGTACCCGAGGCACCAGATAACATAGACGTAGATGGCGCGTCCGGATTCGCAGGATGGACATTTGCCGCATGCTGCGATGCTGATAACGCATGATCGTCCGAAGTAAAACATCGGTAAAGATGATGGTCGAGAACCAAGAACGTCCCTGGGTTGGAGCGGCCGGCAATGAACTGGGCATAGTGCCCAGTAGCCCAAGCGTCTGAGAGATACAACGGTATCTCACTAATCTCTGGTGAAATGCTCTGCAGTGCAAATATCGCCTCCTCGTACCAACTCTGAAGCCGATTCGTATCCTTTGGTTCATTAAGCACTTCCAAGCCCACTACATTATCAAAGCGAACAATCTCCTGCGCCAAGGCCACCAAGATTTGTACGGTCTTCCTTTGCTTCTTCTCTGAGTGCCAAAGGCCGGCATCACCGGTGCTGAGGCCAGAGTGATTATCGGGATTCTGGGCACCAGGCGCAGCGTGGAGATCAACAAGGACCCCAATCTTGTGCGCTCGTGCAGTCTCAATGGCACGTACGATGTATCCCCACGTATTTACGTAGACATCAGCATACGGTGCGTATTCCGTGCCCTTCATTAAATCGCGCACGTCCGGATTTGGGTGGCCGCCAAGGAAATGGAAATAGCCGATGGGTAAGCGAACGGTGTTGATACCGTGAGATGCCATCCATTCCCAGTCCCCATCGTCAACAAAGTGCCCCCAATGGTGCTCAAGCATGTTTTTGGCGGAGTCTTGAGACATGCCTTCCAAGATATCCATCTCGCTAGACTTGCGACCAGCTGCTTGTTGGAAGAGACTGGGGGTGAGCCAGTCCTCCAATGTGAACCAAGAGCCGAGATTGACCTCACGCTGCTTTCGGAATCGATAGATCTGCCTTGAAGTTGGTGGTTGGTAAAGAGGAGGTACTATTGCGGGGGTTTCAGGGGCCAAGACGCGTTGGTCAGAGCTTCCCAGGTCGAGATGTTCCTCGATCTTTGCTTTCATTTTCTTCAAGTACTGAGCGACAGGAAACAAGGCTCAACGCAAGCATCCCGTAAGAAAACAAACTCACCTTGTCCATTATATCTTAGTTACACTGTCGTGGTATCTGTATCGTGGTAGAGAAGCACGGTGAGTTACGAGCGAACTGCGATGACATCATCACGGGAGCAAATGTGCGAATGCCAAGGTATTATTCAAGGTTCCACTTTTGACTGAGAAACACGAGTGGTGAACATTCTGGAAGAATCGACGCACAGTGGTACACGACCAAGGGCAACTAACGTGGATCCCGGCTTCATCTACCTATTAGTTTCCACCCTCCTAAATTCATCGTAGTAGTCTCTATTCTTGAGCCAAAGTGTCCCTGCTAGGGAGATAATTCACATAAAGATGAACGAGCAAAATATTCTTACTCACTGGACTTGACAGGATACCTATTCTATGCAACATGGGCATCTCCTGCCTGATTTCTTGAAGACAGACACTAGCCTCATCTGGGTCGCAATAACAGTAAGTAGGAAGGCAACTATTCCTAGTTGAGGTGTGTACTCCCAATTTGGAAGACTGTAGACAGGGCAAATCCTGGCTTTCGATAAACGAGTCGATAGCTAACCACTCCATCGCTGCCCACTCGGCATATTCCTCTAGGTGATATGTTACTTCTAAAATGATGTCTCGAAGGGAAGGGCTGAGCTTGGAAACTGGGAAGACATCGCATGGAGTATCCAGGATGAGACGAATAGTTTGCAGATTAGGGAATGCATACAAATCTATGTGGTCGAACTCAGAAAGGAAATGAGAAGCAGGGACTACAAGATTTTTAGAGAGCAGAAGACAGAAACGATATAAGAAAGGTACCTCGAATCCTCATGTCCAAGCAGACATGTTGTAGGGTGCCGGAAACTTGATGCAGCAAGGCATGGACTTGGTCGAACCGAGATTGAGGGTTATCACGGCAGAGAACTCTCATAAGGACTGAAGATCAAGACAACGAGAGAATGAATCGAGTAACTTGTCGCCAAAAATGTTGGAAAGTCGGGTTCGGCATATATCGTCAGAGCTTCTAGACGCGGCGGGTTGGATCCTTGTCCTTCAGGACTCCATAGCTCATGGACATGACACCAAAGAAGAGAAAGACGCTTCAGAGCTCCCCATTGATCCGGTCTGAGCCGGGTCTTCCCTTCAAAGGCGATGAAACAAATATTTTCGAGTTCGAAGTCCACGATCTGGGACGTCTGCCAGTACTTGACAAGGACATCTTGAACGTGAGGTGGAAAGTAGCACCAGTCAAAAAGCTCGCAGGTGTGAGAAAGGCGGAAGCGTTTGACTGATGTCATGTACGGCAATTTCGGTACAATTTGCACCAATTCGGGGTCTCGGCCATGGACAACGAGTTCAAGAGTAGTGATAAGGGAAGCGATGTCAGGAGAAGATGACAGCAAGTTGAGAAGGTTCTTGAAAGTGTGACCACTGCGAGAGGGTGGTGGTACGACAAACACTTGCGATGCAAGAGAAGATGCCTTTCTGACTAGACGGAAGAAAAGAATGAGAGACGAGGGCATATGCTCTTAGTGAAGGAAGGTCGTCGCGAAGATTGGATATGACGATATCGACGAGTTCTTGAGGTATGTGTGTGCTTTCACTCATCTGAAGGAGCATAAATAGGAAATACAAGACAACCAAAGAACTGTGCACTTGCAACTGAGCGAGTATCGGCTCTGAGAGAAATGTGAGAGTGTAGACATCAGTATTACGGATAAGGCGTCGTAAAGTCGCCTGCATAAGTGCCAAAAAGCAGAACCTGGTGGTGGGAGAACGGAAGCCTTCAATTTGTCTATGTTTGGCGGAGTGAATTCGTATCAAGGTTCATGGATCCCTCTCTTCCTTACACCGCCTAGTCTAATCACCTTTTATCTGTTCTTTTCCCTGGCCATTCCACGATGAAATTTGAATGGAGTCTCTTTCAAAGCCGCATTACGTTTATGAATCTACCAACGCGACGCGACTGTCACATGATCACGTATTTGCCAAACAACGACAAATTGCATGAACGTTTCTTGTTCTTGTTCCATTTGTCCGGTGTCCACCCAGCGTCTTAAACAGCGGCAACGAAACTAGCTGCAATGGAGGACGTACGTGTTCGGCATTCTCAAGTCTTTACTCAACTCTGAACCACTCATAGGAGATTCAATACGTTCCCCGAGGGTACCTCAGTTACTTCGATGTCACTGACGAACTTTTTCCATGGCCAGTTAATGTTATCCAGGAAATAGAACGACGACGAGCGGCGCTCAATGATATGCTCCTTTTTGACATACTTTTGTCATTGGGTGGCATACGGGAACCCGATACACTTTATCCGCCACGGGATGTGCAATCCCTCGAGCGCCTGCTGGACGCGATTTCCGCCTCTCAGTATGACGTACTCAAAAAAGACTGTCTTGTTTATTTCCTTCTCAAGTGGCATGAGGATGGTCGGGAGACCAAGTTTGAGCAGACCCGGTCGATACCACCCCAATTCTGTGCGCTTTCGGACGCGTACTGGCATCTGGATGCGGGGCTCAACGTACAGGTACGTTTCAGAGGCCTTCTGGTGTCCTTTTTGAAACGATTTGTTTTTTTAGCGTGCAGTTGGCCTTCTTTCGGACTCCCGCTTGAACCGAGATTATGCCTCGAAAATTCTCCATGCCATCTCTCTCTCCGATGACCCGACGACCCTCATACTCAAGTATGTTCGAACGGCGAAACCTCTTTTGACTGAACCAGAGGATATGAAACTCTACACCCTTGCACTTGCCGACTCTAATTTCTTTGAAGCGTGGCAGTATCAGCGATCATTCAACGAGTCTGACGAAATGAGGCCACGTCTGTTCAATGCTTTGCTGGAGTGGTGTATAACGCGTCAGTCGTTGGTTTTTTTCTCCTCGATTTCTTCTGACACTCTTCTAGCTTTCCCCCGGTCTGCTGCACTTTCGCAGCTGTTGGGTCTGCCTCTGTCATCCTTTGAGCAGTCCATCCTCCACACTTATGCACTCCAACCACCACCCAATCTTCCTCCATCGTCCACTGCTGCTCTACAAGACCTCATTTGTGTCCGTCTTATTGAAAGCGGTAATTATGCCGAAGCTATTAAAATCGATCGACAATTCTCTTCAATCTCAACGCTCAAGGGACATCACATTACCCAAGAACGAAGAAAAATGATCCAGGAAATCTATGCTTCTTTACCCCAAGTGGAGCGTACAGTACTGGACTTGGAATTGGAAGCTCAGGATGCTGCTTCTACCAGTTTCATGGGACACAGCAGTCACAATGGTGGCGATGTCAGCATGTCGAATTCATGGGAGGACATCAGGCTGACGCATATAATGCCCACTTCAATCAATGGAAAGGCTTCCCCCATACAACCCCCGACTCTAGATCGGTCAACAGGTTTCCGTGCTGCACCTTCCGGATCGACAAACAATCTTTCTCAATCCTTCTCATCGATTCACTCAATGACGAGTGTGCCAAACGGTGCCTCATCTTCAAAAACACGTGTACTTCCTCCTTCAATACCACTCTCCTCTTCGACATCGTCGACCCTTCATCAGTCCTTGAATCAATCACAGCAGTCGATGTCTTCTACATCGGCTCCTTCATCGACTCCCATACCGTTTGAGTCTGCAGCCAAGCGACAAAACGCATTCTTCCAGCCTCAGGACCGCAGAAAGAGCGGGGAACAGTTGTTCAGTCTCCCCAATGGTAATGGCCATCACGAACATACCACAGGGCAAAAAGACATCGATATGCTGATGCACGAAGAATACGACGAGTCGTTGAGCCATGATGAAGATGATGTCCCCCCTCCTCCAGAACAGTCGTTCTCTGAGTCTTTGTTTGGCCTTACCCCGAGTGTTCCTGAGCCCATAAGCAATGGGCGACTGCCGACGACGAACCATACATCCAAAATGCCTCCCGGGGCGTTTGAAGATGCACATCCTGACGAGGAAATCCACGAGGTCCCTGCACAGCCAATGAGAATGGCAACGCGGCACCGTACTGTCAAAGTGCCGGACACGAATTTGAAGCGGAGTATACCTGGTGCGTTGATGGATGACACAGACGAATCGGAGAAAGAGGATGAGGTAGCACCGTTGCGCTCGCCTTCCCCTCCACGCAGGGCACTTCGGAAGGGACGTGTGTCAGCGACTGAAGCTCGAGTAACGACAGATCAGAGCAGAAGGCGATCATCACGTTTATCCTCGGTGTCTCACCCGGAGCCCGTGCCGCTCAAAAAGATGACGAAGTCGAGAAAGTCGACTGCCACTGTCGCCGCCGCTACCACAACTACGGCTAAGGCCAAAAGGAAACGGTGAAACATGATGTATTTACACGTTTATAATGTCGCCGTACAATACGGCTTATATATCCAACGTTAGTGTAAACCTGACGTGTTATTGTACGCTGTCTTTGTTTTTATCCGTTATATGTGGAGGAGATGCTGCGGTGTCATACTAACCCAAGCTCTGCGGACGACATATCTATCGCTTTCCTGTACAACCTCTGACTTCCACTAGAAAAATAATATCCCGCGGGCGCCGTTTAACTGCCGTTACATCATTTTGGGTCTTTCACTCGGTACGATGGCCCATAATGCCATCATTAACCCCATCATCGCGACAAGCCTAGAGAAATGAGTCAACAGACAACCCAAAAGACTTCACAGAACTTACATTGGCTGAAGACTCGAAATGCCCACTGTATTTGCCATTGCACCAGTGATGAACGAGAAAACAGCGGTGCCAGCTTGTCCGAACCCAGCGATCCATCCGATGCACCCAGAGAGAAGCCACGGGGGCAGGATGCGAGTTGAGTGGTTCATAACAATCGGATACATAGGTCCAAGGAGAACGCCAACGAGAGATACGGCTACTCCACTTCCAATGAGCGAGGGGACACGCCATACGATTACTTCGAGGCTGGACATTGGGTATTAAGCCTTGGGATGTATGATTGTCAAAGACGCAACGCGTACCCGATCGCGAAGAGAGCATAGAAAAGAGGACACGTCGCTCACCAACCTGCATTGACCGTCAGCTCGGTGTGGTGAATCTCTCGTGATATCAAAGCTAAGAACATACCAGTTTGTTGACCCATAATAGTGCGAGGCGACCAACGGTCAGACCTGCGAAAAAACCTGATGAGATGTATCCAGCAGTTTCTCCACCGCCGCGTAACTCGATGACATATGTAACAATCCAGCCTAGAATTCAGTTGTAATTTCAGCAATAAACATCCAGTCGTAGAATAGAGGAACGTACCTCCAAGAGTGAATTCTACCCCTACGTATACCAATATGAACGAAGCAAGGAGATGGACGTTTCTCAGCGATAAGATCTGGCGGAGTGGACTATGCTGGCTAGCTCCCCTCTCTCCCGAGGACTCTCCGATGTCTGCAAGACATTCATCTTGAGTTCTCAACCTGAACACGGCCCAGAGGAAAATGGTGTTCAGCACCGCAAGTCCGAGTGATACCAAATAATGGAAGGACCAATGGGACAAGTGCGCAAACTGTGTGGCAACAAGAGGCGAACATAGCGCACCAGCACCGTATACAGCATGGAGAAGACCCATTTTAGTCTCAGGGTTATTCTTATAACAGGCGACATATCCATTACTGTGCGCATCTTGGAAAGCCAGACCAACCCCGTTGATCATGTACGCGATTACAAACACAGGGAAGGGAAGCGCGGGAGCTTGCAGAGTATAGGCAATGACTTGGAACAGTGACCCTGGGTCGCCTTGCGTTAGTCACAGGCGCATCCGGAAAGAGAGAAGAGAGTCCGACTTACCTAGTACCATTACTTTTCCAAATCCTAGCTTTGGGGTCAACAGAATATTGGCGAAAGCACCGGTAAGAAATCCCTGTGATTACATGAATAAAAAGGAATGCGCTGCTCAGAACTAGACAAACTACGCAGGCCAAAACAAATATAAGTGACACCACAGTATAGTTGACCTGAAAGCAACTTCAGTGTTGCCTATGGTGCTCCAGGATACATTGTGCACTCACGTCATAAACTGCTTGCATCCTGGGAATGAGAGGTCCTGCCGTCCCATCATTCCAGCCTACACCATAATTAGAAGCCATTTTCTAAGACATGACAGAAATGACTGACCTGCAAGAAACATGAACCAACAGAGTCTGTACATGAACTTCCCGTAACTCGATGCTCTCTGCTCGAGATGCCTCGTGGATGGTAGCAATGGGCGTGTGCATTGTAAGTAGTCAGAAAGATAAACAAGGCAGCTTCCGGTTCGACGATTCATTTTCTAAAAGGCGCTACATATAAGTATCTGACAGACAAATTTGGAGGTCTAAGATATTTATGACCGAGTTTTTTCCGAAGAAACTCCGAGATATCCTACGTAATTAATCCAAGCAGTTTTTACCCTTTTTTTTTTAAGGTTTCTTTGAAATTTTTGAAAAAGCAGTCTTGCTGTCTGAGAAGAGTTTGCGAACGCCGAAAAATGACCTCTGAGTCGGCAGGGCAAAAGTACTAAAGTACTATCACGCTTGTCACATCACAACCCGGCAGTATTTCAAATTCCCGACTTGCGTTTTGCCATCGAATCCTCAACCGGGGCGTGTCGTTAGATGAATACCTAATTTTGAGGCCGTCATTGGGTACGTTCACGGTCAAAATTGTTTTGGTCCTACTTGACGCTCCTTGTACCAAATTTGAGCAGTGAACACGGCTTGAAGCTGTCATGTTTCCAAGAAAGGCACTGCACCTCAGCGCAATTACCTCTACTGTGCTGAAGGCTCGCCGATTTGCACACAATGACTTCTACATGACCCCTGAAGGGCAAAGGAAGCATATCAAGTCCCCCGATTTTTTCTCTCTTCAATATCTATCCCAGGAGGAAAAGAAGAGACTGTCCTCTCCTCCCCCGGACCCCAACGAGCTTAAGGACCTGGTCCTGCAAGGACAGTATGAAGGCGCTCGACGACTACGAATCCATCTGTTGTCACTCCAAGTACCCATCAAACGCGACATCGTATACGCCGACGCTGCCTTCCATTATATCGAATCCCAGCCCAAAGATTTTGTACAGGAATTCGTGACGTGGTTGTCCCTTGTCCCCCCAAAACATGACGTGCCAAATTGGCGGAGCCCTTTCTCTAGAATACAACGATTTATATTCAGCACTGGAGTCCCGGACGTCAGTTTCCCAATCGTGACCCAATTCAGTGTGGTCGCTGCATCAATGGGGTATCTCAAGGACATCTGGCCTCGTCTCGGCCAGACACTCGCTCTACTTGCTGACCCAGCCTCGGGTCTGAGCTATCTCATGGACTTAGAACAGGCGGTGGTCAAGTATGAGAAAGTACTGCACCCAGAGCGTGTGCTACAGATAGAGCAATATTACCGCGCTATGATGATCAATGCTTGCTGCCATATGGGATGGTTACAACAAGCCGTCAACCTTTTACACCGCAGTGACGAGATACGGCTACCTCAGGACACGTATCAGTTGATTTTGCATAAGCTCAGGGAGGACGGGGACGAGGATGGTGTCGAGATTACAAAGAAGATCATAGTCGCGCATGAAGCGAGTGTGGCGTGGCAGAGGCGGTCTACCCTGCTCATGCCGTCTCGCTATCATCGTTACTACGGAGCTCAGGCAATCCAAAACCGATCCGGTGCCGAGCCCTGATACGCGGTAGTAACACCGTACAATGTATTGACGGTGAGCGGGTCGGCCTGATGGTTATATAACTGCCCTCTAAAATCTTTGCTTAGCGCCGCTATGGTTTTTTTCATGCTATGCAATGATCGTTCAATATGCCAAGCCGCCGATCTATGATCTAGCGGAGGTTGTTGAACGCGTTGTGCGTATTGAAACCCTCTCTTCGTCCTGTTCCATATGTGAGGCTTTGACCAAAACATGTGGTGATAACTCGCCGAGGAAAACGCTTGTTTCAGCGACCTTCTCGGATGATTTCGTGCGCAGCGAGGCCAACGACTCGGAGGTTTAGTACTATCTGCCGGTTCTAGACGGGGTTCGTCTGAAGGTGATGGAGATTATACGTGTGGGAAGTCGGCGGCCTATTGAAAGTATCAATACAGATGTATATCTAACTCAACAGGTGCAGGTCTAGCAAAAAATACTAGAAACACATACTCCCTGCAGGGAACGGCCGAGCTCGGTGGCTGATCTATCAGGTCCCACCGAGCTTTGATCAACGTCTGAATCGCCGATCGCGCCTCGGCGCGCACGGAAATAGCCTTTAAGCGCACACTCAAAGTATGAGTTCCTCCGGCTGCCGTACCTTAAAATAAAACCAGAGCGCGACATTCGTTCTCACATCTAAGTGAAAGTGATAGAGCTGAAACATAGAACTAAGTATTCTGATGATCTGCATGGACAAATAGTGCTACAAATTTTTAAGGTACAGTCTATGTAAGAGATAAGTTAACGTGGTGTAATGATTTTCGAATCGCCGAAGGCATTTCTAGCATCCTCTGCATGCGTCACATTTCCCGGGGACCTGTCAGTGGGATGAGCAAAGAGCAAAGGTGGTAGCGAAATGCAGCTGACTACCGCGGTTATTTTCCTAACGGGATTGTCGTAATACCGTCGACAAGAGCAGGGGGCCTTGTTCGTTCCACAGCCCCGTGGATGTATCGAGCTATTGAAACACTTTGGATATCGACAGTCAACGGCTATTTCCCCAGTTTTGGTGAGATGTGCGCAGTCCCTTGACTGCTGGAACAGTAACTGTCTATGGCACATAACTTCTGTGGATGTCGATCGTTAAAGGGGAGACGTGTTTGAACAGCCAATACTCACTTCTATTGAAGTACGTCTAGTATTGAATGGATTGAGAAGGCCAGCTGGTCGGGGTAGCCTGTCACTGCTAGTCATCATTGCATCAGGTATCAAATCGTACAGACAGCTGGTAGACATACATTGATATCTCCAGAAGCCGTCACAAACAAGAGCGAGCACAATCGTTTGGCTGGGCTCTGCAAAACAGCATCCTTTTAAATGGAACCTTCGGTATTCAAGGCCCGACTTGAAGAGCGAACGCGGATTAAAAGCATGAATAGGAAGGAAACAATTCCTTGATGAGAACAGAAGGGTAGATACGAGGTACCAGGGAGGGTCATCGAGACACGAGGACCGTGATTGGCGTGTGATTGGCAATTGTATAATGGATGCCTCGTCATTAGAAACGGATGCCACGCTGGAGGCTCTTATTCGAAACGTTCACTCATTTGCCGTGTCTTGGAGACGATCGCCCACACGATAGAGGAACAGCCCGCCAACAGAAGCGCGACCAGGAGACTCGGAGCGCGTTGACGGCCTAGACTCTTAGTCCGGACCCTGCGGAGTGCGCGCGCCTGGCAAATGAGCTTTGGGTTCTACGTATGAATATATTGCAACCTCACCTCTGATCCAAGGCCACCCTTTGTGACCCACCCATAACCTCAGAAGATCAGAAAATCGCTCGCTATACGACTTGCACTTGGGTCCCTCGAAGAACGATGTCCAGCTATGAATAAGAGACATTGCACGACTTCCAAGGGACATCACCCACACGCGGGGTTTCAAGGTCCTATCAATTGGGTAAGCTGAACGGCACAGTCACGCCTCGATTAGCCCGTCTCGAACCAGGACGATACCTGAAGCAGCGTTAAGGAAGGGCGCACATGGTGAAGCTCTGATGGTGACATTGTTGAAACAAACTCAAGTTTCATAGGAAACTAAAAGATCCTTATTAGTCAAGGTTATCTAAAATGATGTGGAGTTTGAAAGGATGTCAGGTGCCGTTCTGAACGTCGAACATTCAAAGGAGGGACAGTGGGTTAGCTGGAGAAAGCGGCAGTGCAGCTAGAAAACCCTAGTGTCGGACTGGATTCTTTCTCCGACCTCTAGAAATGTGAGCAAACGTTTGACATACATGGTATATTACCAGGGCTCAGGGACAGGGCTTCCAAGCATGTACAGCCCGAAGGTCGTTAAGGACTTAAAGAAGGCATGTTGAACTGATCGCAGGTAGTATATAAGATACAAATAACATACCTCCGACCCGTATCAAAGATATCTTGTGTGAGCTCGGACTGAAAGCAAGTATCCACTACAAGCTCGATAATGCGGTCAAAGTCACGGTCGAATACACCTTGCGCCTAAGCAATCGCAGTATTAACATGGCGCGCGTAGAGGTCATAATGAAAAGTCTAAATTGGTGTCGGAGGTTGCTGTTCCGTATCTACCACGTGGATATCTGCAAGCGAGTCTCCGCACTGCCGCGGGTATATTTAGGAAGCACCTGTACGGTGCAATCATAAACGGAGCCCTCGGGCCATACACATGGACTCACCACGGATTACCGAAAATTTTGGGGGGAATCTGTTTCTGCGCACTAAGGGCGTCTTTTCTGTTCCCAAAAGCGTCAATAGGTGGCGAGTGATTTACCTGGCGCTTGGTGTTGGTCCAGTCCGACTTCATGATATTGAGTCGCGGCCATTTGTTGAAGGTCTTTTTTTCCATCAGTTCGTCTTTTCATTTGCGGTCGGGCGGCAGCTAAATCAATCACATGCATGTCCATAACTCTCCATACATTCATAGACCGGGACTTTACCAGTCTAATTTTGTCGGTAGGGTAGTAAAACAAACGCACCTCGGCCTACCTCTGACTAAAACTTTTGTTGAAATCTCGTTAGAGAAGTTTCGAGAAGGGCTATCTGCCACCGCGTGCGAGTTAAAATCAGCAGAATCCGGGAATATTGGATGCCGGTTTTTAGGACGTCGAGATAAAGTGATCCTGGTTCTTGGCGGTTGATGACCAGATTATTTCCCATCTTACCCCAGTGGGCTATGTGCCATTTTCCAGAGTTCCCCGTCTCTCCGCGTTGGTAAGACCTGTTTAAAGCCTGAAAGGCGTAATTTCCTGATACAAGAAAACAACGTCATCAGTGTCGGATTCCAAGCTTGCGTAGAAGGCGGTGCTCATTTTTGCCGTTTGTTGTGCATATGGTTTGCTCTCAGGCCAAGTTCCCAGGATTCTTATTTCGGGTCTTTGGTGTACATGAATCGTAGCATAAAGGCCCTGCCAGTTAGTATGCCGTGGTGCTTGTAGTGAATCCACACACCTTTTCAAGCACATTGACAACCGTGCCAGAGAAAAAAGAATCCTTCCGCGCCTGTGCCTTAAAAAATTGTTGGGAACACGGTCTTGGTGGTAAGAAGACAAGAAGACTCCGTGACGCGCCGACCCGTTCCAACAGCCCCTAACTTTTCGCTTATGTCAGGGCAATGCTCTGGCCCTCTCCGCTTGTTCATGCTCCTTCATCTCTATTTTTTCATTATCTAGCATATCAACGGATTCGACGCTGAAGTATGGCAGCGCCTTTGTATACCACCGCCTCTGGTCTTCTCTTTCACGCCGGAAAGATCCTGGTCATCACCGTCGGCTTACCAGCGCGAGGCAAGACGCATATATCCAGAGCTTTAGAGCGATACCTGCGATGGATGGGAGTCAAGACACAAGTCGTATCCCTAGGAGACTATCGAAGGAAGACTTTGGGAGGTGCTCAGCGGCTTCCGTCGGATTACTTTACACTAGGTAAGGTCCGCCAGCTCGTAATTGAAATCGTGATTTCACGGTATTTCGTGTAGGCGAGAAAAGCCCTGAAACCATCGCCCTTCGCAAAAAGGTCTCCGATGGCTGCGAAAAGATTATATGGGACTTCTTCGAGACTGGACAGGTCGTGATCTACGATGCGAATAACGGGAGCCGAGCTGCCAGACAAGCATTGGCTGAGAAATTCGACAAAGCTGGGATTCACGTCATTATTCTTGGCAAGTAGCTGCTCTTAACTTGTGGGTATATACTAAAGCATTTGTTTAGAATCTCTATGTGACAACAAAGAGATCATTGAGAACAATATTCGAAGTGTCAAGATTTCTTCGCCAGACGTGCGTTTTACTGCTCTGCTAGTTCCTTCTCGCCCTCATTTCGAAGCAGTATCGTGGATGGAACCCAGACAAGGCTGTACAAGACTACTATACACGAATTACTGACCACGAAAAGTACTACGAACCTGTCGAAGAGACGACGTGGCCGTATATTCGAATTCTGAATGTGGGTCTTGAATAGTCGTTTGTGTCCTCTGCATCTTACACGTGCATAGGTTGGAGAGAAGATAATGGTCAACGTAAGCGCGATGTCGTCTTCGCGTGTATCGAGACTTAATTGCCGAGGTCGTCTAGAACATCAAGGGCTATCTTCAATCTCGAATTATATTCTTTCTTATGAATATACACAACAGATATAGGACGATCTACTTTGCTCGAGTGCGCCTGTTCTCTTTTTCTCTTTGTATACTGGCGTAACTTTGTTAATCCTTAGTCCGGGCAATCTTTAATTGAACATTCCTACAAGGCGGATTCGGACTTGTCACCAGCCGGCTGGGAATATGCCGAGAAACTCAAAGACTTCGTCTTAAAGCGTCGAGCCAAGTCGCTTGAGCAGCGTGGTCTTGACCCAAACTCTTCCAGGCTTGTGGTAGGCGCTTTTGTCTAATAAATCTACCAAGATCTTAATTGCGAAATTGGTAGATCTGGACGTCGACGAGGCGCCGTGCCCATCACACCGCCTGGCCATTCCTAAATAACCTTCAGCTGTCTCATTCTCATACTGTCGAAAGAATACCAGGTACACCCGCCGAGCCAGCTCCTGGTCACCATGCGAAAAAGTCGACATCGGTATATGCGCCTGCGCTGAACGTCAAAGTCATTGAAAAGCCGCAAATGTCCGAGATAAACCCTGGTATTTGGGATGGGCTGTCGCCTGACCAAGCTCGAAAATACTACCCAGAAGATTGGGAGCGCTTTGTCAAAGATCCCTATGCATTTCGAGCTCCTAGGGCGGAGAGTTATCATGACCTTAGTGGTGCGTAACTTGTGGTTGTCATGGCAATGCGTAAATATGTTCATCATACTGTTATAGTACGACTAGAGCCTATTCTTATCGAGTTGGAGCGTGAGCAAGAGGACCTTCTTATCATTGGACATGCCTCTGTCATCCGCTGTCTACTAGCCTACCTAATCGGTCTTCCCGCGTCAGAAATCCCCGCAATTGAAATTGCAAGAGGAGACCTCCTCGAGGTAGTCCCAGCATCCTACGGTGTTCACAGCACGGCATTCCATTTCTGGGACGGGCCAGGAAGACACGGCGGCGAAGACGCAGATTATAGCGATGGTGACAACGAGAGCAACTTTTACGAAAATTATGCCGAGGATACGAAAGGGAAACGAAAAGCGGCCCCAGAATCGGGGAGCTTTGAAGCACTGCCTGTCGTGGACTGTGTATAATGGGGTTTTTGGTTTTTGGGCATGGGAAGTATAAATGTAGAATGTGTGCAGACTAGATAGAAAACCCGATAAAAGGTACAGTTAGCCTACGCACTATAGACCTTAATGTCCACGTCGTCTGCCTTATCCTGGGAGAAGTTCTCTGAGCGGGGCTCGTCCCCTTCAGAAACATCCACTTCCTTGAACGACGATGCCGCGCCAGGTACAGGGAAAGCGCGATTGAGACTCCAGTAAATCAAAGAGGAGACGCCAAAAGCCGGTAAAGAAGGACATGTTGTATATCCTCGTGGCCGCAATTGGAACATTTCTTCCCGCTAATGACCCAATAGATGGTCAATACAAATGGCGCAATTACCGGAGGTACCGAGACGACTTACTTGCTCCGGCGAACCCCACGACCTATATAATCACATCATGAGCAAGTCGGAGCACACTGATCGAGAGACATACATTGATCAGAATTCCCGCAATATAAGCGGCATAGGCACTGCATCGAAATCGGATTCAGATCTCATCTGCATACAAAAGATCTATGACTTACCGCCAGTTGATCCCGAAGGTATAATAATACCACCCGTCCTTTCCTGAATGGTAAAGGTCCGAGACACGGTAGTGCCCTTTTCGCACTAAGCAGTATTCTGTAATCTGACCCACTCGTTCCGATCAGAGCAGGGATGCGGAAGGAGGAGGAGGCTCACCATTACACCGGCTATTGAGCTTAGGAAGACCGAGTAGGCTGAGAGATACGAAGTGAAACTATTGCTATCTTTCAAGACTGAAAGGGGCGTCTTTGTCAGGCCATAGTCAGATGAGTGTTTGCATGGGACCTACGATTCCACGGGAGCATGCAGATACCGACAATTGCGGCTATATAGCCTCCTCTTCGGATGTTCTACAACGCTCCAGACGTGAATCTTGAGAAAGACTGGAACCCAATTGAAGACGTACAATATATCGCGGAAAGAGCGCAGTAAGGTCACAGCCGGCGCTTATGGAATTCGCGGAAATATTGGTCCTTCGAACGTGCTATCAGTGAAGAGGAGGTATTACTTATTCATGAGCGCACCCGAGCTGCGGAAGAAGCATTAAATTGTAACGGGACTGGATCGACCAAAAAAGCCTACCTGGGCAATGATAAATGACGCCGAAATAAACCAAACCTGCCATACGAATAAGCATACCCCTCTGATAGCAAACAAATATAGAACATACACCAAATCGTGTGCCACCGGATGGAGAATCGTCAAGGAAACGCCCAAGAAGATCGATAGGTGACCAGATAGCCTCCCCGAATATCGTCTGTGATGAAGAACTGACGACAATGCCTACAAAACTAACCAGCGAAAATGTGATCGGTACTGAAATCAGTTGCGGCAGCAGTGCTGCCGATGGACTATTTGCACGCGAAGCGAAGTCAGGAGCATTTGTGACGAGCGTGGCCATATTGCTGATGCATGACATGAGGCTTATAACCATCTCCCATGCTAACTCAGACCCGTGAATTTGGGACGGTTGGGACATTATGGGCCCGATACCCTTGGCTTTTACAATACACCAGATGAAGAATGTGATTCCTGCGGCGGGTGCAACGATGGCCTTGAGTGTAAAGAGGTGTCGTCTGCAGATTTGTTGTCAGACAAGAGATCCAGAACCGCACGAATAAACCAGGGACACACATTTGGTGGATAGGGAACCAAATAGCTGGCAAGGATATAAGCCAGAACAGGAAAAAACACATGAAGTCTTTGGTCGTCGTTCCGGACGAGGCAGGAAGGTGGTTGGCTAAGGGAGCATCATTAAAACCAACTTTTGACAGGGAATTCAACACTAACGTATATTGTTAACACTCGGCCACATCGCCCTTAGCATGACTAGAACACAGGTGCCACCGATACTTGCTTGCACTCCGTACCAGATACTACAGGAGAGTCAGGCACAACGACGAGGTTCGTATAATCGTTGACGTACCACGCCATAGCACCACGATTAAACGTGCACCACAAGCTCCCATAAAGTCCAAAGCCGGTGCGCGCGACCACAGGGAAGGTAATATGAAATTTCGCGCCAGGCCGAGCGTTCAACACTATAAAAGGCGCAACGACGCCGTACCCAATCCAAACACAGATCCAGGCCTGCCACCACGACAATTTGCTCTGCACCATCGACGAAACGATCATCCATCTGTATCTCGTATAAGATTTCGTTCTGATGTTCGGTAAAGGTGGAAAAACATACGTGTTGATGTTGAAACTATCCGCGATCCAGCTGTCAAGACCCCATCATTATATGATCTGCGCGAATAAAAAAGGATATTGGGACCCACAACGCGACAAAGTTGATGCTCTTCCATGTCCGCTTCTCTGGAGGGACCGGTTCCAGATCCTCATTCTACGTCCAAAGGATTGTGAGGTGCAGAGTTTACCCACGACAGCGACACCCACGTTGAGAAACAGTTCGCGATTCGTCAAGCCAGGTTCGTGAGGGACTTCGAGTCTCTTGAAAATGCCCATCGCGACTAAAATCCTCAAGTTCGAAGAGAAGGAAGGTACGGTAGACCGGGCATGAACTCACCACTATTATTATATTCGTTATCTGGGCCGCACATGCTCCTTCACGGTTCTCCCCTGGTTCTGCACATTGTGTAGATAAGAACTGCGCCGAAATTCGCCGCGGCATCACTTCAAATTTAGCTTTCTAGAATTGCTCCTGATGATCTTAACATTTAGGTGTCGGTCATTATATGTTCTTGCAGTGCCGGAAAATTCGATAACACCTGGAGTTACTTGAAGAAGTGTACCTACACCAGGAACAAACAGTGAAGACATGAAGAGTTCAAGAAGTCCAACACACCTAGAGCTCTCGGTTCCATGTTCAAAGCCTCTCACCAACGCGAATATTAGGCAGAATACGATTTCGGATCTCAGAAATGTGGAGAACAATGCAAAACAATGCAGTACGATGAGATAAAGAAAAATGATAGATAATAATATAAGTGGAGGTGCGATGAATGAGCCTATAGATGAATGGGGAACATGATGAGGATGGCAGTTGGAAATGATGCAATACAGATATGTTGATCGATAGCAAAAATGTATGCGTATGATGCCTGTAGATGGATATAAATGAAAAGTTGAAAAAAGAAAGACGACTATTATGATTCTGTCTTGGCGGGGCTCGAAATGACGAGTCGCGGAAGAGAAGTTGACCTGGTGATTTTAGCAGGACGTCTGGGCGAGGGTGACGCTAAGGTGAATGCGTGATAGATTTGTTTGCGATCGGGAGTGGTGAACACTTTCGGTTCCTGGGAGCCGATGGTGGAGGAAGAACGACTAGAGCCAACACTGGCGTAGCCCAAATGGGCAGGAGTGAAAAAGTCGCGTAGCTCAGGTTCCTGGGATGTCTCCTGTACAACAACGTTGGATTTAGCGATAAAAACCATTGAGAAGCATAAGACGCACTTTTACGAACTGAACCTTTGACTCAAGGTCGTCTTCTGGGACATCCGCAAACCATTCTTCAACACCCGGGGCCTGCTCGAAAGCCTGGGAGACGTCTGCCAGAGGCTTAACGGTGAGCTCATAGCACTTGGCGTCGATCTCGGCTTGTGTCAGAGGCGGTGCTGCAGTAGTGTCGTTGCCCTCCGGAGAGATATTTTCGGCGACCTCTTCCTCAACCGGAGGCAGAGGTGAAGCTGCACGCAACTTCTTGCTCGTCTTACGAGCTGAGGTGGAGCCTTTCCCTTCTCTTCTCCCCTTCACCTTCTTAACAGACGACGCAGACGACTTGTGTTTCTTCAACCTGAGGCTCCAGATCTTCCTTGAGCTTTTTAGTCTCGACGCAGGCAAGGGCCTTGGAAGACGATGCACTGTTCTTGCGCTTCTTGCTCTTGCAATTAGAGCTGGCATTAACACGCTCGCCAGTCAAGGGATCGAGATTTTCCTTGTCTGCCTCCGCGGACAGACTGGACAGTGTGACAACCTTGCCGACATTTGTCGAAGTCGCGGATGAGAGAACGGAGGTCGTGGCCTTCAAGACCGACGCCTTCGGCGATGACGGGACGTCCTGGAAGATGGTGAAGGAGCGTGCAGCCATTGCTGTCGATGATAAGGAGGTAGGAGGCTGTTGTGCGCAACGCGAAGGAGGAAAAGAGATGACGCTGGACGCTGTGAAGGACGATGTACAATGGACGATATCGCCAATGATGGTCGACGAAAGCAAGGAAGAAAGTTTGAATCTCAATTCGATTTAAGGAACACCCACGTGGCAGCCAAATAGATCACAATACTGAGGGCGCGTCAGAGACGCGATACTGTCACGTGATATCTGACATGTCAGCCTTTTTTTGGACACGGCCACCATGTGAATGGGTCGGATCCGTCGGATCGTTGACATCGTTCCGGGACAATGTGATCCTCGACAATGGCCTTATACTTGGTGGTGAGTAAATGATGATGATGATGAAAAGGGGGAAGCCGTGAAATCTTTCATTGTTGAATTTGTAGGCCTTGGTCTGCATGCTACTACGTGTCCATTATACTAATCGCCTGTGATATTTAGACGATAAGCGCTCTATCCTGCCCCTAACCCAAAATCTTTAATCTACACCTTAAATTTTAATGCTTTGGAGCGAGCTGTCACAGTCAGCGCCAGGGCTTTGATACTCCTCTTGGTTCGGACTTCGCGCTGTTCAAGTCTTCAAGATGCTATGCTGCCTCATGGAGTGGACTTGGTCATAAGGAGTCATAAGGCTCGTTGTCACCCTACATTGGCACGAGAACTACTCGTGCTCTTCAGTTGTTCGTTTTCAGTGCGTACCAACTACCATGTCAAGCCCCTGTGCCCCGTCACTGGTTCCGATACGTCTAAAACTCAGACCTTGGCTCATCATGCAAATTACTACCCAGCACGTTGGTAGCATGATCCGCATTTGTCGTCCGGCCGGACAAGCTCGAGGTTAAACACGTCGTTTCAGTACCTCATTACCGACTTTCCGTGCTTTGGCTCCATGATCGCTGCGATGATCGCCAGAATTTTCCAGATGTGGGGCTTGATTCACTTTTCGTCTATTCCTGGTACCTTCCGCAGGATGTATTTAGATCTATACTAAAGCGATCATATCTCTCCGGCTCGGCAGCGATATATTCATTCAGCATAGCTCATATGCAGAACACCGGACTATCTGGTTAGGTCTCACCCCTCCCCCCCCTACTATCCTCCGCGTCCGCGAGAAACATCTGCGACAGGTTTCGACGTGAAGCTTCACAACCATCACATCGCCTGCCGCTGACCGCGCGTCGGGTAAGTAATTGCCACAGCACCTCATGTCCTCCACGCTCCAAAGGAGTGTCTGTCACGTTTGACCAAAGTTCGCTGTTTTCTTCCTTTATATACGGGCGCTCTCAGTTCGTTCAAATGCATTAGGTACTGACCGTGCATCCCTCTGTCTCCAGACTTCAACGAATCTTATGCCTTCAAAGACCACGCCCTCCGTCTCCTCCTCCAACCACCCAGCTCTGGGCACCATCATTGACGAAGGCACATTGGAACTCGTCGAGGTCCTTGGAGTTGGAGGCTATGGCGTCGTCTACCGTGCAGAAGACACCTTTGCCTCTTCCCCAAAATCTTACGCCGTGAAATGTCTCATGCACTCAAACCTTCATTCATCCCGCCAACGACAACTTCACATCCGAGAAATTACCCTTCACCAGATAGCCAGCGCTCATCCTAACGTCGTTTCTCTGCATCGTGTTGTTGAAGACCACAAATACACCTACATCATTATGGACTACGCCCCCGACCACGACCTATTCTCCCAAATCCTCAATAACTGCCGCTACTTGGGCCGCGACCACCTCATAAAACATGTTTTCCTCCAGCTGCTCGACGCTGTAGAGTACTGCCATTCTCTTGGCATTTACCACCGCGATCTGAAGCCCGAGAACGTGCTGTGTTTCGACGATGGCCTACGGATAGCCATCACCGACTTTGGTCTCGCTACGACGGACAAGGTTAGCACAGAGTTTCGGACAGGGAGCGTGTACCACATGAGTCCTGGTAAGTTTCATTCTTATCAGACCATTATACTGCCACTGATAAGTTGTCTGCGGTTCACAGAATGTCAGGGCGGCGAATTTGCCCTTTCTGGGAACTACTCGCCCATGGCCAATGACATCTGGTCGCTGGGTATCATTTTGTTGAACTTGGCTACGGGCCGGAATCCGTGGAAGTCTGCGACAGCGTCAGACCCGACTTTCCAGGCGTACCTCCACGACCCCCAAGGGTTCTTGCCAACGGTGCTTCCCATCTCGCAGGAGATCAACAATGTCTTGGTCCGGATGCTCGATATTGATTGGCGGGAGCGCTTGACGCTGGCAGAGTTGCGCCAGGTCATTGAGGATATATCCTCGTTCTATTCAGACGGAGCTATCTTTGAGGGCAGTATGGCCCGTTGCCCTTGGGAAGCCGATATGGATATCGACACGGATTCGTCGAAGGAGCTGCCACCGGTCAATTCTCACCATGCAGAACTGAAGTCTCACTGGAGCTCGGATACCGACTCAGATATCGTCTTTGCCAGCCCGTCCACGACAGCCGAATCCAATTACGGTCAGTCTTGGACACAAGATGCTGAGTGTCAGGCTATGTGGGAGATGGACAGTGTCGACATGAGATCTTTGTTTGTCAGACCACGTACCCCAGCATCGTCACGCTCCCTCTTATCCCCGTGCAACTCCGGTTCTGCATGTTCCTTTCCCAAAACACCGAATAGCATCGACCACAGTTTCGGGGGCAGAGCCCAGATTCATGATATACGGTCACGCCAGAGAATCCCACTCACTATCGACACCAACTTCTGTCGCCCACAACATTATTCTAACTCCAGTCCAAGCATGAAGTCGTTCACGACCGCATCGTCCGTCATGCAAACTGCGGTCGAGTATGATCCTTACGATTCATCATTCTTTCTCGCCAGCGCTGTGTCGCCTTCTAAATTATCCGAGATGCCAGAATCTGTGATTTTGGACTCTTTTTCATATGACGATAAAGCCATGTCTTCCCCATCGGTCTATTCTGGGACGGATATTTCCCTTAATTCGAGGTACTCCTCAACAAGGAGTTTCTTCGAGATCGCTACAGAGGGACGTACAGACAGTCTTTCGCCAAGCATTCACACACACCCCCTCCAGGATTCCCCCTCGTCGAGTGATTCTACCGATCAAGACGTGACTCCTCCTCTCTCCCTCCCCCCGAAGAATATCAAGCTTCTCCGTGAGAAGACCAAAACGAGATTTCTTGACCTTTTTCCACGGTCTCGCTCTCCATCGCGTTCCCCTTCTCCACTACCACCCGCCGTCCCCCTTGCACCCCAACATACCCACGATTCCAATTCCAAAACCGCTCCTCTTCCTGAACCCTTTACGACATTCACGTTTGGGCAACTCACCCCTTCGCCCCTCATGGAGAACTGGCCTGGTTTAGCTCTTCCTAAAACTCCCGCAGTTCCCGAGCGCCACGCTTGCACACGCTCTTCTTACCTTCGTTCACCGCGTTATTGGTTTTTACCCGGTAAATTATTCACTTCGTCTGGAGCTTCTTGACATTGGTTCATTCCTTTGTTGTATCACTTGAGTAGCATCAACCGTCTCTCGTCAATGTACCTAGAAAGTAACTTCCCTTCCTTGTAGCTATGTATATAAAACACGCGGAATTCTAGTGTATTGTAAATCACATTCGCCGATGGCCAAATCGATGCTCTCTATACACGTTATTATCGACTAGTGGTTTCCATCATGGCCAGAATCCCGTAAAGGACTTGCATATCGCTACAGAGACAGCTGCCACCAAGGTTGTCGCTCAAATGAACCTTACCATGCTCAAAGGTAGCGTTTGTTAGGAAAGGTTATAGTCTTTGAATTGTAGACGGAAAACGGTGTGTATTTCTTATTAGTGAGTATACTCACAATTCATGTATAAGCAATGGTACCACCAAGTTTTTTTTTACTTTGTTGCACGCGGACAACAGTCGACTGACAGACTACAGTTAGCTGAACACAACGTGAATAATAGCATCTAAGAACTCCGTGCGTTCTTCTTCCTCATCCGCCTCATTGTCAGCGGCAACCGCTGCAGACCTAGCAGAGTTCGAGTCCATCACTTCGATTTCATCTAGATTCACTTCTAGATCCACCACGTCAACGCCTTCTTTGAAATATCCATGACCACCATTGGTGTCGACAATCACGTTCCTCAATCTCCCAACCTCCTGTCTCAAACGTGTGATCTCCTCGTCTCGTCTCTCAACTCGCGCCTTCAGCTGTCGAATAAAGTCATTACCGTACATCAGCAGCTGTAGCTTGCTCACGACCTTATTAGGGCCTTCTGAACCTGTTTTCTGTGGCCCTCGTGGCGGTAAGGCACCCGGAAGAACAGGCTCGTCCAGTGGATATTTGTTGTCGCATGGAAGGGGAATAGGCGGTAGCAGTCTACGTAGGTCATCGAACGTGGTCTTCAAGGAATCTCGGCGCTTCTGTTCGGCGTCCTTGTGCGTCGTTTTCCATACTCCTTGAAATATAGGAACCGCATCGTTAGCCTGTCCAATCCCTAAAACAAGGATGAAAATGAGAATAATGACATCACTGGATTCTTACCAGGCGAGACGGGTTTTAGCGGCGACGGGGGATTCAATGCGCTTCTTCTTGAAGATTTATTACGCTGAGTTGGAGTCGATGAAGATGTTCTAGCAGCGGTGGCATCATCCCATATGACGTCTGTATCCAGTTGTTTTGAGGTGTTCCCGTCGCTGTCACCTTGAGGGTTCACGCGACTTGCGAATCTCCCGAGGTTCATAATACTTGCAGGGGTGACAGGCGCAACTTGCTTGGAAGACATATTAGCAGTAGGCATATTTGCCATCAAGTCTGCCCGGCTAGGAGGGGCGGCCGGGGGAGGCATCGACAAGTCTACTGGTGAAGGAGAGTCACCAGAAAATTCGTCATTGACCATGTCACCAGGTCTGAATCTGGTGGATTGCAGAAGAGGGGTAGAACCGGTGGAATGTGACCCTCGATGATTTCGGTATAAGAAAGAGCCGTCAGTATACGGTCGAGTATCAGGAGATTGCTTTTTTCGCGACGGTTGAGAGGGAAAACCGTCACCACTGGAAAATGTTGGACGTTTTCTGGATTCTTTGTGACGCCGAGAAGATATAAACCGGTTTTGTTCGGCACCAAACCATGGGCTGGTCAGTGGTGAAATATCGCCGTCCAGCTCAAGGTCACCGGAATGTGGAGAACAGGAAGGGCTATTTCGAAACACGACGTGCGCGGGTGCAGACGAAAATCCTCGGAATAAATCCTTGGTTAGGTAAGTGAGAGCATGGCCAGGCATGGGGGGTGCCATAGAATCATCGTGACATTCTTGAGGTATCTGCGATTGATTTAGAGCCATAGGCGACACGAATTCCAAAGGCAATTCCGAGGAAGAAACTACGAACGGAATTTAGAGAGACAGCTACAAATCCCGCATAGATGGTTAACGCACTGGGAGTAGGAAGACCATAGTTATGTTGTTCCTGTACATACGTGGTTGTAGGATGTGTAAGACTATCTTGGTTGATAATCAGGGATATCTAAGAGAGAAAGAGAACTTAGAATTTTTCAGAGCAGCAGTTGCGACGAAAACGCGTAGATACCCGACTAAACACCTGGCATCACGTGATCGTAAGGGTACCCACCTGCTGCTGGAATATTTGGTTTTGTAAATCCTGTAACTGCCGAAGCTGGGAACGTTTAACTTGCTGATCCATCAAAGAAGGCCGGACGGGGTGATTGTCACTCGGAAAATAAGTTTGGGAAGGAGATAATGGTGATATCTGGTGGGGGCTCTCAGGTCCCTGTAGGGACATCAAGTTACCAAGCATCTCCATGTCGAACTGGGCCGGGAAAAGTGGTTCTGCAGTCATCGACTGCGAAGCTTGAATGTCCACCGAAGGCGACATGACGCCGGAGTCGCTTCCGTTCTGTGGTGGATCGAGGTTAAAGAAAGGCGCTAAGTAATCCTTTGGCTGATGATCTTGAAAGCGGGATGCCATGGTCGTCACAGCTGTTGTCGTGCTTGTGCTCGAAGTGCTCAGCCAAGGGGCAAAAAGTAGCTCATGTACTCGTCGGCCCACGGAACGGAAGGATTTGCCATATTTGAATTTCCTTCTGCTCCTCACGCTTTACCGTCGCCGTCACGCAGCAGTTTCAGGTTCCGGGATATGAATTATAAAAGCCTAAAAAAAGAGTAGGTTCCTGTTCATGCGGTACCGACTCGTCTATGCACGTCTATGCTCCATGGCGCACTTACATCCCTGTTCCCTGCTGTTCCGCGTAGTCGACTCATTGTCCTTGGTGCAGCTGTCCAAAGGGCCACTATACACGTCATCGAAACGACTCTAAATGCAGATTTCGGTTCAAATGCGGCAGTCACGGCGGCTACAATGATCGGACCCTAGAGCGGAATGTCAACGACATGTCAACTTTAGATGCCAGTAAACTTGTTATAGAACTTGAAGACAGGGCTGCAGATCCCGACATCCCGATTACAGTAATCCACCCGACACTTTCAGGACTCACTTCAAGCCGGGTCGCACAGCTATACCCAGTGTCGGGGACACGCATGGGACCATTAATAGGTGCTAACGAGAGGTACTTTTACGGGAACACAGGTGGGTGAGAAGCACAGTGGCTAGGGACGGAACGGTTCTTACCACAATACCAAAGTTCTCTACGATGCGATTGGTTCAAGTCTGGAGACAGTTAGCGGGTGCGCTATGACTAGGTGAAGTATACATGAAGGCGACATGTACTCACCGACCCAATTGATAAGTATTGAGCCTGTTTCGACAAAGTAAGGATGGGTCTGAACCTTCTCGCAGAACTGACCAAGAATAGACGTAGAAGACTCAGCAGTTAGGACTAAAGAATGAATACATTTGACATACAAGGGGCAATAGGCTTTTCCAGAGCATAAGCCGATGACAACAACCGGAAGAGTGGTCGTAGACTCTCCATTGTGTACGATACAGTTGGAATAGCGAATTGATGAACGCGACCTACAAAACGCACGCGGTCTTGCTCTACTAATGAGAGAAAAGAAAGCAATACCCTCCAAATTCATATGTTTATGGTAAATGGATAGAATCATTACACCCGTACTTGTTGCGGTCGTGATACAAACTGAGATTTCCGTCCTCAGAACTGGCAGCGGGTGATCTGCGACAACATCTATGGGAATAATGGTACCCGTGCTTGGGTCGGGCCATTGCGATCAATTAAAACATGTGGTGAGGATACAAGTAAACTTACTGAGATGTTGACTACAAAAAGCAAACAAAAAGGGCAGAGGGCCGTCGTACGGCTGTGCCGAAATGCCGGATTATTTGTCGTTGTGTGGTGACGCCGCGACCGCAGAGCGAGTTCAAGACGCGCCTTGCCTTGCACTTTACCATGTCCTATCGACAATCGTCTTACTCTCGTTATAATACCTTTCATACTCAAAAACAACAAGTCCTCGGGAATAATGCTGGCCATGTCGCTCCAGCATGGCGTGGTGCAGGATCGTCGGGCGCTAATGCTTCCATTGGGAAGGGAAAACAGGCAGCGAGTCAGGCAGGCAGCAAGATTTTACTTAGTAGGTTGCCCGTGGACGTGAGTGAGAAAGAAGTAGAGGTAAGGGTGTCGCGTTGTTTAACAGGTATCCATCTCAATGCAAAACCTTTCTTTCGACGCGAACGATTACAGGAATTGTTCAGGAAGACCGTAGGGCCACTGAAGGATTCCTTCATCGTGTACAACTCCCAAGGGAAATCTAAAGGGATGGCAATAATATCCTTTCAAAAGCCAGGTGACGCTGCTGTAGCTCGGTCAAAATACGACGGAAAATTTGTGGATGGACGTGAGTTAATCCCTTCGTTTCTCAGTCCACGGTGTCTGATAATACCCCAGGACGTCCAATCAAGATTGAAATTATCTCGGACGATATATCGCCAGCTTCTGTGTCTTCAAGTACCCCTTCACTGTTCGATAGAATTGCTGGTACGAAGCCCATCGTGAATGGCGCTACGCCCGCTGCTACCACTGGGTATACATCCTTCTATGCCATGCTGAATTATGTTTGACTCCGACTTTTTATTAAGGGTCAAGAGCTCCGTTCAGAATCATGCTCTGCCGAGACAGGTCGCTGCAGCAGCCTCTATCGCTGCCGGACTGCCGGTGCCAGCTAACCCTCGACGACGCTTGAAGAAGGGTCCTCGACGGCTGAAGAAACAGATAGTCTTCAAGTCACTCGAACAACTTGACCAAGAAATGGAAGACTATCGCGCTGCTGCTGATGTTGGCTCCTGATCAACGGAAGGGACGTTTAGATCGAGTTTTTGCGGCACTTTTCCTCAAGGTTTTCATTGGCAGATTTCGGTCCGTGGAACCCATAGCATCTATACCATATTTTCATCTTGTACATTATAAGCTCATGAATGTTTGCAGTGCAGTATCTCTGTTTGACAGTTAACCCTTTCCACAGCCAAAGACCAAGGGTGCATATACTTTACTCAAGCTAGAGAGTTGTCAAGATCTAACTGCTCGAGTCATAGACAAGTCACGTACGGCACGAGGGTGAACTCATGGCATAGCCACCCTCTTCCTCTGCCATGAGGCCGATATGGTGGACCGTTTGCTTTTTTGTATTATCTGAACAAATGCCAACACGGGCATGTTATATATGCTAGCTGGGATAGGTTTCACCTTTTCCATGTCATTCAACCTCAGACGTTCTTGCTATCGAAGGAAATTCGGCGACAAGAAAAGCTACGAAGATAGCATTCATATTCAGTGTTTAACTACTACGGGAAGAGTAATTGCGACAGTGCATCCCGTCGAGCTTATTGCCTTTACAGTGATAAACGGATTCTCCTGTCGCGACAGGGAACGCCAAATGGTTTAAACTAAACATTTTACAGGAACGAAGCTGGACGTGACAAACAACAATGTTGCTCCTCTTCTCTCTGGTAGTCAGAATGATTCCGATCGGGAGCAATCATATTTCTGGAACCTTTGTTGTCAACCTGCAAACTCCATACCAAACACCCCCGTCTCTGGCCCAACTACAGCCATCGATACCATGCTGTTTTGTCAGAGCACTGTGTAGCTTAGTTCTGTCGCAGGAAGGGTACAAAATGCGCGCGAAGTATGAGTCCAATATCCGATATACTGATGTCAGCTAATGACCCTAAGGTTTACCTCGTGATTTGAATAAAGCTCGCCTAGAATTTGCTCGTCTATCACAATGAATAATAATAAATGTCAAATCATCTTCTATCGCGCCGTCGACGCCAGGGTCAGATCATCAACGGAACTTCTGTCAAACTTTGTTACAGTGCTTCCAAGTTACATGACCTGTACGACGTCAGCAAGAACTCCAAATAACGTCTCTTGCACTGAGAAGACCTGTCCGCATAGGTGCAATACGCATGGGAGTGCCAGACCATTTGACTCATACTTGACGTGAGTATCCAAACTCTTTGATCGGACTTCTACACTTTTACTGTCTTCGGTATACATGATAGCAGCCGCCCACTGATATTCTCACGAATCATATTCTCTTGGAAAGCGCAACACACATATTATCTTATTCCACCTGCTTCCATGCGTGATGGAACGGGTGCCGGGATGCTTATTAAAGGCACACATTCTTGGGTTTTATACTGATCGATTTACAGGGCCATGTTGACCGTTTTCTTCCTGACCATTTGCCTGACGATCACCTACTCAATCTATAAACGATGGACTCGAATCTCGATTTCTCAGGTCCCGGGGCCTGAGTCGAAATCTTTCTTATATGGTGAGCTAATTTTTCCTGTGATCCACGCAATTCCACAATTCATGGTTATGCTACAGGGAACTTGCCTGAGCTTCTTCAAGCACAAGCTGGAGAGGTAACATTCTCCTTGGTTATGGACCTTCGCATTTCTGACCTAGCTGTGTGACCAAGGTCGATTTCAAGTGGCAGCAGATGTATGGGGATGTTATCAGGATCCGTGCACCTCTGGGCGTAAGAAGGTCCCTCTTAACCAAGCGACACACAATTTGACCGACCGGTGGCTTTATAGGAAGACCGTCTTCTTATTTCAGATCCGAAAGCCCTTCAACACATCTATCATACTGCGAGCTACAGGTTCCCTAAACCTCAAAGCCGGGTACAGATATCGCGCCTGACGTTCGGACCAGGACTCACTAATGTCGACGGCGAGTACCTAATAATACAACTAGCGCGCTGCGGGGATTGACAGTCTCCTTCTAGGCGACGACCACAAGCGCCACCGGAAGGTCATGCTTCCTGGTTTTGGTGGCCCAGAGTCGAAGTCGTTCTTTCCTACGTTCTTTGCGTGTGCGGAGAAGGCAAGTCGGGGTAGCCTTAACTCCTCTGAGATAATGCACGGCTGACCCGAGTGACGTTTGAAGCTGGCTCAGAAATGGAAAGACTGCGTAGAAGTAAGTCCGGACCAGTCAGCTGTCCTAGATGTCTCTGCCTGGATTTCTCGTGCCACGCTTGACGCCATCGGTCAAGGTACATCTGCTCTCTGCTTCGTATGGTTGAGATACTAACTAAGGCTTGACAGCCGCTTTCGACTACCAGTTTGGTGCCTTGGACGACACCGACAATGCACTTGCGAAGGCGTACTATAACTTATTGTACGTTTTGAGCATTCCTTTACGATCTAGCAGAACTAACACGGCTATACTAGTTTCGATCTCTTTGGAGTAATGACGAACCGTGCTATCCTTTCTTTGTCAATCATGGATCATCTCCCTGCAAAAGTGGTTTCCTTCCTTATGAGAAAATTTCCTTCGGGCCGTTTAGATCACGGACTTCTGACCAACAAGCTGTCTACTGCGGTTGCCAAAGAGCTCGTCGACCAAAAGTTCAACGCGCTCCTTGAAGGGAAGGGCCGCCGGGATGTGATGAGTCTTCTTGGTAAGCACCGCAGTTCGTTTCAAGCATCGGAATCTAAGCATCTCGCAGTCAAAGCGAATGCATCCGAGAATCCCAAGACCCAGCTAGAAGAGAGGGAGCTGCTAGGTCAAATGAAGTCGGTCTATCGTATATTGGTTGTTGAGCTATTCCTGACACATCATGACAGCATCATCATCCTTGCAGGTCATGAAACGACCTCGAATACGCTGTGCTTCGCGCTCTTCGAAATGTGCAAGCGACCGGAAATGCAGGAAAGACTGCGGAAAGAAATACGTGCAACTGAACGGGTTATTCATGATCGCGGCGATACTCAATTCTCGCCTTCTGATTTTGACTCAATGCCGTATTTGTCTGCTATGGTCAAGGTCCGTAAGTTCCACTTGAATGTTTGCTCCCAGCTGATGTCAGGCAAAGGAAACCCTGCGCTTCCACCCCGTAGCCTATAATATTTACCGGGTTGCTGGAAAGGACGATGTGCTGCCCTTAAGCACGCCTATCACTACTACGTCAGGGAAGGTCCTACACGAGTTGCCCATACCGAAGGGACTGCACATCGATGCCTCTATAGCAGCATACAACAGGCGAGTACCTAATCGATATCCTCCCCTATGCACTTGTGCTTAAAGCTTTCACCTAGGAATAAAGAAATCTTTGGGGACGACGCGGACGTTTTCAATCCTGATCGCTGGTTGCGCGACACTTCTCCAAAGACCAAGACTGCTTTGGGCGTCTATGCCAATCTGTAAGGCGCCAATTCATAGTCATTCTGCGGGAACTTGAACCTCGACTAGATTCACTTTCGCGGGCGGCTCTCGGTCATGCATTGGTTGGCGTTTTGCGTACGTTATCCGAGCTTCAGGGTTTGTATTGGTGCTCATCTGACTTTCGCTCGGTAGGGTCATGGAACTCCACGCCTTTATGATCGAACTTCTGAGCAACTTCGAGTTCTCGCTTACAGAAACACAGGATATTCGCCGGGAAGCCTGTGGTGTCATGACTCCGACAATCGAAGGGCAGGTTGAGAAAGGATCGCAACTGCCTTTGAAGATTAGGCTGGCGCAGCGAGATGATTGACGCGTGTGCGATACTTGATGAAAATGATATTCCTATCCCCATATGAAAAGTTGAAAGGATAATTATTTGATAACTACTTTGTGGTGTCGTACTGTGTCGTAGCGTTTGTCTCCGACGAGAAGCCCGACTCCAAAGTGTTTACTAGTTATAGTCGTGCAGGAATCTTGTCATACCCAAACAAAATGTGAGACATGAAGAAATATGATCCAGATTAAATAAATCATACGCATATACATGTACCCAGGGATCCGTAACGTGAGGTAATTGGTTTTTATATAGGGTATCATCATTTCCTACGTAGCTGCAAGAGGCGTCAGTGACAATTCATAGCAGACCTAGGTAGTACTCACTTATCATGGCTCTTCGCTGACTGACGACCTCAGTTGCTGTCTTCCATAATGCTCCCGACTCCCAATGGGCAATTGAATCATATTTGCATCTAGACCGCACCATAGCGACGACACGATCGTCATTTCCCCACGGATGATCCTGCTCGGGCCGCTCGTCGAAATAATACAAAAGGAGATACACGACTTCCAAGGATTTGTGTTGCTCAAGGAGTGGTGAAATGAAATCATACTCCAGGCTATTAGGAAAATCGAGAAAGCCGAGGTGAGTAAGTGAAGGTAGGGCTAGCAAGCGTTCTGCCATTGTGGGCTGCAAGTGATGCAGTTGAGCGGCTGGGACGATGATTTCCAGATGTGTTAGGCGACGATTCCAGTTGCATGAGGGGCTGTCGGAGATGGGGAGATCCATGAAATACGTGATTGGGATAGATAGATGGCAAAGAAATCGGAGGCTTGCAATGGAACCGAGCGAGCTGGGCGACACAGTAGCCGGGCTCCAGCAAGCCAGTGAGATCGTGCCTGTACAATGGTGAAGCAGACGCATCGCTGATTCGTCGTGTGCATGGTATGTTAAACAAAGTCGCTTCACGACGCGCCCAAGGAATTCGGCTGGTTTGGCGCCGACTGTCTGCAGGAACTTTAAGTGGGCACTGCGATTCATCAAGGGTGATTCGCCGCCTAGAACCACATTTTCGTATAGTATTGGTTCAACCCTGGTAGAGGTGAGCTGCATACAGGAGAGATACTAGGAGATATCACACCAAGAATGTACTCGCCGCGCGACCAGCAAGAGCCCGTGAGCCTCTGCAGGGTAAACGCGTGCAGTGAGCTCGAATATTTCCCATTGCAGTTCGAGTGGTAGTAGAGGAAGCTTGGTATGCATTGAAGATGTTTGGTACAGAGCAAAGTGGTGGTATTTATACAAGTCAAGGCGCGTGACACCTGCGGACAGAAGCGGACAGAACGGAAATGATTACCGTGCAGATTGCCAATGTACTGATTCCGGTCCGGATCAGTTCTCCTTAACCTCGACCACGATCATCCTTGCGACATCAAAGGCAGCATCTCTTCGTAACAGGCGCCGCCCCCAGTTTGACTGCTACTATCCCCAAGGCAAAATAGAACTGCTCAGCTTTGAAAAACTGAGGCATGGGTAGCATGCAGAGTATCGTTTACCCATAGAGACAGAAGCCGCAGCAGTTTCATCAGAAGGTGGCGGACTGCAGTACATGTCGGTTGCGGCAATAGATGCTGATGAACACGGAGGTAAGTTAGAAAAATCTACATGCGTTGCTGATCAGAGAGTAATAGATTTCCAGATTTCCAGTTCCTTCGGGCACTTATACCCATGTTGCTTCGTTGTACAATACATTTATTCCCAGGGGCTTCGTCCGATATCGGGCCTTGTATCTTTCAGCCAATTGGCGCACGCTAGGAAACTGCAAACAGGAGAACAATGTCAAATTATAATTACTAGGACCAAGTAGGTTTTGTCCAACACATCACTAACCTTTGGTGACGCGGTACGAGGAGTGTAAAGTGTCTTTTCCTTAAGCCCTACTCATTTTCTGATACAGACTGAAGACGTTCTCCTCGGTACCATCAAAGACCGGTGATTATCGCTTCACAACTGATCTATATCAAGACCGATCTCGCTTATTACGTCGTCTGTGCCATTAGCTGCCTCGTAATTCTTTTTTGAAATATAGAAAACCCCTCGCTGAAACTCATCATCCGACTTCGCGTTTGGTTAGATACTCTCTACTGGTACAGAGAACGTTCTCAGGGTAGCAGTCCGGAGCAAGGAACGTCCTGTGGCGTCTCGCGCGCTAGTTATGACAGCGATATTGTAAAACTATGGGCGCGTCTACCGTCGATCTCCACGGCACTGTTTGCTGGTAACGATCTCGCAACACAAGAAGCCTCAGCCACGTGAAACAGTGCTGGGACGCGTTCCGCGACCCAAGAACTGTTATTTGGGACTATGCCTGTTACATGTAGCTGTCACCACATTCCGAACCTAGAAGCTCATAAGCATCGGTTCCGAAGATGTCGGTTTCACAACAGGGTGGATGCGTATTGGTTTTCTTTTCCTCTGCTTCATATGGTGTGATACTGCATTTAATACTCTTAGTAATGTAATTTCTGATGCTGACATGCGTACGAACAATCATCGTGGAAACTTTTCGTTGTATACATAATACATGCGGGGAAGATATCTGGCAGAGGCCCCCGTTTTCGTCGAGGTCACGCCTTACCACTGACCAGAGCGGGCCTAAGAAGCGTTGACTATCGTAACACTAATTTGGCTCCCCTTCTTATATAAACCGCAGAATCACATCCTCCGAGTCCCCATCCATCGTACCTAAAGCCAATAATATCACCCGATGTTGTGACGTTTTGATCATCGTGATCCTTATCAGCTTCGCCATTTTCTTGCTAGAAGACATTTACTCAGCGAACAAGCGCAACGTCAAAGGAAAGGCTGCGGACGTTTCAACGTGTTAAATAGTGGGTATCCCTTCGATAGGATCACGGCTTCCTACTTGCGAAGTCTGGAGCATACGATTCCAAAATTGGAGAGTCCAAGTCCCTTCACGCGAGGACAATTCATCTTGACCTCCGAAAGCTCCGCATCGGCGATTGTTGAGTGTATAAAGGAGAGTGTTCGTGTAAAGTTTGGCCAGGATCAAGGCGGGCACGGCGCAGTACTCTGTCCCAGGAAACCCAAGGTAAAGAACCATGTCCGCAGTAGCAAATACTGCTGCAGTGGGAAATGAACAGCTGAATTAAAGAACCAGAAACGACGGGAGAATCACCTACCCGTGGTTGCTCCCGTCTCAACTGTGAGACGAATAACTTTATTCAGCCTTGCACGAGTTTGGCGAAAAACCGTGTTCTCTTTTGCTCTAGAAAGCTTTTCCTGAAAGTCAGTGCCAAAGACCGAACAGGTCAAAGTATTTTCATACATAATATGTCATCTGGTAAAGACTTAGGGAATCGATGCACTATATATAAATGCGGTAAATCCTCACCGATAATGCTATCAGAACATCGCAAATGGCGCTCCCCGCTAGCCATATCTGCGGAGGGAAGAGTCATCGCAGCATCTCTCAGAGAACTACAATACATTTACTTACAATTGCGATAATATGGGTTTTTCTATCAGATTGTACCTCAGCAAAGTTGGCTGTGGAAATGTGGAAGAATACGCCTTCAACAATTGCCGCCGAGCCTTGTATAAGAGCGATCTGTTCGATACTTGTCAGCTGCTGCATCAGGTTTGGGGGGAAAGAGAAAACATACAATAGACAGCGTGTACCCTATCAAGTTCGAACCGGAGAAAATACAGATACGGTGAGCAAAATAAATTTGTACGGCACTACTCACTACATGCGTATATCAGTGACGAGAAAAAAAGACATAAGGAGAGGAAGAAAGACAAACCTAGGCCCGTAGCAATCGCCGTAGTGATCCAGAAGATGTGAATCCTAGAGTCCGAGATGTCCTCAATAACCCCCGAAAGTGTGGGTATACGCAGCAAGAACTAACTGTCCAAGGTTTCGAATGTTCCCAAACTCCGTCGCAAATATATTGTACATGTCATGAGTGACGAGAAGGGTCTGCGCAGTCTCCACAATGAAAAGTGAATACACCAGAAGTTTCAGCCTCCACTTGTCATTGGGAAATGAAAGGTAATATATATCTACGCGAATAGATGGTCAGTGAAGAAGAAAAAGGCGTCCTGTGAGTCGGCGACGTACAAATTTGAACGATGCAAATTCCAAAAAGTCCCCAGTTGAAAATGAGTCCTAGGAGCTAGTCAAGCATAAATAAACTAAAACTAATTTTCCAGAGGCTGAATGATTTACCAAAAAACCTGCTCTACGTTATGAGAAAATCAGTTCGGGAATGACTGTACTGGTATAACTTCTCCGGATACTCACGCAGAAGTGACGTTGAAAGGAACTTCAAGTTCGCAGCAAGGCATAAAAATCGACGCACGGAAGCAATAAGTAGCACGAGAGAATCTATCGAAGCTTTTATAGGGCTGAAAAGCTGGCATTGCTCGCTCCGGACGATGCGGCGAATTCGTAATGCCCTATGTCCGAGGGAGGAGGGAGGAGGCAACTTTGAAACTTTAATTGCTCGCCGGGCCGGTTGCCGTAACTTGAACTTATTCCACATCACAGTGATACTTAACACGACTTCTTCGACTCCAATTCGGCTCGGGGTTTGAGTTCATGCGTCGAGTTATAACGACAAATCTGACCGGATGTTTTCTTGACAAGATGAATGTATGCACCGTCTCAAATTTCTTCGTGAATAGAAGCTAATGCAAGAGTCTAGTAGTACTTGCACAGACTTACACTGCACCATCAAGGACGCGGACTCCATGACACTCGGAGCGATGAACACATATATAACTCATATCAGAAGGATCCCGAAGAAATATTACGTGACGATCCGCACATTATACCGGAGGATGACGCGGCGATTATCTTCACGTCGGGAACCACTGGCCTACCGGGTACGATTTTTTTGATTTATCTTTCCACGGTTCTATTGATTCATTTCTGCACTTTCATTCGATAATCTGTGACTACCGATGTTGAGATAAGCGGTAATTCTCCAGCCGCTCACCCGGATATAGCAGGGAACCCTCGCAAACAGGCGAGGGTCATCGTCGTTCGTCTACCTATTTATCTACATGCCGTGTACACTAATAGAAGCAATATGATGTAATAAGGAAAGCCGAGGAGGAGAACAGATGAACGGTGCTTCCTACTGAAGATCCCGACGTCGACTGCACCATGATGCGCGACACTTGACATTCCAACAACCGAAACTTTGCTGTTGGGGATTAGGCTAGGTTCACTTTCGACATATGACCCCTGCAATTACCGCCACCGTCTCTTGTACAAAAGTCCTATCTACAGTTGGAATAACCTATAAGAGGTGGTGGTACGAGTGGCCTTTGCCTTGCTGCCAGGTTCGTTATTCTCCGTAACTGTAGTCAAAATGCTAATGCTGATATAGATTGAATGACCAAAGCAACTACAGTCATTTTTAGGTCCTTTTGGAAGACGACGTGAACGCAGGTATTAAATCCACCGAAGACGGTTCTGATCATCTTGTGAGTGGTATCAAAGCAGACGCGATGCTTTCTGCCCGTGTCGCATTTTCAACGTCTGTCCGATATGGTCTGAATGTGTCTAGGTTCTTTCTAAGCACCTCAACTTCTGAGGCGAGTACTAGTCGTACGTACTTGAATCATTCACCTGATTAGTTATTAGTTTTCTGGTATCGGGAGCGCCGAATTCATCGATAAGCATGTTACTATGGCGTTGATTGACCTTGCAGGGATCGAAAAAAAAAACGCGTGAGTATCTATGATCACTTCAAACAAGTGCATTACGTAGAGGTCCTAATCTAAAATGTAGAGGATTGTCTTATAGTCTTTACCATTGTAGACGAAGCGCAGAAATCCTCGGAACCATAATACTTTGTGGTTGCATTTCCTGTGTACACCAGTGCTGATGCCACCAGATTTGCAGCAAGAAACAAAAGGGACTTCTGTCATCGATACCACCGGCACATTTTTTTTGTCCCTGCTATCGTATCGAGAAGACCTCGTCTTGAACCAATGCGATGACAGGCCTGATAATCAAGCCCGCGATGGGTAGGTGATGGCGTACATCCTACAGGACAACCCTGATGTTGATTTTCTTATGATCATGTTTTTCAGTCCACGTGTCCCAGTCCCCATCTTCCTGCCCTTACTCGGGAAAGCAATACGGTACTCGTCGCTATAACGCGCCCAATCCCGGGCTAGCGATTCCATTCGCCTGCAGCCATAGATTCCAATTATTTCTCCGAGTCTAACGACGTGACTATTGTGATCGATCAAGTTCGCGATAAAATTATACTATGGTTCCGTGCAAGTTATTTCAGCAGGTTCTGTTGATGTGCCTCGACACCGGCAATTTTTCTTTCGTCAATGCCGATAGAATTTGTGATCATTGGGCGGCGATTATTGCACGGTCAACAGTAAGATGTCGAGAGATGTTTGGAATGTTGGAATTGACCTGGAACTTCGTAGCTGGAAACGTCGTACAACAGTAAATAGCACTAAGCTACGCATTTCACCAACTACGTACAAATTCTCACATAGGAACAGTCAAGTAATGGTAAGGATCTTAGTTCCTTATTTGAACATGTCTGGTCATTTACGCGGGTCACTAACAGTGTCTGAGTGATTGCGTGATGAACCTGAGATGAGTTCGAACGTGTGATGCTTTGCAACCGGTCCGGATACCCGCCGATTGCTTCCACCGCCACCAACGAACCCTGTTCACTGCCACCAGTTGAACTCGCTCTGTTATTGCCGCGATAATATGAGCGGATAGAATCGCTCGAGTAGCAAGAAAACCAGTTTCTTACCAGGAACATATGTTTCGTCCGCGGCTGTCGTTAGGCGGGTTACTGAATCTGTTGATTCTATGACCAGACATCTTGAAACCAGGTTCAACAAGCATACGCATCCATCAGTTGATCATTTCCTCAGGCGAAGTATGAGCTAAAACCATGTGGCTACGAGTGTTGTTTCGATTCTTTTCTCTCGTCGCCCCTGGAGGTCCCTTCATTCTCGTCCATTCTCTTTTTACTGCATTCCTTTTGCTGAACTACCTCGCGCGGCCGAGATGTTCATACTCAACACCACCATAGACGATTCGAGTCCACTCATTATCTATAGCCCTGCTGGAGACTGGGCCCAAGGAGACGCAGATGATATCGAACTGAAAAAGTACGTGAGACTTGTCCTCTCCTGACCGTTTACTCAAAAGATCTGTAGATATTGGGGGAAGTCATATACTTATACATGGAATGCAAACGCTCAAGCCTCATTCACTTTCAACGGCACTGGCATAATAATACTTGGCGGCAAAAGAAGTGTTCGCGGGTCTTATACCGTTGACTTAGATGGGGTATCGACAGTATTGAACGCAACCACAGCTGATCCAGGAGAATATCAGGCCGTCCTGTTCAACGCTACTGGCTTAAGGCAAACTCAGCATACTGTCATAGTGAAGAACATGGACAAGTCGGTTGACATCGATTGTGTGTGTAGCCTTTTCCTGTCATTTTTAAGCCCTTGAGCTTCACGTATGTCCACAGATCCACTGGTGGTCAACAGTGGGTAATGGAGAATTACAAGAACTATCGCCTGAAGTCGACGACGATGCCGAATCAATGTTCCACTGGCATCCTGAAGACGCGTGGTCGAGTCCACTAAGCAACATCTCGCGCTTTAGTAACGCAACTGGGCAGTTCGTCGCCTTCCTACTACTTTTATACTTTTCAACTTATCAAACTGCAGCTCCACGTCTCAAGCAGGAGCAGCAGTCAATTACACATTCTCAGTAAGCCCGACTCCTTTCCAAATATGATAGTTCAACAACATGCTCCCAGGGTGCCACACAGCGCTGCGCATATAAGTACGTCTTGAGGACTGATGATCTCTAGGTGATGCCGTATCTATTTTCGGTACCTTAGGTCCTCAGAATAGGATCTATACCGTTCGGCTTGACAACGCAGTCTCCAGAAAATTTTCTGCACAGAGAGACACCTATGAAACTCGTGCACTGCTATTTCAAGCAGACAACTTGGGAGGCGGAACTCATACACTGTCGTTGGTCAATGAGGTCGAAGGAGGGCTGCTACAAATTGATTATGCGCAATCTTATGCCGATCATGCCACTGCTGTGGCTAGTACAGTCACGTCAACTGCTTCTTCCTCTGTTTCACCTTCAGGTCACTCGGTTACACCTCCGTAGGTCCAGCGGATTCTTTTCTATGCCTTGAAAATCCACTCAATTTTGTCTCAGGCTAAAAGCAGGCGTTGCTGCTGCGATTGCAGTGGCATCTGTTGCCTTCATCGCCCTTCTGGTCGCTATTTGGGTAGGCTCTAGTCTTCCAAAAAATTCTTTTAGTCGACTTGATTGACATGTTATCAGTTACTCCTTCGACGGAATAAGACACTCTGGACGAGATTGCAAAGCGGATACATGGTTCAGTCCCAATTCGATTCGTTTAACCCATCAACGCACGCCATAAATGCCGTTTCGACTACGAGAAACGACAACTTTTATGCGGGAAACAGTAACGATATTACATCGCACAATCCAATGTTACAAGCAAATGATCAACCTTTGATGTCGGAAACACGGCTGGTACCTAATAGACCCGACAATATTCCACCCCTACCCGTCGATCATCGATCTCTTGGAACTAACCGGTCCACTGACAATCAGCGACCAGGGCCAGCTCGCTCAGAGACTTTGATGACTGCATCGACCTTGGTTGCAGAAAACGGGTCGGACCTGAGTCGATCGAATACCCGGACAATGAAGGTCGGTACTACCTCCTCTACGCTTTCAAGGAGTAGCGAGGCTGAAACTAACTATAGCTCATGACGCAGTGGACAGCACTCCGTGAGAGTTCTTCTAGGACTCGATCACGAATGTCGGATTCTCAAACACAGTTCTTAACTGATGTCGGCGAACCATCAGTGGATGAAATTGCAGTCGAGAGAGATCATTTGCTCGATGAAATTGATTCTCTACTCAATGACGTCAGAAGGAGACCGCGATCCACCGACAGCCAACCTCCTGGGTACTGGCAAGCTACACATAGTACCGTCCCGTCTTTGGGACGCTGAGCCACCTCGCTAACCTATAATTTGACTCCCGTGTTTTTTTCACGCTATGACGCGGATTTATTTGGCACACCAGAATATACCAGGATTGTAGGATCCGTTGCCATTCCTTTCAGTACTTATATACGTTGCAGGCGTGAAGGCATCGAGCAATATTAAAGGCGTCCGTGATTATACCATTAATTAAAGAGCTATTTTTGTCCTTGGGGAAGCATCCTCAGTCCGTCCAAGCTCGACATCGGCAGGGAGAAGTGGAAGGCTCCCTAGTGCTGTACTCTGAACGGCGCAAGGACAAACCTTTTATGATTGGGGCCACGGACACAGAGTACTCGCGTCGGTATGGTCACTCATATGGACATCATTGCTAGCTATCCCTCGCCGATCGTTCTCCACTTGGATGCTCGTTCTTTGAGTTGACTGGACAAAGTTTAATGTCGGCCACTGAGATCGTTGGGCAATAGTCGAGTCCTCTCGTGCTCTAGAAACATGCATGCGACTATTGAGCATGACAAGGAGAGTGTTGCTGTAAAGCTTAGCCAGAACGAGTGCAGGCGTTATATGGAAGTTCTTGCGCGGGAAGACTAAGAAAAGTATGAGGTCGATAACGGCGACGGTTGCTGGCAACTACAGGTTAAACTAGCTACACGGTATTGGCGTGTGACGTACCCGTCATGGTACCAGTTTCAATGGTTAAGCGTATAAATTTACTGATGACCGCCTGGGTTTCTTTGTACTTGGTATCAAACCTTGAGAGCTAATATCTCAGATATCAGCATTTGGAATCTAGTCAAGGATAGATGAGAAGTCTTACGAAGTAAGTCATCTGTTGAGTGAATGAGTCTCTCGTCGTGGAATATTCCATAAAAAGGGGGACTTACGGAAACAGCGATCAGAACGTCGCAGAGGGCGCTCCCGGCTAGCCATATCTGCCAGTAAGATATATGAACTCAATCTAAAAGAGCCTTTAGGAATATTTACGGTGGTACCGACGTCGGTCTTCTCTTGAAGATGCGAAACGTCCCCAACCGTGCGCGCTTGTGCACCTGCTACAATGGATGAAGTGCCCTGAGTGACAGCAAGCTTGGAAAACTGTCATGAGACCAAGAATGAGAGCATTCGAGAGAAAGACGGACAATCGCAATGATCAATCCAATGATTCGGGACCCGGAGAGAATAGAAATACGATGGGCGAAATATATTTGGACAGCGCCGCTTACTATGTAACAAAAGTCAGGACTCGGCCTAAGATTAATACGCCCCGTTATGGTACACACCTATCCCGCTGAAGATAGGAACCGCCAACCAGCTCACTTGAGGACTGATACGTTTCGGTTCGCGTAAGAAGGGGGGGGGGGAAGATGTCGAGACAGCTACTTACTTGGAGAACGCAGCAATATTTCCGTAATTAGTCGCGAATGCTCTGAAGAGCTCATACGTAATCAAAGCCGTCTGGATAGCCTCGATCGTGAAAAGGCCGTATACGAGACAGCGCAAGGAGGCCTTTTCCTTTGTGAAAGCCAGATAATACATATCTAATGCTGATCAGCATGGACGATGATTTTTCAAGGAGAAATAACGAACAAACTTGAACCGTCAATACACCGAAAAGGCCCCAGTGAAAAACATATCCCAAAAGCTACTCCATTCAATCAAAACACGCCTGGACCTGCTACTCGAACCGCTCACAATAGGACCCGCGCTGTCAAATGATAGTCTTAGCCCTAAGCATTAGTTCCTTCGTTCAGTATGCCTTACCTTTCTTCAATGCTCTCTTGGACAGAGCGGGCCGCACCTGCCACCCACTGACCTTGCATCCCAAGAGGCGGCGGAACCGTGACGACGAGGACGGCAGATTTTTTGTGTGTACAAAGTATTTGTATATTTGTGCCATTGAAGATGACATGTACGTCGTGACCCAATGCATTTCGGTATTCGCAATTCAATGCATCCGCGGAGACGCAGGCATGAGATCCCGAGGAAAATACTGATGGATGGCAGCAAAAATCTCCAAATGCGGCTCCCGGACCGAATCACCGTCGGCCCGAACACTGAACTTGCAAATTTCATTCATGATCTTTTGGTACCCTCTCTCTTTTGCGCTTTATCTTGCAGCCAGGCACTCCGGCGCAATGCATTTTCTTACCTAACTTACACCGGAAAGTAATCGCTATGATACTGCGGCGACCTGGGCCTTGGATTCCATGCTTTGCTTGAGAACATAGGCACCTCATCAGCGATAAAATTTCCGTACCATACCGGTTTCTCGCCCCTCCAAGAGCCGCTCTGTCGTCGGTTTCCATGCTCTCTTAGGAACGGTACCTTTGCTCTAGGGCTGACCTGACTTCAGACTCCTCAATCGCCAGAAGTGCCCGGAAAAGTCCTTCGTCGCAATGTTGCCCATCTGCTTTTTATTCTCATGGCTGATTCTCGGGTTGTCACTTGGCGGCCTCAATTTCGCGTATTCTGCCGTACTGGAAGATCCGAATGATGTGCTGAATAAAACATACGATTTTATTATCGTCGGAGGTCAGCTCTGTATTTATTTCCCAAGGTTCCGGTTTAACCCTCGATTATTTAGCTGGTACCGCCGGAAGTGTGGTGGCAAGTCGACTCACTGAAGATTCTGCGTGCACGATTCTCGTAATAGAGGCTGGAATTTCGTCAGTCAGGCAGTACCCAGCAACCTCTTAAGTTGCTGAATTTCACCTGTAGCGACGAAGACATTCTTGATATCGAAGTCCCTTTCCTATCTTCCTCCCTCCTGTCTCCTTCTTCGCTTACCTGGAACTATTCCACGGTAGCTCAAGAAGGGTTGGATGACCGTGTCATCTCATATGTAAGGGGAAAGGTCCTAGGAGGGAGCAGCAGTACCAGTAAGTTGATGGTCAGTCCTCTCAGCAGCATGGTTCTTGAACGGGATACAGATTTCTTGGGATACACTCGAGGCTCAGATGACGAGTACGATCGTTGGGCTAACATTACCATGGACTCTAGTTGGTCATGGATGAACCTAGAACCTTTCTATAAAAAGGTAACCACTGGTCAAGTATCTCCGTTAGGCATCGCTAATTTTCCCAGAGCGAAAGACTAGTTGATCCTGCGGATGGCCACAATACGTCTGGAGAGGTCGATCCAAGTGCTCACGGTTATGGACCCATTGAAGTTAGCGTTCCTGGGTATCCCACGGAGATTGACGACCGCGTCATTCTCAGTAGCCAGGAGTCGGGTGACGACTTCCTCTTCAACCTAGATCTCCAAGGAGGTACCACAATTGGCTTTGGTACGCGAGAGTCTTCTTTACTTTTGCCACACTTGTCAAGTCATCATCGTTCCCAGGACTCACTCAATCTACCATCGGTGGCGGAGAAAGATGCAGTGCTGCTGACGTGTATCTTCACCCTGCACTGAATCGCTCCAATATAGATCTTCTTATGGGAACACAAGTAACTAGGCTTATCCAAACAAATGACACCAGCGACGTGCCTGTTTTCAAGACAGTAGAGTTTGCACAAGATGCTAATGGTGCGAATCCGATTCCTCAGTTTTAAGGACCTCAGGAGCCTAATCCCAAAAACTAGGCACCAGATATACACTTACAGCGGCGAAAGAAGTTATTCTGAGTGCAGGTTCTCTCAATACTCCGCAAATATTGCTTCTCTCCGGTATAGGTGATGCGAATGATTTGGAAAACTTTGGTATCACACCCATCGTAGACCTTCCTGACGTCGGTAAAAATCTACACGATCACCCACAAATCTCGAACTATTTTGTCGTAAACTCTACATCCACTCTTGATGAGATCTCTCGCGATTCCGAACTGGCCGCAGAGTATCTGGAGGAATGGATGGAGTATAGGCAAGGCCCATACACAGCTTCGAGTTCTCATGCCCTTGGCTTTGTTCGTCTTGCTCAGAACGACTCGATTTTCGAACTTTATACCGACCCGTCTTCGGGTGAGCATTGACGACCATTGTTCTTGTAACTCTGACAAGGTTCTGACAGGCACCAAGTCCGCCCATTACGAAATGGTTTTCGCCGTACGTGGGTTCGTTTCCAAAGCCATCGCCTAGTCAAATCTGTCTTCACCATCAGAATGGGTACTCGGGATCTTTACCGTCAACGGGCTATTACTTGACCGTGAATACCGTTGTACTCAACCCTGTTTCCAATGGCACAGTCACACTCGCCTCCACCGACCCTTTCGACTTTCCCATAATTGATCCGGGCTTTCTTACTTCGCCTCTCGATATCTATGTCATGACCTCAGCAGTAAAAGGCGTGCGCCAATTCGTTCAAGCTTCCCCGTGGGATGGCTATGTCATTGAACGTTATGGCGAGCTTGGCGAAGCCGAGACGGACGAGGAAATCGAGGCTGCCATACGGAATAACGCGATATCCATCTGGCATCCCAGTTGTACCGCGCGGATGAGCGCCTATAATGCTACTGATGGCGTTGTCAACCCGGACCTCACTGTGAAGGGAGTATCAGGTCTTCGAATTGTCGATGCATCTGTCTTTGTAAGTTCTTCTTTGGTTGAACCATTTGGGTTGTCGTTCATCCATTGTATCAATAGCCTAAGATACCTGCAGCTCATTTAGTAGGACCCGTTTATATTGTCGCTGAGAAGGGTGCCCAGTTAATTCGAGATGCGTGGGGCTATGATGCCTGAGCGAACTTTAATATTGCGGAAATAAATATCCCATTCAAGTTTGCGTCTTTTTAACATGAATTTCAGTGACCTAGATATTTGGAAACCCGACTCTATCGCAACTGTGTGCGTGATTCTTGTTGAAATAAGCGGTAATTATCTAGCCGCTAAGACGAATTTCAGCAGGAAACGCCCGTGAACAGGCAAGGATCATCGTCATTTGACTATCCATTCATCTATATGCTGTGTACACTAATAGAAGCATTATAAATGAAAAAGTCAAGGAGGAGAGTAAGTACGACTGCTTCTTCGCTTGATGCCCTGACAACCGAAGATCCCGACATTGACTGCACTGTGGTGCGCAACACTTGGCAATCCAACAATTCTGGCTTTAACCTTGATTGCGCTGACATCTCACTCTTTCAGTAAAGCCTATCGTAGTGTGCCTACTAAAGGGTTATGTTGAAAGCTCGATATATAAGTACATGACCAGACATCTTTCATCTGAGCTCGTCTCTCCATTCTGGAACCACAAAGTCCATGACCACATCCTCCATTTGATAGGCCAGTCCCCAAGGCACCACCGCGGGAAACCCTATCCCATCTCCAACTTTTCCGTCTTCAAACTCCCCTTTCATTTTGGTGAATCGTACCATTTGCTTCATAAGCGGGGTAAAAACAGCTCCCTTCTCGGTTCCCACCTCTTCGGGCAAGGATCCTTGAGGAAGTGGCGGTTGCACGATTGTGTTAAGACTGCCGAGGATTTTGGACGTGAAGGGGATACGAAAACTCGATAGCAGTGGGATACGCCCAACGGATACCTTGAAGAACGGTGTCGAGGGGTTATCAAGAGGACTGACAGTCAAGGACCACGCTGATGTGGTGGGATCTTCGGTAAAGGAGAACGATGCCACCTGTTCTGGGTTCAAGATACGTGAAGACGCTGTGTTAAGAGTCTACTAAAAGACCTACTAGGGATGTTCCAGTTTCTTCGACCTGTGCTACGGCATCAGTGTCGAAGGGATTCCAGGATTTGAAGAATACAGACCATTTTCCATTGAAGCTGCAGTCGAAACGTATATCCTGGTGATTCGTGCCCCTGTGGTTCCGTCTGCGTACTTCCATCTACCAGGCATGTATATCACCTCGTCATCTATTCCAAATGAAAGTCAACTTTTCCATTTGCTTGTCTCTCGTTTCGACAGACTAACATGGACCTGCACAACATCGATACAGTTAGTTTTGAGAATTCACATATGAAACAGCGACATACCGACCGGCGTTTCCGTGTAAGACACGACCTATTCATGTTAGCTTCGAACTGTGATTTACATCTTGAAATAACCAACCATGATCATTCCCGGTCCTCCTATAAATTCGCCACTACCTGCCAAAGCTTCCGCCTGGTAGGGCGCAGCCCATCCTGCTGGAAAATTTGCCTGTTTTGATAGCGGTGATAATACAAAGGTCCAACTTCGTGCTTTGAGATCCCATGGGCTGGTTCTTCATGTTTGAAAGAGCTGTCATGACGTGGAAATACATAGACATACGCTGGTGCTTCGGGGATTCCACTCTTGCTGAGCGCCTGCGCGGTAGCGCTTTGGGTGTCAGACGTCATGGTGTGAGGTTGACGTGGGTAAGGTAGTCCTATTTACAGAAAGAACAACCCGTGCTAAACGTGTCACGTACCCATGACAGGTTTCTTTGGAATTGGAAGCTCTGGATGGATACCTGGCAGGTGACTGTTTCCTATTTTTCGCCTGCAACCAAAACAGCTAGTACCATCCATCTGTACCGCAGCACACCCTGTCCTATTCCATAGGATCAGTCGTCCTTGACATTGTACTTGAATATTTGCGGAGCAGCCGTGTCGTAAGGTGGCTGTGTATACACGTAATCGACTGAGTCGGGTTTGGGCATGACCGCCGAATCAAAGCATTCAACCAAGCTGGTTAGGTTTCTTCCGGATATCCTCTGTGTGAGGATATTTTGTCGTTTCTGTATTACACCTTCTGTTTCGGTGTCGGGTCTTGGGTTCCGACTGTGTCATAAAGGTAAAGGTAAGTATTTCAGCAATTTCAGTGTCACCGACTCGGAGTTCTTGGACCACTTGGATACCATACATTTAATCTGAAAGATCTATCAGAAGTAAGCAAGCACAGGTTCGAAGGCACAGGATAATCACTGACAAACGCATAGGCAAGCATAGAAAAGCTACAGACAGTAACCATGTGTGCTGCAGAAGGCCAATCGAAACTAACAGAATCCGCGCTTGAGCCGCTACCGTGTTAGCATTATGATCATTTAGAACGTCGAGGTGATGTGGAACGAGCGGAAGGATTCAGATAACCCCGTCCTTGACGTCGCCGGGTCTGTTCGCAAAATTCGCTCGGCACCCTGAACGCAAATCACGTAGGCTATAATCAAATGTTAATCCGGATCGCAGTTTTCGATGCCAGCAGAGTTTTTCTTCCAGATTTTTGCCTAGTCGCATTGACCTCCGTCGACCTTGCGAGTCTTGGCTACCGCTACCCTGTACATAGGCTTCTGCAGGGGAATCTGGGGAAGAGACACGAGGCCAGCACGGCCTGAGAGTCCAAGTCGGACAAGTCCGAAAAGCATAATCTTCCCCATCAATGCACCATCACCATGTCGGTTACTGAGAATGCGGTACATTTGCATATATCGTGGGTTGTCGTGGGTATTTCTATTCCTTATTGGAATACGGATGACAAACTTTTGCAATGCTGCCACGCGACATACCGACAAAGCATTGGTAGCGTAACCATCCTTGTCATCATGATTCCCGCAAATGGACAACGGACACCCACGAATTAGAGAGGTTTTGCCTGGGCGCGTCATTTGCTATGCCTATCGCGTGTCGCGCGTCGCGTAATATGCATTTGTCGATCGCGACTTGTCGGTGTCGGGTCGAACAACCTTGGCAAGAAAGAAAGCATGGACGAAACGTGTGTGAGGTATAAAAGCAAGATATTAGCTGTCAAAAAATACGTCGTTCTCGCACCTCTTTTCCTGCGTCCTGAACAACAGCCAGTATCATGCGTCTCCACTCTGTGCTCCTCGCGGTATCGCTCTTCTCAGGGTCCCTAGCGTCCGTTGCAGCTGTCGTTGGTAAACAAGAAGATACTGGCGTGGAAACCCTTTCCCTTGACGAGCTGTACGAACTCGCCATCGCCGAAGGGGGTCAACTCGTCGTCAGGGCCGGTGGCGATGAGAAGGACCAACAGGACGCTGTCGTCCAAGCTTTCCAGGAGAAATTCCCGAAGATCAACATCACCCTTACTGTCGACCTGTCAAAGGTAATGTTGTCTAGTAAAGTCATTCATGGCTATAGCTTAGCGATTTGACTCTTGACAGTATCATGACGGTGTCATCGACCGATCGCTGAACCAGACCGGGTTAGCAGGGACAGACGTTGCTCATCTGCAGACACTCCACGACTTCATCAGGTGGAAGGAAGAAGGACGTGTGAGTACACAATGATATTCGAAAGTGATCACTGCCCACTGACATTTTCCACAGCTCCTCGCATATAAGCCAGCAGGATGGGATCAGATTCCAGACAACATCAAGGACGCTGACAATGCCACCTATGTGTAAGTCTTCCCGAACTTCTAATTCCGCGGTGTCGGCTGAAGACCGGTTAATGACGCAGAGGAATCGCGTACTACTTGTTCGCCAACAACGTTGCCACGGCTAAAACCAACGTGTCTGAGGCGCCTACTGAGTTCCTGGACTACCTGGATTCCAAATGGGCGGGAAAGATCGTGTCAACATATCCCAACGACGACGACGCGGTCCTTTTCCAGTGAGCGATCTCGTAACATTCCTCTCTGAGCTTACGGCTGATAAATCGGCAGGTTCTACAAGATTCAGCAAACACACGGCTGGGACGCAATCAACAGCTTCATCGCGCAAGACATCCAGTGGGTCCGTGGAACCGCCACTCCCGCCGCCCTCCTCTTGGCCGATAATGATCGCGTCGTGTCATTTACCACTGGCACTGGTTTCACAAACGGTAGTTCTGGGCTGTTCCAGCAGTTGCCAGGGAACGACTTTAGTCATATCATTATTTGGCCTCAGCGGGCCGCTATATTCGAGACAGCAGAACACCCTAATGCTGCGAAGCTCTACCTAAACTGGCTCCTCTCTGAGGAACACCAGGCCGACCTCGGTGGATGGAGTGTGCGCAATGATGTTGCACAACAAGAAGGTCTCAAGGGTACGTTTAGGCCATTTCTGAAATTCGTGACTTCTGGCAGTTAATTTTGTTCTCGCTGGCAGCTTTATCCGAATATAGCGGACAGTTGGACCCAGCCGCCTTTGAGCGATTTATGGTCGACCGCGCTCTTGTTGAACGTTATCGATTCCAGTTCGAGCAGCTGATCGGCACGGCACAGGGTCTTAGTCCGCTAGAAGATGACCTGTAGTGAGGTACTTTGGTATATCCTAGAAATATAAACCGAAAGTAATTGCCAAAATCCTGAACATTGTGGATTAGCACTGAAAAGGACTTTGAGAGTCAATTGGCAACAGGAGGATCGTGAAGAGCAAAGTGAAACGTGGCCGATGCTTGAAACCTCGGCAACGCGTCCCGTCGGGTTTTCGGGCCCGATGTGAAATCTTTTGAACCTAAAAATTGCTTTGGCATTTTGATTGTACAATTACTATTCACCTGTTATACATCAGTACACCGCCGACAGAAAGATACACATCCAAAAATAGATATTAATTCTCAAAGTCTCGTCCTTCCCTCGTTTCAGGCTATCATTGTTGTGCCGCAGGAAGGGCATCATACGTAGGGCAGAGACTGTCCCAGATCGCATCAGGCTCGATCTGCGTGGCCGCGTCAGCCGGATCCGCCAACATCACCGTGGCGAGACCGGCTTGCAAGTGCCAGAAGATGTGACAGTGGAAGAACCACGGGCCTGAGGGGTAGCGGTTAGTAAAGCGAAAAGAGAACTAGCGAAAACAACGTGCCAGGCTTGTCGGTTCTGAACCTGATCATAGCACCAGCAGCACCAGCGGCAACAATGTCACGCTTGATGGGATCCTTAGTGTTAATCTCTTCGGTGCTGTTGGACTTGATCAACCAGAAGTTCATCTAGAGAGGTCAGGGTAAGGGTGATAATGTCGACAATATGTGACCAGGAACATACGCCATGCATATGAATCGCTATGTAGAGATGTCAGTGCCAAGGTCGTGGAACGTACAGTGTAGGAAAACTCACGGTGAGCGTCATCATCGTCGCTATTAGTCGCCATCAGCATAGCACATACACAAAAGGCACAAGCAAACTCACTTAGGTGGGAATGTAATCTGGATGGTCTTGTTGGCCGGTAGGATGAAGGTGTTCTCTGTCTCATTGAAGTCGGACGCCTCAACTTCGCCCTCGATGACCTTCATAAGGGTCGGGACCACAGGAGGGACGTATGAAACGTTGTTGACGTTCCAAATTGCTTTTCCGGCAATGTTAACAAACTCAAGCGTGATGTTCACGTCGGCGGGTGGGGCCTGCGAAGAATGCATTAGGACGCGTAGATGTGTGTAAGCTGAAATCTTACCGGTTCTGGAACTAGGGGACGGAGGTTGCCTTCGACCAGAGAAACCCCGTTGGCTGGCCCGAGGGTCATGGGAGTAGTGGGGTCCCGCCTGGGCGCACCGGCGTATCGCAAAATTGCTCGGGACAGAGTAGCGTTTTCTTCAGAGTTTTGAGTACCACCATACAGGAAGAGGAGAGAGACACACGGTTCAAGTTATTCAAAGGACTACCCCCAACCTGAATCGCAAAATGTAAGAAGGCTAAACATATACGCGTAATTGGTACATACATATGGCGCATTAATCCAGTAGTTGTCAACACGTTGGTTTGCGTGGACCTGTGGACAAATATGTTCTCAAGGATGATCAACTTTGACAATGAGGGCAATACTTACAACGACAGAGTATCGCTGACCAGCTAACATATCGATTTTGTCAACCACCGAAGGGGTGAGCTCCTCTCCGTCAGCTTCAATGACCTAGGAAAAAACATGCATGAATACACAGTTACAACGTAGTCTGGAAGGGCGGACCGTCAAACTGTGCTTGTCGATCGAGAAGGTGAAGACATTCCGGGCCGACTCGTTGATGATGCGGAATCGGTATCGCTTGCCCGGAACGACGTTAATCACTGACCAGTCGAGTTCGGGACCGCCGTTGAAGCGGCCGATGCCGTTTACTGTGCCAGAGTCGGAGACACTGCAGACGTGCCAGGTTTGTCAGAAACAGCCGAGATGAAAATACAGCAGGCTTACGGAATGATTCCAGTCGCCTCGAATTGTTGGATCATAGGAAGCGTGCTGTTATGCCACCAATCACCGAGTTGAATGATCTAGAAAGTTGAATAAGTGGCAGGGAAAACATCTGTGACAAGTTTATATTACAGTGGATTCATCGTCAACATCGTAGAGATGAGCCAAAGGATCATTGGGGTCTGAGTGTCCACATAAGCTATGGAATTATCGGACAATCGAAGACAACGTACCGTAAATGATCAACGGGCCACGGAATCCCTGGAAAAGAGAGAAGCTTTTGGTATAGTTAATGTTCTAATATCAATGTTACGTACATCAATGTACTGAATACTCAATTGACTGTACAACGCATAATCAAGACGATTCAATGTGTCATAAAGCCAATGCACATACCTATGATACCAGAAGGTTCCAGTTTGACCGAATTCACTGAGATCAACAACGTAGGTATAAGACGCGCCAGGTCCAATAGGACAGGTAGTGACAAAGGGAGATCCTTCGTTCCACAAATTTGCTGTCGGGAAGAAAATACCATCCAGATCCTAGGGTGACTTGTTATTAGGCACGCGTCACGTAATGTCAAAGCCTACCATTGAAGTGGAAAGACGCATCGAGGGATCGACCTGACGATTCATGAGAAAGAGGCGTAAGCAGAAGCAGTCGACAAACCAAGTCGTTATGGAGCGTAATCGACAACATGTCATTCTTGTTAACCAAGATCGGCGGGCCGGGGTAGCTGAAGATACTGTCAGGACGTATGGTATACAAGGAGAAAACGAATGTCCTCACGTTCCATTGGCAACAATTGTACCTATAAATTGAGTTTACACAAAGTCAGTCTAGTAACTGCACTGAAGAAGTAAACCTTACTCCTAAGATGACCGTCGGGCGCCAAAGCGTTGTTGACGAGGTCGATAGTGAATTCTTTCAAGTTTTCCTTCCTGCCACCTTTGGACGGCGCAGAGACCGCCACGCCAGCAGCAGGATGGGGGCGCAAGAGAGTAAGAAGAACAACCGATGCAAGCAGGGAGAACATAGCGTGCTGAGTTCCCCTCAACCATCTCTAGAATATTTATACCCTCCTTGCTCTTCCACGCTCGGAACCGGTCGCAAATATGCAGCAGAGGCATTAAACCCTCCTGTGAATGCCAGAAACACGAGCCCCATGGAACGACGCACGTAGGAAAACATATCCAATGGGATTTGACTGAAAGGAGCGCACTTCTCACCACCGTGAGCAGAGAATAAACCAGCTGGAGGTCATGGTAAGGAAAAAAAGTAGATAGGTAATGAGAGCGCTTGCGCGTATGTGGTGTTCGTGTGAAGTGATGAAATCATGGCGTTATTATTAGAAACCTTTCGAGTCGCTGATCTTGGACAGAGTCTAAAAGCGGTGGTTTTAGCGCACGGAGGCGGTTTGTCGGATGAGCAACTGCCAGACCGTCCTACAGTCGCAAAAGTGGCGGTTGATAGCGGGACATGTACTGAAGTAGTGCCAATTCGTGCCGTTTGACATACGGAGACTAGATAAAGAAACATTGGCGGTAGTACAAATGGGCCTTGCAAAACGAAGACCAATTGAAACACGCTCCAGCTAAGCACAAGGGAATAGAGTTCCAATATACTCACCACAGCCTACCCGTCTCACTGAATACGTGAAAAAAGGCGTCCAGAAAGCCAAAAATATGTGGGCATGACCCAAAAAAATTCCACGCGAAGGTCGCTTGAGATAATAATCAAAGAAAGAGTTGGATGTAGGCCCAAAATGGTAGCAGACCATGAGAAAGGTGGTGGTGTTTAGGCTGGTGCCGATCTTGATGCCGAGGAAATCTGAGGGTTCAAAAATAGTTTTCTCGAGGATTATAAATAGCGTGTTTCCTTGGCGCCTTTCAATGAAGTATTTTGTACGAAATTGGTCATGAAAAAGCAACAAGATTTTTACTTTTCACATGGCGAGGAGATTCATCGGCCCGCTCGTACTTCCGGAATAAACGAAGACGGGTTTGAAGCTTGAAGGCGATGATGAAGGGAAGCAAAAAAGAAAGTAGATTCTGATCGTCGGTCGATAACATAGTGACCAAATGCCACAGAGTGGCTAGACTGTCCAACCACTGCCAGAATATCGAGAATCCTCTTCCCGCAGACTGAGATGAGTAGAACACTTCGAGATTCAAGGCCGTAGACTGGAGCTGCAGTATTCAGCAAGCCAGTCTACGATGACCTGGGATGGAATGGCAGAAACAGGACCACACCGTTACCCTCCTCAGATCAGATCATCCTAATCTCCAAGATCCCCCTCTCGCGCAGCCTCGGCATCTGCAACGAAGTCGCAACCTCCCCTTGTGCAAACGCCGCAATACCTTCTAGACTAACAACCACCCTGGACGTCGCCCTGATAGCCGCATCGTCAAACTGGTCCCACCCACAACTGACGACAGGTCCGGGCTCTATCCGTTTCGCAGCGTCCCCCCGCAGGACGATAGACCTCAGCGGAGCTTCATCGGGGATGGTATTGATAGTCATCGCAGCCCAAGCAACGAAATCCGAGCGTGTGTTCCCCACAAACTTGATGTCCATACGGAGCTCGAGGGTCTCGAGTTTGCGGTTATTCGTGAGGTGTATGATGGAGTCGTTGGAGGGGCTGTATCGTGCTTCTACATTCACTATGTTAGTGTTGTGCGGTTGTGGAATTGAAGGCGTTTACGGTATGCGATGGGAGCGAACAAGAGGTTGACGAGGTTTGGGGCGGCACTAAGGATGTCATCGGATACACGGTGCAGGTGGCGGGGGAATGAGATGTTCTGTTCTTTTGATGGCCATAGGGTAAGGCTTGTGAGGGAAAAGAGGCAGCCGGAGGCTGTAGGGGAGGATAACCATCTCAGCAGGGTCATGGAAATGTCGTGCAAAAGAAGTTCTTCAACGAGCGTTATGGTTGGGTCACGGTCGAGAAAGAGGCCATCGCAGTGCAGCACACCGAGGTACGTCAAGGACGGTGACGATAAGACGGTGGAGATTGGAAAGTCGTTGAATCTCTGGACGACGACGGAGCGAAGAGTGGGGAGAAGTAGGACCGTGATGATGCCCTGCTTCACGGCGTCTGTCATGTCCTGCCACGACAGGTAGTCGTTATGGCCGTCGAGATGGAGAGCTTGGAGCCTGGGCAAAGCGACTAGCATGCGCGCTAGGTCTTGCTCCGTATGCATCCAACCTCGCCTGTACTGACGCCGCTGGAGCTGAGTCGCCTCTTCCCACAGGATGAGCTTGCGCACGTACAGGGCGAGGTGAGGCGACGTCTTGAGAAGGTCATAAAACCTACGGAACCGTCGGACGATGTAGGTCCCAGAACTGTCGATGATGGTCGCTGGTTGGACAATGGAGACTGTGCGAAAAATCTGGGTATGTGCGGCATCCTTCATGCAGCGGTGAGCCTGGAGACATGCTTTGCAGGACTGGATGTCGTCGTAGAGGTGGTCGATGATGGAGTCAATCACTTCCTGAGGGAGCGCCGACATAGACGCCAAAATGACGCCGCCATACATTCCCACGCACGCACAACGCTCAAGTCTCGCCTAACTGAGACAGCATTCACTCACGGCACGCATCAAGAATTAAGGAAATGGGAATAAAAATAATAAAGAGTACAGATACGATACAATACAAGTGCAATACAAATCCAGAGATTACTTGGCACCTGCCGAAGAGAACTGCAAAGCATGTTAGACAGAGCGAATGCACGAACAGAAGATGACAAACCTTGGTCACCGATTTAGTTCCCTCTGAAATAGCGTGCTTGGCCAGTTCACCAGGCAGAATCAGCCGCACTGATGTCTGGATTTCACGGGAAGAGATGGTGGACTTCTTGGAGTAGGCCGCGAGTTCTGGAGGTAATGTTAGCTTAAGTAGAGGTTAGAAGGCGAGTCAACGTACTGGAAGCCTCGGTGGCAACCCGCTCAAAGATATCATTGACAAAGGAGTTGAGGATGGCCATTGCCTTGTTGGAGATACCCGTATCAGGGTGAACTTGCTTAAGGACTGTAATTGTGGGTCAATCGATGAGTGATCAGCAACGTTGATAATCCACATACCCTTGTAGATGTAAGAAGAGTAAGTCTCCTTTCGTGACTTTCGGCGCTTCTTCTTATCGCCGTCAGCTGCTGCTGGCTTGGAAGTCTTTTTGGCAGCCTTTGAACCTTCAGACTTGGCGGGAGCCTTGGAAGCGGTGGAGGCAGGGGCTTTGCCGGCAGTGGAAGCAGGTTTGGGGGCCATTGCTGATGAAGTTTGAAGGCGAGGAAGGTTTGTATCGAAGAGGTGAGTGCTGAGATGCAAGTGAGAGACGGGAGCCAACGAGGACGTAGCGGGGTTTATATCAGAACGCGTCACGTTGTTCTTGTTTGGCTCCGACGCGTCTCGTTGTTGATTGTTGACCAGAATCAACAAAGAGACACCCCACGTGATTGAACCTTATTTGCACTCGCGGTATAAATTCTGGGTTCCCACTGCCCTCGATCCTTGTTAACTCCCACCACCTCGAGTACTTCAAACACCTCCTCAAAACTACTCACCCTCTACACAACAACCCACTCGCATAACAATGTCTGGCAAAGGTGGCAAATCCGGAAAGACTGGCGGCAAGGCTGGCGGTGACGGTGGCAAGTCGCAGTCGCGTTCCGCCAAGGCGGGTCTCCAATTCCCTGTCGGTCGTGTGCACCGTCTCTTGAAGAAGGGCAACTATGCTCAGCGTGTTGGTGCAGGTGCTCCTGGTAAGTTGCTATATCTTTCGTATTATTTTTATCTTTCTGACGCGTCATTTTTGCCAGTCTACCTCGCAGCCGTCCTCGAATACCTCGCAGCCGAGATTCTCGAACTCGCTGGTAACGCTGCTCGTGATAACAAGAAGCAACGTATTGTGCCTCGTCACTTGCAACTCGCCATCCGGAACGACGAAGAGTGAGTCATCCTCGTCATTTATCTGCTTCTAATCGCTGACTGTTATTAGGCTGAATAAGCTCCTTGGTGACGTCGTCATATCCCAGGGTGGTGTCGTCCCCCACATTGAATCACAACTGTTGCCGACGAAGTCTGGCAAGGGCCGGAAGGAGGATGGTATCAGCCAGGAGGTTTAAATCTCGTCCTTGGTGGGCTGTCGGATTTTTTCTTCATCGTTTTGTATCAGCAGATGTATTATTTCCCCCATCATCTATAATTATTTGTCCTTTCAAGCTTCATTGGTTCATATCTAATGCGTGATACCTGCAAGTCTCACTGTTAGCCTTTGCGTCACAATAGTCGTCTTCAGATTAGCTCGATGGCTACCGCTAAAAATTTAAGTCGACAGGGAGGGCGCTGGTGTGGATCACGGAGAAGATGTGGCTGGTGGGCATTTAGTAAGTGCGGATTTAACAAGGATAACTGGTTTCCGGCCTTTCCTTACGCGTAATACTGCAGGTATAGGTGGATTTCATGCTGACGTCCACCAGATTGAGTGGATGGCATTTGACCAATACAGTCGTGCAGTTTCTGAGACCACTGGATTTTCGACGGGAAATGTTGCGCGAAGGGCTGCTGCACTTCAATATACACTTCTAGGAGCTGTGGAGAGACCATTTGTTGGCAGTCGTGGAGGCTTGGAAAGCATGTAACCGAAGCGCCGAAGCTACCCACAGCTTTCAGTAGTGGCTCATATGCTCGTCGCGACGAGAACTCTTGGACAAGTACTCACCCATGATGCCTGCAAGTACATTTGCTGTCCATGATCGATGACGAAGATCCAAGCTTGCTTGCAATGACGAGACGAGATTCATGCAGCAGGCAGTACGAGAAGTGCCTCTATGTTCGTCGGCTGTCCACGGGGCGTTCAGGCTTATGTTTCATCTTCGTTCGACGGTATTTTAGCCCTTCCTAGAGTCTTGATGGTTACGAACAGCCTGGTTTTTTGGAACTTGCGGTCGGCTGCATGCTATCACCTACATCCATACTTCTACTTCTCTCAAATCTCAATTGCATTGCATCCATCAAGAAAACCTGGAACTGGAGAGATGTTGTCTATCAGTTGAGGCATAGGGAACTCTCCTTGGTCAGACACCTAGCATCAACAATCGAATGGCGACGAAATCGGTATCATTGAGGAGGGAAGGCATCCAAGGAGGGTGAAATATGTAAGTCTTGTAAGGTTCTATTAGTTCATGCGTGATACTCTTATGACTCGATATATAGATGATCTTTGCGGGATGTGATATCGGCTGATAAAGGTGGACTGCCCTGCACTGCCTGGGTGTCATGAGTTACAACGTCACGTCTATGATGTTGTATACTGATTCCGGTGGTGGTTGTGGTATATGCGCAATATTCGTCGGAATAATGAGTCCATCTATGAAGCATTGTCCTCGTCATTCCTGGTGCTTTGCACGATCGCCCTTCCGCGTAACTTGATTTAACTACCCGACATTGGGTTCGATGTTAATGTCTGTTCCTATGTTCCGGCAGTCTATTTTCTCAGCATTGACCCGCCTTGTCACGACTACTTTGCTTGACACAGTATCTAGGTGATGATCAATGAAGAACCGATGATGCAAACAAAGATGGGTCGACTCGAGACGTTCCGCAACGCCTTGCCTTCAGACCTTCAGAGATTTTCCGAGTGCTGGCAAGGAATCTACGTTTGGAAGGGGTTGCTGTTTATCATGGATACGTGCTGTATTCCCTGTCTCAACTTCGCTGATAGGTGCACTAGTTCCAGGGCAATCTTTCTCCCAATGATACGGCCATGCGGTGGGTCCTCATCTCTGTATGACTTGCGAAAGCTGGTGCTCTTTCCACCTTTCCAGGGACTCGAATATCCGGGACGTAACTATCGCATATGGCATCGAGACTATCCTACTTTTTTCATGTCGATTTTGGAGCAAGATCCAATCGGGATTCACATCATGACGGAACACGTTCGCGTTGACAGGCGCGCTGAAATCTCACTAGGGTGGTCATGTTGATTCTCTTCCCCGAAGTCATTTGCTAATTCGACAGAACATATATCTCTAAGAGGCTCGCAGTTCATATTACGCTACGGTGCGAGCCTTCTCCGGCACATTGTCAATGTGAACGGTGGCTTGTTAAATTGCTGAATGAACCTGGTACGTACTAAGGAACCCGTTCTGACTTGATCACCAATGATCATCTTTTCAGCAGCCAATGAGCGTGTCCATAACTGCACTGTTATAACAAGAGGGTTGGTGTAAGTTGCTCTCATAAACTCACTATCCCGTGGTCCCCGCTTTCCCTCATGACGGCTCGGGTAGATATTCCATCAGATCTCACGGACGACGACAAAGCTTACTGCTTTCAATTGCTCGACGCTAATCTGAACTCCCAGATTCTTTACGCGCTATTGCACGGTGGGCAACGACGTTTAGTGCTTGATATGTCGGTGTTGATTGATGACAGGTGTATACACTGGCGTTCTTGCTATTACGTTGTGGAATATCTGTGAGCCAGGTGTGTCTCCACTATGACATCCAAGCTGAAGTGAATGGTAGTCATCAATAACTGTTGGCGGACCCGACGTGCCTTGATTATTGTTATCGTTCTCCTCTATGCTTTGATTACTATCAATGTTGCTGCCAGTTGGTCAGATATATACTCCGCATTCATCGAAAACGGGCAAAGCTTTTGGACCGTATATTTGAGGTTATATGGTTGGGACGCAGCCTATTGGGAGACGGGTATTTCAGCCTTAATAAGTACTATTCTCGCAGACTTATATATGGTGCGTACGATTCCGCTGGGAATTATCCACATCTCACTATCCTTTCAATTCTAGATTTGGTGCTGCTGGATACTTTGGGGTCGGCGCCGGCTCACGGTTCTGCTTCCGATACTTTGTCTAATTTCCGCAGTTGGTAAGTACCTGCCGTCATTTTCTCTTTCATATACCTATCCACTTCCTGCCCAGTGTCAAGAATCGTTTTTGAAATATTTCAAAAGTACAGCAATGCACCCTCTGAAATATTCGTTACACTCTACATATCTTTCGGTCTGGCGACAACAATATGGTGCACCTTGCTCATCATTTACCGTATTCTGACCGTTGTAGGGGTTAGGCGTGGAGCAGAGGGTCGACTGAGAGTTTATCACCGTTTCATTCAAGTCTTTGTGGAATCCTCGGCGCTATATGCAATAGCTCAGCTCCTTTATTTGGCTTTCAGCATTCGAAATAATATGGGAACGTTTTACTTTGATACCATAGCTGCCATCGCGAAAGTGCGTTTACACCTTTAGGTTTCCTTGTCATTCATTGAACACCTTGCACAGGGTGTTACACCCACACTCCTTGTTGGTAGGGCAGCGGCGGGACATACGCAGCCCCACGATGACTCTGGTGAATCCACAGTGTCGACACTTCATTTCCAGACATATTCGGAACCTGGCACGATAAGCTTTCAGGAATCCACCACAGAGCATGATCCGTGAAATGGACCTTGAGGCTCGACCGGAGCACTCTGATGAGATTGTGGTTGTTGTTGAAAGACGCAATGGCTCTTACGATGAACTTGAACGAGTCGCCACTCGCGAGTGAGATCTTGAGAGTCCGGTTGAGACTATGGACTAAGTTTGGATCGCCTTTTTCCGTCGTATTATTGTTTTCGGTTATCATGCTACAGCCTTTTAATATCTGTAATCTCTCTTTCCCTTCGGGTCTTTATGCTATATATAGTCCCCAGAAAAATATGACGCAGTGCATCATCACGATTATTGGCGAGGAAATCGAGACTCATTTACAATCAATCAATGACTCACAGGAAATAAGCATCGAAAATAGGCATCTGTTCATACTCGTAGTGAATGTTCTAACCTTTTTCCGGCAGAGTTTAACTATGCTTCATTGACAAACCCCCTTCAGTCAGGCCTCTTCGCCTTCTGACTGATTAGTGGGTTTCTTCTGTGCTTGCGTATGGTTTATTTTCAGTGTTTCCCTTCACATACCCATCGCAAATATAGTCCGTCTTAGGACCTTGCAGCCTTGGCGGTGATTGCTACTTTTGGACAGACTTGTTCCGGAAACTGCCGTCTCGTTTATACCAACACCAACGATAATGTCCACACTTCTATTCTGCATCTGCAATTGCACCGAATACGTCCTCGTCCTGCAATTTCAGAACTGGAGAAGTCTTTCCTATCGAGTGAGATGCTATAGAATTCTCTTTGGACAGATACCTGGCGCCAGCAATAGAACGACGACGAATTCGGTGACTAGAAGCAGGAAGGCTCCCAAGGTGGGCAATAGGAGGTCTTGTGAAATGGGCTCGAGGACATCAAACCCCCCTATCTCTAGCAGCGTCACCTTCAGGATGTTTTGATCGCCCAGGTATGCAGACAGCAAGTACGTGCGGATTTAAATTTAACTGCTGCAGCACTGTATACATGCCCTGCGACATAATATAATTTGCATCCGCGACTCGACTGGTCTGGAAGCAGAGGTCCTTCGTTAACTGTGGCTCAAGCTTGAAAGGCGTATGACGACCAAGGTGCTTTCGGTTTACCAATGGCTTTCAAGAGTGGCCCATTTTCATCGCCCTCCTCAATGCCGTGACGAGGACAACCATACGATGGGTACTCGCCTGCCATCTCTGGAGGTATGCCCATCGAGGCAGCCATGGCCGTGTTGGCATCCATGACTGCAAACGATGATAACTCGGAGGCGCCGAGCTTGATAGCTTGATTCATGCGACGAGACGAAAATCATGATGTCAAAACCTAAAGCAGGCAGCACGCGCATGTTGTGAATTTCTTCATGTTTATCGGCTGCCTCCACAGGACAAACTGTATTCAAACTAATAACAGACCACGGTGGAGTTGTCATCAAATGGGACCGTTCTCAACTTCTTACTTCTATTATGGCTCGGAGCTTCGTTCGACGGCATATTGTCTATCAACCGCCCTTCTGGAACCTTGGTGATTGCGAGCTGTCTATTTTTTCGTGACTTGCACGCCAGCGTTATGTCAGCACCAACATTTTGCTACCTCTGCGTCCTCAATTATACCGAATCTATTATCACTGGGAAATTTCGGAACCGCAGAAATGTTTTCCATGAAGTCAGGTTACAGAACCTTAACGTCAATGATCAAATCATCATATAATGATGAAACCAGTGCCATAGAAGCCGCAAGGTGCCCAAGGAGGGGGAAGCGATAGGTGAGTCTAAAGGGCTATCGGTCTGAACTATAATCGCTATATTGACGCGTTATCTAGTTCGCCTCTAGGGGATTATCCAGTATCATTTAAACGACAAAGGTAGAAACGCCACTCCCAGGATGTTGATGGTTTGTGTGCAATGTCGCTAGAATAATGAAGCCATCTATGAAGCCCTGTCCTCTTCATCGCTTGTCGAGCAGGCATTTCCCTTGTTCGTGATATTTTAGAGGTGCCGGTTACTCTTCTGCGTAGCCTGAAACTGATTTCCCGCCAATGGCATCGCGCCATGTTGGCATTGGTCGTATGACTCGTATTGGTGTTTGCTTCTATGGCTTGGCAGTCTATTCTCTCAGTATTGGTGTGCGTTATCACAGCTACTTTGGACCATTGCAGCATCTAAGTGATGATTAATGAAAGAACTATCGATGCAAACAATGATGGGCCGACTCCGAGACGTTGCGTAGTGCCATCTTTTCAAAGATTTACCCAGTGCGGGCAAGGAAACTGCGTCTGGAACAGATCCGGGTTCTTCAAGCTCATCATGGGGTACGTGCTGTATTCTCCACCTCTTCATTTCTTTGATAGATGCAATAGTTCCAAGGTAAACTTTCTCCCGTCATGTATAGCCGTGTCGTGGGATCTCATCTAACATACCTAGCGGACGTCGACACCCTTGCCAACCCCTACTGGGATTCAGGATTCGTCTGTATTCCGATCATGCTTGCCATTGAAACCTTCCACCTTTTTTCTGTGAAGCAATCGCAGATTCATGCCATAACGGATCAAGGCGCTATAAGACCTATTTAAGGATCTGAGAAGGAATCCTGCTGAGTTGGAATCGAAAGCGATGATTATCTTCGCAGCAGGCAGTGTCCAGTAATTTATAAAGTTGGTATATGTGCTCATAAACCACTACCTCATTGCTCTTATTTTCCTCCATGGCGATTCAGATAGATATTCCGTCAGATATTACCGATGATGATAAAGCTTATCTTTTTCAAACCATCGATGCTATGCTGAACGCTCACCTTTTCTATGCGCTATTGCATGGTGAGCGGCGACGTTCTGTGTCTCAATATATTGGTATTGATTGATGACAGGTATATACACGGGCGTTCTTGCCGTTACATTATGGAATATTTGTGAGCCAGGAGAATATCCACTGCAATATTCAAGCTGAAGTGAATCAAACAGCCATTAATAAATGTTGGCAAATTCGACGAGCCCTGGCCATCGTTATCATTATCCTCTATGCTCTGATTACCATCAATTTTGCTGTCTGTTTGTCAAAGATATGCTCTGCTTTCATCGATCACGGCGAAAATTTTTGGACTGTATATTCGAAGCTTACTGGTGGGGCCCAGACAGTCTTCTGGGAGACGGGTATCACAGCATCCTTGAGTACCCTTCTTGTAGAGTCATATATGGTGTGTGCAACTCCGTCGGGGACTATCTACCTACATCAGTTCACCGTTGTTTCGACTCTAGATTTGGTGCTGCTGGATGGTTTGGGGACGACGCCGGCTTATTGTCTTGCTTCCCATATTTTTTCTAATTTCTGCAATCGGTATGGTGTCTTGTCCTGTCTACTCTTTTTATGCTCAGAATAATATCTGACCTTTATTCAGTATCAAGGACCATGCAAACATATTACGAAAATGTCCATGCGTCCGCACGCAATGATTTGTTCACAAAATTCTATCTATCCTTCAACCTGGCGACGACATTGTCATGCAACTTGCTCATCATTTACCGCATTACAACTATCGCTAGATCTAGGCGTGGAGCAGAGGGTCGACTAAGAGTTTATCGCCGTTTCATCCAAGTGCTCGTGGAGTCCTCAGCTGTATATGCAATATCTCAGCTCCTTTATTTAGCTTTCAGCATTAGAAATAATTCGGGAACGTTTTACTCTGACATCATATCTGCCATCGCGAAGGTAGGTTCATTACCTTAGACTCTCTTGTCATTTATTAAGAACCTCGCATAGGGAGTTGCACCCACACTCCTTGTTGGTAGGGCAGCTGCAGGACATACTCAACCGAAAGATGACTCCGATGAAACTACGGTGTCGGCACTTCATTTCCGGACACCTTCGAAACTTGGCACGACAAACCTTCAAGAATCCACCATGCAGGGCTCAGTCCTTGAAATGGACGTCGAAGCTCAATCGCAGCGGTCGGATGAGTTCGTGGTAGTTGTCGAAAGGATACAGTAGGGGCCACGACGACTGAAAGTCGGGCTGAGACTTTGAACAAAATTGGGAGCTATCTTTGATTGTATTATCCTTTTCTGTATTGTGCTTTTATGTATTTTATCTTTCGATTGATTATATAAACCTGCTCATTTCCTTTGGGTGCTCGCGCTCTGCAGGAAATACGACGCAAAACATCGACGTAGTCGTCAGCGGAATCATGGAGGCTCATCCGAAGATGCCACATCAACTCAAGGGAAACAGGCGTCAAAACCAGGAATCATTTCATAGTACGACTCGTTTTCTGCGTTTCTATACCCATAGTCATCTCAAATGTAGGTAGCTCTTCCCAAAGCGTCGTAGCCATGGCGGTGATTACCACTTTTGGACAGGGATTTCTCCGGGATCTGCCGGCTGGCTTCATACCAACGTCAACAACCACCGAACACACCGTCACCTGGCATTTTTGGAACTGGGGACGCTTTACTTATCAAGTGGGGAACATGTTTCGTACGGATTCCTGATGTCAACAATCGAGCGACCGCGAAACCAGAAGGCGCCCAAAGAAGGCACGATGATAGGCGAGTGTTGAAACGTGGACTCGACGACTTCAAAATCACAGCCTATTTCTGACAGCATTGCGCTTATGAAGCTCTGGCCGTGGAACGAAGACAGCAAGTACGTGTGGACAGTCAATGCCCATGGCTTCTATCCCCTACACGTAAATTCCAGGTGAACCTCATGCCGACAACCTAGGCGCCGATAGCCAATACGCCGTTCAGTTTCTGGACGCCGACCAACATCTGTACTTGACGCTCCTGGGAAGGTGTGGCTGAGTAGATCCTCGATGCGGAATTTGGGGAGAAGATAAGGAAGCATCTCGCACAAAATCTGTGCTGGCGATTTAGTTGGTGTTAAAGGTCTCTTTCCTTGTCAGATTCTCGTAGATCACTTTGGTCAAGTTTTTCATTCGCATACAAGCGGATCGGGAGCAGAAGCCTTCACCGATAGTGCTCAAACTTCGAAGGGTGTTCGAGTCACAAGACCCCCGTTTCTCGTTATATGTCCCCTTTTTTTCAATGTTGCGGCAGGGATAATCGGAGTCGAATGGCTATAGGTACGTCCACCCACTGTCACTAGAGTAGAAACATTGACGTTTGCTCTTTCCAGATGTAAACCGATGCGAACACTTGCTTGCCTTGTCACCCACAAGACTTACCTGGCAAATGTTAAATTACGTGCATCGTGCAGTCCATGATACTTAGCTCAAGGCCATGTACAAATTCGTGATATCCTGAACAGAACGATGCACATTTCATGAATTCTTCCGCTTGCCTGCGCCATGTCGGGGCCATGGAAGTTGCTACTTTTAGCGACGGCGAAGAACCAAGGCTGGAACAGTGAACGTAACCATCACTATAGCACATAACAGCCTGCAGCCTCAGGAAGACATAAGAGTGGAAGCTACTGTTGCTGGCCGGACATATACGGGCGGACGACACTCTGGAGGGTCGTGTCGCCCCTCCATTTCCAAGGGGTTTCGAACATTTGCAACCGGACGAGCACCAGGAAAATACCATACAGAGAGGAGTTTTTCAAAATGATATGCGCCCAATGAAGTAGTCGGTGAAGGGACATAGTGGTCGTGAGAGCCCGGCTTTGAAGCATTTAATTTATTACTATGGTTGTGCACAATGAGCAAGCATCGACTTTGATGAAGATGAATTTTGGATAGCGGTGTCACCACCCGGAATTCCGGGCCGCCCTCTTGACCGAGACAACCATCAGCTCTTGTCCGCACATACTATTTGGACCGCGACTCGTCCACTCGATACTCTTGCACGGTAGCAAATAATGATCCATTCTCGTATTAAAGAAATGGTTCAGAGGTCCTTGAGGGTTCTTGGGCCGAGAATGATGTGGAAATGCAATGTACTGCTAGGTGCGTGGTATCTTCTTGTTCTCAGGTTCCTCTAACAAAATCCATCTAGCAACATCAATCTCGTACGACGATTTCTCTGACGTCGCTTTTCCAGGCAAATCTTCCATTGGGTCTCAGAGATCAAGCAATATCTTGTCAATCCCGTTTCTCGACTACGCGATGGAAGGATAGAATACCTCGTTACTGAAATCTGCCTTCTCACGGCATCGAGAGACCGTTAGGCCCCTCGAAAGTCCGTCCTTCATCGTTGGTTCAATGACGGCAAACAATCACGCACTGGCAGGAAGATGGGATCAGGACACAGCCTGATTCTTGAACGAAAGAAAGATGTGTTAAGGACGAGACCTGGCGGAAGTATTGGTGACGTTAAGGTGCGCCCATAGACTCTGTGTTCCCACAAATTGACCCTGATATAGTTACAGTACGTTCACTCCATGATGAGAGTCGTTCTCTTCCCAGTTTTGTCTGTTAATGCGTTGAAAAATACAACGGTCTTAACTGATCATTATCAAAACCGCGAGATTATCTATCGTACAGCAGTAGAGAACTCAGTTCATGACTTGCAGCGTCACCTCCTGGATGCCGGTGGTACTACATGTATTGCCTTCCATGACTTACGGTCGCCGGAATAATGAGCCCATCTGTGAAGCCTTGTCTTCTTCATCACTTAATAAGCAGGGATCTCCTCTCGTTCTTTTCTAGGTGCCCGGTCACTCTTCGGTGTAACATGATTTACCTGCCCCCAATGGCCTCGCGTCATGCCGTTTCCGTGGCTCACCCGTCGATTCTCAGCTCTCAGTATAGGCCTGTTATCGCCTTTGCTCATCTCAGTGTCCAAGTGATGGCTAGTGAAGAAACGACGATGGAAACAAAGATGGGTCGAATCAGACTCGGATAGCAACGCCCTGCCTCTGGAGATGTGCCGAGTACTGAAAGGGAAACCGCCTCGGGAAGAAATCAGGTTCATCGAGTTCATCATGGGCTACGTGTTTTATTATCTTGCCCCACTTTTCTGATAGGTGATGAATCATTTCCAGGATAAACTTTCGCCTAAATAGCTTGCAGACGTTGATACCCTTGCCAATCCCTTTACCAGGATCCAGGAGCCGTCAACGTCACTATTGTACATGACATCGAAACTTACCCACCTTTTTTCTGTCAATCTTGCAGCCAAATTTCACGCTATGATGGAACAAACTCAATCTGACAGCTGCGCTGAAATCTCACTGGGATGGGTTCCTTGACTCTGTACGTAAGGATCCCGCTCTGACTTGACATCGATGATCATCTTTGCAACAACTAATGAACGTGTTCAGTAACTGCACTTTATAATGATAGGGTCGGTACGTGGTATACTCATAACCCACTACCCCGTTGCTCTTGCTTTTCCTCATGGCGGTTCAGGCAGATATTCCATCCATTCTTACCGATGACGATAAAGCTCTCATGTTTCCATATCTCGACGCTATCCTGAACTCCACAATTCTCTACGCGCTATTGCATGGTAGGCAACGATGTTTAGCGCCTTGACATGTACGTGTTGACTGATGACAGGCATGTACACCGGAATTCTTGCTGTTTCGCTGTGGAATATATGTGAGCCAAGAGCATCTATACTGCGGCATCCAAGCCGACGTGAGTGGCACAGTCATCAACAAATGTTGGCCGATGCGACGAGCCTCGGTCGTCGTCGTTATTATTCCCCTTTATATTCTGATTACTACAAATTTCGCTACCAGTTGGTCATTATTATGCTCCGCATTCATCGAAAACGGGCAAAGTTTTTGGACCGTATTCTCGAAGCTTGTCAGTGGGAACCAAGCAGCCCCTTTGGAGAAGGGTATTTTATCCTTAATGAGTACCATTCTCGCAGACTCGTATATCGTGTGTGCTGCTTCGCTGGTGATTATCCACGTCAGCTTATCATCTTTTCGGCTCTAGATTTGGTGCTGTTGTATGGTTTTGGGACGGTACTGGCTTATCGTTCTGCTTCCAATCCTTTGCCTAATTTCTGCAACTGGTAAAGTGTCCGATCTTATCTACTCTTTTCATGTATTCAACCATCAGTGTAGTGTCGAAAATTGTGGAAGTATACTATAATGAACCATTCCCTATGCTCTACATATCCTTCGTCCTGGCGACGACATTATTGTGTACCTTGCTCATGGTTATCCGCATATTGACTGTTGCCGGAGTTAGGCCTAGGCGTGGAACAGAGGGTCGACTGAGAGTTTATCACCGTTTCATCGACGTGCTGGTGAAATCCTCGGCTCTCTATTCAATATCCCTGATCCTATTTTTGGCTTTTACCATCCATGACCCGGACGATTTGGGACTGTATTACTTTGGTGTCATAGCTGATATTGCGAAGGTGTGTCACTGAATTTTGACTCCGCTATCATATACTAAGCAACTTGTGTAGGGAATCACACCAACGCTCCTCGCGGGACGCTTCACAACCAGACATCGAGCCCGCCCAGATGATTCCTGGCAGGGAAGCGTGATGGCATTAACTTCAAATAGGGAGCAAGAGCAAGAGCATAGTCGAATCAGAATGAGCTCCCAGGAAGATAGACCGACAAGCCTAGCCCCTGATGACCTTGAGGCCCAATGCTCGATTTCTGTCAGGGTGAATTGTTTTGCTTCTATTGTCTCTCTGTCCCGAACTGAAACAAGATCTTCACTTCTTAGGAACCTTCTCCAACACCTCGCTCTGTCTCTGTCGTGGCCGATCCTGCCAACCCAAACATTGACGATGCTCCAGAGAGCGAGACGTCTTCGCTTTACTTTGGGCATCGCTTGATCCTTCATGACAGTTTACCCACTTATGAGGATGCAACCCACATTTCTACCATATTGGACGAGGCAGCAGCTCCAAGTTGATGATGATGTAGCCTTGAAAAGAGCAGGAGCATTCGGTGGCATGGTGTATTCAATTCTCGCATTTTTCTCTTCCTGGTTTGGGCGTTTATCTCCATCCACAGTAATTATCGAGGCTTGAATACGCAATAGCTTATCTTCTCTCATTGGAGCCCTGACATCTTACCGAGTATTTATAGGCCGTTTCTACGTACGACTGACTCGGAGTGTGGAGAACTTTGTGTCATTGCGTTACGTTGCGTTTGTTGCTTTTTACAGAAGCGGGTGTAACAAACTAATAAATGAGCCCACTCGTTACACAACGGAGTAGATACTCATCCTCAGCCTCGACTATCGGCACGCAAGATCTTCAATCTATACCCGTCGAACGACCTGTACAAACCTGAAGGACTCCGTTGTGGAACGATGGCCGGAATGCGAGGATGTTGAAGTTGTATAGCTGTTCTTCGATTTGCACGTCCTTTTTTATGCATGTCACTATCCTGTGACCTCGATGGCCGACTCTGACAGATATTCCGAGCTTTGCTTAGCCGAGGAGGTGATACGCGTTTGGCCATGACAAAACGCAGTATATCGTGAGCATAAAAGTCGATGTGATCAAGCTTGTAACCAAATGGAATCTTCTCTTGGTCTCTTTCGAGTAGCATACCCAGCAGAAGAAACGAGACACGGCATCTCATTGAGGTGTAGCCCTCCATTCCATATCCGCAGCCCTGTATCTGACTTTCATCGTTTCCAACAATTAGGTGCGTTTTACCTTGACATCGCGCTTACGACTCGCTTGTTTCCAGAGGTCTTTGCACGTTCGCACTCAGGAAAATACCACAGAGCGAAGCCCTTGAAGAAAGTTATAGAATTTCAGATGCCGAAGCCAGATGGGCGCAAAGAGGTAGTTGTTCCAGGGACGTAATGGCCATGGTTGTAGCGAGAGCTTGCCAGCTTGGTCGATCGCGCTCTCGTTTGATTATGACTGTGACCCAGTAGCGTATTAGGACTTGGAATTTTACTTGAACAAGCTTGAATGTTACCTTCCTTTTAGGTTATTGCAATTGTACCTGCGCATACGCGTGCATTGCTTTCTTCGACCATGAATATGAATGCATAAAGCTTGAACGTAACGTTGCTGAGGGTGATTTCTAATTTTGGACTGCCAAGAGCCCGCCCGCCCGTTGACCTTTTGCTTCTACTTTGCTCGGCCAACGGTCTGAATTGTGGCCCTCATTCGACACTGGCATTCTAAATTTCTACTATGAAGAAGACTGTAGGCTATATTCAAGAAAATAGGTCACTATTGGATCGCAAAGAATACTTCTTTCACAATTCTTTGGAAGGGCGGCGAAATGCTTCAAGGTGGTCAAGGATTAATGGGTTGAAAGCGACGTGGAGAGATGCGGTGTTCACCTAAGCCATCAGTGCGTATCACCTCTCGTTCTCAGGCTCTCCTAGCGAGGTCTTTCCAGCACAATCGTTCCTCTTGTCATCGTTGTCGACGTCCTGGTGATGACAGGTCACAGGCCTGATTCGCAGTGGCTACGCTTTCGAGCTTGCCTCTGAAAGTACTGGGTCTCGTGCATCGAGCAATGCGATTCTATTTCTCTACTATACCCGGAAACATAGAATACCGCTGTACTCACCACCTGGCACCAGCGGCCGTCGCATGATACAGCTAGCGGGATTACCTACCATGTTGACGATGCCCATGTGTCAGATCGCTTGACACCTCTGTCTCTGCTTGTCACGACATCGAGGGATGCCAGGTCGTGCCCAAGTCCATCTTGTTGTATGCGCTGCCTGTATCGATGACGACGAAGAATACGCATCTCGGATCGGAGAAAAGCAGGATAGGTGCGATAGGGACACAGCGCTATTCACGAACAAAGGAGACACAGCTTAATGAAGAAGTCAAGCGGAATCATTGTGGGAGTCGAGGTGCGTCTATATGATCCGTGTTTCTACAAGTTGTCCCTGATATGTTCACAGTGCGTTTACTCCGTCATGCCCGTGATAAGAGCCATTCGGTTTCAAGCTTCTTTTTCTGTTAATAGGTTGAACGAATACAACAATCCTTAGTGTGATCATCATCAAACTGCGATAGTATCTATAGCATAACGCCAGAGATATTCTCGGCCTATACTTCTCAACCCCCTACCACAACGATCTCCTGGTACTACCATCGTTTCGTTCGCGGAAACAAGCAATTATTTGTGATCGACAGACCGGAAGTTGTGCCGAGATCTCCTACGGAGGATCCGCTGATTATTCTCCCAGACTTTGTTCATCTTTTTGTCACTTGATCTAGAGCCACACCAAATGTGGCTCGCATTAGAGACTATGAAGGACTGCATATCGAGGCGCTTACGAATACTTGAAAAAACGGAATCAAGATCCATGTTTCTGGAGGTTGCGTTGCGATCTCACGCTGATCCCTTTCCTAGAAGCTATGCATCATCCCTTCTGTCTTGATATAGTACCGCAGCCGACAGAATCCTGCACCAAATCCAACGCTCTGACTCGGCGGTTACACCCACAACTTGTGTCGTCTTAATTCTGATGCAATCGTGCTTCGCGCAGCGCCTGCGTTGTTGGTCATTCATACACGATGCTGCTACGTTGAGGTCGCCAAACACTTTTTACGTCAAGGAGTCCACCGCCTCGGTGTTGTTATAGAACTCAAGATAACTCACAGTGATCATCTTTTCCCACATCGACGGACTTGTAGTGCCTTCTATATAATGAGGGATTTGGCGTGTTTGATTCCTATGAACTACTACCTCGTCATTCTTGTCCCTCCGCTATGGTGGCCTCGGTAGGAATACCATCCGATCTTACTGCCGGCGGCAGAGCGATGATGTTTCGATTCCTCGACGCTTATCTGAACTCGAAAATTCTCTACGCACTATTGTATGGTGAGCAACGTCATTCGGTCCCTTAAGTATACGGGTAGTAACCAACAAGACACATAGGCATATATACCGGCATTCTTACTGTCACGTTGTGGAATATATGTGAGCCTGGAACATCTCTCTCTTGATACCCATACCGATATCGAATCTGCAGTCATCAACAAATGCTGGCCAATCCGACGCGCTTTAGTTGTTATAATCATTCTCCTTCACGCCCTGATTACTGTCAATTTTGCTACCACTTGGTCATTTACGAGCTCCGCATTCGTTGGAAACGGACAAAACTTCTATACCGTTTTTTCAAAGTTCGTTGAGATAGCCGACTTGGAAGCAATCTATTGGGAGACGGGTATCACAGCCATCATCAGTACTATTGTCACAGATTTATGCATAGTATGTACACGACATCGGGGATTCTCTGCACTAGCTTACCATCATTTCAACTCTAGATTTGGTTTTGCTGGATGGTTTGGGGGCGGCGCTGGCTTGTGATCCTGCTTCCAATACTTTCCTTAGTTTTCGCGGTTGGTAAAGTGTTTAACGCCACATACTTTCTTCATCTCATACTTAATCTCCTATGTAGTCTCAAAATTCTTAGAAGTGTATCACCAATACGTCAGCAGATCTGCTGGCGCATTCGTTACGGTTTATGTATCCCTTATTCTGTTGACGACCTTATGGTGTACCACACTCATCATTTACCGCATTACGACTGTTGCCGGAGTTAGGCATGGAACAGAGGGCCGGTTCAGAGCTTATCGCTATTTCATTGAAGTGCTAGTTGAATCGTCAACTCTGTACTCAGTATCTCTGATCCTTTATTTGGCTTTCGCAAGTCGCAGTAATTTGGGTATGTATTACCTTGATGTCATAGTTGGCATCTCTAAGGTGCATTCAAAACCGTTTACTCCCCGTCATCCATTGAAATGTTTTGTGCAGGTAATTGCTCCAACGCTTCTGATAGGACGTATCACGGCAGGACACCGGGCCCGCCCAGATGATTCCTGGCAGGGAAGCGTGATGGCGTCAGCCTCGATTAGGTCGCAGTCGCAAGATCGTAGTCGGATTAGCTTCCAGGAAGACGAGCCGACAAGTCCAATGCTCGATGTCCTCGAGTCTCAGCGCGAGATTTCTCTTAGGGTGAACGAATCTGTTTCTATTGCCTACGCATCCCGAACTGAAACAGGCTTTTTACTTAGGAAGCTTCTCCAACACTTCGCTCTGTCTGTGTCGTGGCCGACCATAGCCGACCTAACAGTAACACTGACGTTTCGCCGGAGAATGTCACATCCTCACCTCGCCTCGGGAATCATTCACTCTTTCACGACAGCTATAACCAGACGAGTGAGGTTGTCACTCGCGGTTCTACCATAGTGGACGAGGCAGCAGTTTCGAGTTGGTGAAGATGCAGCCTTGAAAAATACAGAATCCGGTGGCTCGCTGTACACAAAACTCCCCCAGGTTTTTCTTGATCTTTGACGATTATCTCGTTCCACAGACTAATTATCGATATTTGCATACAATAGTCCATCTACTTTTATGTTTGTAGCCCTGACATTTTACCATATATTTTTAGAACGTTAGGCCTCAGCCTCAGCCTTGATTAATTGATTATCCACACGCAATTCTACCAAGATGCTTCATAATCGAAGTTAGAGATACACATCGAATGACCTATCAAAAACTCGGTCATCTGTCCAACTTTTGCCTCAAGGCAGAAGTAAACCTTTGTTTAAAATCTTCCAGAACGATAGCGTGGTGATGTATGGCTGCTCTTTGATTTTCACGACTGCAACCTCGATGGCCGACTCTGACACTCTGAGGGATATTCCGAACTTTGCTTATATAGTTGAGGGGGCCTACAACAGGCGAAACGCGAAAAAGCGCATTGATTTGCGAGCACGAAGAGTCAACATGATCAAGTGTGAAATGACAAACAAATCGATTCAACTCCTTGCACGCACAGACGTCCAGACAGCGATTTGTACAACTGGACCTGGTCGATCTCCCTTCGCAAACACAGTCCCTGCCTACGGCCCCGTAACGCTTTGTCGCATTCCTGTGGACTGCCCTACATGGTGACTACAGGGACGGCAACACGGCGAATTCAGTGTGAAATAAGATATGCAGGAACCGCGGCGAAGGGAAACGGAGAGATAGAGAGGAATTTGGAGGAGAACATCCCTTTCATCCATACCCTACAGGATGTCCATTTCCTCTCCTCCCATCCTGTTCTCCCTGCATCTTCATGAAAACGAACACGAAATCCCTCACTGGCGGGAGCGTTTGTCAGCCATAGGGCGAAATGGGTATTGGAGGCAATAATATAGCGGCCAGGAAAGGGCTGGCTTGTGGGTGTGTCTCAGTACCGTGAAATGCGATCTTCGATTTCTGCGTCCACATCATGTCTTGATAGTTCTGCGATCGGCAATGGTGTCTTCGTGCAAGAGGAAAGCCGATAGCAAGTGAGCCCCAGGGGATGCGCTGGTAAACGAACGTCCGTTGTTGATCCTGCTACGGCCGTACGCCTACCCTATGGAAGTCGTTAGAATGTGAACAAAATGAAGGACGTCGAACGTACCTTCAACCTAGGTTCAAGTGATGTATCCGCGAGGAGGAGAGGAAGACGGAGGGATTTTGTTTGCGCATGTTGAGCCTACTGCCTCATTGCCTGCCTTCGATTCCGCCACGATACCAACAGATGCCTGATTGCTCTTATAGAATCCTTAAACTTGATTTCTGTTGCGACTGGATCCTTGATCAACAGTGCATTGCAGCCTCTCTTGGAGTCGCGCTGATTCCTGCTAATCTTGTTCATCTTTATTTCGTGATGTAGTGGACGCAATCCCGTGTTGAATGCGGTGGTCCAACTACGCTTATGCTCGCAATGCATGCGGTCTTGGTCCTGACGCCGGCAGAGCCTCTGTTGATCACTCATCCGCCGATTCGTCTTCATATGGATACGACAATGTCAACACTTGGGCAACGAGGGGTTCAAGGGAACTTTTCTGACTTTGACGCCGTTATAGGATTGATGATAGTGATCGTCATTTCCAACCTTGACGGACTTCTGGTATCCTCGATATAACAGGAAGCTTGGTACGTTATTCCCATCACCCACGACCTTGTTGCCCTCGCTTTCCCCATGCCTCAGGCAGATATTCCACCAGATCTTACCGACGAGAACATAGATTTCCTGTTTCAATATCTTGACGCTCAGTTGAACACAGAGATCTTATACGCATTATTGCATGGTGCGCCCCGTGGTTATGTGTCTTTATATGTACGTGCTGACCAATGAGGAACATAGGCATATACACTGGTATTATCGCTCTTACGTTGTGGAATATCTGTGAGTCAGGAGCATCTCTACCATGATGACCAAGTTGACATGAAACACAGTCATCAATAAACGTTGGCCCATTCGACGAGCCTTGATAGTTGTTATTATTATTCTCCACGCTCTGACTACCATCAATTTTGCTGGTACTTGGTCATCTACGCGCTCCTCGTTTATCGTAAATGGGCAACATTTGTGGACTGCATATCTCGGCTTTGTCGCTGGGGACCGGATTGTATCTTGGGTGATGGGTATTTCGGCCTCCATTGGTACGATTCTCTCAGACTTGTATATGGTATGTGTGGCACTGCTGGCAATTATCCACATATCTCTCATCGTTTTGACTATAGATTTGGTGCTGTTGGATGGTTTGGGGACGGCACTGGCTTGTCGTTCTGCTTCCAATCATATCTTTGATTTCCGCCACCGGTAAACTGTCTGATCTGCTCTCTTCTTTTATATTAATGCGCAATTCTATGTGTAGCATCAAAAATCCTGGCAGTGTATCATCAATACAGTAATGGGTCCTCCGGCGATTTCCTAACACCCTATACCGCTCTCACTCTAGTGACCACATTATGGTGCACCTTGCTCATTATCTACCGTATTTTGACTGTTGCCGGGATTGGCCGCGGAGCAGAGGGCCGACTGAGATTTTACCATTGTTTCATTGAAGTACTCGTTCAATCCTCAGCTCTTTACTCGACATCTCTCATCCTATACCTGGCTCTCGCCACTCATGACCATTTCGGGCAATACTACCTTGATGCCATAGCTTCCATCGCGAGGTTATGTCCATGATCTTAGATACCTCGTCGCTTATTCAACACCTTGGGTAGGGAATCGCTCCAACACTGCTCGTAGGACGCGTCACGGCCGGACACCGTGCTCGCCCCGATGATTCCTGGCAAGGAAGCGTGATGGCGTCAGTTTCGATTATGTCGGAGTCGCAAGGTCACAGTCGGGCGACCTTCCAGGAAGATGACTGGACGAGGTCGATGCTTGATGGTGACCTGGAAGCTCAGCGCGATATCCCTCTCAGGGTGAACTAATTTGCTTCTCCTCTCCGTCCCGAACTCAAACAAGATTTTCACGTCCTAGGAACTTTCTCTAACGCTTCGCCCTGTCTCTGTCTCTGTTGTGGCCGACCAGACCCGCCCAAACTCTGACGTTTCTCCGGAGGGCACGATGTCCTCGTCTCACCTCGGGGATCACTCGCACCTTCACGACAGTTTATCCCCTTCTGAGGATGCCGTCCTCGGTTCCACCGTAGGGGATGAGGCGGCAGCGACGAGTCGATGAAGATGTAGCCTTGAAACTTTCGATGGCGTTGTATACAAAACTATCCCACTTCTTTCTTCTTCCGACTATTTTCATACACAGTAGTTACCTATATATGCCATAGCTTATCTACTCTTATTGTAGCCTCGACATTTTACCATATATCTGTGGGTCGTTTCTACATACGACTGACTCGGAGTCTCGGACACCTTTGTGCTACTGTATTGTTTTCGTTGCGTTGTATCTTTATTGCTGTTTGCAAAAATGTTGGCGCAACTGCCTTTTTAAGGCTCGGTCGCTTTTGTGCGAAGGACTTTTCAGCTGTAGCTCAGTCAATACATTAGATATTGGCTTGAAATAAGATATATTTCGACATTTCACGAAGTTCCTGAGGTGCTAGTGTAGTCATAATTTTAATTTAGTCAATTCGAAAATTCCGGCTTGCTGTGAGGGCTCAGATCAACTTTTCAGCTGTATCTTGCCAACGACGGATGCTACGAGGACGGTCCAAAGGAGAAATCCAATGTATTCATACAAAGCGAGATGCACAACTGCATCTTTGGTGCCAGAAAAATCATTGCGGTGTTAAATCAAGAGTTGCATGTTTTTGACCGGGACCCTGACATCCTAAAGGAACGATAGGGTATCACCACAACTCCAATTCCATTGCATGCACCTCAGAAATGATACCAGAAATATATCGCAGCTTACCATATGTTCACATCTGGTCACCTCCTCTCGCAGTGATGAAAATGTCAGTTACACATGCCGAAATTTGAGAAACTCAAAATTTGCTCGCGAGACTTCAAAATTGGGGCTTGCATCTCAGAAATAATGAGGTGATCACACACATACAAAATTCGATGTAATTTGATAGGGAAATGGAGAAGATATGACTGGAAAGTGATATTATGACTTGACGGACAAAAAAAACGATCGAGCCCAAAAAGGCAGTTGCGCCAACATTTTTGCAAACAGCAATAATAGACATACGCATAGCTCACTCTCTACGCAATGGAGTAGATCTTCAGCGCTTAGCTTTAGCTTTGATCATTTGCACTGATTCTACCAAAACGCCTCACAATTGAAGCTTAGTTAGTATACCCGTTGAACAACCTATGAGAAACTCGTTCGCTTTGTCAAGGAAGCAACCTTTGTTGACACTCTTTTGGGCGTGGGAGGCGAGGGATCTTGCAGTATAGTTAGCTGTTCCTTGATATCTACGTCCTTTTTCAGGTTGGCTACCTTCGTGCGACCTCTATGGCCGAATATTCTGAATTTTTCTTACATAGCCGATGACACCATGACGAGACGACATGATCAGGGGTATAACATCAAACGAGTCGAGTCTTTGCGCGCAGAGATGTCCAAAGTGTCATTTTGACGAAACAGTAGATTTCCCCTCGCAAACATACAAACTCTGTTCTACGACTTTTTGTCGCCACTCCTACGGATCGCCGTTCATAGAGACCATAGAGGGCGTAACATGGCGAATGAAGGGTGAAATATTTCGTGCAGAGCAAAGCTGGCTTGCGAAACACGTTTTCACGAGCAAGAGGGAGATCTGGGAAGGAGGGAAGGAGGCCCTGCGTTCTGGGGACAGGGCTGCCCGTTGTTGACGCATCCGAGGACATGGCTCTGCACAACAGTGAACAATAGTAAAACTGCGACGAAGGATGACGGAAAGACGAAGGGGGACTCACTTTTGTCCGTCGGGTCGTACAGGATGTCGATTCCTCCTCCTCCCATTCTACTAGACATGTCCAAGGAGATGAGCACGAAATTACTCGCTGGCAGCAGCGTTCGTTAGCCGCGGGGGGAGAGGATGTTAGAGGCGATAAAGTGATGGCTAGGGGAAAGGGCCGACATGTCGATGCCGCTAGCTCTCGAATCTCGATGCGATAGCGCACATCACCAATGTCTGATATTCGACACGTCTGAGTTTGGGAAATAGATTACTGAACGAAGGGACCAGGTAAGAGGGAGAAAGAAGCCTGAGGCCTGGGCCTGAGCACCGGTCCTAGGCCTCAGCTGCCACCGCATCTTAGTAGATATTATGTAACTAGTTTACTTGTTCTAAAAAAAAAGTCTGATACGGAGATTGCCGCAACATCACGTTACTTGGTATCCTTTGTAAGCGGCATTCGTAGACCCACAGAGACATTGACAGGCAAGGTAATATAAGGTATTGTTCTCGTGCTTTCCTTGACCAACTGATTCAGAATTTGCGCTCAGGTCTCTCTTGGGCTGTTTTTTTTTGATCTTTAAACTTCCTTCCTTCCTTCCTATCGTGATGCAGTGCAGTAAACTGCGTTGAATGCGGTGCTCTGATACTTGAGGTCTTAGCTCGGGCGCCCGCGGTACCTCATTTTTATACACCACCGTTGCACCACCGACATTGATCCTCGTACAGCTGTGATATTTATATCGTAAAACACTTCAAGGAGCTCATGGGAAATTTTCTGGTTTTGGTGTTGTCATAGAACTGAAGACGATAATTGACGAACTTCTGACGCCCTGTATATAATGAGGGGTTTGGTATGTTATCCTCATCGACACTACCCTTGGCTCCAGCTTTCACTCATGATGATTTGGGTAGATATTCCACAAGATCTTACTGACGACGACAAAGCTTTATTCTTTCAATTGCTCGACGCTAACCTGAGCCCCTTAATTTTCTACGCGCTATTGCATGGTGGGCGACAACGTTCGGTGCCTTGACATGTCGGTGTTGACAGATGACAGGGATATACACCGGCATTCTTGCCATCACATTGTGGAATATTTGTGAGAAAGGTGCATCTTTACTAACTATCCAAGCTGAAATAAACGGGACAGTCATCAACAAACATTGGCCGATTCGACGAGCGATGATTGTTGTTATCATTCTCCTCTATATTCTGACTACCATCAGTTTTTCTGCCAACTGGTCAGCTATACGTTCTGCATTCATCGAAAACGGGCAAAGTTTTTGGACTATATACATGAACCTTACCGTTCCGGCTCAAGCAGTCTCTTTGGAGATGGGTATCACAGCGTCTATTGGTACTGTTTTTGCAGACTTATATATAGTGTGTGCGATCCTGTTGTGGATTATCCATATCAGCTCATCATTCATTCGTCTCTAGATTTGGTGGTGCTGGGTCATCTGGGGACGACGCTGGCTTGTCGTTTTGCTTCCTATATTTTCCCTCGTTTCCGCGACTGGTATGGCGTCTGGTCCTGCCTACTCTTATCATGCTCATATCACTAAACCTCTCCTGCAGTATCCAGAATCATTGCGGTATATTATGAATACGCCAAAGTGCCCGCATCCATGGACACCTTTCTTATTCTCTATATATCCTTCAGTCTGGCGACGACCTTATCCTGTACCTTGCTCATTATCTATCGTATATTGACTGTTACTGGGGTTAGGCGTAGAGCAGAGGGTCGACTGGGAGTGTATCACCATTTCATTGAAGTACTGGTAGAATCCTCAGCTCTCTATTCAATATCTCTCATCCTATATTTGGCTTTCACTATTCGTGACAATTGGGGAGAAGTTTACTTTGATGTCATAGCTGTTAATGCAAAGGTGCGTCGATGAAACTCGCTCCCATTCTCATTTCCTAAACAATTTGTAGGGAATCGCTCCGACGCTCCTCGTGGGACGCTTCACGACTGGACATCGAGCCCGCCCAGATGATTCCTGGCGGGGAAGTGTGATGGCATCAGCTTCAATTAGGGAGGAGCAGGAGCATAGTCGAACAAGCTCCCAAGAAGATAGATTGACAAGTCTAGTTCTTGACGGTGACCTTGAGGCCCAACGCGAGATTTCTGTCAGGGTGAATTAATTTGCTTCCATTGCCTCCCCTTTCCGGGCTGAAACAAGATTTTCGCTTCTTAGGAACCTTCTCTAACATCTCACTCCGTCTCTGTTGTGGTCGATCATGCCCACCCAAATACTGATGCTGCTCTGGAGAACGTGATGTCTTCGCCTCACCTCGCTCCTTTACAACCATTTAGCCCCTTACGTCAGGATGCCAGCCGCAATTCTTCCGTGGTGGACGAGGCTGCGACTCCAAGTCGATGAGGATGTAGCCTTGAAAAGGATAGAAACACCCAATGGCACGCTGTATACAAAACTCCCTCACGTTTTTCTTCCTGGTCTTCGGCGATTATCGACAGCAAACATCGGGACTTGTATACACGATACTTATCTTTCCTTATCATAGCCCTGACATCTTACCATATCTCTGTAGGCCGTTTCTACATACAAGGGGCTCGGAGTCTTCGACAGTTGTATCATTGCGTCGTTTTTGTTGTGCTTAAACTTAGTACAATTTACAATAGATTAATATACATGCCTCTACATAATGGAGTAGATCTTCAGCCTCGATTATCAGCTGAAGTCACACGTCGAGCGCTATAAAGGACATCTGTCTGACCGTTGCTTCCGTAACGAAGCAAAACTTTATTAACAGAGGACAGGCGCCTTCTGTGGGACGATGGTGTGGAAAGCGAAGGTCCAAGGATGTGGTAAGCTGTTCTTAAATCTCCACATCCTATTTTTGGCACGTTACTACCCTGCAACCTCGATTGTCGACTCGGACGGATATTCCGAACTTCGCTTAGCCGAGCTGATGAACATACGATACGCGTCCAGCTGCGAGTATATTAGAATCGACATGACCAAGTGTGTAATGACAATCGGATTGATGTAATCCTCGCGACTTCGCATGCAGAGACGCCAAGAAAGCCATTCCCTATCCACGTCCCATGATTTGTCGCTGCTCCTGTGGACTGCTATCTGTAGGGACCACAAGAGACTTGACATGGCGAATACAGGAACTGCAACGAGAGCGAACGTGGAAGAGGGACCCGGGACTCAGACTCTTCCCCTACACGATGTGTATTTCTCTTCCTTCCTATCCTTCGCTCTTAACGTCTGGAAGCAAAATCAAATAAGAGGATCGCTCACTGGCAGACATAGCTTTTAGCCCTGAGGCGAGACGAAGTATTGGTAGAAACAACTAAGGGGCTATAGGAGAAGAAATGAATTTATTTGCGCGTGTTTGAGACTAAGGTTTGACCACTTGTAAACGCTGCGCATCCATGTCCCCAACTTGTCTCAAATTCCACCATGATACTAACAGGCCTCTATCTTACAGTCCCTGATTTTATTTATATAATCTATGATCGATAAACTTGGAATTTGCATCGCCATCTCTCTTGGAGTCACGCTGATCTACCACATGGCCACACGCGGTCTTAGCTCTGGCACCGGCAGCGCCTCATTTGTTGATCACTTATACGCCGTCGATCTTAGAGCCGCAATGAAGTCGCGGAGCGCTCAAGGACAATTTTCTGTTGTCATAGAACTAACGGCAATATTAATCGTCTTTTCTAACCTTGACGGGCTTCTAGTGTCCCCTCTATATAAGGGGGGGTTTGGTATCATAAGCCACTACTTTCGTTTCTCTTGTTTTGCCCCATGGCAACTCAAGGAGACATTCCGGTACATCTTACTGATGATGACAAAGCTTATAGTATACATCAGTATCTCGATGCCAATCTGAACCAAATCTGAACTCTGGAATTCTCTATGCCCTATTGCACGGTGGGCAACGACGTTCAGTACTTTGCATGCAGGCGTTGACTAATGACACGCATATACACCGGCATTTTTGCTGTTATGTTGTGGAATATATGTGAGCCATGAGCATCTCCACTTCGACATCTAAGCTGAATTTGGCGCAGTCATCAACAAATGTTGGCCGATCCGAGCCATGGTCGCTGTTGTCATTCTCCTCTACGCTCTGGTTACTATCGATGTTGCTGCTGCATTCATCGACTATGGGCAAAGTTTTTTTCCCATATTTTTGAAGCTTAACGGTAACACGGAAGCAACCTTTTTGGTGATAAGCATTGCAGCGTCCATGAGTACCGTCCTCGCAGACTTGTATATGGTGTGTGCGAATATACTGGTGATTATACAATCAGTTCACCATTGTTTCAAATCTAGATTTGGTATTGCTGGAGGATTTGGGGACGGCGCTGGCTCGTTGTTGTGCTTCCCGTACTTTCCCTAATTTCCGCAACAGGTAGGGCATCTAATATGACTCATTTTCTTCATATATCCAAATTTCCGTATAGTATCAAAAACCATTGAAGTATATTACCAGTACTTCGACCTGAATGGATCCACTCAAAAATTCCAAATACTCTATATGTCTTTCATCCTCGCAACGACGTTATGGTGTACCTCGTTCATCATCTATCACATTTTGACGGTTACTGGAGTGAGGCATGAAGCAGAGGGTCGATCGAGAGTCTATCACCATTTCATTGAAGTGCTGGTGGAATCTTCAGCTCTATATTCAATATCTCTGATCCTGACTCTAACATTCATTATTCAAAACAATCTGGGAGTGTATTATGTGGATGTTACAGCTGCCATTGTGAAGGTGTGTTTCTCTGTGCGACCTCGCTACCTCTGCACGACCTCGATGACCGACCCTGACGAATATTCTGAATTTTGCTTGCATGGCCCGAGGAGACCTGGAAATAGGTGATACGCAAAAATATGTAGTATTTTGTGAGCACGACGAGTCGATATCATCAAGTGTATAACATCAAAGGTGATCAAACGAATCCAGTCTTTGCATGCAGAGATGCCCAGAGTGTCATTTTGATGAGACTCAATAGATTTCCTGTCGTAAACATACATTGAACTCTGCCCTATGACTTTTTGTCGCCACTCCTGCGGATCGCCATTCCTAGAGACTAGAGAGGGCTTAACATGGTGAATGGATGGCGAAATACTTCGTGCAGAGCAAAGCTTGCTTGCGAAACACGTTTCCACGAGTAAGAGGGAGATCTGGGTCATAGGGAAGGAGGTCCCAGTGTTCTGGGGACAGGCCTGTTCACTGTTGTCACGTCGGACATGGTTCTGCACAACGGTGAAGAATTGTGAAACTGCGATGAAGGATAACGGAGAGACGTCATTTTTGTCCGTCGGGGCCTACAGGATGTCCAATCCTCCCATCCTGTGTTCCTGGCATCTCCAAGGAGACGAGCACGAAGTCACTCACTGGCGGAGCATTCGTTAGCCATGGGCGAGATGGGTATTCAAGGTGAAAAAATGGTGGCTAGGGGAAGGGGCTCATGTCAGCGCACCATTGTTGATCTTGCTATGAGACCTGTACATGCTACAAATTATTGGAGTGCGAAATAAATGGCAGAAGCATTGAATGTGCCTTCAATTTAGGCTCGACTGCTGTACTGAGTAGAAAAAGAAGATAAGCCCTTTACCCCCATCGTGATGGTGGTAGAAAATGGTTTTATTTACTCATGTTTGAGATTCGACATAAACGGATCCTTGCAATTGGACTCAAACTTGCCTAGCCAGCTTCCGACTGGCATATCGTTCTCATTCTCATACAGTCCTTGATCAAGTGTATTGAAGTCTCTCATTGAATCTTGATCTTGTTCATCTTTCTATCGTGATGCTGTACCACAAACTGCGCCGAACCAGTGGTGCTCTGACTGCACCTATACTCGCAATACATGCAGTTTTAGTTTTGGTGCTGGCAGTGCCTCCTCTCTTGATCACTTGTACACCGCTCACATTCGTCCTTATATGGCTACGATAAAGCTGTAGAACACTTCGAGGAGTTCAAGGGAATCCTCCTGGCTTTGATGAATAGAACCAAGGATGACAGTGATCATCCCACCCAACCCCGACAGACTTCTAGGGCCCTTTATATAATAATGGGGGTTTGATATATGCTCTTCTCATCAACCACTACCCGATTGCTCTTGCTTTCCCCCATGGCGACTCAGACAGATATCCCACCAGATCTTACCAGCGACGGCAGGACCAGCTTGTTTCAATCTCTCGATGTTAATCTGAACTCCGTAATTCTCTATGCGCTATTGCATGGTGGGTAACGACATTAGCAGCTTGACTGTAAGAGTTGACTGATGGCAGGCATATACACTGGCATTCTTGTTACTACACTGTGGAATATCTGTGAGTCAGGAGTATCACCACGGCTACACCTTAGCATCCAAGCTGAAGTAAATGGTACAGTTATCAATAAATGTTGGCCAATTTGATGGACTTTGGTTGTTGTCGTTATTTTCCTCCATGCTCTAACTACCATCACTTTTGCTGCCAGATGGTCATTAATGCGCTCTGCATTCATCGACAACGGGCAAAGTTTTTGGACTGTGTTTTCGACCCTTGAAAGTGCCCAGGCAGCCTACTATTGGGAGACAGGTATCACAGCATCTATGAGTACCATTCTCGCAGACTTATATGTGGTGTGTATAACTCTGCTAGAGATTATCCACATCATCTCACCATCGTTTTGACTCTAGATTTGGTGCTGCTGGATGGTTTGGGGACAGCGCTGGCTTGTTGTTCTGCTTCCAATATTTTCCTTAGTTTCTGTGATCGGTATGGCGTCTGGTCCTATCTACTCTCTTCATACTCATAGTAATGCCCAACATTTTATGTAGTATCAAGAATCACAGGGATATATTACGAATACGCCAATGCACTCGCACTCATGGACATTTTCCTTATGCTCTATTTATCCTTCAACCTGGCGACAACATTATCATGTAACTTGTTCATCATTTACCGCATATTGACTATTGCCGGAGTTAGACGAGGAGCAGAGGGTCAACTGAGAGTTTATCATCGTTTTATTGAAGTGCTGGTTGAATCCTCAGCCCTTTATTCCCTATCTCTGATCCTATATTTGGCTTTCACTATCCGTGTCAGTTGGGGACAATATTATTTTGACGTCATAACTGCTATCACGAAGGCGAGTTGATAAAATTAAACTATGGTAATGCTTACTAACATGATTGTGCAGGGAATCGCTCCGACACTCCTCGTAGGACGTATCACGGTCGGACGTCGTGCCCGCCAAGATGATTCCTGGCAAGGAAGCGTGATGGCATCAGTTTCAATTCGGTCACAGTCGCAAGAACACAGTCAGACGAGCTCTCAGGAAGATATACCGATGAGTCTAGTTCCTAATGGTGACCTCGAAGCCCAGCGCGAGAGCGATGTAAGGGTAAACTAATCTCACTCTGACTCTTTCTCGTCGCCCTACACTAAAACAAACTGATTTATATTTAGGAACCCTCTCCTACATTCTTTGCTGGACCTGATGTGCCTGAGGCCTCGGAGCATGTCCACTCGATCACAGGGCAGCATGGTGACCTTTCTTAAGTTCGGGAATTCCTCACTCTGTGACTTTGGGAACACCGAAGACTTGTCAGGACTTTAGTAGTGGGTGAGCTAGGGCTTGGGTTGTTGAGTAGCCGGCCTTGGTACTTTTACACAGAAGCACCCCGTGACTGTCGTAGTAAAGCGGTCCGAGTCGCTCTTCTCTGTTTCTGTATCAAATTTCTCATAATCGTTGTCTATCTATCAATCGTTCAGGTTGGTACCAGCTACACCATCTGTTCTTATAGCTGTACCACTAGATCCTATCACATCTATAAATACTATACTTGTAATACACCTTAGATACTGGTTCACCCTATCATCGCGTTCATTTTTCGTGTACACCGTTCCTCAACTCACTTGATCCCTCGTGATGACACCCATATTAGGATCTAACCGTTTACACGGAAAGACGAATTATACTACCGAAATTCTGCTGATTCATAAGTGCAGTACTTCATTACTAGTACTACTGACTTCGGCGGTGATTGCCACTATATTTGGACAGCTACTTTTTCGGGCATTTCCGCTGGACTGTCTTCTGCACGACCATCATGATCACCGCCATTTTTTATACTGTTCTCCTCGATAATCATCAATAATTACGCCTTACATATCGTTTGGGAATGGCGCGTCAGTTTCAAACTCGGATGGTCCGAGTACAAGGAACCCTGGCTCTGCTATCGTAGTCGACCGTCACAGATGGGACACTGAAAGAAACAAGAGCGGGAGACATCAATGATGTTGCGTCGTTCCCGGTGACTTCGGACATTGCATTAGGTGGATCAGGTGTTGATATGAAGCAGGCGCGGAATGATGACCTGCCACAGTGGCGGTGAGTATGTTCTGGTTCTTGTCGCCTTGTTGATATTCCTCATAGCCAAGACCAGGATGTATCTGTAGTATCCAAAGACCTGTCCAACTCCTGTTTCGTTGTGGGGCCTTTTGCGTCGCTGCTTTACTTGAGTGAGTTCTCAAGGACGACAACTCAACGGTGTACTCTATGAGCCGAGGGTCGCTGTAGTATGTCTGTTATTCCGTTAATACGTTCTATTTTCTTACTGCTGCGCTCAGACATCCTTGATGAGGAAATGTATATTCTTTCCGAAATCGAACACTAGGCCACACAGAATCATCTTTTTGTTACCCGGTGTGCTCTCCCATACCAAACGCAACTTGTTTCCCTGACATGGTCGCTGTGAATAAGCACATATACAGACATATCACCTTGCGGGACGTCTGCGAGGCATTTTTACACCAATATCAGACCTGAATGAACACTCGCAAATCTGAGGCAGTCTCCGCCTATCAGACGCGCGATAGCTGTGACAGCCATAGTCAGACTTGCGTTCCGGATTCATCGGCAATGGTCAAATCTTTTGGACGGCGTATCTGAAACTCGAAGTTTCCAAGGAAGCGGCGATATGTTCTGGTTGTGAACGGATAGATTGGGTGTCAAATGCATCCTCATCGGAGTCCTCGGAGACTTGACCAGGTCGCCTATTGGTCGTCTTTACCAAGCTTGTTCTTATATGAATCGAGATGCGGCTCCAGGTCGTTCTTCTTCCAATTTCCCTTCTACTTTCCGGAACTGTACATCGTTTCGTGTTTTAAAAGCACCCTTTTTTTTCCGACAGACCTGCCGCAGTCGAGCGCAGTCGAGATGTGATGCAATATACATGCCAAACGCAAAGTTCTCAGACATGTTATTGAGTTTCGGTGGCACTTTACATATCCTCTGTCATTGCAACGACGCTACTCCGCATACCGCTTATCATAAAGCCCATTGTAAGCGTCGGGTACGGGCCAAGGACGGATTGGAGAGTCTGAGCCGACCAAGGACGTACCGCCATGTCACTGAACGCTCCGTCTGTTTGGTCTTATGTAATATTCGCGACTCGTAATGACTGGGTGAACAAACGTCTTGACGCTTAGTAAAATATACTAATATCATGACATTAGCTTTTCCCGCCCTCTTGTTCTTGTTAGACGCAAGATGCGGGACGACACCCAGAAGGGAAGTGACATGATGTGCCCACTTTGTCTTGCGAACCACCCTCGCACCTGCACGGAGGGTGAGATCCGGGATAGTACCCATGACCAGGGTGAATTATGATGATCACCTTGGCCGATGGTATTGAGGGCCAGGCAGCCAAGTAGATGAACGAGAAGAGCAGTACGGAGTCGATGGAATGTCATTTCTGCTGACCAATGATGGCTATCGGGAGTTGGATCTTGAATGCCACGGATGCTCACACCTGTTTATTTGAGCACCTCGCCGTCGCACAGACCCGAAAATACTCAGTTTCATCCTTTGTTAGAAGTGTTTTCTATTCTTCGCGTTTATACTTGAGGAAGCCCTGCTTTTCTCCGCAACATCTGATGGCTCGCTATAATGGTTCTATTATGTTTACTTAGACGGTTAGACTTGTAGCATCGTCGGTAGGCGGTCCGGCGCCGTTGATGCATGAGGTAGCAAGCCACGTGTGAGCTCTTGGCTTCCTACTACCAGTAGCTATCGTTCCCCTTTCACGTCACTGAAATTGTCGCGCTCTTTACGGCCCTTCATTGCTTTATTTACCTTTCGGCTACAATGACGGCCATCACCTTACACGGATATTTATGCCATGGGACGAACCTTCGAAGGGAAGCACATGTTTCGACATCTGAAATATAAGAACCCTCCGTGAGAGAACCAGTACCTGCCAAACATGCGCTTCTTTTTGCTCTCGCTACTCACCTTGAGCGCCAGTGCGAGATTCTTGAACAACTTTGCTGACCTCAAAGGTCTTGATGCATACGATTTCGTGGTCGTCGGAGGTACAAGCACCCTTTATTATGCCATATGCAGCTCGTACTGACGAATGGAACGGCTGTAGGCGGTCCTGGCGGAAGCACAGTGGCCGACAGACTGAGCGAAGATTCTACGGTCAGCGTGTTATTGCTCGAGGCTGGGGGTGAAAACGACCCTGCGGTGGATCCCGCTCTTGCTATACCGCTGTTCTGCACGACGCTGACGCCAAATACGGCTTACGATTGGAACTATACGACCGTTCCACAAGAAGAGCTCAATGGCAGAAGTATTCCATACCCTCTGGGCATTGGTTTGGGTGGTTCGAGTGCCGTTAGTGAGTGACATACTTAATCATACGCAAAGTCGTCGAGTAATCCGGTTTGTAGACTGCTTAGTATACACTCGTGGCTCCACAGACGACATCGACAAATGGGCCGAGCTTTCGGGAGATGAGGGCTGGTCATGGGACAGTATGCTGCCATACTTCAAGAAGGTATGGCTCCAACTCATCATATGATTTATACTAACACCTTTTTCAGGGTGAGAAATTCAATACGATTCCTCGCGACGGGCATAACACCACTGGCGAATACCTGCCCGCCTTCCATGGTACCGATGGCGTGATTGGTGTCAGTCTTCCAGGATATCCCTACCCCTTTGATGGACGCGTCATAAACACTACTCAGGAACTAGCAGAGTTCCCATACCGTGTGGATATGAACTCTGGCGAACACATAGGTATAGGATGGGTTCAGACGCTCGTCGATGGTGGACAGCGATCCAGTGCGAAAGCGCACTTACTCCGCGCTGAGAGTGAGGGTAGGGAGAACATAGACGTACTATTGCATGCTCGAGTGTCTCGCGTAGTGCCTGCTGTGGATGGTACGCTGGACTTGAGATCCGTGGAGGTACTGGATCCTGCTGATGGTATGTGTGTATACGTATCAATGTTGGCCAGCGTCTAATATCTTTTTATCTAGGGTCGCTTAAAAATCTCACTGCCAAAAATGAGATAATTCTCTCTGCTGGGTCCGTTATGACTCCGACCATCCTTCTTCATTCTGGAATTGGAGACCCCGAACTGCTCGAACCTCTCGGTATAACTACCATCTTGTCGCTTCCATCTGTAGGGAAGAACCTTACGGACCACATCGGAGTCAGCACGACCTTTATCGTGAACTCGACCGACACATACGACACCGTCCTCAGAAACGAGACTCTCTTGAACGAATGGATAGCGGAATGGACTGAGAACAAGACGGGGCTACTTACAGACACGTCGGAGAATCATGCCGCTTGGCTTCGTCTCCCAGACAACTCGACTGTGTTTGAGAACTATTCCGATCCTTCATCGGGTCCCTTGACGGCACATTACGAGTTCCTATTCCAGGTATGGCACGTCCTACAAGTGCATATGCTCATTCTAATCGTTCTATAGAATGGATTATCCAGTGTCAGAGCAAGTGGAAACTACATCAACGTCCCAACGGCATGTGTATCGCCGGCTTCACGAGGATCAGTCTCCATTAATTCCTCCAACCCCTTCTCTGAACCTCTCGTTGACCCCGCCCTCCTCACTGCCCCTGTCGATATCCTCATCGTACGGGAATCCATCAAGGCAGCTCGACGATTCTTCAGTGGTCCTGCATGGGAAGGTTACATCCTCGGGTCGCTCAACAACAACGCGACAACTGACGAAGAGATTGAGGAGTTCATCCGCGAAAATGCTGTGTCGTTCTTCCACCCTGTCAGTACAGCAAGCATGTCGCCAGAGGGGGCCGACTGGGGTGTGGTGGATCCAGATTTAAAGGTTAAGGGCGTGAATGGGTTGAGGGTTGTGGATGCGAGTGTGATTCCTAGGTTGCCGGCGGCGCATACGTCTGCTTCAGTGTATGCTGTGGCGGAGAGGGCGGCGGATATCATCAAGGCGGCATATGGGTTGCAGGTCGAAGCCCTGTGAAAAGGTTGTTGGAGCACAATAGCATTTTTTTGGGATCAGTGTTGCAAGGATATTCGTCAGACTGGATTCTACGTCGACATACCAACGATTATGATAGTTGAGCTATATGATCGTCGATGATATCTGGTGAACGTTTGTCTGAGCGGCTATAGTCAACGTCGTGTGGGCAGGCGCTGTGAATGACTTTGTCCCTCTTTATCAAACGCGTCGCCTTTGCGAAGTCCGGTAAATGTGGTTAAAATAATCACCTTTTAAGTTATAAGTCAAAGTATTCGACACGAAGTGTTTCTTCTTGTTGTGCATGTACTGGTGATTGGCGCTAACGATTGTCCTTCAGGTCAGGTCCTGTTGGGAATAAAAACGTACACAACGCGTTCACTTCATAGAGACAGCGGATATCTGAAGGCGCTTCCGACTCGGAAAGCGTATGCATACTGCCTACCGTAGGCTCCGACATTATTTCTGGCTTGGTTGCTCCAATCAAGCTTTGACTCCTCAGCACCACTGGTAGCATGGATACTAACACGGGCATGGCTGCATCTACAGACGTTCCTGCAGGCAGTGGGGTGAATACTCACCTAATAACTCTCCTTGCCGCGGTATTGAAGGAGGACAATGAATACGACCCGACGCTCTTGAAAGCCATCGGTAAGCTTCAGCATCCTTGGTCATCTCGCATATTCCAAGCTTCAGCCGCCGGCAATGGAGGGTCTTCTCCCAGAGCACTCAGAGTTATATATTATGTCGCGCGTGTACCAGAACAGCAGCAGTTAAATTTACATCTGCATGTACTTGTCGTCTTCGACCCTGGGCGATCAGAACATTATGAACGTAATGCTGCTAGAGATAGGGCCCGGGCTTGAGGTCCTCGACTCCACCTTGCAAATCCCACTTAATACTATCGTTTTACCCTCCTAGCACTGATTTTGTCCTCATTCGATGGTTGAACGTTGACGCCAAGTATCTGTCCAAAGAAAGTTCTATGGCGCTCCACTCGATAGGTGATGCCTCTCCAAGAACTTAAAATCTGGGAGAAAGGATGTTCACTACGACACCTTCTGAGTTAACTCCTATTTCTGACGCCTACTTATTTCCTTTCACTCCTGCATTATGTTCCGACGATTCTCGATGTCCTCGTTGATGATTGCGACAACTTGACGACGTACTTTCTGAAGTATTGTGAGATCCTACTGAGGGAAGGAAAGAATACGGAGGTTTAAATACCCTATAGTTGATCGAAAAATAAAGTAGTAGGGAGTACGAGAGTCAAAAAGGGTAGCATGAACAATAAATGACAGGCTAAATTGAATCCAAAGTCTCACCCCAACTTTCAGACGCTCGTCATGAGCTCTATTGCGTCCTTTCAACAACTACCACGAGCTCATCTGACCACTCCCGTTGAGCTTCAATGTCCACTTCAAGGACTGCGCTCTGCATGGTGGATTCCTGAATGCTTGAAGTGGAAGGTTGCGAAGGTTGAGAAGATTGGGAAGCCATTTGGAAACGAAGGGTCGACACTGTCGCACTGTCATCATGTTCTTCGGTTGGGCGTGTGTGTCCTGCCACTGCCCTGCCAACAAGGAGGGTGGGTGCAACTCCCTACATGAGGTGTTTGATAAACGACAAAGGAGTCTAAGATAGTGAACACACCTTCATAATGCCGACTATTTTATCAAGGTAATACCATCCAAAATCAATACGAATGTAGAAAGCCAAATATAGGATCAGAACTATCGAATAGAGAGCCGAGGATTCCACTAGCACTTCGATAAAACGGCGAAAAACTCTCAGTTGGCCACCTACTCCATGTCTAACCCCGGTAACAGTCAAAATGCGGAAGATTATGAGCAGCGTGCACCATAATGTCGTTGCCAGGATGGAAGATAAGTAGAGTGTCAGGAATACTGAACTCGATCCACTGGAGTACACATGATATGTCTCAATGCTTTTTGACACTACACATAAAGTTGGATATATGAAAAGGATAGATGAGATCGGACACTTTACCAGTTGCGAAAATTAAGGAAAGGATTGGAAGCAGAACAATAAGCCACCGCCGTCCCCAAACCATCCAACAGCACCAAATCTAGAGTCAAATAGATGGTAAGCTGACATGGATAATCACCAGTGAAGTAGCACACACAATATATGAGTCTGCGACAATGGTACTCATAGAGGATGGAATACCCGACTCGAAAGAGACTGCTTGGTTCACACTGTCAAGCTTGTAGTATACAGTCCAAAAACTTTGTCCGTTTTCGATGAATGCGGAGCATATAAATGACCATTGGACAGCGAGATTGACAGTAGTAAGAGTATGGAGGAGAATAATAACAACAACCAACGCTCGTCGGATCGGCCAGCATTTGTTGATGACTGTGCCACTCACGTCAGCCTGACTGTCGTAGTATAGATTGTTCCTGGCTCACATATATTCCACAACGTAACAGCAAAAATGCCAGTGTATATGCCTGTCATCAGTTAACACTTACATGTTAAGGTGCTAGACATCGTTGCCCACCATGCAATAACGCGAGGAGAATTCCGGAGTTCAGAGTAGCATCGAGAATTTGAAACATGAAAACTTTGTCGTCGTCGATAAGATCTGGTGGAATATCTGCCTGAGTTGCCATGAAGCAAAGTAAGTGCAACGGGGTAGTGGGTTAAGAGAATAACACATACCGACCCTACCGTTATAAAGGGTGCAGCCCATGACCATGCTCATTGGCTGCTGCGAGGATGATCATCGATATCAAGTCGAACCACGAACTTTACATACCAACTGTGTTCGGCGATTTAATGAACCATCGTGTACATTGCCATTTTCAACTCGCAAGTGCGACGTGCTCTATCACAAACTGCGAGCTTCTCAGATATATGTTCTGTTGAATTAGGATCAGGGAAGCCGCTCTAGGAAGAGAATGAAGATAACTAGCGAGGTGAGATCTCAGCACCAACCAACCCGAGCCTGTTCTGTCATGGCATGGATCCTGATCAGATCTTGCTCCAGAATCAACAGGAAAAGGGCAGGAAATTTTCAATGCAAGTTGCGATCGTTACGATGCTGGCGCATCCTAGATACTTGAGTTCCGGTAAAAGTCTTCGGAGGGGCACCAGCTTTTGCAACTCGTATAGAGACAAGAACCAGCAGCATGTTCATATAGGATGGAAGAAAGTTGCCCCTGGAAATAAGGCATCTAGTAGAAAAGTGAGGGAAGGGACACTACAACACGTACCCCATAACTCCGATCTCTTCTACAGGCAGTTATCTTTCCTGATAATTGGTATATTTTCGAAGGCTGGGCGTTGCGCAACACATCTGAGTCGACCCATCCTTGTTTGCGTCATTGGTTCTTCATTACCCATCACGTAGATGCTGAGATCGACAAAGGTGGTGACGCGGTCTAATACTGACAGCTGAGAGAATAGACTGGTGGGTTATAGAACAAAACATCGATATCAAGGCCAATGTTAAAAGATCGGACAAGATGGTGACCGAGGGGAGATGTCTGCTCGTCAAGCGAAGAAGAAGATGGGGTATCACAGATGGACTTATTATTCCAGCTACCCTAATCCATGAAAAGCCGTATATGTACCACCAACATCCTGGAGGTGACACTTCAACTCACGACGCCGTTGATACCAATTAGAAGCCAGCTAGATAACGCGTCAAAATGGTGATTACGGGCAATTTTGTAATACTCACCTATCATTTCACCTCCTTGGACACCTTACGAGTTCCATAGCACTCATCTCGTCAGCTTCGTCCAGGAAAAACTGGCTGTTCCTAATCGCGAAGGCTCTAACAGGCACACAGGAAAGTCTCAGGCTGAGCCTCAGCAGGAGTCGGAGCAGGAGCAGGAGTGTGAATTTCGTCAACGAACGGGACAGTGCGTGTACGGTGTAACAGAGCTAATTTGGTCCGGCGGAGCCTGAGGAGGTTTTTCCTTCATAGCCGGGACACTTCCTTTCTAAGAATCGTATGGACGTGAAAAGCCCATCAAGATGCGTCACAAAAGGAGGGTAGGCGCAACTGCCTAAAGCCAAAATTCCGTTAGGATAAAGTAACGGGGAGATAGAGACCGAATCGTACTCCTGTAATTTCGGCCACTGGCTCGAGATAGTAGGGCGCCCACTCTGTGCGAGCGACGAACATGACATAGCCGATCAAGCTGACAGAGTAGAGAACCGATTTCGACGAAGAGCTCGACAGTGCAATGGTACAACGACGGCCCATCCCCTGAACCGTCTTTCTCCCGAGAGAATGTTATGAGATGGTACATGATAAGCATGGTTATGGCCGTAGGGAAGGACACGGAGATCACGAGCCTAGGCATGTGAGCAAACTCGTCGTGTAATTCGCTTTGGGATTCCGAGATTTTGAATACTAGTCAAAATTTAGAAGGGGAAGTTGAGCATAGAAAGGCTTCGACGTACCGATGGTGGAGATAGGTGGCACGACCATCGCCAGGTGTTCGTGGTTTGAAATGATCCACATCGTACTGCTCCCATCACTTTCTCCAACTACGCATGACCTTCATTCGGCCAAGTCCTCACTCTGTCGATACATTATTATTCTTGTGCGGAGTGTTGGGCCAGGTGGATGGGAATACGAGCGTCCTGCCGTCGTAGAGTGTGGTTTGGAGTTTACTCGTTGATGAGTGGAAGAACAAGGGGCTGACCGGCCGGGTGAATCCGAGAACCGCGCGCCTCCAAAATTGGAAATCACTGCTAAAGCAGAGATGCGTGTTACGTTGAAGAGCTATATGGCTACTTTACGGTGACTAATGCGCTAAAGGCCAAAGTGATGTTATATATAGATATGCATTTACTATATAAGCGATCGAAAATAGACGAGGCAAAGAAGTTTAATTAAAAAGAGCACGACAAAAAACTGAGACGGCCCATAAGATCTCTGAATCACGACACTCAGTTGTTCGTCAAGACCATTACTGCGCATCTGAAAAACGACATGAGAATCAGATTGCCAAGAAGTACGGACATCAATCTCACCCCCAGCAAAATTCGTTGGAGTCGCTGCTCGCATAAGTGAAGGATTCTTGCTGATCGTGCCTCTCGACGGTCGCTTATTCTGAACTGCAGATGAAAGCTGCGTCAATGAGAGTGTATCAGGATGATGATGGTAGGCATGTCCAAGAGTCGTATAGCCGGGAGAGATGCTCAAAACGCGCTTGACGATGGCAATTTTCAGAACGTATTCTAACAAATGTATCAGCATTCACCGGCACCATGCATAGCATTGCATGCTGCCATGTTCATTCCTCGGTAGGTTGCACACCATCCTGCGCCTTTCTCACCTCATCGTTCTCCCCTCCTTTCCTGCCACGACCCCTGCTTACTCGCCGGCCATCGATACGTCATGTCGAAACAAACTGGCGGCGTGAAACTGAGCTGCAGGGACTTGGCGCAGGTAATAGTCGATACCGCGCGACGGGGTAGGAGGGGAGGGCGGAGTGCACGCCCTCGAGACACGGTATCGGTGATAATGATGGTCTTTCGATTAAAGGAGGGGAGTACGTGCCATGGATGATCCACGCCAAGCTCGTTGTCTCTCCCACTGCCTGCTTGAATCTCTCTCGCAGCTGCTCCGCTTACTGGAAAGTGATGTACCGTGGTCAGACATGTATGATTCCTAGACGAACGCTGTGAGAGGTCGTTGGACCAGCTGAACAAGGTAGGAGTTGATGAGAGGTGGGCGATGTGGGTAACGGGAGCACAAAGACGCAGGAAGAGTTTCTTTCTATCCCAGAAGCCGACCCTTGCCTCTCCTCACCTCGCACGCGGCCCTGTGCTCTTCATCCCTCGTTAACTCCAACGTGTCCGCTCACATGTGGCATAACTTGACTTGGTGTAGCGCAAGACGTGCTTGGTGGGGAAATTGCGAATCCGAGAGGCGTTACAAGAGATGTCGAATAAGAGTGGAGCAGTGAGTCGTGTACTTCTTGAGACGGGAGAGAGGATTAGAACATCACGGGGCGTAGAGTCAGTGTAGGCTGTGAAATAGAGTTAGATGCTGAGCGTTCAAAAAGATTGAGAGTGGAAGAACTTACGTTGCACCCTGACGTCGAGACCTGAGCATAACGCAAGACACTGCTCAGAAATCAAAGCAAAAATGAATAAATCAAAAGTGAAATCAAAAAAAACCTACCAATTGACGGGATATGCTAGCGTAGCATTCAATAAATGACAGAGTGTGCGACAAGATATACCCCCAGGATTTAGAGGGAGATTACCCGTGGAGACACGTGGACTTGACCACGGGAGTACGGCCCTTTGATTCCGTACGCGGGCATTTCCATCGGACTCTCTTCTGCACGAGCATGACGATTTTTATACTGTTCTCCTCGAATCATCAGTAATCAGGTCTTACATATCGTTCAGGGACGGCGCTCGGTTTTGATCTAGGATGGGCTCAGTACATGGAACCCTGACCTTGCTACCAAAGTCGGCGGATGCTGTGATGCTGGGAAAAACAAGTCAGAGATATCAATCCGCGTCGTTTCTGGCGACTTTGAATATTCCATTAGGTAGATTAGGTATCTTTTACGTCTCTCCTTTGCTTGACAGAGGTCTCTAGGGAGGATAACTCGGGTAGTGTGCTCTGTGAGTGGAGGGATGTTACGGTATGTCTGCTATTCCGTTGATACGTGCTATACTCCTCATTACTGTTGCATTCAGACATCCTTGATAGGAAATGTATATCCCTTCCGGAATCCGAACACTGGGCCAAACAGAATCTTCTTTTTGTTACCCGGTGCGCTCTCCCATACCAAATGCGACTCGTTTCGCTGACATGTTGACTGCGAATAGGCATATACACAGATCTATCACCTATGAGGCGTCTGCGAGGCATTTCTACCCCCAATATCAGACCTGAAGAATCACTTGCAGTCCTGCAGCCCCCGCCTATTGGTCGCGTAATGGCTGCCCTCGTCGCCTACTCTATGGTACTTGACAATCATAGTCAGACTTGCACTCCGGATTTATCGGCAGTCGTCAAACCTTTTGGACAGCGTATATGAAACTCGAAGTTTCCAAGGAAGTGGCAGTATAGTCTGGTGATGGACGGATATGTTGGGTATCCAAATGCACCCTCTTCGCAGCCTCGACCAGGTCATCTATTAGTCATCTTTGCCAAGCTGACTCTCATACTGAATCGAGATGCGATATCGTTGTATGGTGGGTGGCTGCAGAACGTCCTTCTGATTTTCCTTCTACTTTCCTGTTTTCCGGAACACAGCTGCCCTAGTTGAGACGCGCCGTGGAGTTCTTAACGCATGTCGCTGAGATTCGGTGGCGCTTTACTCACCCTTTACATGTACTCTGTCGTTGCAACGATGGTACTCCATGCTGCACCGCTTATCATAAAGTGCATTGTAAGCGTCGGGCAGGCCAAGGACGGGTCCGAGAGCGGACCAAGGACGTATCTCCATGTCACTGGATATTCCATCTGTTTGGTCTTGCGTAGTCTTCGCGACTCGTAGCGACTTGGTGAGTAACCATCTTGACGCTTAGTAAAGTGTGCTAATATCATGTCATTAGCTATTCTTTTGTCGCCCTTTCGTGGTAGCTAGTCCTCGTTAGACGCAAGATGCAGATGATACGCACGCTCGGATGACACCTACAAGGGAAACATGATATCCTCGCATCGTCTTGGAAATCGGACTAGCACTCACACGGAGGGAGATCCGGGGTAGTACCCACGACCAAGGAATTATGATCGTCACCTTGGCCAGCCCAGGTCAAGTAGATGAATGAGAAGAGGCAGCACGGAGTCAAGAGGATGTTGTTTCTGGGCATCGGGAGTTAGATCTTAAATGACACGGGTGCTTACACCTGTTTATTTAAGCACCTCGAGGCTCGCTGTCTCATAGACCCGAAAATACCCAGTTTTATCCCTGTAGAATTCTTCGCGCCTATACTTGAGAAAGTCCTGCTTTCTCCGCGACATCTGTATGATGGTTTTATTATGTTTAGGCAGTTAGAGACTACGATGTCGGAGTAGGCGGCCCGGTGACCGTTGATGCATGGATAGAAAGCCACATGGAACCAACTTTTGCTCGTGGCTTTCTACTACCAGTAGCTATCGTTCCCCTTTCACGTCGCTGGAACGGTCGCGTTCTCTATAGCCCTTCATTCTTTTATTCAAATTTCGGCTACAATGGCGGCCATCAGCTTACACGGATATTTATGCCATGGGACGAATCTTCGGAGGGAAGCACATGTTTCGACATCTGAAATATAGGAATCCTCCGTGAGAGAGCCAGTACCTGCTAAACATGCGCTTCTTTTTGCTCTCGCTGCTCTCCTTGAGCGTCGTGAAGTTCTTGTACGACTTTGCTGGTCTTGATGCATACGACTTCGTGGTCGTCGGAGGTACAAGCACCCTTTGTTATGCTATATGCGGCTCGTACTGACAAATGGAACGACTGTAGGCGGTCCTGGTGGAAGCATGGTGGCCGACAGATTGAGCGAAGACCTTACGGTCAATGTGTTATTGCTCGAGGTTGGGGGTGAAAATGACCCTGCGGTGGATTCTGCTCTCGCTGTGCCGTTGTTCTACACGACGCTGACGCCAAATATGGCTTACGATCGGAACTAGACGACCATTCCACAAGAAGAGCTCATGGCAGAAATCATCTGGGCATTGGTTTGGGTGATTCGAGTGCCGTCAGTGAGTGCCATACTTAATCATACACAAAGTCGTCAAGTAATCCGATTTTTAGACTGCTTGGTATACAACCCGTGGCTCCGCAGACGACATCGACAAATGGGCCGAGCTTTCGGGAGATCAAGGCTGGTCATGGGACAGTATGCTGCCATACTTCAAGAAGGTATGGCTCCAACTCATCGTATGATTCATACTAACACCTTTTTTAGGGTGAGAAATTCAATATCATTCCTCGCAATGGGCATAACACCACTGGCCAATACCTTCCTGCCTTCCATGGCACCGACGGCGTGATTGGTGTCAGTCTTCCGGGATATCCATACCTCTTCGATGGACGCGTCTAATTGGTTATCGAGTCGCTCGCAAGGTCGCTACGTGGTACCGATAACCGCCTAGCCGGGCAACAGATGATATTACAACCCTGGGCGCTTTCGTGGATGAGTGCTAATAGGGTAATAAATAGGGAAATGGAAGGTCGAGTAAGTGAGGTGCGAGACATGGAAGGACACGAAAGGGTTAGGAAGAAAGAGAAGTTCACTACGCAGGAGCTGGCAGAGTTCCCATATCGCGTGGATATGAATTCCGGCGAACACATAGGTATAGGATGGGTTCAGACCTTGTCGATGGTGGACAGCGATCCAGTGCGAAGGCGCACTTGCTCCGCGCTGAGAATGAGGGTAGGGAGAACATAGACGTGCTATTGCATGCTCGAGTGTCTCGCGTAGTGCCTACTGTGGACGGCATGCTGGACTTGAGATCCGTGGAGGTACTGGATCCTGCTGATGGTATGCATGCATACGTATCAATGTTGACTAGCGTCTAATATCTTTCTATCTAGGGTCACTCAAAATCTCACTGCCAAAAATGAGATAATTCTCTCTACTGGGTCCGTTATGACTCCGACCATCCTTCATTCTGGAATCGGGGACCCTGAACTGCTCGAACCTCTCAGTATAACCACCATCTCGTCGCTTCCATCTGTAGGAAAGAACCTTACGGACCACATCGGAGTCAGCACAACCTTTATCGTGAACTCGACCGACACACACGACACCGTCCTCAGAAACGAGACTCTTTTGAACGAATAGATAGCGGAATGGACTGAGAACAAGACGGGGCTACTTACAGACACGTCGGAGAACCATGCCGCTTGGCTTCGTCTCCCAGACAACTCGACTATGTTTGATAACTATTCCGATCCTTCGTCGGGTCCCTTGACCGCACATTACGAGTTCCTATTCCAGGCATGGCATGTCCTACAAGTGCATATGCTCATTCTAATCGTTCTATAGAATGGATTATCGAGTGTCAGAGCAAGTGGAAGCTACATCAACGTCCCAACGGCATGTGTATCGCCGGCCTCACGAGGATCAGTCTCCATCAACTCCTCTGACCCCTTCTCTAAACCTCTAGTCGACCCCGCCCTCCTCACTGCCCCAGTCGATATCCTCATCGTACTGGAACCCATCAAAGCTGCTCGACGATTCTTCAGTGGCCCCGCATGGGAGGGCTACATCCTCGGGTCGCTCAACAACAACGCGACCACTGACGAAGAGATTGAGGAGTTTATCCGCGAAAATGTGGTACCATTCTTCCACCCAGTCAGTACGGCGAGCATGTCGCCAGTGGGTGCAGACTGGGGTGTGGTGGATCCGGATTTAAAGGTTAAGGGCGCGAGTGGGCTGAAGGTTGTGGATGCGAGTGTGATTCCTAGGTTGCCGGCAGCGCATACGTCTGCTCCGGTGTATGCTGTGGCGGAGAGGGCGGCGGATATCATCAAGGCGGCCATATGGGTTGCAGGTTGAAGCCCCGTGAAAAGGTTGTTGCAGCACAATAGTGTTTCTTGAAATTTGTCAGGCTGGATGCTACGTCGACATACCAAGGATTATGATAGCTGAGCTATATGATCGTCGATAGTATTTGGTGGAACTTTTGTCTGAGCAGCCATTCGATGGCTGAGATGTTTCTTGTTGTGGCGCATGTGCTGGTGATTGGCGCTAATGCTTGTCCTGATTCCGATCAGGTCTCGTTGGCACTGGCAGTGAAACCTACAAACCACGCCACGGTTCGCCCGGTGGGGACAACTGAAAACCTGAGAGCACTTCTGAAGTGTACTCCCTGCTGTAGGCTTCGGCATCGTTACCGTCTTAGTTGCTGCAATCAAGCTCTTTAATGCTTGACTCCTCACCGCTGCTGGTGAGTAGTCACGGATGTTAACACGGCTACGCGTACGGACGTACCTGTAGATAGCGACTCGGGTGAGTGCTCATACAGAAATTCTCCTCGTTGCAGCATTGAAAAAGACAATGCAAGCCGGACGTTCTTGAAAGCCTCAGCTCCTTGGTCGTCATACGCTTTCTAAGCTTCAGCTACTACCAACGGCGGTCTCCGCGCGGCTCACGGACCACTCATCATGTCGCTGGGCGTGTATACGGAATGACAGCAGTCAAATTGGAATTTGCGCATACTTGCTATCTTCGTTCTTGGGTAATGAGAACATCATGAAGGCCACGCTGCTCGAGATAGGTATGATCTGAGGTCTTCGACTCCACCTTACAAGCCTTACTTATCATTTTGCTCTCCTGGAACTGGTTTCGTCATCCTTGGATTGTTGAACGTTGACGCCAAGTATCTGTCCAAAGAAAGTTCTATGGCGCCCCACTCAATAGGTGACGGCTGTCCAAGAACTTTAATCAAATCTGGCAGAAAGAACGTTCGCTACGACTCTGGGTTGATTCCTATTTCCTTTCGCTCATGCATTGCCTTCGGACGAGCCTCGATGTCCTCATCGATGATTGTTACAACGTACTTTCTGAAGTGTTGTGCAAAGCATGAAGATCCAAAGGGAAGGATAAATGACGGAGGTTTAAATACTCTATAGGTGATCGAGAAATAAAGTAGGGAGTACGATAATCAGAAAGGATAACAGACAAAAAATCATAGTCTAGATCAAGTCCGAAGTCTCACCCCGACTTTCAGACGTTCATCATGAGCTCTATTATGTCCTTTCAATAACTACCACGGGCTCATCCGACTGCTCCCGTTGGGCCTCAATGTCTATTTCAAGGACTGTGCTCTGCCGGGTGGATTCCTGAAAGTCTGCCGTGGAAGGTTGCGAAGGTTGAGAAGATTGGGAAGCCATTTGGAAACGAAGGGTCGACACCGACGCACTTTCGTCATGTTCTTCGGTTGGCTGTGTGTGTCCTGCCGCTGCTCTGCCAATAAGAAGTGTGGGTGCAACTCCCTACACAAGGTGTTCGATAAATGATGAGGGAGTCCAAGATAGTGAACGCACTTTCGCAATAGCAGCTATGTTATCAAGGTAATACCATCCAAAATAATAGCGAATGAAGAAGGCCAACTCTAGGATCAGAGCTATCGAATAGAGAGCCGAGGATTCCACTAGCACTCCAATAAAACGGCGATAAACTCCCAGTTGGCCACCTGCTCCGCGCTTAACCCCTGTAACAGTCAAAATGCGGAAAATGATGAACAGCGTGCACCATAATGTCGTTGCCAGGACGAAGCATGTGTAGAGCATAGGGAATACTCCATATGTTGCATCGAAGTACTGATGATATACTTCAATGATTTTTGACACTAGACATCAAGTTGGATATATGAAAAGATTAGATGAAATCAGACACTTTACCAGTTGCAGAAATTAGGGAAAGGATCGGAAGCAGAACAATAAGCCAGCGCCGTCCCCAGACCATCCAACAGCACCAAATCTAGAGTCAAAAAGATGGTAAGCTGACATGGATAATCACCAGTGAAGTAGTACACACAATATATGAGTCTGCGAGAATGGTACTCATAGAGGCTGGAATACCTGCCTCCCAAATGATTGCTTGGTTCGCACCATTAAGCTTTGAGTATGCAGTCCAAAAACTTTGCCCGTTTTCAATGAATGCGGAGCATGTAAATGACCATTGGGCAGCAAAATTGATAGTAATCAGAGCATGGAGGAGAATAGTAATGACGACCAAGGCTCGTCGGATCTGCCAGTATTTGTTGATGACTGTGCCACTCATGTCAGCTTGGATGTCGTAGTATAGACGCTCCTGGCTCACATATATTCCACAATGTTACAGCAAGAATTCCGGTGTATATGCCTGTCATCAGTCAACACTTATATGACAAGGTGCTAAATGTCATTGCCCACCATGCAATAACGCCAAGAGAATTTGGGAGTTCAGGGTAGCGTCGAGTTCTTGAAGCATGAGAGCTTTGTTTTCATCTGTAAGATCTGCTGGAATATCTGCCTGAGTCGCCATGAGGAAAAGCGAGGGAAACGGGGTAGTGGGTTATGAGAATAAATACGTACCAACCCTACCATTATAAACAGTGCAGGTCATGGCCGTGCTCATTGGCTGCTGCAAAAATGACCATCAGTATCAAGTCAAACCCGGATCCTAACGTGTCGAACGTGTTCGGCAAATTATTGAGCTATTGATAGTTTCAACAGCTCGCAACAGAGACGCAACTCGAAGTGAGATATTCCTGAGAAAAACCCTGTATCGCAGGGAAAGTGGTGATGCAAACTGCAAGCTTCTCAGGTATTGGATCTGTTGAATCATGGAAGAAGTTGCATCGTGGAAGAGAATCAAAGAAACCATCCTGGCGAGACTTTAGCGCAGCTGTCAAATTGAGCTTGTTCTGCCATAGCATGAATCCTAATCAGATTTAGCTGCAAATTTGACAGGAAAAAAGGTTGGAAAGTTCTGATCGTGACATTGGCGGCTAGGAAGGAAAGGAATTGGAAAGGGTATCAACGTCTGCAAGTTATACTGCGATATGACTGCGCACGATCAGAGAGAGTTTACCCTGGAAATAGTACATCTATCAGAAAAGTGGGGAAGAGAATACAAAACGTACCCCATGAAGAACTCGATGAACCTGATCTCTTCCAGAGGCGATTTCCCTTTCGAGTACTCGGTACATCTCTGGAGGCAGGACGTTGCTATCCGAGTCTGAGTCGATCCATCTTTGTTTCCATCGTTGATTCTTCATTAGCCATCACTTGGACACTGAGATAGGCAAAGGCGGTGACAGGCCAATACTGAGAGCTGAGAGAATAGACTGGTGGGCCATAGAAACATCAATATCAAGGCTAATGTTGACATTGTGCGACAGCATTGGAGGGCAGTTAAACCAAATCACACAGAAGAGTGTCGGTCCTGGAACCCAGAAAAGATCGGAAAAGATGGCAAATGAGAGGAGATACGTGCTCGTTGTGCAATGAAGAAGACAGGGCTTCATAGTTGGGCTCATTGTTCCGGCGACCGTAAGTCATAGAAGGCAGCACATGTACTACCGCCAACATCCAGGAGGTGACGCTGCAGCTCATCATGCATGGACTCCTGTCGCTTCCAGGCGATACTAATAATACCAGATAACACGTCAAAATGGCGATTATGGTCCAAACCAATATTGGTACTTTACAAGACTCACCTATTATTTGTACGGTTACCTCCTTTGGTTTGTAGCCTCTATAATGATGGTTTCGTCGCGTTGTGTGATGCCTGGAGTGGTCGTTGACGCTAAAGTTCCGTCTACGCCCATTGAACGACTTGTCTTCATACGGATCCTTGAAGTCTGGTTAGAAGTTCCGTAGCGTCTCACTCCATAGATGACGTCTCTCCAGTTCTAGAATTTCCTAGCAAGACGAATTCAGTTTCATTGAGTATGCAAGCAAGTCAGCAAGTTGTCGTCCTGACATGGCTGTCCCAAGTTTTCCACTTGGCAAGAACTTATGTAACGGGCTTCCCTTCGTTCGTCAAAAAATTGGGCTTTGCCCCTCCTTTCGCTTACGTGCCCCTTTCGTGTTTGGCTTGACCTTACTTTCTCTCAAATTTATGACCTCTCCTTTCTGCTCGCTTTGTGGCTATCGGACGATGGACCTCATATGATACTGATGTCCAGTTTCAAGCTGCGTACCAAGACTATCTACATAACTGGTTTACAGACAGCTAGTTCTAGATAGCATGTTCTGTATGCCCGATCCTGGTGACAGGGACAGCGCTATTGCGAAAGACTGATAGATCGATGACACAGGCGTGAAGGCCAATGAACTTGGGTGGATCGGTAAACTCATACGTATCACTCACGTCGATGTCCGAAAATTTACGCTCAATGGGACATCACCACTATCATCAAGGAGACCAACACCGATGGGCAGCTCAGGGTGCATAATGGTTGCAGGGCTCTCTTCCCTACGAAACCAGGACTTAGGTCAGGACGGGGAGAAGAGCAAGTCTGGAAAGTAACAGTGCGTTACACCTTTCTTTTTCACGTAGCATTTCCTGATGCATTATTTAGATGGCACACTCTGCTGCAGGAGGTCCAGGGTTCAGTCCCAGTGAAAAGTCGGTCGAGCCATACTGAGCCAAATCAAGCCCAGGGGAATGATCACTGTGGCTCTATTCCGCTCGCTGTGGCTTCGAAATGTGAACCGTTTACCAGCTCAAATCGAGCTGTTTCGAGCTCAGTATGTCGTTACCATAGGGTTCCGTTAGGCTTCCTAGGGCTCGATTTCTTTGCTATTAATATATATATAGAACCACATCGCTACTACATACGCTAAGTAGCATAACCCTTTCCGTTCTGCCCATGGCTAGCCCTGTGCTGCTCGGATACCCCAACCGCATTTCGCAACGTGAAGATAAACGTATCGAAATAGACTAATAGACTGCACTAGAAAATGTTAAATCAGTCTACAATGACGGAAAAGATGATTCAAGGGCTACTCACGAAGTCGAAGCCAGCTGGAATGGTGGCAAGCGAGACCTGTATAAGATTTGGCTTAGCGAGCTCAGAAATACACGCATATATGGAATAGAACATACCATGGCCACACCCATAGCGATGCCTAGACGGCTTATGGAGCGACTGTACACATGCCAAATATGAGAAAAGAAAACATACAAGAGCACAATGAGACATACTCAAAGATATCCAGATATCCTGCAGCTCAAACCAGTCTTCTGAGGACGTTTGCTAATGCGGGTGTCCAAACAAGGCGCATATATCCACCTTGCGCGACAGTTTCAGTAGTGAGAGACTAACAGTAAGAGGCTACGAAAGCAAGTACGAAGCCACATCCCGCGATAATACAGGATCTGGATGTAGAGCAACAACGAGGACGGTGAACAAGCTCGAACACGACGGGTATGGTGGTGGTAGAAAAGAGAGAGGCGTTATGTCACTGGATAACATGCACGTGGACGGAACCGTTGGCTTTATTATAATTTAAGCTTAAGTTCCGAGTCAAGTTGCCAATTTGCGCTCACGATATTCGGCGCGTTTCAGTCAACCATCAGATTCAGAGAAATTCTACTCTGGTAATTCTTGGATGTGCTAATGGAAGAGGCGAAGGTTTGGAGTTCAAGGCCTTCTTGTATGATGCCACTTGATCCGGCTCGACCACGCTATATGGTAATTTCTGCAGCTTGATTTGGCTCAAACTGGCTCGACGGAATTTTCACTGGGGTTCAGTGGTGGCACTGCTACCGGTGGAGGCCTTGCTAGGACGATATCCTGATTTAGCAGAGAACAGGTATCTATTCATGATGCATCGTTATCTATTGACTATGCCATATTCGCTTTTAACAAGGACTTGTCGTTGTACGAGAATCGATTCCATCTGGACGTAAGGAAATTGTTCCCTTGGTGCTCTTCTTTCATCCTCAACTGCGACATTGATCAAGCTTCAAACCTCCGATTCGAACTGAAGTACGTTTGAACGAAACCAAATCCTCATGAACGCGAGATCCGCGCCATCATCTTCCTCTCCCCCACAGTTGCCGAGACCTTCATCCCGACAGCAGGTTGCGACAAACGACTCGATCTCAACAGCGTACCTCCCTGCCATTTATTGCTGATGCTCGCTTCTAACCCCCTGTTCATCCTTGCCGTCCTCATGCCACCCCCGCCTGACTGTGTAATCAACGCCATATGGAATGGATGCTGCATAAAGAAATGCTCCTCCCCGGTCAACCAACTGGATGTGAGTCTGTTGTACCGTCAGGGCGCATCATAGTCTCGTCACAATCGTACGAAAGGTGTTTCCTTCCTTACCCAGCCATCCTCGCGCACAGAGACGTTCCTCAAATGCGGCTAGTGAACACCTCTATTGCACACATCCGCATCCGGAGATGACCACCAACCCATGACGCGCTCAGAGATGCTCCCGTCGATAGACGACGATGTCGCTAGGCAGAAACTGCAATACATCTCTCATGCTTGCGTTCCTTTTTGGCGTGATCTCGCAGCAACACTCAAGCTAGTACAGAAGAATTGTCCCTTTGTTCGCTGTGCAATTCCCCAAGGCTGACTCAAGATAACTCAAAAGCCTAACATGTCGAGGTGAAACTGTTGGTGGTAGCCTGTAGGCATCTGAACTTTGAAAGCAGACGCCGGTGATGACCACTATTCACTTTTTCGACCACCGGTAAGTTTAATATTCTTCCTATAGCCGATCAGACATACCAACATTTCATTGTAGGACTCGGTCAGACCACAAGGATGTGACAATGGATCTCAAGCTCGTTCTTTATTTAAGACAGTATGCATAGTGACAGTTTCATTGTAATAATGTTGAATGTATTGACGGCAGAAGGTGTACAAGCGCACAATTGCATGATTAATCTACATAAATAATTGGACAAGAAAAGGGACTCGTAAGAGAACGAAAAAGCAAGCTTTGTAATACATAGAAGATTCTTCACCCGCATTTCTCAGCTACAGCCGACACCGCAGGCGCATTCTCAGCACTCTCAGCCAGAGCAGGAGTTTGAGCTGAAGCCAGAGCACGAACTTTGTCAACGAACAAGACAGTACGCGTGACAGAGCGAATTTGGTTCGGCAGAGCGTGAGGAGGTTCTTCCTCGTAGCCGGGACACTTCTTTTCCAAGAATCGCATGGACGTGAAAAGTCCATCAAGATGCGACCCAAGACGTGGGTAGGAGCAACAGCCTAAAGCCAAAATTCCATTAGGATGGCATAACAAGAAGACGGAGGACGAAATCGTACCCCTGTAATCTCGGCTACTGGCTCGAGGTAGTAGTGCGAGCGCGAGCGATAAACTAGTACGAGCGATGAACATGACACAGATCAAGCTGACAAAGTAGAGAATGGCGGATTCGACGAAGAGCTCGACAGTGCGATGGTACAACAATCGCACGTCCTCTGAACTGCCTTTCTCCCGAGAGGACGTGGTGAGACGGTATGTAATGAGTATGGTGAACTAGAGAGCTGTGGTCATAGCGAAGGATGCGGAGATCGCGAGCCAAGGCATTTGAGCAAACTCAACATGTAATTAGCTTGAGTTTCGATGATTCTAAATACTAATCAAGATTTAGATGAGAAGGTAAGTATGGGAAGGCTTGGACGTACAGATGGTGCAGACCAGAAGAATGCTAGAGGGCACGACCGTCGCCCAGTGTTCGTGGCTCGATATGCTCCATACCGTACTGCTCCCATTACTCTCTCCAACTACACATGGCCTTCATTCGGCCAAGTCCTTGGTCTGTCGATACATTCTTCCGTGGAGTGTTGCGCCAGGTGGATGGGAATACGAACGTCCTGCCGCTGTAGAGTATTGTTTGAAGTACTCATTCAAGTTGATGAGTGGAAGAACAAGGAGCTGACTGGCCGGGTGAATCCGAAACACGCGTGCCTCTAAAATTGGAAATCGCCGCCAAAGCAGAGATGCATGTTGAAGAGCTATATGGCTACTTTATGGTGACTATTGCGCCAAAGGTTAAATTCATACTATATAGAGATATGCATGTACTGTATAAGCAATCGAAAAATGGACGACACGAAGAAAGATAATCAAAAAAAAGTGTGACAAAAAACAGACGTGGCGCAGCCAGTCGATACCACGTGATGGGGTGGGAGGGGAGGGCAGAGTGCATGCCCTCAACACGGTGGAGGTGATGGGTTTTCGTCGCGAATGACTTTCGATCAAACGCGGGGAGTGTGTGTCATGGATTATCCATGCTGAGCTCGTCGTCTCTCCCACCACCTTTCTCGCAGCTGCTCCGCTTGCTGGAAGCTGATACACAGTGTCGGGCCCGTATGGAACTTAGACGAATGTCGTGAGAGGTTGTTGGACCTAGGAAAATGCAACTGAGCAGGGCAGGAGTTGATGAGGGGTGAGCGATGTGGGTAACGGGAGCACAAAGATGCGGGAAGAGTTTTTTCTCTACCCCACATGCTGGCCCTTGCCTCTCCTCATGTGATGGCAGCACCGTTCGCATCTCCTCTACTACACCTTGAACCCCATCGTCAACCGCATCACTCCCTCCGGATCCGCCCTCTCCCTCACAGCCTGCATCGTCCGCACGCCCTCCTCACCAAACATATCCGCCAACGGCATATCATTTTGGGTACCTCCACAGGCCGTTCCCTACCCCGAGCTTCCTTGCTGTATCACGAAACACACCATCCTCCTCTTCTTCACCCATTCCAAGTAGAAAAGATGACGTGGGTGCGCAAGCTTGCGGGAGCGTGTGCGAGGATGCTGGGGAGAAAGTTTTCGAGGGTGTAGCTGGTTATGAAGGGTTAGAGAGTGACGGAGGAGGGGGGAAGGGAGGCTCACAGTGAGACCATTGATGATGCATTGGGTGGTAGACTTGGAGTACTCAAGTGTGGCGATATTGTTGTATACGGTCCTAGCCAGGTTCGTGAACCGGTAGTAATCCCGCAAGTTAACAAACATACTGTTATCAATGGAAACAAACATCAAGTTGATGAAGTCGTTGAAGGAACGTGCTGGGTATGCTGAGGAAATTATCGAATATGCCGTTTGGGGGAATGGGGGCATTGTAGAACATTCAAGTGGAGATAAAGACCTGTAATTACATTGAGAGCTCAATAGCGGGAGAGAATCTGGATGGCATACCTGACCGCTGGCGTATACTTTATGTATATGATGGGTATTGATACTGCGGGTTTGGGATTGGTCACTTCTGAACAGAACTTGACGTAGATGGATCCCTGGAGAAGCCAGTCAGACAGCTCTACTGATAGTTCGAGGGCAGGTGTACCCAAAAGGTATTCTGTGGGAACATCCTTAGGGTAAACTGAGTGACAATACTGTAGTTGTTCCTGCTGCCCTTTTAAAATAATTAAAAAATGGATATCTAAGAGATGGGCACGTACCTGAAAAGAAAAAGCTCCGTATCAGTCTCTTCCTTCACAGTCACCACAGTCCCATTCAGCGCCACCAACTCGTACGCGAGCACATTATCAATAGGGAGCCTGTACTGGTCTCTCAGCCACAAACACCCTTCAGAAACGCGTTCAGTTAGGACTTTTGATCATCACAGGCATACGCACCACCACCGAGAGTGAACTGGTTTACTCTCTCCCCAAATACGTTCACACCCTGAGCACCCAGCACTGCATAGATGTTGTCTGAAATACTACCAGCACCAATCACTGTCGTCTGTGTTGCAGAGTCATACATGACCTCGTAGAAGCATATCATAGCGATCTGGACACCAGGTGCCAAGGAAAACCCTCGATCTATGGCGCATCCACTGCCTTTGATCTGCAGGGATTGGTTACTATTGGCCCGACTTGGCGTCTTCATCTCGCCTAGGATGTCCGGACGTCAGGCATGAACAAACGAGCAAAGGCAATACTTACGATGATGCCGACGTCGTCAGCAAACCTGGGTTCGACGGTGCATTTGGAGAATTGCAAGTTTGATAAGGCATCTTCCTTGTTGTCTGCGACGTATGATGGGAATCCGGGACAGTAGACGCGAACGAGACTGAACCATTCAAGGGGATTCCGACCATTTTACGATAGGCCAGACAGCTCTACCTCGAGATTAGTAGTGCCCAATGCTCTTCGCTTGATGTGACCGTCCTTCCGATTAGGCTGGAAAGACAAATACTTAGTGGTCGGAAAATGGCGTGCCAAGGGAAATCAGATGGCAGAGTGGAACGCAGGGTGGGAGGTTGGGCATCTTGCACAAAAGCAAGAAACAAGTCGGGTTCAGCTAATCCCGACATCTCTTTTCTTTGTACCACAGCCACTTGCACTGATCGCGCATTACGCAGAGGCAGCACGTTCAGCTAAGCGCAACCATCTTTTATAGCTTAACTATACTTCCCCTACGATGCTACGCAAAATCTGACGCTTCCTCAAAGTGAGCTGTCCTCCATCGTGACACACGGCAAAATAAGTCTAAACTGGCAGGCGACGATGGAGAACACAATGCGGCCTAGGGTATGTGTACGTTCTCTGGAATTCCTGTACTTATGAATGCGTAGGAATATTATCGTTCCTTAGGACTGTCCTACAAGCTCATACATGAAGATCCACTGAAGCGAGGAGAGATTACGGAAGTTTAGATACTATAGTTGATCAAAAAATAAAGTAGAGAGTAGTATGATAGTAAAAAAAGGATAGCAAGCAAGAAAATTACAGTCTAAATTTAGTCTCCAGTTTCAACCCGACTTTCAGGTGTGAGCTCTATTGCGACCTTTCATCCACTACCACGAGCTCATCTGACCGCTCCTGTTGAGCTTCGATGTCCATTTCAAGGACTGCGCTCTGCACGGTGGATTGTTGAAAGCTTGCCGTGGAAGGTCGCGAAGGTTGAGATGATTGCGAAGCCATTTGGAAACGAAGAGTCGACACCGTCGCACTTTCGTCATGCTCTTCGGTTGGGCGTGTGTGTCCTGCCGCTGCTCTGCCAACAAGGAGGGTGGGTGCAACTCCCTACACAACGTGTTCGATAAATGATGAGGGAGTCTGAGATAGTGAACACACCTTTGCAATGCTAGCTACAGGATCAAGGTAATATGGTCCAAAATCATTGTGAATGTAGAAAGCCAAGAATAGGACCCGAGCTATCGAATGGAGAGCAGAGGATTCCACCAGCACTCCAATAAAACGGTAATAAACTCTCAGTCGACCGCCTGCTCCATGTCTAACCCCGGTAACAGTCAAAATGCGGAAAATGATGAACACGGTGCACCATAGCGTCGTTGTCAGGATGAAGGACAGGTAAAGCGTCAGGGATATTGAGTTCAATACACTGGAGTAATTATGATATATCTCAATGATTTTCGACACTAGACATAAAGTTGGATATATGAAAAGGGTAGATGAGATCGGAACACTTTACCAGTTGCAGAAATTAGGGAAAGGATTGGAAGTAAAACAATAAGCCAGCGCCATCCCCAGACAGTCCAACAGCACCAAATCTAGAATTGAAAAGATGGTAAGCTGACATGGATAATCACCAGCAAAGTAGCACACACAGTATATGAGTCTGCGAGAATCGTACTCACCGAGGCTGTAATACCTGTCTCCAAATAGGCTGCTTGGTTCACACTGTTAATCTTCCGGTATACAGTCCAAAAACTTTGCCTGTTTTTGATGAATGTGGAGCATGTAATGACCAACTGGCAGCAACATCTACAGTAATCAGAGCATGGAGGAGAATGATAATGACAACCAAGGCTCGTCGCATTGGCCGACATTTATTGATGTCTGTGCCACTCGCATCAGCTTGGATGTCATAGTATAGATGCACCTGGCTCACATATACTCCATAGCGTAACAGCAAGAATTCCAGTGTATATGCCTATCATCAGTCAACGCTTGCACATCAAAGCACTAAACATTGTTTTGCCCATCATGAAATAATGCGAGGAGAATTTTGGAGGTCAGCATAGCGTCAAGATTTTGAAACACCAAAGCTTTGTCTTCATCGGTAAGATCGGGTGGAATATCTGCCTGAATCACCATGAGGAAAAGTAAGAGAAATGGGTAGTCGGCTATGAGAATAACACGCACCACCCCTCTCATTTATAACAGTGAAGTTCACGGCCACATACACTCACTACAACCTCACCCCCACCGTAGTCGTGTATGTTGCGTCTGTCTACGAGAGACTAGCCATAAGGATGATTATCAGTATCCAAGTCGCACCAGGAGCCTTACATACAGACTGTGTTTGGAGATTTAATGAGCCGTTGTGTACATTGTGATAGTTTCAACAACTCGCAATAGAGACACGACTTGAAGTGCGATTTTTCCAGAGAAAGCCCCGTATCGTAGGGAAAGTGGTGGTATGAACTGCAAGCCTCTCAAAGGTTTTGCTGAATTAGGATTAGGGAAACCGCGTCGAGGAAGAGAATCAAAATAACTAATGAAGTGAGATCACGGTGGGCCTAACAACTTGAGTTTGTCCTGTCATGTTGACAGGAATGTAGGAAATTTTTGAGGCCAGCTTTATTATCATTATGCTGGCGGATCCTGAATATTTCAGTCTCGGCAAAGGTTTTCAGGGGCACCAGTTTTTGCAAATCATATAGAGGCGAGAACCAGTAGCACGACGATATAAGACAAGACACAGTTTACCCTGGAAATGGTGCATCTTTTAAAAAAGCGGGGGGAAGCATGCACCCCATGGTGAGCTCGATGAAGTCCGATCTCTTGCAGCAGCAATCAGTACTTGGTAAATCTTCCAAGGCAGGGCATTGCGCAGCGTGCCTGAGTTGCGCCATCCTTGTTTGCATCATCGGTTCTTCATCACTACCCATCACTTAGACACTGACATCGGCGAAGGTGGTGACGCAGTCCAATACTAAAAGCTGAGAGAACAGATTGGTGAGTCACAGGATCACACATCAAGACCGAAGACAATGTTAGCACATGGCGACCGAAGGCAGATGTTTGCTCATCAAACGATGAAGACGAGGCATCACAGACAGGCTTATTATTCTGGCAACCCTAATCCACGGAAAGTCGTACAAGTGCCACCAACATCCCAGAGGTGAGGCTTCGACTCACACTTATGCCGTTTCCCGATATGCCAGGTAGATAACGCATCAAAATGGTGAGTACAGTCCAGCTCAATGGCACTTTACAAAAATACTCACTTATCATTTCTCCCTCCTTGCGCACCCATCCATCAGTGAATCCGGGCAAAGAACCGGGTATTCGTAACCATAGGCAGTCGGGAGGGTGGTTGATAGATGCCGTCGAATGAATCCCCCAAAGTTGAGATGAAAGAAGCAAATCAAGAATGGTACCAATACCTCCCGTGTTCATTACGAGATGTCCTAGGCATTAATGACGACGTGTAAAACGTTCCACGACAGGATGAATTTGGTTTTCGTCATACTGCATTGCACCGAAACACATGGATGGAGAGATACACAAGCAACCAAGCTCTGTTCCTCAGTTCAAGTTGTCCAACGTGGCTGTGCGCGCTTCTTTTGGAAAAGGCCAGTGGCAGAAACCCAGCGGAATGAAGTTCTTATTCGATTTCCGCGTCCTGCATCAGGCTCGTTAACTTCCTGCGACCTCAATGTCCGACTCTGAGGGATATTCCGAACTCTGTTTACAATAAAAAATAGCTGAAGGAGCCTACCAACAGGTGATGCACAAAAAAGCAGTAAGTCTTGGCAAGCAGAGATGTTCAAGGAATCATTTTGGCAAAACCTGGTAGACTTCCCGTCACAAACATACAGCCCCCCCCCCCCCCCACGGCTCACGACGATCTGTGGCCACTCCTGTGGACTGCCTTTCATGGCGAATGTAGGGTGAGGCAAGTCATGTAAGATCTGCGACGAAGGGTAACAGAGAAATAGAGGGGGACTCAGAGGAGAACAGATATCTCTGGCCTTTTGTCCATCCCTTACAGGACGTCCATTTCTTCTCCTTCCATCCTGTGCTCCTGACATCAAGGGGGTACCGGAATTCCGGCCCAGCACACCGGGTAGGTAGGTAGGTCCAGCCAGATGTCATGAAAAAAAAAAGTTGATAACCACTTTGGGGGTCTAAAAATGGACTTCAAGGGTAAATTTTAGAGCATACATGATACAATATATGCTACTGAGTGTGCTACTTACCTTAGGGCATCATACCTAGCGATACCAACACTCAGTCAATGCCATTGCAAAGTGGCCCTGCTGACTGGACATGGTGACATTATGACATCCCATTAGAGCACAGCCATGATTTAGACTTGATAGCGTACAGATTATGTTCAAAACACTTTCAATATTAATATCACGGCTATTTCAGGCAAAATATTCACCGAATTGAGTCGAAAGATACCCAAATTTAGCATAATGACATCATAAATGTCACGTGAAGGTAGGTAGGTCCATCGTCGGTGCACGAAATTATTTAATCGACCCACTGTCTTTTAATTCATTATTAGGACCCCCTTGCCCGACATTTCCATGGAAACGAAAGCGAAATCGCTCACTGGCGGGGGCGTTTGTCAGCCTTGGAGCGAGATGGGTATTAGAGGAGGCCCCTAGAAGCTCCCGCCAAACTTTGTCCGGATTTTGGCATATTTTAGGCCCCAAAATCGCAAAAACTTTGTCCGCAGTTAGCATATTTTGCGTCCAAATGAGTTCAAACGTCATCAAACTTTGTCCGGATGTTAGCATATTTTGGAAATTTGGGATGCCATCGCCCTGACATCTGAACCAATATCAGTCCCGATTTGGATTTCTGACTCTGCGTAATATTTTCCGGGAAAATTCCAACGAAAATTTGTAGTCATGTCGAAAACAGGTAAAATTGTGCTTCAGTTCTAGACGGTGAAGTCTGCAGATTAGGCGGCCGGTTCTGTAGGGGCCCCCGGCCCGGGAGGCCCAAAAGCGACTTTATCTGGGTTAGCATACTTTGAGCCCCAAAAGTTGCATATTTGAGGACCGATTTTGGAATTTTTGCCGGACAAAGTTTAGCGGGAGCTTCTGGGGGCCTATTAGAGGCGATAATATGGCAGCTGGGTGAAGGGACTGGCTTATCGGTATGTCTCCTAGTATCATGGAACGAGGTCCTTAAATTCTACGTCCGTATCATTCATTGACAAGTCTTGATAGTTCTGCGACTAGCAATGCTGTCTTTGCGCAAGAGGAAAGCCGCTAACAAGGGAGTCCCGGGGGATGTGCTAGTAAACGCCAAATGTCCATTACTGGTGCTACAAATCATTAGAGAGTGAACAAAAGGAAGGACATTGTAGGGCTTCGCACCGTCACCGTATAGTACGGTTATACGGGTGCCGTCATACGGGTACCATGCCCGTTCCGTCTGGCGAAATAACTTGCCCAGAGACGGACGGTATACGGACATCCCGTATACCGTTAGCAACCGTATAAACACGGCCGTCATACGGTAATCGACGGCCGTGTATGTATCTAAAAATAACTGTCATCAGATCACACTGTACACATGTTTGCCATACACTTAACATCGTACCACGATGTGCTGGCACCGCAAGCTCTTCAGCGCTACCACCCGATCTTCTTTCACTCGCTCTACTCAAGCTCTAACCCTTACCAGCATAGAATACTTTCTATTTCCTGCTTCTGCTGCCTCTATTCTACTACTGTTTCATCCTTTGAGTTTGACTACCCACACATATTGCGCAATAATTTGCCCCCCGCTGGCCTGTGCACCTGTCAAATACTGCTGAATTTTAAGCCAGAGGAGTTCACGAAAGAGTATATAATGGTCCTTTTTTCGCAGACTTACAACCACATTCTGAGCATTATGATAGATCAGTGTGCCCTCGATGCCAATGGAAACTTGAAATCCCCCTCGAAATTCAATTTTTATCACGATGCAGATGACGACGTGCCCATGGCAGGACCTGGAGCTGCTCCGAAGCCCCAAATATCAGGTATGTATTATTCAACGGCCGTATTGACGACCGGCACGGCCGTCTATATACCCGTACCGTACCGTCAACCTAGTTCTAAGAGCATTGACGGTACGGTTACGGATCAGCCGTCGCCCGTCACTGTACCGTGGCTATACGGCCGTATACCGTATACGGTACGGTGCGAAGCCCTAGGACATTGAACATACCTTCAATCTAGGCTCGATTGAGGAAGGGGATCTTGTAGTATAGTTAGCCGTTCCTTGATATCTACGTCCTTTTTTAGGCTAACTACCTTTGTGCGACCTCAATGGCCGACTCTGACGAATATTCTGAATTTTGCTTGCATGGCTCAAGGAGACCTGGAAATTGGTGATACGCGAAAATATGTAGTATTTTGTGGGCAAGACAAGACGACATGATCAAGTGTATAACATCAAACGAGTCGAGTCTTTGTGCGCAGAGATGCCCAGAGTGTCATTTTGATGACACTCTCGGTAGATTTCCCGTCGCAAACATACAAACCTCTGCCCTACGACTTTTTGTCACCACTCCTGCGGATCGCAGTTCATAGAGACTATGGAGGGCGTAGCATCGTAAATGAAGGGTGATATACTTCGTGCAGAGCAAAACTGGCTTGCGAAATGCGTTTCCGCAAGCAAGGAGATCTGGGTCATAGGGAAGGAGCCCCTGATGTTCCGGAGACAGGCTTGCCCTTCGTGGTTGAAGCGTCGGACATGATTCTGCACAACAGTGAAGAACAGTAAAACTGCAACGAAGGATAACGGAGAGAACGGGGACTCGGAGAGCGTCACTTTTGTCCATCGGGTCCTCCCATCCTGTGCTCCAAGCATCTCCAAGGGGACGAGCATGAAGTCACTCGCTGGCGGGAGCGTTCGTTAGCCATGGGGCGAGATGGATGTTAGAGGCGATAAAATGGTGGCTAAGGGAAGGGGCCGGCATGTCGATGTCTGCATTGTTGGGAAGCACGTACGTGCTACAAATTATTGAAGCGTGAAACAAATGGCAGAAACGTTGAACATACTTTCAATGTAGGTTCGACTGCTGTACCGAAGAAGAGAAAGAACATATATCCCTGAGGCCCAACGTGATGGTGGTAGAGAATGATTTTATTTACGCAAGTTTGAGATTTGACGCCTTGTGTAAACGGATCCAGCTTCCAACTAAAATATCGTTCTCATACAATCCTTGATCAACAGACTCAGAAGTTGCGCTCAAGTCTATCCTGGGGTCTGATCTTGTTGATCTTTCTATCGTGATGCAGTACCGCAAACTGTGTTGAATGCGGTGCTCCGATACTTGAGGTCTTAGCTCTGGCGCCCGCGGTACCTCACTTTTATACGCCACCGACATTGATCCTCATACAGCTACGATATTTATATCGTAAAACTCTTCAAGGAGTTCAAGGAAATTTTCCTAGTTTTGATGTTGATTATCTTTTCCAATCTTGACAGACTTCTCGTGCCCTCTATATAATAATGGGGGTTTGATATGTGTTATTCACATAAACTACTACTCCGTTGCTCTTGCTTTCCGCCATGATGGCTCAGGCAGATATTCCGTCAGACCTTACCGAAGATGACAAAGCTTACATGTTTCAATATCTCGACGCCACTCTGAACTCCGGAGTCTTCTTCGCGCTATTGTATGGTAGGCAATGACTTTCAGTGCCTTGACATGTAAGTGTTAGCTGACAACAGGTTTATACACTGGTATTCTTGCAATTACATTGTGGAATATATGTGAGCAAGGAGTATCTCCACTACGGCCTCTAGCTGAAGTAAATGCCAGTCATCAACAAATATTGGCCGATCCGACGAGCCATGGTCGCCGTTATCATGCTTCTCCATGCCCTGATTACTATCAATCTTGCTGCCAAGTGGTCGTCTATATGCTCTGCATTCATCGATAATGGGCAAAGTTTTTGGACCGTATTTTCAAACCTTGGTCGTGTGGCCCAGCCAGTCTCCTGGGAGATGGGTATCACAGGTTCCATAAGCACCATTCTCACAGATTTATATATGGTGTGTGACTCCGCTAGGGATTATCCACATCAGCCCACCATCATTTCAACTAGATTTGGTATTGCTGGATGGTTTGGGGAAGACGCTGGTCCGTTGTTCTGCTTCCGATATTTTTGCTAGTTTCCGCGATCGGTATGGTGTCTGGTCCCATCTAATCTTTTCATACTCATAACAGTACCCAACCTTTTATGCAGGATCCAAAATCATGGAAATATATTATGAATACTTCAATGTGTTCGGATCCATGGACGTATTCCTTGTGCTCTATATATCCTTCACCCTGGCGACGACATTGTCATGCACCTTGCTTATCATTTACCGCATCGTTACTGTCGCTGGCGTTAGGCGTGGAGCAGATGGCAGACTGAGAGTTTATCGCCGTTTCATTGAAGTTCTTGTCGAATCCTCAACTTTCTATTCAATATCTCTGATCTTATTTTTGGCTTTCTCCATCCGTGACAGTTGGGAACTGTACTACTTTGATGTCATAGCTGGTATCGCGAAGGTGTGTTCAAGATCTTAGGCTCCGTTATCATTCACCAAACAACTTGTGTAGGGAATTGCTCCAACGCTTCTCGTAGGACGCATCACGGCCGGACATCGGGCCCACCCAGACGATTCCTGGCAAGGAAGCGTGATCGCGTCAGGCTCGATTAGGTCTCAGTTGCAAGGTCGCAATCGGACGAGCTTCCAGCACGACCTGACGAGTTCAATGTTTGATGGTGACCTCGAGGCCCAGCGTGAGATTTCTGTCAGGGTGAGTTGATTGGCTTCTACCGCTTCTCTGTACCGAACTGAAACATTTTTGCTTTCTAGGAACCTTTTCCATCAAGCCGCTCTGTCTCTGTTGCGGTCAATCACGACCACCCAAACACTGACGTCTTTCTGGAGAGCATAACGTCCTCGCCCCATCTCGGGAACCACTCACTCCTTCAAGACAGTTTACCCCCTTCTGAAGATGCCATCTGTAATTCTACCATCGTTGACGGAACGGTAGTTCCGAGTCGAGGAAGATCTAGCCTCGAATGAACATAGTACGCAATATCCCATTTACTCTTTACCTACGACGGACTTGAAGCTTGAAGTCTCCAAACCCTTGTAACATCGCGTTGTTTTTGTTGTGTTTTAAATAAGTCATACAAATTATAACGGACTAATAAACATGAGCTCACCCTCTACACAACAACGTCGATCCTCAACGTCGATTATCCGCACGCATTACTGACAGAGTATACTCGTCGTCCGACCTATGAAAAACGTCTGTGTCACCTTTGCTTCGTTACGAAAGCAAACCTTTGTTGACACAGGACCGGCGGCTTCTGTGGGACAATGGCGTGGAAGGCGAAGGGTGTAGTATAGCTGTTCTTTAATTTGCACATCCTGTTTTTAGCGCGTTACTATCTTGCGACCTTGATTGCCGACTCAAACTTCGCTTGGAGGGACAGGGGCCTACAAACAGGTGATACGAGTCCGGACATGATAAGATGCAGTAGTATGTTGTAAGCATAGAGTCGACATGATCAAGTGTGTAACGAGTCGACAGATGAATTGACGTAATCCTCATGACTTCACATGCAGAGACGTCAAGAAAGGCACTGTCCCTTGCCCACGGCTCACAGCAATTTGTCCTGCCGTCCATAGGGACCACAGGAGGCGTGGCATGGCGAATGCAGAGTGAGGTACGACGAAAGGGAACGGAGAGACAAAGGGGAAACTTGGACTCGGCCATTTGTCCATCCCCTACACAACGTCCATTTACCTCCTGCTTCCTATCCGTCTCTGTAGAAGCGAACTCGAATGAGAGGTCACCCTCTGGCAGACAGTTTTAAGCCCTGGAGTGGGACGAAGTATTAGTTAGACTCGGAGGTAATGATCGAGCCTTCATTCTCATCTCTGAAGGACAGTGAGCATCATTTCTGTCAATGAAACAGCTGTATACGGACAGGATTGAAGTATCATCTGGCTTTGTGTCGGTAGGGACGCCCACCTCGTCGCGCTTGCCTGTTGCAGTTGCACGTAGGGGCTTTTGGCTGACCTCATCATCCTGCTAAACGTGGCCCCTATGTGCTGCTAATCGTTGCAGCGTGTAAGAAAGAGAAAAGCGTCGAACAAGCCTTCAATATATGCCCGACTGTTATACCGACGAGGAATAAGAGGAGGCAGATACGCCAAGGAAATGATTAACTCATTATTTACGCGTGTTTGAAACTGAAATTCCCACTCCTGCAATCGGCTCGAGATAGTAGTGTGTCCACTCGGGGCGAGTGACGAGGACAGTGCAGAGTATCAAGCCGACAGATAAGACTTAGTAAGAAATGGCGTATTAGCTTGACGGAAGTGATAAGGCGGTACGTGATGAGCACGGTACGCCACAGGGCCATGATCATGGCGAAGGATGCATAGATCATGAGCCAAGACGTGTGAGCAAACTTGTCGTATAATTTTGCTCGGGTTTCCATTATTTTGAATACTTGTTGAAATACTGTTTAGATTGAGATTTGCATAAGTATGCGATAACTTGGACACACCAATTGTAGACCAGATAAATTGTGGGAGGGACATCTGTCACCGAGCGTTTGTGGGTTGAAATGCATACAACACATCGAGACATCCACGTACCGTACTTTTCCCACCACTCTCTCCAACTGCGCGCCTTCACTCTGCTAAGTCCGTGTTCTGCCGATACATTCTTCTGCGGAGTTTTGGGCCAGGTTGATTGGAAGTCGAACGTCCTACTGCCACCTGTGTCGTAGAATAAGATTCGAAGTTGACGAAATGGAAGAACAAGGAGTTGACCGGCCGGGTGAATCCGAAAACCGTGTGTACCCAAAATTGGAAATCACCACCAAAGGAGAGATGTGTGTTGAAGAGTTATATACATACTTTACGGCGACTAACGCGCCAAAGGTTAGAATGATATTATACAAAGATATGTATGTACTGTATAAGCAATCGAAAGATAGACGAGGCGAAGAAGGATACTCAAAAAAGTACGACAAAAACAGACGTGGCACAGCTAGTTGATACGCGTGACGGGGTGGGAGGGGAGGGCAGAGTGCACGCCCTCGAGACACGGTGTCGTGATGCATCGATTAGTGTTGGTCACGGATGTCTTTCGATCAAAGGAGGGGAGTGCGTGTCATGGCTAATCCACGCCGAGCTCGTCGTCTCTCCCACTACCTGCTTGAACCTCGCAGCTGCTCCGCTTGCTAGAAGTTGATATACAGTGGTCGGGCCTGTATGGAACCTAGACGAACACCATGAGAGGTCATTGGACCTAGGTAAATGCAGCTGAGCGGGGCAGGAATTGATGAGAGGTGGGCGATGTGAGTGACGGGAGCATAGAGATGCGAGAAGGGTTCCTTTCTCTACCCCACAAGCCGACCCTTGCCTCTCCGCATTTTCATCTATTCTTCACTCGAACGTGTCCGCTCATGTGTAGCGTGTAGCACAAGACGTGCTTGGTGTGCTTGGTGGAGAAATTTGCAAATCTGAGAGGTGTTACAAGAAACGTCGAATAAGAGTGGAACAGTGGATCGTGGCAAGTCATAGAGTCAGCGTAAGCTATGAAACAGAGTTACATGCCTAACGCACGAAAAGATTGAGATTGGAAGAACTTACATCGCACCCCGACGTTGAGATCTAAACATAACGCAAGACGTTCCTCGGAAATCAAAGCAAAGATGAATAAGATCAAAAGTGAACATCTTAAAAAACCTACCAATCGACGGAATATGCTGGCGTAGCATCCAATAAACGACAGAGAGTGTGTGGCCAGATGCAGGATTTAGAGGGAGATACGAATGGAGACACGTGGACTTGACCGCGGGAGCACGGCCCTTTGACTCCGTACAATGCGTGGCATTTCCGTCGGACTCTCTTCTGCACGACCACGGTCCTTTTCCTGGTTCCATACTGTTCTCCTCGAGAATCTTAATCATCAGTAAACACGTTTTACATATCGTTCGGGGACGGCGCTCCAGTTTCGATCTAGGATGGTCCCACTACATGGCATAGTCGGCGGATGCTGTGACGCTGAAAGAAACAAATCAAGAGACATCAATCCGCGTCGTTGCTGGTGACTTCGGACGTCCCATTAGGTAGACTTGGTATCGATATCACTCTGGAGTGGACTGATAACCTGTCGCAGTACCGGTGAGTACGTTCTGGTTCTAATTGCGCTGCCACTGTGTTGCTGATATTCCTCATAGTTCGGAGGTCTATGAAAACCATCCAACTTTGTTTCGCTGCGGGATCTTTTACGTCTATGCCTTGCTTGATGGAGGTTTCCTGAGAGGATAGCTCGGGCAGTGTGCTCTGAGCGGAGGGAGGTTATGGTATGTCTGCTATTTCGTTGATACGTGCTATACTCATTACCGTCGCATTCAGATGACCTCGATGAAGAAATGTATATTCCTTTCGAAATTTGAATACTGAGCTAAACAGAATCATCCCGGTGCGCTCTCCCACACGAAATACGACTCTTTCCCCTGACATTTGGCTGTGAATAGGCTTATATACTGTCCTATCACCTTGCGGGGCGTCTACAAGGCATTTCTACCCCCAATATCAGACCTGAAAGAACATTCGCAGACCCGACACAGTCCCCGCCTGTGGGACGCGCAATGACTGCTCTCATCACCTGTTCTATGACTTGATAACCACAGTCAGACTCGTGCTCTGGAATTTCGGCAATGACCCAACGTTTTGGACAATGTATTCGAAGCTCGAAGTTTCCAAGGAAGCAGCGGTATAGTCAAGTTATGGACGGATGGATATCTTCGGTCTCAAAAGTACCGTCCTCGCAGACTTGACCAGGTCGTCTATTGGTCATCTTTGCCCAACTTGCTCTCATATTGAATCGAGATGCGACATCGCTGGACGGTATATGGTTCTGGGCTGTCCTTCCGATTTTCCTTCTATTTTCCGGAACACACCTGCCGCAGTTGAGACGTGCTGCGAAGTTCTCAGGCATGTCATTGGTTTCGGTGGTGCTTTAAGTGTCCGTCGTTGCAACGACGCTACTCCTCACTGCACTGCTTATCATAAAGCGCACTGTAAGCGTCGGACAGGCCAAGGGCGGATCCGAGAGTCGACTAAGGACGTACCGCTGTGTCACTGGATACTCCATCTGTTTGGTCGCATGTTTCTTCGCGATTTGTAGCGACTGGATAAACAAACGTCTTGACACTTAGTAAAATATGCTAATTTTATGACATTAGCTTTTCTTGCGCTCTTGTCCTTGTTAAACGCACGATGCGGGATGACACCTGGAAGATCGTTTTCGTACTCGCTCTCGTATGGAGAGTAAGATCCGGGCGGGATTGCGAGCGCCACCTTGGCCGATGGCGTTGAGGTCCAGGTGGCCAAGTGGATAACGAAAGAGACGGCACGGATTCGAGAGGATATTGTTTCTGCTTACTGTGGGCATCGGGAATTAGATCTCGAATGTCATGGATGCTCAAGTCAAGATCGGTGTTAACTTGAACATATGTTGAACTCCCCCGTCAACCGCATCACTCCCTCCGGATCCGCCCTCTCCTTCACAGCCTGCATCCTCTTCACCTCCGCACCAAACATATCCAGCACGGGCGTATCATTTCGGGTACCTCCACACACCGTCCCCTGCCCCAAACATCCTCGCTGCATCATGAAACACATCGTCGTCCTCTTCCTGCACCCATTCCAAGGTGAAGCCGGTGGAAAATACGACATCGATGCGCATGCCTGGGTATGCGGAGGATCCTGCGGGAGCATATGTGAAGAGGCTGAGGAGGAAAGGTTCGAGGGCGTAGTTGGCTAGGAAGGGTTAAGCCCCAGGACTTGGGGAGGGGTTAGAGAGGGACTGGGGAGGGGGGGAAGGGAGGCTTACGGTGAGATCGTCGATGATGCTTGGGATGGTAGGCTCGGAGACTCGAGTGTGGGGATATCGTTGATTACGGGCCTAGTCAGACTCGTGAGCCGGGAGTAATCCCGCAAGTTGACGAACGCGCCGGTATCGATGGAAGCAAACGTCGGGTTGATGAGGTCGGTGAAGGAACGAGGTGTGAGGTATGCTGAGGAAATTATCAAAGGAGGGATGGGGGCAATGTAGAACATTTGAGTGGATATAAAGTCTCGATAGTGGGAGAGGTTGTGGATGGCATACCTCACTGCTGGTATAATCGCAGTTCTGGGATCGGTAACTTCTGCACAGAATTTGACGGCTGCTACATCGAACGTCACAGTCACCACAGTTATGCAGGACTACCAGCTCGTACGCAAGCACATAATCGATAGCAACCTCGTATTGATTACTCGGCCATGAACGCCCTTCAAAAAGGCATTCAGTTAGGACCTGAATCATCACAAGCATACGCTCCGCCACTGACAGTGAACCCAGTCACACCAATCCCCGGTACCCTTCCCCCGAGTACATTCACACCCTGAGCACTCACCACCGCATACTCCGCCACCACCGTCTGTGTCGCAGAATTGTATGTGACCTCGTCGAAAGCGTGTCATAGTGATCTGGACATCGGGCGTCGAGAAAAATCTTTGATTCTTGGCGTGCCCGCTGCCTTTGATCTGCAGGAGTTGGCTACTATTGGCCTGACTTAGACGTGTACACCAAACGGCGTCTTCATCTCGCTTAGGATACCCGGACGTCAGGCATGAACAAACAAGCAAAGGCAATACTCACGATGATCCCGACATCTTCCGCAGACCTGAAATCGACGATGCCTTTGGAGGATTGCGAGCTTGATGGCAAATCTTTCGAGTTGCGAATACCAGGGGTGAAACGTAGGTGGGATCAAGAGCACGAGCAAGATTCGGCTGGTCCCGACACCTCGTTTCTTGCGCATTACTCAGGGGCAGCGCGTTCACGCCGTTCAGCTAGGCGCAACCATCTTGTAATAGCTTACCTATGCCTCCTCTACAATGCTACGCAAAATCTGACGCGTCCTCGAAACAAGCAGACATAGCAAAATATGTCTGAATCAGGCGACGATGGACCAGGAGAATTGCCTAGTTTATGGGTACGTTCTGTGCAATTACCGTAATCATGAACACCTAGGAATATCATTCCTCCTTAGGATTGTCCCACAAGTTCAACGTTCAAGCTCAAGGTTCATCGTCTCTTCCTGCACCCTTCTTCCCCTCACACAATCACCCAGCCAAACCGTCGACTTTTCTTCCGCCTCTGTGTGTGTATACAAATCCAGCAGTCAAATCCGAATCTGCGCGTTCTTCAAGTTGCCGCCTTCGATCCTGAGCGATCAGAACGCGACGTTGCTAGAGGGGGTGATCCCGAGGTCCTCGACTCCACCGAATAGTATTATTTTGCCCTCTTGGAACTGATATTGTCATCATTCGACTGTTCGTTGGCGTCAGGTATCTGTGGAAAGAAGGCCGTATGGCACCCTACTCGATACTAGGTGGCAACGCCTCCCCAATTATGACGTTTCTAGCCAAAAAGATATTTAGCATATTCGAATTGATGAAATCTGCCAGAAAGAACATTCGCTACGACTTTTTGAGTTATTCGCTATTTTTCGGCGCCAATTTCCTTTGACTCATGTATTCATTATCTTCAGACGAGCCTCAAATGTCCTGGTCGATGATTGCGACGACGTACTTTAGGGAGCGTTGTGCAAAAGATAAAGATCCAAAAGGAAGGAGAGATTACGGAGGTTTAGATACTCTATAGTTGATCAAGAAATGAAGTAGGGAGAATGATAGTCAAAAAGGATAACAAGCAATAAATTGCAGTCTAAATTTAGTCTCCAGTCTCAACCCAACTTTCAGGCGTTTGCCATGAGCTCTATTCCGTCCTTTCAACAACTACCACGAGATCATCCGACTGTTCCCGTTGAGCTTCAATGTCAACTTCAAGGACTGCGCTCTGCCTGGTGGATTCCTGAAAGCTTGAAGTGGAAGGTTGTGAAGGTTGAGAAGATTGGGAAGCCATTTGGAAACGAAGGGTCGACACAGTCGCACTTTCATCATGTTCTTCAGTTGGGCGTGTGTGTCCTGCTGCTGCTCTACCAACAAGAAGGGTGGGCGCAACTCCCTACACAAGGTATTTGATAAACAATGAGAGAGTCCAAGGTAGTTAGTGTTGTGAAAGGCCGGGCTTCAAGCCTCAAGCCCGGCCCAGCCCAGCCCAGCCCAGCCCTGAAAAGCCTGGCCTGCTAGTAAGGCTTGCTCAAGGCTCAGGCCGAGGCTTTGTATATTGAAAGCCTTGAGCCCGAGGCTGAAGCCTTATCGAAAACATAGATTATAAAAATTTTCATAGTATCAATTCTTACAGCGAACACGAGATAGTATTCCTAATCACTGGATACATAGTCACTAGCCATCGCACAAAGCCGAAATTGGTGGCTTGCTACTGTACAGTTTCGCGGATCCCATTATGTCTAAGTAAGGACTTGATTCATGGGTTCTTGCTGGGTCAAATATTCCTCTGACCATGCCTGAACGCGACGTCCCAGACCCATCCAACATTATCTCGGGATCACGTTCACGGCGCCCTAAACGTACTTTTGGCGATGATGACGAAAATCACGCTGTTGCTTCTGGCAAACGTACTACTGCCGAAATCGAACATTCTTCGGAAAATCTGTCGCGCCACCCTGCAAAGCGGACCAAGCCTATAGATCATTCTGAGGACGTCAATATGAATGAGTCGGATGAGATTCAGTGCATTAGTAATCCAAATGCACCAAGTCAACCAGGTAAGTATCTGTACGACAAGTTTGCATTATTATTTACTAATGTTATAAATTGTCATTTCTCAGAACCAGAACCAGCAGAACGGATTGACCTACCTGATCCAAATAGAACTGACGAGAGTGGCTTCTATGCTGACGTTGTTAAATCTGTATTACCACCCAAAGACGCCAGGGAAACCAAGGATTCTTCAGCTGATGTGAAGCACTTCTTTGGCGAACCTAAGATGAAGTCCAACAGGAAGGGGAATGAAGTAAAACACCGTGCTTGTCGAATATGCAGGTCAGCTTTAACGTTGCAGATTAATTTTACTTACTAATGCTTGAACTCTGACTCCAGAGTTGATCTCGTCACCCATGTGAGCACCTTACGAAGGCATATGGCAGCGCACCATAAGGTTCGGGTACCTGCGGTAATCTCAGTATGGATTCTGACATAACATCATAGCCTGCCTACCATAAATACTGTACGAAGAAGGGGTTTCTTTCCATGCTTGAGGAGGATGTCAAGAAAAGAAACAGTGATGACAAGATGCATCAGAGCACTCTCGACATCCAGGTTATAGATCGAAGTACCCTTCCGAAGCTGATACGATACACCCCAGCAGCCTTTAAGCGGCTTTGCCTGGAATGGGGAGCAGTTACGGATCAGTCCATCTGGGCGTTTGAAAATCCTTGATTTATTGCAATGATAGAGATGGCCGCTGCAGCCCCTGATAGTGCAGCAATTCAGCTACCAAATCGTGTTGCTACACGAGCAGGATACCTGGCGCTCTCAGGAGAGTATCTACAGAATCTGAAGGAGAACTTTGCTGTGAGTTATATCATGCTGAACGGCGCTCAATGACTCACCATGTACTTAGTCTGATGCTGTCAAGGGCCGTGTATCGTTGACTTGTGATGCGTGGCAGTCAGGTAATCTGGACAGTTATTTTGCGGTGACGGGCCATTATATCGAGGAGAAGACCCCCAATCAGTGGGTCCTGAAAACGGCCTTGCTGAGCTTGCCACGATTAGCTGGCACACATACCGGGAAACGGCTGGGACAGGTCTTATACAAAGTTGTTGAGAGAGTGGGCATTCAGAAGAAGGTATGCTTACTAGATCATATAATGATGGTGTGCTGATTTCAATAGAGTGGACACATAACCTGTGACAACGCGCCTGTGAATGGAGTAATGATGGTTGAATATGAGGATCTTGTGCGACTGGCTGGCGACGCCGACTTTTCCGCAAAGGAACGAGAAATTGGCTGCAAATCTCATGTCGTTAACCTAAGCTCACAGAAGCTAATCAAGACTTACAGTAAATCGTCACACTTCGACCCAAAAAACCCAGAAGCCCATCATCCTCAAGACTGAGACGAAGTTGGCCTTATCCATGCTATTACAGTCAAGGTATGTTGTGCCATGCTATGAGGGAATGAAGAGCTCATTATTTTCCCCAGGAAAGCTCATCTTCTGGGCATCATCAGAAGTTCATTGATATTCAAATTGCTCGCAACGAAAAGCTCTTGTCCAAGGATCCGAGTGCTGACGTCGAAATTCCCAAGCACTTGCAGCTTGACATGCCGGTTTGTTGGTTGTCGACGTTCCTGATGTGTTACCGCAGTGTCTTGTTGAAAGAGGTATGTGCTCAGCTTCTGTTGGCCAGTCTAGACTGTCTGAGCATCGTATAGGCTGTCAAGCGTTTTGTGAACGAGCTAGTTGATGATGAGAAAGATGAAGCAAAGCAGCATAAACTTGAATCACTGAGAATGAGCAGTGAGAAGTGGAACCGATTGCTCTCGTTTACGAGATTGCTCGCAGTACGTGTACCTCTTACCTAACTCGGCATGACTCTCACAAGCCATGGCCCCTGCTTACAGATCTTTGATGATGCTCAGCAGGAATTCTCCGCTGATGGCTATCCTTCTCTCCATTTGGTCTTACCTGCACTCGAGAAGCTCTACGAAAACCTTGGCAAACGTTTAGATGACCCAGTATATGCACCATTTGCTGAAGCCATTTGTGCCAGTCTCGATGTAGTTGAGGAATATTACTCCCGTACTGAGTACTCGGATGCCTACATCATATGCAGCGGTGATGAGCCTAAACTTCCGTGGCAATGGCAAAAACCAAAACTCTAGAGGAGTTCACGGCAAATGGCGTGTAGCGGCAATAAAGGCTTTGTTGTTGTGCGAGTGTTTCGGTGCACCTCCGTGCGATGAATTCCTCAAGAACGCAAGTATACACTGCGACTTTTCAGTCAGCGAAGTAGTACCCTTAACGATCGAGTACTAGAAAACGTTGGCTGTAAGCCGGGAAGGGTCTCGATAGACAAGAAGGAACGGAATCCGGTATAACTGGGAATACCGGCAAACCGTGAACGAAGTGATGGCAATTTAAGTAGTAAAAGCCGTGGGCGATGTTGACAGAATTAGAGAAAATGCCATCAAAGAGAAATACCGTTGGCAAGATAACAAATACCGTGACGGCAAGAGACAAAGACTGTAGTCGAGAAACGAGAAACTGGCGGTAAAACGAAGATAAGACTGGCTGGCGATGATATGAGGGGGAACTAGTGATGGCAAAACAATGGCTGGGACTGGGCTGGACTGAAACTGAAACTATACTGAGGTTAACGACGGCAAAACGAAACTGATACTAATCCTGAGTCTACACGGAGACTATCCTATACTGAAACTGACGGCAAGATACCAAATACCGTGACTGATGATCCTATACTGAAGCTGTTGACCAAAATTCCATGACAGATGCTGCTGGCGGCAATAACGATCCTAATCTGAGTCCACATGGGGACGTAACAATCCTGAACTGAACTGGGTAAAACGATGGCGACGTAGAAGGTGAAAACTGATGAAAACGATCCTGGCTGGTGAAAGTGAAATGATGCTGGCGGATTAAAAGATAAAAGCGAGTTGTGGACACCAAATTCCGTGTATTGGCGCAATATGAGCGTACACCAATACCGTTAGAAGAAAAGCCGTGACAGAGAGTATAACTTGGAGTGACTATGTTGTTATTGTCTATCTCCTAGCGAGTACAAGCGATAACAGTGGTCGATAACGTGGATGATGGCTAGTGTCCAGTAACTTCTGTCTAGCAACTCCCTATTTTCCATGGTGTATACTAGCTTTTATACTACAAGTCTGGAATAAATTTAGAATACTTGACGCAAGTCCTTAGTAAGTCCATAGTACATAGATTGGTAAGAAATGATACAAAATGTGTGCTCCCAGAGTTCTAAAGTAACAGCACCCACACAGTTTTACTGTGTACTGTGGTTCAAAAGTAACAGCACCCATATGGCTTTACCACATATAGATGAAGTGATTAGCAAGAATGCCACTGATCTCCGGAATTTTGAGCTGCTGTGTTGCTGTGGCAAAGTACATTGAAGCAAGTGTACTGAAGTAGATGCTTGCGGCAATCTCTTGGCGGTATAACAGCCTTAGTAAAGACTGAGGAAAGGTCACGGCATTAGAGCTAATGCCACAGAATTGCTATTCGAGCTGCGGAATTGTGGCTGTGCTGCGGAATTGCGGCTGTGCTAGGCAATCAGATGGGATTCTGATTCCGTGAGATCGACAATCAGGTGCCTGGCAGAATTAATGAAAGAAGACTGGCAGAATTAATGAAAGGGGCACATAATTGATGTGGGGTACAAGTGGGGAAGGATAATTAGCAGCATTAAGCAATATTGCCGGGATTGAAATAGTAGGTTTGTGTGGTGGCTGAGGAATTAAATATCTGGTAAAATCCACGAATTCTGAGCGTACAGAGCCTGGAGGCTCATCAGCGGTGAGTTGCAACTGATTTTGTCCTTGTCTCAGGTTCTGACTCGCTAATCGATGTGGTAGTTCTTGATCCGACACAGAAGATGTCCTGGTTTGATAAAGAATGGGACAGTGATACTCGTAATAAAGCATGGGACCTTGTTTGTAGCAAGGTGCGTTTCCATGTATACCTCTAAGCTTGTGGAAATACTGAGGCCATTGTGTATAGTTCAAAGCACGATACGATAAGATGTATGGTACAGAGGGTGCTGCCACCAACAGCTAAGACGACCAAGAAAAGCTCCAAGATCCGGCGTCTTCTATCTGATTCTTATGATGAGCCGCAGGCCATACCATCATCTCCGAGTGCTGCGTTTCCTGCATGGGAAGCCAGCTTCAATGAGTATATGAACAATGTTGACTATCTGTCAGAGGACCAATCCATTGTTACATGGTGGGGGGTATGTCCATTTTGTAATTTTCCGTTATAAATTACTTATCGTTGTCATTTAGCTGAACTCCAACCGCCTCCCCGTTTGGGCTGCAATCGCATGAGACTATCTACCGATTATGGCATCTTCAGTTTCCAGTGAACGTGTATTCTCGGGTGGGGGTATTACCATCACCAAACTTCGGAATCGCTTGCGTGGTGACATTGTCGAGGCCCTGCAGCTCTTGAAATATGCACTAGGGCTGCGCACCGTACCGTACACGGTATATGGCCGTAAAGCCATGGTCTCAGACGGTCACGGAAATATCCGTATACCGTACCGTATGCTTAGTTTGAAAGCTTTGTCGGTGTCGGTACGGGTGCTTTACGGCCGTCTACGGCCGTTGACGACCGTGCAAAATATATTTACTCATATAGACTTACAAGCGCAGTCCCCTGTTATTTTATGTGTGAATATGACAAAATCACAAACATTAGGTACAGAGAGAACAAATGGGCCATGTTGAGTGAGGCCAGAGGTGCCCAAAAAATAAAGTAAGGTTACATGCATTGCCTGAATGCGAGTGAGAGATTGATGAGGTGGCGAATAGTCAAACTTTGAAGGAGTGGCAAAGTAAAGGAATTGGCTCATGGCTATTTTGTGTCAAAAATTTACTCGGGAAAAGGCTCTAGATAAGACTACAAAAGTATTTAAAATATACGCCATAATACGACGTTGTACGGCTGTCTGTTGGAGCTCCTGACGGCGACAGAACAACCGTACACCGTACCGTACAAATGGCCATTAGGGTGCGTTCGGCTTCGGTCCGTATTCCGTATAACGGTTACCGAAAACCGTACAATACGGTGACGGCGTGCAGCCCTAATACGCACTTCATAATGATGATGACTATTTTTGGGATAAGTGTTCATTAGCGGAGGAGGAGGCGTTGGAGGACGAACAAATGCTAGAGGATGCCGAAATGACACATGTCGCTGTACCAGAGTGGGATTTAACCGACGACTGCTTCTTGGAGGATGGTGAGGATGCCCTAGACAGTACGTTTGATATTTAGCACTACCAGTATACATTTTGTACCAAGACATGCTGAATATGATCTTGCCACTCACAAGCCCAGGCTCAAGCCTCAGCCTGGCCTCAGCCTTGTCGGGCTTGGGCTTGCGGCTTGGGCTTGCGAATTGATTAGGCCCAGCCTTGCTAAAGCCCAGCCCAAGCCTCACAAGCCCGGCCCAGCCCGGCCTTTCACAACACTAAAGGTAGTGAATGCACCTTCGCAATGCCGGCTATGGAATCAAGGTAAAATGATCCAAAACCATTGCGAATGTAGAAAGCCAAGAATAGGACCAGAGCTATCGAATAGAGAGTGGAGGATTCCACTAGCACTCCAATAAAATGGTGATAAACTCTCAGTCGGCCACCTTCTCCATGTCTGACCCTGGTAACAGTCAAAATGCGGAAAATGATGAGCAGCGTGCACCATAATGTCGTTGCCAGCATGAGGGATAAGTAGGGCATTGGGAAACCTGAGTCTGATGCACTGGAGTAATCATGATATATCTCAATGATTTTTATTGCTGTACATAAAGTTGGATGTATGAAAAGAGTAGATGAAATTGGACACTTACCAGTTGCAAAAATTAGGCAAAGGATTGGAAGCAGAACAATAAGCCAGCAACGTCCCCAGACCATCCAACAGCACCAAATCTAGAGTCAAAAAGATGGTAAGCTGACATGGATAATCACCAGTGAAGCAGCACACACAATATATGAGTCTGTGAGAATGGTACTCATCGAGGCTGTAATACCCATCTCCAAATAGGCTGCTTGGTTCACACCATTAAACTTTGAGAATATGGTCCAAAAGCTTCTCCCATTTTTGATGAATGCGGAACATATAAATGACCAATTGGCAACAGCATTGATAGTAATCAGAGCATAGAGGAGAACAATAATGATGACCAAGGCTTGTTTGATTGGCCAGCGTTTGTTGATAACTGTACCACTCACATCAGCTTGGATACCATAGTAGGGATGCTTCTGGCTCACATATATTCCACAATGTAACAGCAAGAATTCTGGTGTATATGCCTGTTATCAGTCAACACTTATATGTCAAGGCACTAAATATTGTTGCCCACCATGCAATAGCGCATAGAAAATTCCTGAGTTCAGCTCAGCATTGAGAAATTGAAACATGGAAGCTTTGTCTTCGTTGGTAAGATCGGGTGGAATATCTGCCTGAATTGCCATGAGAAAAAGTAAGAGAAATGGGGTAGTGGGTTATGAGAATAACACATACCACCCCTCTCATTTATAACAGTGCAGCTCATGGCCACACTCATTGGCTGCTATAAAGATGATCATCAGCATCAAGTCAAACCAGGATCCTTATGTGCTGAACATGTTTGGTGAATTATTGAGCTGTCGTGTATGTTGATAGTTTCAACAACTCACGACAGAGATGGAACTCGAAGTGATGTATTCCTGAAGAAAGGCCGTGTACTGAAGGGAAAGTGGCTATACAAACTGCAAGCTTCTCGGAGATACGTTCTGTTGAATCATGAAGAAGCTGTGTCCCGGAAGAGATTCAAGGAAGCCATCCCAGTAAGATGTCAGCGCAGCTATCAGATTGAGGTTGTTCCATCACAGCATGAGATTTGACTGAAAATTGATAGAAAAAAGGTGGCCTGTAAGTATTGATGACATGTATGATAGTGATGCTGACAGCTCCTGAATTCTGGGAAAGGGATTGGCAAGGGTATTGATGTCTGTGAGCTATACCCCAACATAGCCATACACGATGGGTGAAAGTTTATCATGGAAATGATTCATCTATCAGAAAGGCACAGGAAGAGGATACAACATGACCCCATGATGAGCTTGAAGAAACCCAATCCCCTCTAGAGGCTGTTCATCTTTCCAGTACTCAGTACATCTCCAGAGGCAGGGCATGGCTATCCGAGTCTGAGTCGATCGATCTTGTTTGCATCATCAGATCTTCATTAACCATCACTTGGACACAAAGATTGGAAAAGATGGTGACACGAGCCAAGACTGAGCGGAGAGAATAGGCTGCTGAACTATCGATATCAAGGCCAATGTTGACATGGCATGACGGTATTGGAGGGAAGTTAAATCAAGTTACACAGAAGAATGACCAGGCACCTAGAAAAGATCGGAAAAGATGGCGAACAAGGGGAAACACCTACTTTGTGCGGTGAAGAAAACAGGGCTTCACAGATGGCCACATTATTCCGGTGACCATAAGCTATGGAAGGCGGTGCATGTACTACCACCAGCATCGTGGTGCTGCAACTCACAACACCTTTGTCATTTCAGACAATACTAATAATACAAAATAACACATTAGAATGGCGATGATGGTCCAAGCCAATGGTACTTTACAAGACTCACCTATTTTTGTACCTCCCTCGATGCTTTGTAGCTTCTATAATGCTGGTTTCCTCATCGTGTAAATCGTTGACACTAGAGTTCCATCTACACACATTGAACTTGTCTTCATACAGATTGTTGAGTCTGATTTACCAGACTAAAAGTTCCGTAGTGTCTCACTCCATAGATAACGTCTCTCCGGTTCTTGAATTTCCTAGCAAGGTGAATTCGGTTTCATTGAGGATGCAAGCAAGTCAGATGTTTCGAGTAAGTTGTCATCTGATGTGGCTGTGCAGGTTCTCAGGCTCATCGGCAACAACTTATCGAGCATCTTTGTTTGTCAAAAAATTGAGCGTTTCCTCTCCTTTCACTTATGTGTCCCTTTTGTGTTTTGCTTGGCCTTACTTTCTCTCAAATATATGACTTCTCCTTTCTGCACACTTTGTGGCTATCAGACGATGGACCTCGTATAATACTGATGTCTAGCTTCAACATGCGTACCGAGACTATCTCTATGATTGGTTTAAAGATGCCTGTTCTAGTATATTCTGTATGGCATGCCCGATCCTGGTAACAGGGACAGCGAAATACCAATTGATCATGACACAAGCATGAAGACCGATGAACTCAAGTAGAACGATGAACTCAAATGTATCACTCATGTCAACGTCCAAAAATTTACGCTCAACAGGATATTATCACTGTCATTGAGGATGACTGGTGGCTCAGAGAACATGACAGTTTCAGGGTTCTCTTCCCTACAAAACCAGGACTCAGGTCAGGAAGGGGAAAAGAGCAAGTCTGGAAAGTAACAGTGCGTTAGACCTTTCTTTGTCACATAGCGTGTTCTGATGTATTATCTAGATGGCATATTCTTCTGCAGGAGGTCTAGGGCTCAGTCCTCCCAATGGTGCCAATTTGAACTGAAGCATGTTTGAATGAAACCAAATCCTCATGAACGTGAGATCCACGCCATCATCTTCCTCTCGCTCACAGTTGCTGAGACCTTCATCCTGATGGCAGGTTGCGACAAACAACTCAATCTCAACAGTGTACCTCCCTGCCATTTATTGCTGATGCTCACTTCTAGCCATCTGTTCCACCACAAAAAGTGAGAAAAGGTTACATATATTTATGAATGATCACTTTATATATAATCTGATGTAAATATAAGCCAGCATCATATACCTTAATAAACCTGGTGTAGGGTTAGCCAGGGTTATACAGAGTTGTAATCCCTCCTGCATTGTGTTTATAATGTCTTACAGGCCCACAAGATACCAGCGAAGGTTTATTTTAGTTTGTCAAAGCTTCCAATTAGTTTACAATGTAGCAAATTCAAAGTCAGGATCTAGGCCTATCTCGTTACCATCGTCATCACAGATATCATCTAGTTCACCTTCTGCCTCATCATCCAGATCCATATCATCCTCAGCGTCATCCTCCGAAGGCTCTTCCGAATCTGTCTCCCACTGGTTCCCATCTTCTTCGACCAGCTCTGCATCATCGTCATTGTCACCAGGCTCTTCGTCTGTTTCCCATTTGTCATCGTCTGACCTATGCTCAACTTCTGCTTCCTCATCACTGTCTGCATCCACTTCCAACTCATCCATCATATCAGCTGCCATTTCTGAGTCTGACTCGTCTGTGGTTGCTTCCAATTCCGAGTCCGAACCTATGTCTATGTCCTCCCCAAGGTCGAAGACATCTGGTGAGAGATTATAGGCCCTACAAAGGTCCTCTCGAAAGATGCGTGTTGCTTCCCAGGTTGCCTGGTGGCCAACACCAAGTCCACAATACCGAAATGTCATATCGCGATCAGCCCACCTTGTAACACATTCGGATAAGCACAAGCTCGGACGAAGAAGAATAGGTACACACATGTCAACTGAATACCATTCATAATCTTCATCATTCTCTTCAGGCCTTCGGGCGATTGACGGCGGTAAGAATTCAGTGGTCTGACCAAGCTTGTAGACAGGAATAAGGTGGATGGCACAGATAATGTCGTCTGGATCTAGAAAACCAAAAGCCTCAGGATCGGTTCCATTCACAAACCCAACATGATGAGGACACTTTGCCTGGAAGCCTGAGCGATGTTTACTGTCAAAACCATACCACTGGACCCATGCAAAGTCAACGCGAAAAACTTTACGGTCTTCTAAGTCTCCTTCAGGGTTGTTGTAACGAACCTCCACGTGGAAAAGGCCAATGATCCAGGCATACCAATATGGATGTGTATCATTCAGATCTGAGTTGTTAGCGAGGACAATGACATCTGAGCATGTCCAAGGATTATTCGAGTCCTGGTCTCGACGGACGTCATAAGTTGTGTAGTTGATGTGGAGAATTTTATGGCGAAAAATTCAATCGTTGACAATATGTAGGTTGCTAAGCTGCTCAGGAGTTACACTGACCGACAAAAATAAAGAAACACGTGGTTTTTTTGATTGGAGTCGCAATAGCTCCTCAATGCTGCGATATTTTTTCAGACTTTCAGTGAGAGAAATGTAGCTTAATTGATGTAGTTTATTGTTAGAAAAAGAATGAGGTACATACATGAAAAAAATGATGAGATATAAATATGTTAGCCGAGAGTGTCATTTTTAGCAGTGTAAGTAAAATGAGAAAACAAGATAATTGACCTGACAAAAAGTCCAACAACCTAATATCTAGTATGCCTGCCCTTTGCCAATATCAAGGACCTCACCCGTGATGGGATACTACCATATAACACATTGCAATACTCTTTTCCAAGTGCAGCCCACTCCTCCTGCAGAATGGCAAATAATGCGGCAGTCATTGTCGGGTGACGTGGTCTGTTGTTCAGACGATGTTCGAGAGTAGCCCAAGCATTCTCTATGATGCTTTGGTCGGGGCTGTTTGGTGGCCAGTCCATTACAGAGATGTTTTGGTCAGCGAGCCACTTTTTCATAAGCCGAGCTGTGTGCTTGGGGTCATTATCCTGCTGAAAAAGGACATCATCGACTGAGAGTCTGTAGTCCTGGAGGGTGCTGAGAAGTCCTTCATTAAGTATCTGGCAGTACTGGACAGCATTCATAGTGCCTTCCACCAAAATCAGCTGTCCGAAGCCCAAACTCATCATGCATCCCCAGACCATCACCCCCCTGCCTCCATGCTTCAACCGGGGCAACACGTTATGCACATCTAGTGCCTCACCAGGACCCCTACGACACCACTGCACTCCATCTGACCCAAAGAAGTTGAATTTGGACTCATCTGAGTAGAGCACAGTACCCCATTTTTCTGCTCCCCATTCTGCATGTGCCTCTGCCCACACCCTTCGCTTTCTAACATGAGCCTTCATGAGCATTGGTACCTTTCACCTCTTGTAACCCTTCAGGCCCTCATCTGAAAGCCTGCACTGCACAGTGCGCTCCGAAAGATGGTCGAAATACCCCCATTGAATGTCGACTGCTATCTGGCAGTCGTGACTACGGATTTTTCGCATGGCAAATTTAATATCTGCATCGTCCATCTTGTGCGGGCAGCCTCGCCCTTCAATGCGAGCATAGTAGTTCTCCTTCCCTTCATATTTGTGGCCAGTTTTGCAGATGGTAGAGCACGAACATCCAATGACATTGCTGATTTCAGTGCAGGTGTGGCCTTCATTGAGGAGAGTGAAAATACGGGCTGCTTTTGTAGGGGTAATAGGCACATTTGGTTTGCGAGGAGGAGGTGAATACATGATAGGAATTTCAGTGCAATCGGCCCAGGTGGTGGTTCAGATTCAAGTTGGTTCCAACGTTGATGTGATGCCATTACATCATCAAAATTGGCATGTGGTTTCGCAGCCCTCTTACTTTGCTCACTGACTGGTATTTTTGCCTCATTCTTTTCATAATATTAAACTACAGATATCAAGCTACATTACACTCACTGGAAGTCCAAAAAAATATTGCAGTGTTGAGGAGCTATTGCGACTCCGATCAAAAAAACCATGTGTTTCTTTATTTTTGTCAGTCAGTGTATATCATCATCCTGAGCGGTCTCATTGATGAGAAGACGGTGAAGGATGTGTTCTTTGAGCTTTGGGATGAAATCTTAGAGGTGATATTAGCTTAGATACCAGAGTAAGACCAGGCATTCTTATGACAATAGCAAGATTGCCCTCATTTTCTGCAAGCCAGTGATGAAGGTTCAGGGGATAATTCCTCAACAGGGACATCTGATAATGATCTTCTGGTTGTCCCTGGGGCAACAGATCCTTCTCGTTCAGGTTGATTATCACACTTGATGTCTTCTTGGGCCTTGCCTTGATTTTGGATATCCACTGTGCGAGAATATGATGTAGACGCCTTTGCTGCCACTTGAGTATGGCAATCTGCTTGACGTGTCCCCATTTATTTGTTCAAGCATAGAACAGCTTGACACGGTGAAGAGGCTGGCTGTGGGCACCTGTGGAATAGTGAGTGGGCTAAAGGGTGAACCTCAAAAACCCACACACACACTCACACAACTACACAAACTACAATCACCCTCGTAAGTTCTAGGGGGAGCGATTATTTCTAATGCGATCCAACTATACTTCAATATCTCGAAGAGTTTCTCTTATTCTCAGTGCTCTTAGCGAAGCTAAGCTTTCTCTAATGACTTCCTAAGTCTAGGAACTTTTTACAGGAAGGTCGTTCACTGGTGCGACGCAACCTTCAAGGCAGATTTGAGTTATAATACACAAGGGACACTGATCCCAACAGAAACAGAGGCAATACACGCCGAAACTTTAGTGAGCTCGCTAAAAGAACACCACAGGCAAGCACTGACTTAGCCCGCTCGCTACACAACTGTATGCAGGGGTTCTCCAACTAACTCCAGCAGGTTATCTCGACTCAAGAACACTTCAGAAGCGCTCGGAAAACAGATTCAGAAATGGAACTTCGACAGAACTGACACGGAACAGACTGAAACAGAACATAACAGAACAGAACAGAACAGAACAGAACTCAGATTTCCACTTCAACACATTCTCCGAACAGACTTATCACACCCAACAGAACAGAAACAGCGTCACTGATTCGTATTCACTCTGACTAAGTTCTCAAAAGTCTTATCAAAAGGGTATCTCGTATTTCTCTGAGTGAGCTCGCTAATTCTATGCACAGCTCGAAGTCACAAACTGATCCTTTGTTACAGTACCGCCTTCAACGTGTGCACGGGAACTCGGGGGCTCGAAACTTGGCCTCTACCTACTGTAACCAGTCTACTTATACTACAGGGGAATTAGAATTACAAATGTCGCGCAGTACCCAGACTCCTACATGTGTAGCACATTGCCACCGCTGCCTTACTGAGCATCCGAGTTGGACTTCCCAGTTTTAGTCTCATTTCTATAGTGAGCTCGCTAAACACGTGCCAAGAGGTGCTCTCCTGACACCCGCGGGCTTGTTCTCTAGCGACTGACAGGTCTAGGCGCACGGAACTATCAGTTCTGGCGTATGTCGTTCAGGACTTCTTTCTTGGATTCACAGAGGCTTCTCGTAGACACGGCAACAAGTGAGTCTTCGAACAATGGGACTCAGAACAATGGAATGCGGGCTCGTGGACTTTGGCCAAAGCCCATTGCCCAAGCTTGTGCCGGTGATATCTGTCAGCTCGCTTAAGGATTTCCCCGGATTTTCAGGTACGGCGCGTCACAGTTAGTGAGCGCACTAAGTGTTCTCAGTGTCAGTGCAATCTTCAAGGTTTTATCTAGCTCCCACGAGTGTGCTTGTAAGTTAGAGCCTAAGGCATTGGGTATATGGTTTGGCCTTCTCATCACGCATGCCCGTCAGGTACAGTGCTGTGACTAAGTCCTGTTTAGAATCCCGTTGCTTCTTATGCCATAAGTTATATTCCATATCATTGCACCGCATAGCATTAGTGTCGACGCATAGTTTTAATCTGCTCGCTCACTATTTCTCAGTATGTGTGTAAAACACTCTAGATTGCAAAATTACACATGTAAATAGGCTGCAGTCACAACAACGGTGGTGTTCCTGTTCTCCCTGGGTGTTATCGTTAGATCTGGAAATGAGAATACATCCTAAAACTGACTATTTGCATGCTGTACAAATCAGCTGTACCAAATTTTGGAATGCTCCAGATATAGTCACCGATTGCATGATTTTTGTATGTGTGAAGATTGAATGCCTTGATGGACTTGTAGATACTCCTAGTTGAGACTTTTCCAGTGGATGCCATCATCTTCTTGGCAGTGTGAACGAGTCTCCTAACTCGAGCTGCCATTTTGGCGGGTGTCTCTCTTGTACAGAAGTTCGGGCAAACCTTTTGCGAAAATAATCGAAGCTGTCATCCAAGAACTGTTGTTACCCCTCGCAGAGCTTCAAGGCTTGAATCTGTATGCATCCGTGCCTTTGCAAAGCATGCCATGTGGCCCATGCAAAGATGGTGTCCATGACAATTTTGTTGTCCTTGGCATCAGGTAAAATTCCATCAAAACATGGGAAGGAACACTAGCAATTGCATGGTCAGTGGAATACAATACACTTCGAAAACAAGGGAAAAACCTGAAGTACATCTTCATAATCTCAAGCCGCAAACTTCTTTTGGCCTGAGATGTCATTACTGAACTTGCAAATTGTGGAACGTCCAAATGTGGGTACTAAAC